TTGTCGTGCGCATACAGCGACGTCTTGGCCAGTGCTGTGCAGATTATGTCCGCCATCGCCTGCAGGTTCTGCAAGTCCAGCTCAGCTCCCTCATTGATGTTGGCTAGTTTTTCTACTATCAGGCGCCGCGCCGACTTATTGTCCGGTAGTATGGAGATCACATCTGCATACTGGGCTGGGTCGCTGAGAAAAGCTTCCCAGGCTTGTCCTGCTTTCTCATTGAAGATGGTCGCATTCTCCATTGAGGTGAACTGCCTCGGAGGCTCGCACTGCGAAACTGCGTCTGTGATGCGAATCGTACCAATCTGGAAGTCTTTGTTTGCCTCGGTTGCTGAGGTGTCATCCGCTGGCGCATGCTGCTGATCTGCTCCTCCAGCTAGCTTTTGTTGTTGCTGGTTTTTGTCTTTCGACATCTTCGATTTTTCTTTATCCTGTGTAATGTTCTTCTTGGACGACGATGCTCCGGCCGGTGGACCGCTTGGCGGTGCGTCCGGAGCGCCGCTTCCCGGTTTTTGGTCCGGGCCCTGAGAAGACGACGAAGCCGTCATCCTTCACTACTAACCTAAAACAACTACACGCAGGTAACTGCCGCTAAGGCTTTTTTCATGGAGAGGGTCACATGGGAGCTCCGGGCACGCACGAAACGCAACTCAAACTGTGATTTCCGGATCTTACACACTGACACTGATGGCTCTGTATACTATTGTATGTGCTGTTATGTCTGCCTTGTGTGGTGCCGCACCTTCGACGAGCGAGCTGACATCTTGCAACTTCAAAACCAGGAGAGACAGTCTACCACGTTTAGACGCTGTGCCGTAGAGAATTCAACATCAAGCTTGAATGAAACAAGCTGGCAGGCTTACGTAGCCGGTGGTGAGGGTTTTGATTTGTGGTCCGTAGCAACATGCACAGCTACATTAAAAGTTTTTCTTGTTTCAAATCAGCTGCGTTCTCGGGTTCGAGTATTCACTTTCCATCTAAAATTTCTTCTGCCGGTGCTGTCAATTTGTATTTGCACCCTTTTTTCATAGAGCCACTCACTACGTATGTCAAGAATTCTTTTTCTGTCGTAGACCAGAAAACATTTCCCGACTCGTAATAACGCAGTCCTGGCCTCGGAATTTCGTGCACCGCCACTGGGGAGGTAGTTGTCCGCAAGAAATTTTGAATCAGCGGGTGTATGTTCTGGATGTCCATCAGGGTACGAACCTGGGAAATGTATTTTGGTGGTGTGCATTTAACTTGCATCGCGTGCTGGTGTCCATCATGAGTGTGATGTAAATCCTGGCACTCGTGCCAGACATGGAAACTAATATGAACCGCGCCTCTATTGTGTCTTGTATCATTTTCCCGAAGAAGGCTCTTTCGACTGTTCCGCTGGTCCGGCAGCATTGAGATAGTATCGCATGTGCTATCATCGTCGATAAAGCATTTGCTCTTTCGGTTTTTGTCAGTACGTGCTCAGCTGGTTTTCCGAGCGTCGACATGATATCAAACCTGCATGGTGTGTCGAAATGTATTTGATGGAAGGCAGGCATGCACCACTAAAAGCATCTGCCCACAGAAAGGCATCAGGAACTGTGAAACTCATGTATGATTCTATACTTTTCTGGTTTTTTCCGGATCAGACCAAAACCGTATCGCTCTCTCGTGTCTTGCTCGTGGTTCGTGCTATCGGATGTTGTATCTGATTTGAAATTGGGTGAATGCGGGCTAGTATGTGTCTGCGTGTACTACTTTCATTGATGTGAAGATGAGAGTTTAGCAGCAGCATCCAAACTGTACCAATGATATCGCTTTCATCATCGCTGGAGACTGCACTCCCTTGAGCTGTAGGCTGCTCGTCCGCTCTGGAGCTGCAGCGTCCCATTGTAGAATCTTACTGAAGGTGATGTTTCTAAAAATAAAAATGATATTTTAAAGGCTGCGCTTAGCTGCTAATCGCTATTTTTAACACATACATGCGGCGTCCACTCTCACACATGTACCCAAACTAAATTGTATGAAATTACTTTCCTCCCTTGCTAGAGGAAGAAGAGGATCCGCCCGAGCTGGACGACTGCGCACCGGGCAGTCCGAATGCGTACCGTCCGGCTTTCTCATACTTCTTCTTCATTTCTTCATCCATTGTCTTGGAATACATCTTCGCTAAATTCAACACCTTTTCTCCTAAATCTTCTAACTCTTCGTCATCGTACGCAATGAAGTACGGCTCTTTGGAGAGATGGGTAGTTAACTGGGATGCTAATTCCGTAGCTGTGGTTCCGGTGGCTTGTCCTCCCACGACCGGGACGAACCCGGAGGTAGTAATGCCGTCCGTCCTACGCTTGATGCACACATGCTTGAAATGCTTAAGCTCTTGGGACATCTGCAGCTCTGGCAAGGCAAGCTTACCTCGCAAAAAATATATTTTTGCTGCACATTCGGCACAGAAAGTCATCCAGTTCGGGAAGAGAGTTTGCACCGTGGTGGGGTTTAAGTCCACCCACAACTCGTCAATCAACTCACTATAAGCCGCGACTTTAGCACTGAGCGCCGGGATCACAGTAGTGATAGCGAACTGCGCCAAAGACCTGTACACATGCAGTAGCTTCTGGCTCTGTCCTTCAGACAGAGTCGGAACACGGGTTCCGTCGACACCTAAATGGGAGCTGTGTTTAGAAGTAAGATCATTCATGAAGATCCCGGCAGCGTTAGATCCTACATCATCTTTGCCACCATTCTTGACAATGTCCTCAAGCAAGTTCATGACGCTAGCTCCCTGCTTCCTCGCCAAATCAACTAAGTTATCACATTTTCCGACACGCATTGTGTCGCAATTCTTGATGGAGACGTCGTGGCTGATGCCACTCATTTTCGATTTTGCTTGGGGTCAAAGTGAAACTTAAAAACCTAAGGTGGCTGAATCGCTGACAAACAATTTCTTGTTGCTAGTTGTGCACTAAACTTACTGCTTTTTCTTATACTAAAACTAGTTTTCTTCGTTAGATTTTGGTATCTACGTGGACGCCGCTTCTATACTAGGAGGAAGCAGTCGCTGACTGGTTTTGGAAAGTTGCGATTAGTCTGTATCTGACTCAACATCCACATCAATGCTATACTCATCCGCTAGCTGTCCGTCCGGTTTTTCGATTTTTTCCTTTTTGATCCTGGTGGTTAATTCGGAGATTCTCACCCTTGTTCTGAAAGCTAAATTTGATCTGCCATGACAATAGAAAGTGCACGGCGGGGGTGGGCTGATGTCGTAATTGAAACTTCGTATGCACGCTTCGTGCATCTGGTGCTGCTCTACGAAATGCCTGTTGAAGATCTGTCGCGCTCGTTGCGAGCCGGAGAAGGCATACAAATCCGCCCAGGAGATTGCTCTTTGTTTGATCACAGATGGATGTTTCTAGCTCTATGTTGTACAGGGACTCTATATCCTCTTCTAACTCTTTGCACAAGCGGTCGCTGTGCATGAAAACTTTATATCTTGTGTAATTTCGTTCCGTTTGGAACTTTGCTTCGTAGGCTTTCAGTCTGTCTCTTTCTCGGGTGAAAGTCAGCTTTTGCATCCACAGGATTCCCACTGGGCAGATCATCTTGGGCAACACGAACATCTGCTCCGCCAATCCGTACCTCGCACTGTACTGCGTGTGCAAGATCACTTCCACTTCAAAGAAAGCTTCTGGCAAACCTGAAGAGTTGTTGGCCAGGGATAATATGTGTACATGTGTCATGTGCTCGCGTCATGCAGTTTTATGAATGCATCCGCTAAAAAAGGGGTTAATCTGTACCAAAAATCTCTGGTGCTCCTAGCTTCGCCCATATCTTTTCGTCCTTGGGCTCTGGTATCCACTTGGCATGCACTGCGTACACCTGCGCTTTCAGTGGATTGCTGTTTTCGTACTTTACTGGTGGGAGGTATGCTGCCCTTGGTGTCCTGTGCAGAAAGTCTGGCAGTGGCCTGCCGTCTCCTACAGCTCTCCCCTGCCACATGTAGTCCGTGTGTATTCTCGGGGCCGGAAAATTTATCAGACTCATCGATTTGTCTGACTGCTGCCATAGTTCTGCTTTGGTCTTTCGGATGTCTACTACCGGCGACAGCACCGAGCCTTCAAGGCCCGGCGAGTACCCGACGTGGCGGGGCATTCTGTGCTAAGCTGTTTCTAGTCATGAGATAGGAAGGGAAATTTGAGTGTACTAGTGCGTTCTCTCGTGCGTCGTGGTATCTCCGCTCCATGTCTCAGCTCTGGAGCTCTCTGCTTGTTTGCTGTGTCTATTTGTGAGTGTCTGCTTGCCTGGTGTCGAACAACGAAGCGACAAGGGCTAGTTCTGCCGTGAACTGCCTACAGTGGTACGATTGCCAGCTTGGTCTAAACTTTCCAAGACGAAACTTCCTGCTGCCTACTAGTAACGCCACAACATGGTTGTAGCGAGGGGCTCGCTTGCGCGATTTACTATCCAGGGCGTGACTGTGACAAAGGTATCCTTCTCATCAATCTGACGACCATCGTCGAACAGAAATCCGAGAGGGCGGTGTCCCCTCCAGAAAACACCCCTCCTCTCCTAATTCATCGACGAGAACCGAAGTCCTGGTGTCAGAAAAAGGAGTGAAGGTTGACCTAATGGTATACCAATGTCTGATATAAATCCAGAAAACTGAAAAAATATCCAGAAATCCCAGCCGGGGCTGTAAATGAATGTATGAACGATGAATATGAACGAGACCGATCTTGCTGACGATGCTTTCACTCGAAGTATTTATCCCGTAAAAAGATCTACTTCGGCACAAGTGTATGAGCAATAAAGATCTACTTACATCAGCAAAAGGGAGAGATCGTCCATAGCATTACCATTACCATTAGATTGCATAGTCCGTGTACTTATAACGGGCATAGTATTTTTACCGGATCGAGATTTGAGCAAGATGGGGATCAGCAAAAGAGCGCGAACATAACGTGGCGTGACGTCTCGCAATCGCCAACGTCAACGCCGTTAGATGGCGGCAAATTACGAAGATCTTTGTTTTTCAAATGCTGAAAAGTTGAACTTTTTTCTGCATCTTAAATGAGCGACGTGGTACGGGATCCAACTCCAAGAGGACAGGAGCGGCAACGACCACATTTATTCATTTCACATTCATCACATTCTACTTGAACGGATTCAGTGCTTTGAAATTCCCCTCCACGACTTGCAGTTTTTCTCTTATGTGTTTCACCAGCGTCGACGCGTCGCCTTTGACGTGTTTGTCGACGACGCCTCTTCCCATGTGCTGCTTTTCCGTGCAGGCGTAGTTGATGTCGTAGTCGCCCGCTCCGTCGGACTCGAAGGTGATCGTACCCTTGCAGTACTCGGTGTGGTCCTCGTTTACCGGGAATTTCCACTTGAGTTCAATGGTGCTGTCGTGGATGTACCGTACCTTTCCGCGGGAAGACGTGATTTGCGCGCTGCCGCTCACATCCGTGACGGAGAAGGACAGCGTCTTGGCCTCGTCTGGCACCTGGAACTTGCCCTTCACCTCCTTTCGGACCTCCTCGGAAAACCACTTCGTGTAATCGCGCTCTTCAAAAGTACCTAGCATCGATTGGTTGGAATGGTTCGAGTTTCTATTTTCAGTTGCAAGAACAATCAGCATCAAAGCCACTGATGGTCGTACTTGTCACACATGGACGACATCTTTGCAAAACCACACGCGTAGAAGTACCTGCTTGATTCCATGCACTTCCTGCTGAGGTTGTCTTGTTGCCGAGTTGCGCGTCTGCAGAAATCTGTTTTGGCTTGCAGTCACCAATCAACTTCTTTGCGTTTTCGTCGAGTTCGGTGTGAAAGTAGGACGTTGTGCGACCGTCTGCGGTCTTTTTGTATCCCCTCATCTCATCCGCCTTGGTAGCTGAATCGGTGGAGCTCGTTGCGCCTTCTGCAGAGCCTGTGGGTGGACATGGGAGGGGTTTTTCTGAGCAAGTTCCAAGCGAATCTATTTATCTTGGACAGGAGCAGGGGTACGCCTGCCCGAGTCATTTCGATTTCCAGAAACGAAGACGAACAGTACTAGAGCCGCCATTTAAGTAAAGGAACAGCGTCGAAATAAGTTAGGGTTACCATCTCCTCCCTTTGCGGCTTTGCTGGCGGGCTCTACACGGACCGGTCGGTAGTCGTCAAAGGTGGGCTTTTCCGGATCGGGTTTTGCTTTCTGCGCCTCCCACTTTTTCTCCGCCGTGCCCTGAATATCGACGAGATCTTTGTTTCCCGGATGTATTTCTAGGGCTGTTTTCGCCGCTGAAATTGCGTCTTCAAACCTTTCAAGGCCCACAAGTGCTTGACACTTACCTGTGGTGTGTTTGTGCTTGTGGAAGGAGCTTAGCAATATATAAGGGTGCGAAAATTCTAGATCTTCCTCTTATCCTATGCCGCATTGTTCTACCACAGTATCTATTTTTGTTCCAGGATGCAATATTACCTATGGTATATCTTAGACAAATTCACAGGAAGAAAGAAAAAAAGAGTACGAAAGTGCGCCTTGATGAAAGCCGCGTCTAGATCCATTATCAAATGCAAAAATGTCTGGGTCTGGAAGAGCCAAACTTGATGTGATGCTGCATTTGGATGCTAAAGAAACCTGTATTGCATGACCAGCAAGAGGATTCAAATTGGGCTACGCGGAAATGGCATTTGTCATGCGGAATACGCATCAGAATGCCATTTAAAAATCTGTGATGCTAGGTCATGCATTACAGGCATCATTGGTTATGCAAAATATGCATGACAAACCTGGCAATCTTCCAGACCCAGACATATTTGCAATCCATATCCATGCAGGCCTCACAATCGTCCAGGGCGAGCTGGTGCTTGCTTTTCAATAATCGGACGGCAGCGCGATTGGAGTACAGCAAGTGTCGATCGGGTTCATTTAGGAGGTTGGCGACCTCGATACATCTCGCGTACAACTTCTCCGCATTGTGCAGATCCCGCATCTGAAAGGTCCCCTTGGCTCGTTGCTTGGCAATTTCCAGCAGATCTCGTCGCTTGCCCTCCTCCGAGGGGATGGAGGTGCACAGAATGTCGTCGTGATTCATGGCTTTCGGTTCCTAGGGGTAGGGGTGGCGTGGGAATAAGTTGATCCAGAACTTCCACAGTATTACTATCGGGTTAATCGTGAAGTCTTTACCTTTACCTCTACTGGTAAGTATTTGAAGGAAAAGTGTCGTGAAAATCTCTAGATAGTCGCCCACTCGATAGGATAGAAGTTCGAGCCTTCAACTGCTACTTATAACCGCCAAAACAAAGACACTTCACTAGAAAAATATGACAAATCGCTGAAGTCAAGTGGTAACCCTGACGTTACTTCGCCTAGTTAGTAGCTCGCAGATAAGTATTCATATTTCTTTAATATTGCCGCGCCTGGGACAGAAATGGGGAGGCACATCACAAGTTCAAAACGGAAAATCCTCAACCCAAAAAGGTACTTATCATGTATGAACTCCAATTCACACCATGGAAGAGCAGATCTTGTGTGATCGACGGTTTTGCTTTGGGGGATCAAAAAATTTAATTGCAATTTTGGATCTTGTGCGAGCCTTTCAAAGCGATGAGGTTGAGCGCCAATTCTTTTTCTTACAAAAAAATAAAAAATGATAACCAGATGCACAGAAACGGGTCGACTTCGGAAGCCTCGATAAAAACAGATCTGTAGGCAAATCACCAAGAGAAGACACGGAGCGAGCACAAGTCTTTCATCGCCTACTTCATTTTTTCGAACAACAGCATAGCAACTCCAATGCTGTGAAACTACCGACCTCGGTATACATAGTATTGATTTTCTCCTTGCCAAAAGGTTTCTTGGTACTTCAGCACACCAGGAGCCGCCAAGAGCAACGCTGTTGCATCTTCAGCATCATAATCACTACTATCAATAAAAAAAGCTATCAATTCTACAATTCGAATTCAGCTTGGATTCGACCAGGTTAACCTTCGTTCGTTGCCTCTGCAGCAGCAACAGGCTTTCGCAGTGAGAGTGACCTTTTCTGTTATGATCGTAGTTCCAATTATTACTTCTGCTCACAACCAAGATGAAACCTGTGTAGTTTACTTCGAACTTTCTTCAGAAACCCCAACTACATGCAAGTGCATGAGCATGTAGTGTCTCTTCGTCTTCACTTCTGTGTAGTGTGCGCGCAGAAGTTGAAGTGGTGGGAATCCCCGAATCACGCACCATGTCTTCATTTTGCAGCTCAACTGGAGCGGTTGTCCAAGACATGCAACTTTTCCCGGTGCTTGATCCTAATGGCCTTTGGATACTGGCAGATGAAGTACTCCCCGTCAATCTGCATGTAGATCCGCCCCTCCTTTCGGTAGTTGGCTTGCTCCTTGTCCCGGAAGTTGATGGTCACGGGATTCCCGATGCTCGCAAGGCGGTTGCTACCGCGCAAGCCACAGCATACCTGTTTTTCGTTGTATCGTGTTCCACTTCACGACATTTCTGCTTCGGCAGCTTGAACTTACTCCTAAGTTCCGCCGCAAAAAAAGGCATATCCTAAGCACCGTAGTCCTCATCCTCAACATCAACTTGTGGAACAGAACTTCAGCATGCAAATATACAACACCAACAACGAAATCATGCACGAGGAAAAGTGGAGTTCTTGTTTTACGCAGCTGCAGCAGAGCCCGCAGACGGCGTCGCAGTTGAACTGTTGCATGGTCCGCCAGGTCATCATGTTCAGTTTCCCGTCGCCCATCTTGTGGACTCCTTGCATCAGCGTCTCTCTCTGCTCTCCTTCCCCCTTCACCGCCAGTCGCGCGCCGGTGCGGTCCCAGATGTGCTGACCGGCAATCATGGTGTCCGTGTTCAGGATTGCGAACGTCGCTGGCCACCGCCGCAGGTATGGCCCATCGGGTTGAGGGTCTGTGGGCTTTTTCGGTGGTGGGGTGTCGGTTTGAAAAATAACCTTTGGTGTTCCATCCGGAAGGGTTTCTACGGCGTTGGTAACCACATCCTTCAGCTTTGGACTCTTCTTGCAGCACATCGTCGATAAACCGGAGAAACCATACATCAGCTGATTGCCGGCCCAGCTCGCTTTTCGCCGTCGCTCCATGCTGTTAGAATTAATAGATACGCAAGCTCCGCCGATTCTCTATTTCTGAGCCTATTAAGAGGACTAACAAGGCTATAACTAGAGCAATATCGTGCTGCATATGGAAATTTTCTAAGAAATCACCTTATCAACAGTACCCCATGCCCACCCTGGATTCTGGCCCGAATGAGAAGTAGTTGCACATGGTTTTCGTCGACTTCTTCCCCCCTCCGTCCACATCCACGATGCGGTGCTGCGCGCAAAGGCCGTCGTTGATGCCCTTCTGGTTGTAGCCCGTGACGTATTTGAAATTCCCGCCCTCGTGCGTCTCGATTTCCAATCCCCAGATGTCGTGCGGTGCGGTCTTCGCGGTCAACCACATAGAGACATCCTTTTTCAGCACTTTGAAGGTCGAACCCCCAATCACGTCGCTGGGACTTCCCTTACCCCAGTTGTAGCTTCGACTGAAGTCGTTGCCCGTGCCAAAGGCTTTCACACCCAGAAGGACTTGCTCGGAGGGAATCTGGGGGTGATTGCGAAGAACCAACAAAAATAGTTAGATAAGGGCAGCACTTCGCAATCGATGAAACAAGAACAGCTGGTAACCACGAAAAACATCAAGTTAAGAACATCGTTCTAATACCCCATGCGCATCCATCTCTTCCACGGCCCACGTGATGGTTCCGTCCCCTCCCGCGACGATTATCCTTGTGGGTAAATCAAGACTGCTGGCCTCGACCACGCGCTTCAGGTGTTGGAACCCGGGCTTGTTGCTCGGCTTTCCTTCCTTGATGTTGAAAATCAGCAGCGTCACCGTTTTCGCGTTGTTTACCTGTACGTCCAAGTCCAGTTTCCGCACTCCGGTTTCCCCGATGGGCTCCCCCACCTTGACGTAGTCCGCTCCCTTCTTGTTCCCCGACGAAGGGTTGACCGCGATGAAGATCAAGGGGTGGTCTTCTGACTGGACATCTGCTGATGATCCAGCCCCAGCCCCTCCACCAGCTGTGCTGTCAGCCGGAGTTGGTTCTGCCGCCGCTGCAGCCTTTGGGCTCTCCTCGGTCAATTCGATGTCCTCGAGCGCCGCCGCCGCACCGGCCGGCGCATCCGGCGACGCCGGCTTGTCGGCCACTTCGGGGGACTGCATGGCGGTCACGGCTTCCTTGGCACTGTCGTCATTGGCAGTCACGGCCCCGCCGACGGAGTCGATTGGCGACGAAGCCATCGCTCCGCCACAGTGATTGCAAAAGAAACGAAACTAAGAGGACTCCGACCTGTCATGATCAAGGTCCCGTGCGCCATGCATGCGAGCAACACGCCCCCGGGGCAAAAGGACACAGTCAGGTTGCATGTGCGCCTTGCAAATTGAAATTTTCGCTCAAGAGTCGGACAATCCCGACAACCTCAACCTTTAAGCAGGACCCTCGTTCTCTGTACACACACACTCTACATCTCCCGCCCCTTAGCTCTCACATGCACTGCCAATGCAGTCAGGGTACTTGTACACGAAGTACTATCTCACGAATAGGAGGTATGAACAACGGACGAGATAGTAGAGGAACGGAGCTCTACTTCGTATTCCCGTTTTAGACTAGACAAAATCTGCAAAGTAGATGCGCGCTCACTGACAGACTTGGCAGCTTGCATTTGTATTGTTAAGTGACACCGGCGTCATTGCAATTGAAAGGCGCGAAGATGTTACATCGTCCAGTTTAATTTTCTGCGAACATTAATATCCTGCGCCTGCCATTGCACTTTCATGTGCAGCCACCTCTGGAGCGGCGGCCAGTTGTGCGCCCCGCAAGAGTGGCGCCTCCCTGGGCCGCGCTGTGATCAATGGACGATTCCGACTTCGCACAAGGGCAGGAATGGTTTCCGGCGATGTCGCGGCCGCCGTGTAGCCCAGAATGCGCTGCCGCAAATGGAAGAGTGCCGCTTTTTTGCACGAGCCCTGGTAGTGGTTTTTGTGGAAGGCGAAGGTCTTGATGTGGCGGCTTTTCCGTTCACAGGTCTTCTGGTACATCGTGAACAGCTGCTGCCAGAGCCTACTGGTTTTGAACAGGTGCCGTTCTTTCTCGAGCGCGTCCCCTTGAAGCTGCAGTTTCGCACACTGCTCCTCTAGCACGCGATGGGCGGCCCTCACGTCGTAGCGCAGAGCCAGTGGCACACTCAGCGAGGAGCTCGCGGGCTTGGAGTCGGCCCCGGCGTTACCGCCGGGAAGATAGCGCCCCCGCTTGTTCCAATTCATGGAAAGAGGCATAAAGGCAGCCAGTGGCGAGGAGATCGGAGGATGCTCCACCTGCTGCTCCGTGTCTTCTTGATTCGAAGACGTCGGTTGCGCGCCAGTCAGTCTCGACCGGTGGGTCTTAAGACCGGAAGCCGCAATTGCCTGGGAATATTATGATTCGTCAATCTCAGTCTGAGTCACGCACACACCCTCACTACCCACACGTAGATGCTAAGCCACAAGCAGAACTACCGAATGAATAGTCCGTGCACCAGCTCCTGAATCAATGTACCTGCCGTCCACGGTTCTCTATTGCAGCTCCGCTATCAGTGGCCCCCGCTGTTTCGCCCAAGAGATACGTCTTGGCAAAACCTGACTGCTCGAAGATTCGCTGCAGGCCGTGGTAGGATAGTATGCACAGGTAGAACAGTGTATTTCCTGCGCTGAAGTACGGAGAGAGAAAAGCAACGTACACGCCGCAAACGGTGACCCCGAACGGGCGGAGGAGAGGAAGGAAAGACTGAAGGTCCACTGGCTGGCCGAGAACTGTTACCGGGCCTTGGCGAGCTGTGGTGTTGTCTTTGACGCGATTGCTTTGTCAAGTGAGTAGTCACTCATGCAGTTTAGCATTTACAATTACACCTCGACGTCGTCGTTGAGGTTAGCAAGCGCAAACTCAAAGTCATCATACATTTACCTTTCTGCTCCAGCAGGGGGTAGTACACGCAGCGCAACATGGACAATGCCAGGGCAGCGATTAGACTCGGCAGCACAACTCCATCCGGTAAGGCGAGGCTCTCTTGGAACCAGAAGGCTTGCTCCGTTGCGAAACTCGGGTGGTTCCAAGGCTCGTACGCCATGCGGCGGAGCGCGGCCATGGCACTGACGTAGGAGCCCATCCAGGTGACGCCGAACATGCCGTACTTGATCTTCGCCCGCTTCACCTCCCGGGTCAATCGCTGCGCTTCGGAAATCAGCCTCGCGGCGCCCTCACTGTCCCCGGCGTTGGCCTTCCGTGACGCTTTTCGCTGCAAGTCTCCGGCGCCCTCGACCTGCTTCTGCACCTTCGTCATGTTGCCCCTTGCGCGGAGCTGCAGGGCGAGAACGGAGATTCTCAAAAGAAAACTGCCGGCCACAATCGTCGCCGGCCAGGAGAGACCAAGGGAGTCGTGGAGGGTGTAGAACCCGTCCGTCACTAGTTGGGTGACAACCCAGGGGTCGCCAAGGGTGCTGCTGGTGGGGTCAGTATTGTTCCACGTTAGCATCACCTTTTCCATCAGATTCTCGTCAATGGACGAATGGGGCGACAGATCGGCAAGGGATGACATGGAGCTGGAGCTGTTACCGTTTGCGGCGACAATTGAGTCGTCGAAGACCGGCTTATCAGGTGGCATTGCAGCTGGAGCTGGATCTGGCAATACTTTTGCTCCGAGGCAACCTTCCGTGGTCGGCGTGGTTCCACCTCCAACCTCAGCATGTCCGTGGTATGTTCTTGCACCACCTGACGCACCAGCGGAAGTGGTGTCGAGATGAGAATATGCAAACGCTACCTCCTCCTGCTCTAAATCGAACCTGCGTCGCCAACACACGTGGGAATCGCGGGCAGACACGTAGCTTGGGTTGTTGCAGCTTGCAGACGCCCCCGCCCAGAAGCATCTGACGCTCTTTGCATGCTGGGGATCTTGTAGCGCGCTTGTGCATCCTCGGGCCCTCGCGTAGGCACCAGCCGAAGACGAGGAAGATGAGCTACAGGAACGAGAGGAACCTGTGCGAACGAGCAGCATGAGCGTCGAAAAATTTTAATGTGAGTATTCAATTAAAAAAAAAAACTTCAAGAGGACGAAATGGCCCCTGTTTACCCTGGCTCACAACAGTAGTAAAATACTTGAACTCTGTTTTCACTAACACTGTGACGCTTTTAATCTGAATGTTGAGCAAAGAAGACGAAGAGAAATAGAACCGAAATGGAAGATGACTAGATCATGCCCTGTTTCTGCTGCCACGACCGAATCAAGGATACCTAGAACTGAGGCAGGAAGAAAAGCCTGCTCGAGCGACCTTCACGAAAGCAAAACGTCGAATCAAGAGGACGAGATCGCATTCATTGTACAAGGGAAAATTTGCTTTTAGCAGCTGTCGGGCAAGCTAAAACGACACGAGGTTAGCACGTGCAGCAGAGACAGAGAGAAAGAGACAGATATGGTTTTCGCCTCGGAAATCAGCACAGGCACAGGTCAGCGCCCGAACAAGCACTGAAAAGATACAAAACGCAATATTTTGACCGCAGCCGGTCCCATTCACGTTTTCACTTTGATTTTGGACACAACAAGCTCGTCGCACAGGCAAAGTTCATTTGAATCGCACGACGGCCGTACAAGCACCAAAACAAGAAACAAGAAATCGATACATTTTTGACATTCTCTGCAAGTAGCTCTTTCTTCATTTGCTCGCTTTGAAATCTTGCACGTACATTTGTCTCTGGTTGGGATTGTAGTCTTTCGGCAGGTCTTTGGGTGGCTGGTACTGACCGGTGAGACTGATGTCCCCGATTTTGTAGAACGCATCCACCTCCTGGGCGTCGCGCAACCGCTTCCAGTGCTCTTCCTCCATGTCGCGGGAGAGTTCGGACGCGTGCAGGTTGCGCGAGAACCGGCCCAAGTTGTGCTGCAAGTCCCGTTGGTTCTTCACCACGCCCGTCACAGCGGTGGTGAATGGCTTGATTTTTTCGTAAAAATTCTCAAACGAATCCCTTATCTTCCCGCTCTCTTCCCAGCTTCTTTTGGCGACAAATCGCTCCGGCTCCCCCGCGTCTTGGGCCTTGGATCGTAAATTGCCGAGCTGCTGACTCGCCAGCAACGCCTGGTCGCGGGCGTGCAACAGCTTCCACGTGTTTTCCAATTCTCGCACCGCTTCAAGGTAGGAAGTTTTCTGTGTGGGAACGGAAATTGAAACAATTGCAGTCACAGTTACAAAAGCATTCTGAGGGATAAAAGTAGAAGTACAAAGATGTACTTGGCTGCCAACCCGCCCTGCTTGTTTGAAGAGTGAAAGCATTTCCAGAATCGACATCAGTATCCCTGTTGACTTAAATTTACCTTTGAAGCGTCCGTCTCTGCTTCTGCCCTTGCCCGTCCACCTTCCAACTTTGTTGAGCCGACCTGCAAACAGTTCAACATCGCTTCCCGGTCGTCGTCCTGGTGCTTCTTCATCTGCTCTCGCTGTTCCGAGGTAATCTGCTCGCGAGCCTGGTCATATAACTTTCGTTCATTCTGCGTCGCCTCCCGCAGAGGAGTACTACTTGCACTGCCGTCAACGTCCAGCCCCACACTGTCGATGGCTTTACTGCTGTCGATGGCTTTGATGCGGAAGGATTTCGGGTCCACGGTCAACATACTGGCGGTGTCGGCGTTGATCTGCTTCGCGCGATCCAGAATCGTGTTTTCAAGCTCGAGCCGCTTCGCCGCGCGCTCCGTGTCTTGATCCTCGCTCAGCGGCTGCGGGCTGAGGGCGGCGAGTTGGGTGCGCTGCTTCTTCAGGGTATTGTCCGCGAGCGTGCGGCAGGCGAGCAACTGGTGCCGGATGTCCCGCGTGAAAGCTTGGACTTCCTTGTTTTCGCTAGCGGACCCGGTAGAAGACCCTTGTTCCTTCTTCCCTTCTTCGTCTCCACGCTGCGTTTGTTCGATAAAAGAAGACCCAGATGCTGATGTTGGGTTCGGGTGTTGTCCTCCTGCGGACGAGAGGTGCCTTGCAACTTGTTGAGAAGATCGCTGGGTGAAAACATCATTGTCGTGGCCCCCGTCGCTTCGAGCCGCGGAATACGAATTGTGCAGGTCTGGTACTTGTTCCTGATGCGCCGGTCGTCGTGGGCTGCGATCGCCAGCTTCTTCAGCTTGTCCATCAGTGTAAGAACCATCACCGTCGACGAGAATTTCTTCCTCGCCCACACGCGGGCGATCCCTCGTCGTAGAAGAAGTCCGCCGCGGCACAATGACTCTTCTGATGACAGCGAGGCTTTTATGCGGCTGACTGCGCCGCACGATGTAGCGTGGACGCGGCGTGCGGGAGGCTGTGTAAGAAGGAGCGCCGACATCTTCCATCTCGTCGAGGTAAACTTCCTGGTCGTTGTAGGACGGAGCAGCTTCATATTCTTGTTGTACAACAACTTCAGAAGCAGCCACGGGGCTGGGTTCGTCGAGAACTTCTTCCTCAACCACATCATAAGGACGATCTGCTTCGTCGACCACCTCGGTAGTAGTTCTTGGCCCGTAAAACCAATTCCACCACGAAGCAGGAGCAACCCCCTGGGTGGTGGCAGGTGCTGCCACTGCGGAAGTAGGGGATCTTGGTCGCATTAAGCGCCTCACCAAATGGTGCCGGGTTTTACTCCTCTTCGACGGAGGTCGCGACAGCGCAATTTCATCGATATTTTGTCCTGGCGCTCCTCCACCTGCTCTGACCTGTATAACAGAATCGTCCAGCTGGTCGTGCCGTGGCGGCATTGGGGTTGGGTGCTCCAGAAATAGCATCGGCTCGATTTCTTCCTGGTCTGCGATGGCCGAAGTCGTGTCTTCCTCCTGATCACCTACATTCTCCGTTTCGTATTGCTGTTTCTTGGAACTTGTTACTCCGTTTCTCTCTCTGCGCAGGTACCGTCCCGTGTACGCTTGCACGTGGTCGACAGGTAGAATCGCGGTTGATTTCAGAAGCAGCAGCAAGCGGAGCGACTTGGAGATCGTTCTGGACACTCTCAGAGCGACACGGCTGCTCCGTGCAGGTCTGCCGAACTGAAAAATGCACGACATCTTCCTGTTTGTTCAATTCTCTGTTTCTAGGCATACATTGTTGAAATCCATATCCATATCCATCTTTTTCTTTCTGCTAGCGGATGCAGTAGCTCCTACGTTTTTATTTCAATTTACCAAAGTCGAAGTCCGGGTCCGAACGGCAACAACACCACCACCACGAGTAGTGAGGAGGCAGTTTAGTGCGACTGCGACGTCTCTCTCTCCCTCTCCAAGAACGTAGAAATTTCAGGTTGCGCTAACGATTACATCACGAATCGACTGACGAGAGGTGATTCTTCAAACCACCAAGACTCTCCATTCAGAGCGAGCCGCTAAGGCCAACAAAATAATTGTCAGCAACGAAGTGCTGGTCTGCTTCTCTGCAATAGGCAGGTCGAACAACCAAGGATGAACATCTGACATACACTCGACGTCACGAGATGTAGTTGCAGCTCGTAAAATAAAGGCGTTTTCGACGAGAAAAAAACGCGGATATCTGACAACGAAATGGAAATTTTGGAATCCACAAAGTAAACGCTAAGAACTGTTGATTACCATACAGTGGTTTGTTCAAATTCATCAGTTTCTTTTTTGGGCTTCATTTTCTGAACAGATACAATCCTAAAAGCACCTCATACGTAGCAATCTAATCGATGTGGTGTTATAGCTGTAGAAATATGCGACTTGAATATATCTAAAGATCTTCAAAAGCTTGTTTTGTCTGCCGGAAATATATTTTTTCAATCAGAACAGTGTACTCTTCAACACACGCACGTTAGGTGAGAAAAGATGTAAATAAATTTGCTAGTATAATATCAGAACCAGATGTTAGTGCAGCTCATCGTCGTCCGCTTTTTCGTGTTTTGTCGTATGAGACCGCCGGCGACAGATCGACTCGCTCAGTCGTGCGAACGAAAAGACAAACAATTTGTAAGCAACAGGCAAAGAACGAGAAGAACCGAACGGAAATAATACTAATAATGAATTCAGCGACGCGCTAAAAACAAAAACACTAATTCAAACTTGGCGAACGAAACAAAAAACTTGGTGCATAAATCGAGGTGTCGATGGCGACTTCGGTGTATTCTCGTTGCAATCTCTAGGCCTAGGGGGGGAAGTTGTGTTGAAATACGATAATAAACTTACAAGGTAGAAGTCGAATGAAGCAACGACAAGGGCATGGAGAAACAAAGGCTACACTCGATGTTGGGGCGTCAAAAAGAATTGGAGCTTCTCATTCGTTCTGCGGCTGGCTATGCGACATCTCCCTGGATGACAGACACGGGTGCCGATTGAGATTCCAAGTTGTAGAACTTCTGTGCGGGAGAGGGAGTCTGTTTGCGAAATATTTTTCACTTTGTTGCGCCTGCTCTTCTTTCTTCCGAATAAAGTAAAGTTCAATACGTACTATTTCCAGTGTCAAAAATGTGAAGTTCCTTAATTCACAACGCGGCCGGAGCCACGTGGTGCGTCAATAATTTCGGTAATCAGAGGCATTTTCTTCTCTTCGATTCGTTTTTATATTCTGGATTCTTTATCAACAACATGGGTTCCATTTTCAAAAAGGACTCATCTATCATCAGGGCGAAACTCGTATGTGAAGATTATTTTCAAGAATCCAAGTCCAGCGGTAAATACTAAACTTGGGAGGTCTTCATATTAAATTACCCTAACAATAGTACACCAAAAACAGTGACGGGCACTGTCTCTTACTAGCTTTTGATAATCCGACACCCGCGTATGACCTCCATGGCGGACTCATTTTTCTACCTACGTAGGCAACGGAGAAAGCGCACTTCATCTTTTTTTTGTGCGACGAAGTGCTGCTGCAGCACTACAATAGCCTTTCCAGCCATATGCTTGCAACTAGAAAATTACAGCATAGAGGACCAAATACAGGATATTTTTACAAAAGCGTGCGATAGCATTTGAACCTACAAGTGTAAAAATCGAGACTTTTTGTTTTAGAAACTCCAGGGGATTTTTCAAACAGCAAATGTTTCGTAGCCGGTCAAAATGATGGCATCGTCAGCATGTGCATACCGGATATTCGTAGTACGTAACAAACTCAGGCTCAATCATTTCTACAGGCAGAAACTGAGACATATGCAGCTAAACAACCACTTATTAGATAAGGTATAGGTGTTTTTGTTTCGTCTGTCATCATGATGAAAAAAACGAGAAAATATCTCTATGTTAACAACGAGCGGGTAAGATAAAACAGCTTCCTAATATATTCCAGATGGATTATTTTATCTAGCAGGGTCGTCTCCTTGACCATACTAGCAGCTTTCTTGCGTCGATCGCCCGATTTTTACTAAACTCACGTCGGGCTGCTTCCTATCAGATGGAGTGTCGATGATCCGCTACTTGGCATCAACTGTTTGTTCCGACCTCGCTACTACGACCAGCAAAGTGGCAATCTCAGCGCTCAGGCCCTTCTGATTAATATACCCAAAGACATTTCATTTGTAGAATTCCTTTGCTTTTGATATTGTCGATGATGTTCCAAGTCGTAAATTTGTCCCAATCCATCCATCGTTCGTGAGGGATCGCAGTCGACATTTGACTTTCCTCCAATAGAAACAATGAAAAACGCCTACGAAATACATTTATGAAAAAAATATCTCTGTGTGCTTTTTTCTTTATCTCAGAAACAGACTGGAAGTAGAGAGTAGACGAGCCGAAGCCTTCCAAATCCATCGGTGTGTTTTGGTTTTCGTCTGCGACTGCGAAACGGATTTCAATGAAGAAACGGTAAAGTGGGTGAAAAAGATCTGACAAAAGCCGAAAATTAGGTCCGTTCAAAATACCTCAAAAAAAGTCCTCGTCGTGTAGCGCACTAACTACTACATCCTGTCATCGATACTAGTTCGCAGGTCTTTCGAATGCCATAAGCTGTTCACACTAGCTTTTTACTGTAATGCCATGCGATGCTACGTCTTATTTTTATATCACTGTCTACAAGCAATTACAGTTTATTGTTATATCAGGTCGAAAGCGGCCATCGCAAAAAATAAAAATCTGTTATCGCAGGCTTGCGGCGTTCTCGCCATAGATATAGGTTCCATCATCTCGTCCGATCCCGGAAAATCAGTACAATACTTTTTTTTTATTTTTTACATTGTCATTCGTAAAAAAAATCTTCACAAAAATATTTTTATTCAAGTATATCGCCAGCATCGCATTTTCTGAAACGTAGGTGGCAATATTTATTTCTATTGGGAATCTCTAAATGGATGCAAGTGAAAAATCCGTTAGAATTCACCGTCTGAGTTGTACTTTTCACCTTTGCGTCATCGTATCCTCCCTACAAATTGGTGCTCGGTGCTGCGCAATATTCTGCCTGATACGAATTCGCCCGGTGCGAAACTTGGAACGACCAGGAGAAGGACGGTTCCTAATATGTCAGTATTCGTCCCCTCGCTGATTATTCCATTCTTCACTCCGATTTTTATCGCCGGACTTCTAGTACCGTTGCGCAACAACTACAGGGGGCAATGTTAACGATGTCCCAAAGATTTCCGTTGAAGTAAACTTTCGCCGTGTTTATTCTACCAAACATCACTAGAACCTGTCAGACAAAATCGTGGCAGTTGCACAAGCACGACTACATGCGAATCTTGACACTAGCTATCTCGCGACAGCGTAGCAGGAAAGAACAGGACGAGCTGCTCTCTTCTGCAGGCTAGCGTCGTGCTTGGTACTGTGAGCAGCAGATCAATGTAACAATAGGCGCAACAGGCGTCGTGTATCGATGGATTACATCCGTATGGTATCGCTCAATCATCTACGAGAAATTATCTGAAGAGGTCATTTGAAATGTAGGGACAATTGCATATAGAAGTCAGTAAAACTAGGTTTCATCATCAAATAGGTCGACTTTCTTACAGAAATTTTCTTCCATTGAATCGCTGTACAAATACCTCACGAAAGAGTGAGAAACTGTTTCTGGTACATTTGAATTAGCTGTCGTTTTAGACAGTACTATTTTTTGTTTCGGGGAGAGCGACTTCGAAATCAAATTCTACAAGTATAAAAAACTCAAACTTTCTTTCTCAACCTCACGTCCTGGAGACTTTTTTCATCAGAAAGTTGCAGATACCACAACCACGGCCATGCTGTGACTGCGCTTGCTGCTTCTGCTTCTTGCTGCCTTACAACTTGCTAACTTTCGAAAACGCAGGCTTAGATAGACATCGTATTCCTAAATTCTACCGTCAACTTGCGAACTTCTATCGATGTGGATACTTATATTGCTTGCGACACTGACCTTTTTTCGTCGAGTACTTGCCTATTTTTGTGCGAAGAGCCTTTGTCCGATGCTATACTTACAATGTCAGCTGTCGTCCGTAGCTAGGTGCAAATTTACGAAGGCCAAAGGGAACCTCGAAAAAGGGCAGGACGCTGCGACACGGACACAAGAATTGCTGCGTTGTAAGAATAGACCTTGCAACATTGCGTCATTTTTTCACTGGTTTTGGTGCTCGGGCTGCAAAACTTGCGGCGCGACGAATCTTGCAGTGCGAAGATATTCAAGTGTACAATGAAGTAAAAGCATCTTTCCAACAACGTTTATTCGGTGGAATAGAGATTCAGCGTCAACATCATACAATCGAAACGGAAACCAATGATGCCGCTACGATAATATTTTCAGCGACGTATTTCTTCATTGAAACTGGTTCATTCCGGGCGGCGAGCGCTCCTGTACGAGCACAGCATGGCGGTTGTTTGTGTGATGCATCAGGTGGTGCGCCGCACCAGCACCTCCTCCCGCTGTCCCCGCACCACCGGGCGGCACGGCGTACGCTGGGTAAGATCGGGTCTGTTCGATTCTGCTGTTCCCGTTGGGTGGACTGTGGTGTTGATTTTGGTTTTGATACGCGCTGTTTGTCGGTGGTCTCGGTTCGCGCTGCGACTCAATCCGGCGCTGCTGTGCCTGTTGCATACGCTGTATTGCCAGCTTCGTGTGCGCAGCCCTCGCTGCGTCGACCAAAGTCGGTCCGCCAGTCACCACGTCGCTCGGGGCAGCGAGAAATTCGCGCGCCGCAGCGTTGCTCAACAAAGCTGTTTGCTCCTGACTCTGGGGATTGCTCGGATTGCCGCCTATTCGTGAGGACTGTGGTCCGCCGTTCAACTGGGCCGGCCCACGCCCGAGGCCTCCCGCTCCTGAAGAGCTGGCGCCCCGGTTCTCGCTACTGTCGCTTGTTTGTTGGCCGCCTGCAAGAATTGCGTTTAATTTGGAAGAGTCTTCAGGATCTCAGCGTCAAGCGGAGCGACAGTGAGGGATTCAGTTTCAGGTACAGTAAGTACCACAAGCATATATATAATGTTGATCGTAAAGAGCATGAAGTCAAAACGCACGACTTTCTTCACGCTAAATCCACATATTTTATAACATACTCCTACCACTGCTAGTGCTTGATGGCTCTTGTAATTCCACTGGTGCCGCTTTCTGCACCACAGGAACGTTCGGAACCGCAGTTCGCGGGGCCGGCCTCGCCTCGCCTGGCGATCGTCTCCCAGGAGCCCAGGTGCTCGCGGTTTGCAATGATCCGTTTGCAGCACCCGTGGTGGCTGGCACGCTCGGGTTGTGGAGCGGTGGCAGTGGGAGCTGTTAGTTTGTGCTCGAAAATTCTTGTATTTACGGCTTCTACTTGGTATAGGAAGAAGGAGATTACATGATCAAAAAGCTCCGCAACGCGGCCATCGCAGCAACGATCATTCAGTCGCTCGGAATATGCTTAGATAAGTACACGTGGTTCATGACTGCGTTGTCAATCCATGGCAGGCTAGCCGCACGAGATGTTGTTTGACAATCACAATAGCGGAAGCGTGCGTGTGTTGAGATAACAAGATAGAAAAAAGTGACACCGTCAGTTGTCCGGGATTGGCATTTCCATTGTTCGACGAAGTTGATCCATGATTCGGTTGCGCCACACTACTTCCGGCTGTATTTGGCGGACGATTGTAGTACAAGGGCATCGGGAATCCGCGCTGGTCGTCTGGCAAGTTGAATCCCACGGGCATGCGCGGTCGCGCACGCTGTGCCATCACTGACGGGGGAATCGCTCGAGCAGCCGGGGGTCCGCCCTGGTATTTTTTCGCAAGACGAGCATAACAGAAAGAGTCAATACGCTTGCCATACTACCGAGACTGAATCACCACGACACCATGGCGCGGACAATGCGAAAGTAGAAGAAAAAGTTGCATCACTAGCCTTTCTCTACGAGTCAGCGATGAAAGACCAACAAGTGATGAAAAAAATCGAAGAGTGTTGATTTACAATCGTTGGCGGCGGCGGTCCCGGTGGTCCCGGCGCACCAACCCCCGGAACGCCAGACGGTGGATACGCCCCCACACCCGGAGCCCCAGTGCCATTCAGATTGTTGTTGACCAGTGGTCCACCCACAGCTCCTGCATTCAAAATTTGTGCCGTGGCCGCTTTGCGTTCATGCTGCTGCCGGTGTTGCATGAGCAAACGCTGATGGACCGCGTCCGGCGGGAGCTGGTGACTTCCCGGCTGCACGCCATTCGTGCGCGGTGGCCCTCCGGGGAGATTTCCGCCCATGGGCGCACCCCCGTGCGGACCGCCTGATTGTGCTTGAGCGCCAACTACGAAACCACCGGGATTTGGATTTCCAGCCGCAGGACCGCCCGCACCCGGCATCATCATTCCGTTCGGACCCATCACAGCTCTACTTCCCGCTTGCATCACACCATTCGTGTACTGCGCTGCGTGATGCGCATAGGTCGGCCCGGGAGGCGCGGGTGCTGCGCGGGTCAGCGGCATCTGCGTTTGCGGTACCTGGTATGGTTGCATCGGGTTTCCCGGTCCGCGCCCGGGTACGACGTTGCCGCCGAGCAAGTTGATGTTGTGCGGACCGCCGACGCCGGGATGCTGCCCGATAAGCCTCTGGTGCGCGCGGTGCAGCTCCACGGCTCTCTTGATGGACTCCGGAGCCTGCGGGAGCTTCCCTGGTTCGGCGATGAGAAGACCTTCCTTGCCGTCACTCTCCAGGTACGCCTTCACGTCATAGTGGTGGTACCTGATAAAAAGCATAACTTTTTCTCCATTCAATGAATATGGAACAGCTCCTAGATGGGCATGTAAAATGGCACAAAACGTAAATGCTTCGAAATTGAAATTGCATTTTTTTGATCCACTTCCCTTCTTCAGACATCGGTGTTTCTCTTGCTTTCCTGTGACACAGATCAGCTGACACGCATAAATTTGGGTCTCACAGTCCTCAGCGTCGTCCTCTGTTTCGAGGACAACTCCTGGACTGGATACTTTTCTGAGGCCAGTTTCATCATGATTGTGTCGCAGAAGTAGTCGACATGTGCGCACTCAAATTCGTGTGAAGGTAGAAATACGCGGGAGCCAGCAACTTAAGATTTGTATTTGTTGTTGAATCAATAATCAAATGAAAATTGTGTAGGATCATCGGAGTACGGAGTTTGCGCCACGGCATCTTCCAATGCCCATCGCGAGCTGTAGTGAATTTGCAATTGGCAATCAGCGAGGTAGCTCTCGTTCCGGGTGTGCGCGCGGCGGCGCGTTTTGGGGCAGTCAAACTCGAGAAAGGCGATGCTGTTGTATCTCCCGCCTTTGTTTGCGTTCCTGTTGTTCGTCCCTGTTGGCATGTGCACCCGTGCGACTCCGGTAGAAGCGAGTTCGCGGATAAACAGACTCGGGGAAATTGAGGAGGAAATGCGACACTTCAGCAAGTACAGCATCGGCAGGGTGCCATCGGGCGGAACAACCTGATCCCAGCTCCCCGCTTGGGAAAGTTGCCGCATCGTCTGCTCCATTTCGCAGATCATACCTGGCGTTACGTGTGTACAATTACCAGCAATACAACAACATCTAAATATTCGTTGTCCCACACGCAATCGAAACAATGACAAAATTCGTATTCGAGCCCAAAGAAAATCCAAATTTTTGCTTGCTCGATTGAAACAACCAGCCCAACAAGTGAACCTCTTGAAAAACAGTACGTTCTTTGCCGGTGACCGTCATTTTTCCCGCGAGATTGTGGCGCAGGTCGTAGGGGTCTTCGATGTACCACAAGTCTTTCAGCGATTGACTGTCGCGGCCCGGAACGGAGTTCATCGTAATCCGGGCGCTGTCGTTGATCACTTCCCATTTGTCATTTTTTCGCCGGTTCCACTTTAACTGGGACTCGCCCTCAAAACCGTTCTTGGTCATCGGGTCCGCCATGCGAATGCTCACGGCCTCGTTCTGCCAGTCGAAAATCCTGTTTAAGATTTGTTTTTGTTCAGTTTTAAGCATTATATGTACACCACGACTTCATTAGCACCAGCGCAAAAGAAGAGTCTTGTATTGGGATGGAAAACGAAAAATTCAGTGGCCTCGGAGTTATCTTAAGCATGAGTAGATGCGCAAAAATCGAAGAGCAGTAAACGAAACCCGCGACTCCTAATACCTGGTGTAGAAATGGAAAAAGGTGAAGAGTAATTCAGCTGTGGTCATTTTGTTTTTTCCGAGTTCGAACTTGCCGTGGGTAAGTTTCGAGCAGATCTCCGGTGTGATTTCCCGGTCGTAAAAACTCGTGTCCCAATCGTCGTCCCGTCCCCACTTGTTGTCGCGGACAATGTGCTTCTCGATCTTTTCGATGTAGCCACCGCTCGGGGGCTGGTCCCCGGCCCCGGCACCGCGGGCGGCCCCGGAGGCCATGGCCGCGTTGGACGGGGTGCTGTTCAGTTCCTCCAAGTCTTGGCGCCGCGATTCCTCCGCCATTGCCTGGAGGTTGGGTAACACGGGTTCTTCCAAGCCCACTTGGAGAAAGTAGATGACTAACAAAATGTAAGCGTAGCTGTTCAGAAAACCGTCCGCGGTGCCAACCAGGTCCTTGTGCTTCACCCAGGCCTTCACCAGCCGCCCTACATCCTGGACCCGCTTGTCGAGCGAACAATAGGTCTGGAGCAACAGGGAATTCCGTGCGCCCAGCCGGTTGTTGATGCAAAAGTCCACCTCGACGCCCGTTTCCTCGTCGGTGAACTTCAAAATTGGGACCTGTATGTTGTCCGAGTCCGATCAAGTGTAAACAATTTTTTGTTGACGAAGCTCGGATCATCATATGTGGGACCAAAACTGAAGAACAAATCAAAAGAAAATTCGGATTTTTCCGTGAGGAGCTACACCACATGACCACGGCATGCTACAGAAATAACAGGTAGTACTAATGCAGTTCAAAGACGCGCCAGCACATCTGCGCACCAAAAAATAAAAGGAAAAGAAACTAGTACAAAGAAAGACAAATTTTTAGTACGTTGGCCTGAAAAATTTTGGTCAGGTTGGTGAACTGGTAGTTGTGGGCCAGGTTCAAAACACTGGACAACGCGTTTACCGTACCCTTGAGTGTAATCTCCTCCGACAGGTAGACAATGTCCAGGTCGCTTCCGCCAGACTTAAAGCCATTTGAAAAAGAGCCGAAAACGTGCATCGCACCTCTTGCGAGACCTGCGTTGTTTTGAAAATTTGCATCATGCAGCTTCTACGCCGGGATCATCTACGCCCTCGTTGCCGAGGTCGAAGACCGTCGTGAACGAATCGCTCCACGGCCAATATCACAAAAATGGCTGGAGAAAAGGCAACAACTGCCCACGGAACCATAAATGGTTTTCCAAAATAAATCGTTCTCCACAATATCAATAGGTACCTGATTTGTTTCTGGCCGCGTCTATCAGTGCGTGCAGGCGGTGCAGCACTTTTTCCGCTTTTTCTTCCTGTGCCTTCATTTGATCACCGTCGACGCCCTCTTTCCCGATGTGCTGTGCGAGGGACCGGTCAATCTGTTCCAAGAAGCTAGCGTAGTCGGAGTTCGGATTTGGTTCCCCCGCGACGGGTAAAACCGCGGTGTTGGCTGCGACCACCATCTGATTGTGGTTCGCCATAATAAAACTTCCACTTCGCAGTTGCAGTGATGGTCGTGCCACGCCGAAGTAGAAATTCTTGCTTGTCTAAAGCAAGATAGAAGTGCTTTCACTTCCAACTTCTGGGTTGGTTTTGATGTATGTTGTCGTTCGTCGATCTCGATGTGCTTGTCGTCCAACCTCCGAAGTTGCTTAGAAGTACTTTGTTCTTGATACTGAATCTTCTTCTTTCTCTTTCCTGTTCGCGTGATGTGTTGTTCACGTTCTTTCGTCCTTCACACTTGCTTTATTCGTCGTATTGCGCGCCTTCTGCCCCCGTAGGTCGTTCCCCTTGTTGGGTGAGGAGACCTAGTTTCACCTCAGTCGAAGCAGTGCCAGTTCTTGCGAGCAGGATGTTGAAACAAAGCTCTTGTCGGTGTCCACACTATCAATGACAATCGGCCGCATGGTTGTTGCGCGGCAAGTAGTTTCCGTGTTCCTCGTCACAAGGAATTGGTTTTTTCTCCTCCAGTTGGGTGAGGTAGAAGTTGTGTTGAGCACTCCTTGAACGAGATCTTCTTTTTTCTGGCTTTTGTCAAAAATACTTTTTCTTCCACTCTGATGTTTCAGTTTCAGGTTCTCTTCGATACCGATAGACAGAAAATCTTCTGGTCCTATGAAAAATTTTTGATTGTTGCGGAACAAAAGGGGTCTAATGTCATCGAGGAGATTCTGGCGAAACTATCTAACAATGCGGTGAGTAACGTAGGAAAAAATGTTAGACCACTGACATACACATAACATCACATATCTGCGGGAGGAAAAATGGAACTAAAAACGTGATGAAGATACTACAGTTACTTACAGGTAGGGATATGATATGCGCTTTCTATCTTTCTTGACTAAAAAAATTTGTAGGGAATCGGTTGATATACTGAGTCTAAGTACACTGTCTACGACTTCTGCACTGGGTCGGGCTATTAACAAACATATCAAATTTCTGGCGCTAAAATTTTCATGCGGACGAGCTTGCGAGTTGCATTCAGTTTCAGATTATCAATGTAGCGGTCACTTAGCACGGTCACTCGAAGGCGTTTTGTGTCCGGTGTGACCTAGAAAACGCGTTATCTTTAACGATGCCTCTGAGAAAAGAAAAGTTTAGAAGTCTTCACATTCTTTCACAAAAATAAACGCACGCTTCTATGTGTCTGAGTCAAGAATGGGTCCTCCGTACAAAATGGGAAAAGGATAAGGATCTACGCCAGCTGCGGAGTCATGCCTCTGATTGCCGTAGTAAGAGTGCCTATCTATGAATATTCATGTCCATGTTCATGTCCGCTTATCATTAAAGATCCAGCTGCAGCTGCTCGTACGCCTACGCATACATACTCGGAACTCTTCTGCTGCGTCGTGAGCTAGTGCTATTACATGCCTTTATGATGTGTGAAAGCAAATCCTTCACACGAGAAAACGAAATTCTTGGACTCGGAAAGAGGGAACACTATGCAGGTGATGGCTCAAGAAAAACCATTCTGCTGCAAAAGAAATTCTCGCGGTCGGGATTTTCTTTCCCATGTATTAAATACTTGATCCATTCGATAAACATAATTTTTTGTTACAAGCAAAGCAAAGCTCCTCCGCTTCCTTTCAACATCGGTGGACAGAAGATGTGCACATGCGAGCATCTGTAGTGAAATAATCGTCGAAGCTGTATTAGACAAGGTCATCTTTTCAATCAAACATATCAAATGTAAAAATGTCTGGGTCTGGAAGAATGCAACTTGTGATGCTGCGACTGCGTCTGCATTATCCAATTCCAAAAATCTGTATTGCATGAACAGCAAAAGAGGTCTGGCTTTGATGGCCACGGCGAGAGGGCATTTCTCATGCGTTATAGGCATCAGAAAGCCCTCACAAGATCTGTGATGCTAGGGCATGCGTCGCAGACATCAGGAGTCATGCAAAATGTGCATGGCAAATCTTGCATCCTTCCAGACCCAGACATTTTTGCATTTGATAAAACAATGAATTCAACAATTGTATAAATAGGGGCATTTTTAGGACGTGTGTCTAGATGTTGAAGTAGTACCATATCACAGCAAGAAAATGCTGTGATACAAGTTCTGGTGTTAGAATTTTCATCAAGCGAATTTTCTGTATATTCTATGTGGACTATGAACAGACAATGAGTAGTTGCAAACAACATTTTTACCGAAACAGTTAAGTACCCATAAGCGCGGTGGTTACGTCTCATCATGCAGTCCTACTTGCAGCCATACCTTTACAAGGAAGAGAAGTAGTGACATCAACCAGACAAATTGATTAGCTGTAAGTGTGAAGTACAAAGACTGAAATGCGGTAAGAGTAGTTGTCTAGCAATAGGTGAAGACCCAGCATCTTCGTCGTCCCAAACTACGGTAATCTCAGCAGTTGTACTTTATTCGTGCTCTACTTAATACGGGAGCGCCTTTTGCTCGATGTATCGTCCCAATGTAGGTTGTCTGTCATGTGCTCTGCAGCTGTTCTTGTAAAGAAAAAGTCGCTCCTCACTTGCTGAGCAGCCCCGGATTGGTCGGGATTTATTCCCTGCATTTCCGTACGTCGTCCCTACTTCTGTCTCTGAAGCTGCTCCCGCCTCCAATTGCAGCAATCAGAGTACTTTATTGGTTACAACTACGTCAACTACCGCAGAAGGTTTTGGGTCAAGAACTAAAACCTCAAAATTAACTTTTTGAATCGGGAAAAAGTGAATATTTTGAAAAATATCCGAAGTCAGGCCCTCTATAAATACTGTACAACTGCAGAAACCCATATTTTTTCGGTCGCAGCAGCTTCAGCGAGCAACTATTATGCGAAGTCTTAGTGTTCTATCTTTGGCACATGCGCGGCCACGCCGCAGGAAGGCCACGCGTGTTCCTTTGAGATGAAGTTTTATTCGCATAAAATCATTGCTCTCCGCTGAAGATGGTACTTCTGTGGGATTGGTTATTTTGATCGTTTCAGAGGTGCCGACAGCACTTCTTTGCGATGACATCTTTGTCTTGTTCAACTCAACTGAACTTCTACATCTTCGTCCGCACAATTCTTCATAAGGAGTATAATTTTGTTCAAATGGCAATAGATAGAATGAAACAGAAACTAGTAGAGAAAAATATTTTCAACTCATTACAGAAAAACTGCATCAACGAGAACCTGATTGTTTAAGCAGTAAATCTGTAGTTTTTAGCTACGTATTAATTATGAAGAGCGACTGGCTGAGTTGTGGTGGTAGAAGAATGTATTAAATTCATTCACTTTTCAGAAATATTAACAGCGAAATAGGACGAGATTCGGTAATATTCTTGAACATAAAGACCTAAGGTGTCATCTAGTAAAGCATTCGCATTCCTCCTTGAATTTGCTTTATCTTTTCTTGTAGTTGCCGATTGCTGTGGTGGTGTCGAGGCTCTGCCTGAAAATCGAAGCTAGTCTTGCAAAAATGTAATCGTTTTTCGCTCGATTTAGGTGTTTGCGCTGGCACTACTTGTTGTACTAAAAATAGTCGCAGACGACTGCAAGATATTCAGTTAGAAACGATAGAATATTATTTTGGAGTGGTCGGTGGTTTGTCGGAACGAATCACATCAATCATCCTCAGGAAAATGAAGCCTGGCATCTTTCGCCGAGTTGTTGTCCCTCTCGCTCCAGTGCGACACAGAGCCCGGCGCTATCGAGATGAAGAGCAAACTCAGGGTTTCGGTGCGCAGCGTTTTGGTTATTTTCCTTTCTCTTTACTAAATTGCTCAATTTTACCCGCTGAGCAGGACTAGTGCCAGACTCCTACCTATCCGCACTGCTTCTAAATTGTTCGCCTACTTGTATGTACTTCTGTAAATTTCATCATGGGTTGTACTTAGCGACCGTGCTGCTCTCGCTGGTGTTGTGCGCAATCAGATGAGACACAACAGATGTTGTTGTGGGTCTCAACTGACTTTTTTTCAACAGCCAGCTAGGATATTTGTATTTCGGGGCAAGAGACGGCGCAGAGCCGGAGCCGAGCGAGAGTAGAAACAAAATATATACGACGGAACTGTAGAACTTTGGATATTCATTTCACAACTTGAAGTATTCTTGCGAGTACATAGTTTTTGACTTGTTCGACTCAAAGCTATTTGGTACAGCTATACTTTCCATCTAGGAGGAGCTGGCAACGAACTAGTTCGCGTCCGCTCGTCTCTAGTCGCTCGGCTTTACTCTAGAGTTCAAAACACAAAAATGTGGAAGTGCAATATCCTACATACTAAATAAAACAAACTTGGCCCGAGAAACTGTGTTCGAATCGTATATACTGTTTTTATCTTCGCTGGAACTGGAAGTGAAAGCCAACCCATAGAAACGTCACCCTGTCTCAGAAACAAAAACGCGGCTGTTGTCGTCAAGAGATGTATGTTGATAACCGCTCGCTTCGCGACAATGAATTTCCAGCAACGCTGTCCCTTTAATTGTCAACTGAATATCGATAGGTTCTGAAGTATGAAAGTAGTTCTCGAGCGGTTCAGTAGTACATTTGGTAAGCAGCCGCCGGAGGCATCGGAGCCGCGACTTGCGGTCGAGCATGCTGCCCATGAAGTGCTGCAGCGCCACCCGCGTTGTTCTGTGTTTTAGTTGTTTTGGAATTGGATGCTTGATGGTCTTCATCTTTCTCTCAACAAGGACAATCCCATGCGTGCACGTGCGTGAACAAAAGTCAAGTTTCAGGGAATTTTACTTTTTGTTTTTGACGCAAACAAATGCTACACGTGAATAAAAGCAAATCATGCAGGCAATCGAATGAAGCTCTTCCTTATTACAACTGGAACTGTACTATACCGGCTGCATTAACGGGGAGCTGTTGGTTGCCTGCCGGAAGAGGCCCGGAGTAGGTGCCGACGACCCTGCGGCGCTGCCAGATCCCGTTCCTGGATCCACCGAGTCAAAAAGCGAGTAGAGAGCTGGCACTGGAGGCGGAAGCGGCGCTCGCTTGATGTTGTCTGCGGGGACCCGGGGAGGCGGTGGCGGTTGAAACTCGTGCTGCTGCTGCTGCTGTCCGCCAGCTGGTCCTGCGGGGACTGTTCCTGAACATGATAGGAATCAGAATCTTCGGACTTGTTGTTCCCACGGAAAGTGCAAAGTACTGTTGTCTTGACTACTCGTGCAGTCGCATTCCTACACGACACGACAACTACACCAGTAGATTCATTGCAGCTAGTAGGACCCACCGCGCGACGAGGACTATTGTTTTCTGGGCGAGCGGCCCGTGCAGCTCTTGTGAGCACCAAAGTCTAGTCTTGTATACGCTAGAACAAGTACTCTGCTAGCTGCAACTGTAACTCCTTATAGATCGATACCGGTATCGATACAGATGTTGACTGCACACCAAATCTTCGCACAGATTTCAAACTGTTGGCAATTCTTTACACTACTACAGGAAACCCGCTAGCGCAGGCCGGCGAGCACTAGATGAAAAAGTTGTGGCAGTTACACCTCCTGTTGTAGTCGTGCCATTTGCACCAGCTCCCTCGCCCACAGCCGCACACGCAACAGCGCCACCACCCACCTTGTTCGCTCCGCCATTGATCAGTGTGGTCGCGGGAGACAGCGGGGGAGCGTTTCCATTACTGGAGGGCGGTAAGACCAAATCTGTCACCGAGAGTCGCGGGCCTCGCGCGGAGGTCGTGGTTGCACTTGCAGAAGTTGTTGTACTCGCTCCATTTCCACCCGGAGCTGCAGCCGCTGGTGGCCCCCCTTGCAGGCGAATCTCTGCCAATTCGGCCTCCAGTGCGCGGTTCTTCTGCAACAGCTCTTGAACCACGGCGTCTTTTTCGATCAACATTTTCTGTAACACCTCCAGGTGCTGCTGCTGCGTGGTGACCGTTTTACTCTGCTGCTGCGCCTGGTGTGCATTCAAATGCAAAGCGGCTGCTACGTTCCCCGCGTTGCCCGCCATGGCCTGCTGTTGCAACTGGTGCCAAAGAGACAGCTGATTCGCCGCTGCGGCGGGAAGGTGATGGTGGTGCGCGTGATGGCCGCCATGCTGGTGGTGTGCGGCTGCGGCGTGGTGCGGATTATGCTGACGGTACCCACCGTGCTGCTGCTGCTGCTGCTGCTGCTGCACCTGGGCAGCCGCCATCAGTGCGGCCATGCGAGCGTGGTGGTGGTGCGCCTGCGCGACGTGCTGCTGCACCATCGCTGCCGGACCGCCGGCGGCAGCGTTGGCGGCCGCCGCGCGCTCAATAAGCATGGCCTGGTGAGCCGCTGCAGCGCCGAACTGATGCTGCAAGTGCAACTGCTGCTGTGCTTGTGCACTGAGGTGTTGAGCATTCTGTTGGTTAAGCTGGTGATGTGCGAGACCTTGCTGGTGGTGGTGATACCCCTGATGTTGGGCAGCCAAGGCAGCTCCACCGCTTGCGGCCCCGTTCGCGGCGGCCGCGGCAGCAGCGCCGGACGCATTATGCGAAGCATGATGATGCTGCTGTCCTGCGGACTCGGTATTGGCCGATATACTAGGCATGTTATGTGCAGTCCCACCTGACGTAGAGGAGTTTGTGTGCACAGAGGTCGTCCTTGTTGCACCAGCTGCGTGCGTTGCTTCGCTAGTAATCGAGGGCGCCGCCTGGTGATGGTCCAAATGCAGCCCGGGGGGTGGGGCGACGGTTTTTTGATTTGGTCCTCCCGCACCAACAGCGGCAATTATGGCCTTGTTCGCCCCGGAAGGCGCGCTGGTGTCGGCATTTTTGGTACTAGCTGCAACTGCTGCACCTCTTTCTACCGCCGGCGAACCTCCGCTCGCGCCGGATAGAGCAGCACTGTTTTCGAAAACGGGTATCAAATGTAAAAATGTCTGGGTCTGGAAACTTGTGATGCTGGCTGGCGTCCCATGATGAGGCCACAAATGCTGGCTCAGCATGACAAGTTTCTGAGCTTCTAGGTGTTGCCTATTCTGCATGACAGACTGCGTTTCTGCATCACAGAAAAGTGGAGCTCTTGGGTGGCGTGCATGACAGATTTCAGAGTTATGCCAGACAAGCATGACAAACATGCATTCTTCCAGAACCAGACATTTTTAAGTACATTTGATAACGGGAGAGCCTGTCGTATCGCTGGTCCAACTCGCCGCAGCATCGGCAGTATATCCTGAGTAAAAACGTACCCACACCAGAGTTGTAATGCAAATCTGCATGCTGAAAATGTTTCTCATGCGGAGCCCCATGAGAAGCATTTTCTAGTCGTGTTTTGCAATTTGTCATGCTCCAATCAGCATGGTATGCTAGATCTGTGATGCTGCTGAGCTAGCTCAAACAGCACTACACTACGAATCCAAATTTGTCATGCAAAACAGCCAAAACTTGTGGATTTGTCTAGCCGATTTCCCATCTTGACTATGGTGTGGGTACCTTTTTACTCAGGATACAGTACTGCCTGTAGTTCCAACGTCGCTGGTAGTGCACGAACTGCTGTGTTGTGCCCCTCCAGTTGTACCAGTGACATCAGAGATGTCTGCCGATGAGGAAGCAGACGTGGAAGCACTTGCAATAGGACCGACTCCTCCTGCGATCTTTTTGTCTCGTAAATTTGTCGGACTGCAGGGGACAAACGCCGCGGCGCCCGGGTTCAAGCCTGTTTGCATCTTCAGATTTTGCGGCACAAACGGCTGCGCGTCGGCCTTCAACTTCTCTTCGGACTTTCCTTTTGGCGTGGCCAAGCCCGGTGCGCCGTTGAACGGCTTAGTGGTGCTGCTTCCCGCGCCGTTCCCGGCAGCCGTCGCGGCACCATCCGCGAACTCGTCAACAAGTGAGGGCAGTGTCGAGCGCTCGCTCTGCGGGGCAGTGGTCCTCGCTCCGCCGTCCTGGCCCCACTGTAGCTGAAGATGGAGGCGCTGGTTCTCTGGATGAACGTTCAGACCCGGAACATCTGCAAAAATTTTGTGTGAACACATGTAGCTAGTTGCTTTCATATTCTTGTTCACCACTCAGTGTCATCGGATAGTAGAGAAAAAAGAACATGAATGGAGAGCATACTAACGTGTTGACAGAGCTTGCTCAAAAACTTTAAATTTTATGATACTCATTGCTCCAGGAACCACGGCCGCAGTTGGCGGAGTGCAGACAAGCTGGCGTCCGGAGGTTTTGGCCGCTTCGATCAGGGGGTTCACGATTTTGGTGTGCTTTAAGGCCTTCTGTGCGAGGTCCCGATAAAAAGCTTCCGTCGTGCGAGACATCTGCAGTTGCCAGTCGCCTGAGAAAAAGTTGGAGTTCGTGGTCATAGAAATAGTAGTTGTAGCTTGAGCTGCTCCATTCTCATTGGCACATTTTATATTTTTTTTTGAGCACTGACTTCCACTTCTAATATGTCGCTGCGATGCGTGGGCGTTACCCTTAGTACCACGACCAGGTCGTGTCGCAAACGAAAAATTAACATTTTTGATCTTTTTACCAATGTGGTTTTCGTTCTCCGCATGGGCGGCCCGACGCGTCGCCTGGCCAACAAAGGACATGATCACGTCGCGGCTCCTGGGACGGTCCGGAGGCTCCAAAACATAGACATTCTGCACGTGGTACCGCAAGAAGCGGCCCATGATCTGCTGCTCTGTCACATTAGCATCGGCCGAAATCCGAAACCGGAGGTAAGTTGTCCTGTTCAGGATGAAGATTTTTTTTCTTCATCACGCGCTCTGGGATGGAGGATTGACTTGTTCGAGTAATATTCATAGAGTTGTAGGTACTAGCTGCATGACATCGCCGAGAAAAATTCACTATTACTTGCAGATGAACATGAAGAAAAAGGTTCAAAAAGAAGTACTTGTAGCTGTCGTCCAGTGGATCCATATTCAACCACGGCAGCGCCTCCAGCGACTTGCTCGGCGGGTGAACTCTTCGGGCCTGCATCAGCGCGACGGTATCGCTCATGCACTGAATAACGTGCTTCTTCGCACGCGCGGTGCATTTCCCGGCCAGGTTGTGGTACAGGTCGAACGGGTCTTGAATCCACCAGTGCTCGTTACACTGGTCCACCTGCAGGAGCTCAGTTGCGTTGCTATTTCCGCTCGGCGGGGGCGGTGGCGTTCCGGACTGGCTAGTGGAGGTGTCCCTGCTTCGAGGCGCGGGCGAACCCGCGCCACTGTCGCCAGACGCGCCTTCGTGATCACTGCTTGGTGGAGACGTGGTCGCGTTGACAACTTTCAGTCCGGGACTCGTCGTTTTACTTGAGCCGTTGGCGTCAACAGCACCATCCTTCGGCGGGGTGTGCAGGTACGAAACCGTCTGAGCCGTGCTTTGGAACGACTTGCGCTCGAAGAGACGGTCTTTCTCCACGTCTTGTGGGCCGGCGTTGATCGCCACCGCTTTGGTCTGAAAAAGTGTTGAGGGTTCATTTTTTCGTCTTTGCACAGGCAATTCATATTTCATCATCACTACACGACTTCCACTTCGTTTCAATCGCCAAATAAAAAACAACTATCTACGGGGTCGGGGAAAAGCAAAAAAAATATAAGTTGTACCTTCCAATCGAAGCTCTTGTAGAAGTTGAAAAACTCCATAGCCAAATTGTAGAGATCGCCATTCGCAGTATCCGCTGTTGGCTTCGCCGGGGAAGACCATTGCGAACCGTCGTGAAAACACGTTTCCCTGCGGTGGATTACGTACTTACTTACATCTTTGCAGATCTTCAAACCAGACTCAATAATCTGAGTCTACTTGTACAACTGCGGCTTCTACGCGATACTAAATCTGTGCGTTGGGCAGGCTCTCATCACGAAGATAGTAGGAGCACACATGATCATAATTACATTACAAGTACCATGCTTCCCCGATGCCGTCCCCGGAGACCCGAACGGACGGATCGTTAAATTGTTTCGCAAGCTCCTGGAGATTCGGCAAAATCTGCTTGCGTTGCAAGAAGTAGAGCACCATCAGGATGTACGCGTAAGAATTTAAATATCCGTCGCATGTACCTAGGAAATAGCGGGTTTTGATGCACTGACAAGGTTTCGCATACCAAAACTACAGGTGGCACCTCAATCCCTCATCGCGGTAGCGGTCCAATCTGGGAAAATAAATACGAAGCGTCTTCTTACCAACAATTTCTTTCCACTTGGCCCAATTTTTGATAATTTTCCCCAGTTGCGCCACTCGCGGGTCCAAGGCAACGTACGCCTTCAGCAGTTCCGTGTTGCGCAGCCCCAGGCGGTTATTGACGCACAAATCGACCTCCAGCCCCGTGGAAGGGTCGGTCAGTTTCAGTACGGGAACCTGGGCGCAGAGAATCCGGGTCACGTTCTGAAAGCCCGCCTCGGTGCAGGCCATGGCCGCCACTTTCAAGATGGTCGACGGGTTCGCGCTGGTACCCTCCGGGGTAAGGAGCCTGAATCATGGGAAGATATCACTTTGAAAAGAGAAAGGAGATGGCCATGCTAACATCCACCATTGCCGGTGTGGGCATCGTCGGAACTTCTTAATCATAAACGCTATCTGCTGAACACAGCATGTCCCTCCTCATGCAGACGAACAGCAAAAGAAAAACAAAAAGCTCTGTTGAGTTAATACGTGACATCCACATCGGAGGTGGCAGTCCCGAAACCGTTGAGGCAGCTCCCAAATGCCCGCACCTCCAGCGCTTTGATAGGATTCCCGCGGGCGTCATGAAACTCGCACCCCACCAATGCATCGCGCACCCGGCTCTCCACGACCGAAACTGAAAAGTGAGGAATTGGCGCGACATTAATGTATGATCTCCGGTTCTCCATCAACTCGAAAGTCCCAACGCACATACACAGCAAGCGAAACTGAAACGCAGTTTCCCAGCGAAAACCAATCAGCAGATAAAAAGTAGAAGACATGGATCTTGAATTTCATCATTCATCGTGCAACTGACGGGAAAAATTCCAACATACCTCCTTGCGCGGCTGTGCTCTGCTCCCAAGTGGGAGGCTTAGGCTTTTGATCCTGTGGATCAACATTGGCGGCCGTAACTGCGTCGGTCATTTTCGCAGATTTATTCTTCGCAACGCACGGGCACGGCTACCAAAGTTTCTGTTGCAGCTGTCGTTAGCGGGGCTGCAGTTCCCGTTCCGCAGTTTTCTTTATTTTCGTTTTTGGTCCTCTTCGTCTTGCTTTTCTGGTTCCGTTGCTGTTCCTCTTGTTCTCATCTGTCTTCATAGAATGGTAAACTTCAGGTGGAGATAATTCCCTCGGTTCAATCTCTGTCCGAGAGGACACACTTTCTGTCCTTGTCTTTACTTCCTGGCTCGGTTCGGTACCTGATGTCGCAGCTCCACAGTGTATTGATTTGTCTGTTGACGTTTATCGAAGTGACGTCCTTCACTTCCGACCTTGTGATGCCCTTGTCTTTTTGCTTCTTCGACGTAGTACTACTTGCTCACGATATGACTTTCCGAGGAGGTAGATTTGTGTTTTATTTCGTTCTTCCAACACCAATGAATTATCTTCTCCTTGCGGCGGTCTTCGACTTTGATGACTTTTCCGGAGTGCGAAAAGATTCTTTCTCCGCTAAGATTCCATCGATTTCGTCCCTAGATCTTACAATCGGCTAACAACCTAGAAGTTGTGGAAAATTTTTACAAGATTTTTTCAATGAATCGGACGCCGTCGCTCTCGCGGAGGAAAATCAGCGGGCAAAAATGATACAAACAGTATTAAAAAACCTTCAAAGGAGGTTGTTGACTGCTTTTACTATGGATTTCAGCAGACGTGACCTTTTTTCGTACTTATGCTTGGCGTTACTTCAACTTGTTTTTTCGTGTGAAACAGGTCTCAACTACAAGAATGAATGCTCGAAAGAAGTTGATTGATAGGATTTAGAAATCCTCAAAATGGCCGGACCGCAAAATCTCGCGCAGGGCAGAGTCTATCGGACAAGCGTTTACATGAAAAATATTTCGTTCGCTAGTAGCTTCTTTCTAAAACTACCTAGAAGACACGTGTGATATAAAGCCCATAAGTAGCCCTATTCATCAAGCTAAGTTTTAGTGCTAGGCTAGTATGTAAGCACTTAGTTACGGAGAGACTTGAAACGCAACAAGTCAGTGGATCTACCTTGTCTTGTCGGACTGGCAAGTGGTTTGCTTTTCGGAAGGTGTCGAACAGCTTTTGCGGTATCACACATCAAAGGAAATCGGATTCACAGTACTATAAGAGGATGCATCTTTTCTTATGTAGTAGTAACAACCTAAACGCAGTTCTTCATCTTCTTGTAACTTGTTCTACCGTTTATATTCTTATCTTATCCGATTCCAACCATGCAGTAGCATTAGAGCTAGAGATGAAGTTGTCATTCTGCCATCGTGGGTGTACAGTGTATGCATAGGTTTATGAGATCATGTCTTCGCCAAGAATGGCAAGTAAGGACGGTACTAGAACACGAAGCCAGCTTGTTGTTAGTCTGATGTTGAATGTTGTCGCTTTTCGATTGTCTCTAGAAATTCATGGAATGCGCAGTGGCAGGTACATCTATTCAATGCGGTCAAATATTATGCGTGGTCACGCACGAGTTCATCATCTTCCAATGAATACAACTGTGTCATCGTCTTTTTCTAATGTCGGGTGACTCGCCTCCTTCTGTCTGCGAATCTTCGGCGTTTGCATCCTCATGGCTAACATTTTCATTCCTACGCGACGCAGCAGCAGCACCAGTTCCGTGTTTATTGTCCTCGACGCTATGTACGAATTGTGACGGGCTAACTTTCCTCCCCGGAGGACTGCGACTACCAGCGGAGCTTTTGCTCGACGCTGCTTGTGACTTACCGTTAGTTGTCCCAGCCTCACTGCTGGCTGCCGCTGTCGATTTGATGTCATCTGGAGCGACTGGCGACTTGGATAGTACGGTCGCGGCGGCAGCAGTAGAGCTGCCAGCTGTGCCTGAGATAGTAGTACCGCGTGCTCCATATTGGTCGTTTTCTTCCTTGCAAACGCGACGAATGGTGTGCAGCAGTTCTCGGAGTAGCACAGCATCCTGCTCAGAATCAATCAGGTGCGAATACATGGCAGCATCCGCATTGTCTGCGGAAAGCGCTGCCGCGTTCCTCCCTGCTAAAAGGCCTGAACTAAAGTTAGCACCCATACCATCGGTCGTCTTTGTTTCTCGCGATGAAGCTGCTGCCCTAATCGCATCGGCGAGGCTCTCGCGCGTGAAAGTAAGAGAGGCATCGTTTCTTGGCGTTCCGGCGGCCGCGAATATAGCATCTGCAAGTGTTTTGGCATCGTCGGCGGATGAATACGGTGCCTCTCCTTGCGCAGTCAAGCCTCTAGTTCTCCTCCGCTGCAGCGTGCCAAGCTCAATACCGGTGGTGTTATCTTCAGTTCTTCTTTTCATCCCACCTCCTACTTCCCCGCCGTCGTTGATTATTGCAAGCGCGTCCGCCCCCGTGGAGCGCAAATTTTTCAGGTGGGTCCTGAAATTCCGGAACATGATGCGCAGCACGGGTAGCACCAGCTGGAAGAAAACTTTGCGGCACAGCCCGAATCGGTACTCGAGGAACAGCAAAAGCATGAAGCTGATGTCGAATCGGCGGACAGCCTGCTTGCCAATCTGCCCGATGACCCGCCCGCCGGCCATGACCACGTGCTGCACGGAGGGCGGCAGCGACCGCCAGGTCGTGTACGCGAGGTAGGATAGTGGCAGAATTCCGTAGTTCAACACCGCAAACGCGATGGCCGCAGACCAAAAGCCGATGCTGAAGAAAAAAATCCAGGCAACGGCAATCGAAAAAGATTTCTGGTACTCGAAGAGAAAGGTCCACAGCCGGTCATAGGCGTAATCCATCTCCGTTTCGTACCTGCTGGACGTCGCTGCAGAAGAGGACCCGCTTGCGGAAGAACTCGCAGATGAAGGCGAAGAGCTCGATGTTGAAACTCTTTGTGGTTGACGCGCAGCTCTGTGATCATGATACGCGGATGAACTACTCGCTGAGCCCAGCGGTTGCTTACCTGGTCGCATGATAGCCGGACGCTTTTGCGGGGCGTCGTAAAACAAATTGGAAAACCACTTCGACGGATTCTCCAGTAGTGATGGCGCGTCAGGCCCTGCTGCGCCGAAGAACGCCTCAGACAAGGTCGGCTCCGGGGGGGAAAGCTCGCAGAACACAAAGGCCTCCCGAATGGTCACCGGGACCGAGTTCGCAACGATCTGCGTTTTCGTCCGCGGGTCGACATCGAGAACATAGTTGTCGCTCGCGCCGGAGAAGAGATCGGACGCTTTCGGACGACAAATTGTCGGTCCGGTCTGCAACAGGTCGCACTTCGGATTTTCGCAGTCCTTCGCCGTGTTCAGTGCCCGGTTGACAGACTGCTCGAGAAACCGGATCAGCTCGCGCAAATTTCCCTTGGAGACCGCGTTTTCGAAGTGCACGTTACGAACCGGATCGGCAAACAGCTCCACGACTTCCTCCGTCCACACGATGTTGGGACGGCCCCACCCCGCGGATCTTTTGTAGGATTTCCGCAACTTTTGCAGCTCCAGTAAGATCACCTGTCGCACCTCGTTGTGCAGAAAGGGCGTAAACGGCACGATCGCGGCGATCCGGTTGCGCACCTCGGGACGAGCGAACATCTTGCTTTGCGCCAGCGCCGGGTCGATCTTCTCCAATATTTTTGCGTATTTCTGCTCGTAGGGCAGGCGCGGGTAGTAAGACCAGACCTGCAAAATGTCGTTCGTCGCCAAATTGCTGCTCAAGATGAAAGTCGCCTTCACCGTGCTGATGTGCTGGCCGGTCTTGGCCACCTGGACGCTCCCCTTGTTGTCCAGCATCGCAAGAAGCAAGTCCCCCGCGGTGGAGATGGCTTTTTCGATTTCATCCAGGTAGATCACGGCGTCTGGGTTTTGCATCAGCACCTCGCTGAGCTTCCCGTCCGACCCCTTGACGCCGTCCGGGACCCCGATCCAGCTCGTGAACTGCTCCTCGTTGCGGTAGTTACCCATCTTAAACTCCACGAATTTCCCGGACTGGGTCAGAGATTTGATGTTGCAGGGGGATGAATTGGGGTGGTGTGGCTGGTGCGATGATCCACTTGCACTTTCTACTGCTGTTGGACAGTGAATTTTCTCTGCGACCTTGCGTGCCAGCTCGGTTTTCCCCACTCCAGACGGGCCGAGAAACAAAAACGACAGCGGCGCGTCAGAGATGCGCCGACCGAGCATCTGCTCCAAGACAAGAGGCTTGACCATTCGCATCGCTTCACCCTGTCCGATGTAGCCCGGGAAAAAGGTCGACTGCGCGGCGTCCGCACCTTGATCTGTGTCAGGCTGACCTTCCGAGGCATCTTGTCCAGCACTCAGCAAACTTCCATATTGCTCCCACTGCCGGGCAAACTGGGCACGTACGAGCGATTCGCGAAATGTGGGGTCGCAGTCAGCCAGCAGGAGGATACCCCGGGCACTCGGATTCAAATGAACGTACGCAGTAGCAAACTCCCGGAAAGAGGAATCGGAACTCTCTTGACACACTGAGTCTGTAACGGGGAAGTCCTCAAGGATCTGCTTTCGCTGAAAATCAGACAGCTGCGCGTCGCGGAGGCTGCGAAGAACCAAATCTCGGTCTGCATCGGAAAGCTGCGGGCGTGTCAGCATGTAGAGCAGTTCGGACACGTAGAACGGGGAAGAGGCGTCGGGAAGCGTCACGGATAGAGCATTGGGTGCTTGAACCCGCGCGGAGAGAGAAGTGGGGGAGCTTGTACTGTTGGATGGCGCGTCTTTCTTCGTGTTTGCGACGTCTGAGCCCGCATCTTTCCGCCCATTTTTAGAAGCTTGCGGTGTCGCCGCCGGCACATTGCCCTTCGCCGCCCCAGCGCCCGTCGCGCTAGTACCAACTGCTCCTGCAGTCCCGCCACTGGCAGCCCCGGAAGCCTGCTGGGCTTGACTGAGTTGGGCTTGGGTGCCGCGTTTACGAAAAAGTCGGAGCTCGTCGCCGTCTTCCAGCTGGTCCACGCTGAGCAACACTTCCTCCAAGCGGGTGCTGAAAAAGTCAAACTCATCGTAGCCTGGGGGTCCGTGGCGCTCCAGGTGCGCCGCACGGAAATTTTGTTTCAGTTCCTCAACCGTGTCCGGGACCGGGAGATTGGCTCGAAATTTGAGCCCGCCATCCTTGCGCACGTCCGCGGGAGCGATCAGGTGGACGAAGTTTTCGGCGGACGTCGAGCGGAAGCCAAACACCAAGAAGACAACTCCCGACGATTTCAGCCACATTATATATACGTCGCTGTGAGATTTTTGTGGAGAATCTTGCCTGCGTCTTTCCACCTTCGTCTTCCTTCTAGTTCTACGGCGTCATGATGTTCGCCGCCGATATCTTTGAGAGGACTCACAACACTTCATTTGCGCTCGCGCTTGTCGCACTCAATATTAGTTGGCACTAACTTTTTAGTTGCATGGTGTAGAAGCTGTAGCGATAGTGAGATTGTTGAGAAGATAAAAGAGGAGCAAGAGAGAGCGCCTGCGTAATTTACGTACTTAAGTGTGTCCCTGTTAAGCGGGACAGGCAGAGGCAACACAGAAAACGTTCCACCACAGTCATCTCTCGTGTTCTGTCGCAGCGTGCGTCATTTCATCTCAATAGGATTTTGGTTTTGTTTCTTCTACGTAAAGTTTGGTATATCACTACTTGGAGCCCTGGACTGTGCAGCGTATTCATATACACAATTCATTGAACCGTAGGGCATTTCACGTTATCACAGAGTGATGTTTTGCAAGCAATTTCTCGTCTGAAATGCAGATATGCCGGCCGGCGCGCTTCTCCTGCGTGCTGTGCATACGCATACCGAAACGCATGAACATCAATGCTACCTCCTCTTTTGTTAAGTTGCGGGCCGCCGGACATTAAACTGTCGGCTGTTAGACAACACTCCGAGCTTATTTTGGCCGTCGAACGACTTTTGGTTTTGGCTTTGGTTGCCCAACCCGAAAATCTGTCCGACGGCCGTCGGACAGCCGATCGAAAGTCGTCCGACGGCCGCCGGGCAGCCGATCGAAAGTTGTCCGACGGCCGTCGGACGGCCAAAAATTGTCCGACGGCCGTCGGACAGCCAAAAGTCGTTCGACGGCCCAAAAGTCGTCCGACGGCCGCCGGACGGCCGTCCAAATGTTGTCCGACGGCCGTCGGACGGCCAAATGTTGTCCGACAGTTGTCCGACGGCCGTCGGACGGCCAGATGTTGTCCGACGGCCGTCGGACGGCCAGATGTTGTCCGACGGCCGTCGGACGGCCAAAAGTTGTCCGACGGCCGTCGGACGGCCAAATGTTGTCCGACGGCCGTCGGACAGCCGTCGGACAACCAGAAGTTGTCCGACGGCCGTCGGACGGCCAGAAGTTGTCCGACGGCCGTCGGACGGCCAAATGTTGTCCGACGGCCGTCGGACGGCCAAATGTTGTCCGACGGCCGTCGGACGGCCAAGAGTTGTCCGACGGCCGTCGGACGGCCAAGAGTTGTCCGACGGCCGTCGGACGGCCAAGAGTTGTCCGACGGCCGTCGGACGGCCAGAAGTTGTCCGACGGCCGTCGGACGGCCAAATGTTGTCGGCCAAATGTTGTCCGACGGCCGTCGGACGGCCAAAAGTCGTCCGACGGCCGTCGGACCGACGGCCGTCGGACAGCCAAATATTGTCCGACGGCCGTCGGACGGCNAGTCGTCCGACGGCCGTCGGACCGACGGCCGTCGGACAGCCAAATATTGTCCGACGGCCGTCGGACGGCCAAAAGTCGTCCGACGGCCGTCGGACGACCAAAAGTTGTCCGACGGCCGTCGGACGGCCAAATGTTGTCCGACGGCCGTCGGACAACCAGAAGTTGTCCGACGGCCGTCGGACGGCCAAAAGTCGTCCGACGGTCGTCGGACGGCCAGAAGTCGTCCGACGGCCGTCGGACGGCCAAATGTTGTCCGACGGCCGTCGGACGGCCAAATGTTGTCCGACGGCCGTCGGACGACCCAAAGTTGTCCGATGGCCGTCGGACGACCCAAAGTTGTCCGACGGCCGTCGGACGGCCAAAAGTCGTCCCAGTCTGCGTCGGGGGCCCTGCCTTGCGTTCCGGTTCTTGGCTCGATCGAGATTGATGCTGTTGCTGTTGACAGAACCTTGATGATTATTATATCGTGCTGGGCTCGACGACGGCTCTACTTCCTTCTTCTCCATGGCCTTTTTTAAAAAAAACATCATGATCATCATGATTGCAATCCTACAGCTACTCTGGAGCGAGCAGTAAAGTATTATTTGCTTCTTTATATAATTGACTTGCGCGAAACCGAAATGTCTAGAACTGGTGGAAAAACTAGAAAGAGTGAAATTGGAATTCAAAAAAAAAACGTACCTACATGGAAATCGGAAAAAAAGAAAATCTTTCTAAGCAGTAAATCGGTGACGGCGGAAAACTGTAGGTGGAGAGACTACTCTCCGGAATACATACAAGTTGAATAGACATACGAGTTGTAAAGACAGAGGCACGGCTTCGGCTGCGCAGCTGCAGTCTGCCAGCTTCACAAAGCTACGATGTACGACCAGCTTCACGTCTTCAGCGGAGCTGCTGCATTCCATATGCAGTTTCGTAGTCGTGTCATCAAGGGGCACCACTGACTCGTCGTGTAACACTAACATGTATGTCTGTGCGAGAAGTTAATAAAAAAAGTCACGAGGTGGAAATAATTATCGGTCATCCGCGTGCGCGCCCGCTAGTGTCGATATGCATTGTAAAAATCACAATCCCACTAGCAGAGAACAATAACAGAGCCGTGTCAAAAATATGGTCGAGGAGGTCTACGATTTTTACGATGAAAACTAAATCTTGTAGTTATATCTATCCATTATGTTGCTACTTTGACTTTCTGGAGATTGGACGTTCCACGCCGCTTGCTGGCAGCCGAGACGGAGCGCCGCGTCCTAAATCTGGATTTAGGCAGCGCCACGACTCGCGTCGAACTGGAAAATCACCGGCGCGGAAATGTCAGCTACGCGTTGGTGCTCCGCAACCTTGTCCGCGTTGAAGACTTCGATGTCAATCCTGATTTTGGTATTCATTGTTAGAGATCCAGATGCTGAATGTGAATCATATTTATTGATGTCGAGGGCGGAAATGCAGCATGGACGACGTTAACGCAAGAACTGATGATGAACTATAAGGTGGCTCTACAAAATCAAACGACTAGAGCCAGACGTTAGTGAAAAAACGGAGCCAAGCGAATCCTCAATTTACATACCAGTAGGTCAATTTCTGAACGTTGTGACCACCGCCCAATGCAGCTTGTACACTGTTCTTGTCGTTACGGGAATCGCAGTGGTACCATAAGTCGCCCTGGCCACCTACTTTTGTCAGGAAGCGGGACGGTTTGAAGTTCTTATCCTCGCTTCCAGCAACCGTGAAACTCGAGAGATTCAGCAACTTCAATTCCTTCACGGACTTCTTCGTCTCGTCGTTTGCATTGGTAATTTTGTTGACATGAAGATAGCCGTCAGCCTCCACCTTGGCAGTCCCCCATAGAACTTGGACATTTGACATCCGTTATCCCTAGAGAAATCACAACTGAAAGTCGATTCGGCCGTAGTGGACATTGAAAAAAGAGTTGATGCATGCCACCTTGAACTTTAAAAACCAGACGAGGCAGCTCGAGCGGGAGCGTAGCGACGTATTGGAAAATCAAGGTACAAACTCTGCTTGATGTTGATTTTGTATTCAGTAGGTACAGCAGTGATACTGATTGCACGGACTGGAGTTTCATCTTCGCTTGTATTTTTTTACTTCAAGTTTTGATTTCTTTTTCTTATCAATGCGGCGGTCCGTCTTATTTCTGCTTGCTTTCCCGGGGAGTCATCCTCGTCATCGTCATTCATGTCGTAAAAATTCTTGTTGGAGTTAGTTGACTTGCGCTTGTTTGTCTTGCTGACGAAAGGGAAAGTATTCTCCCTACTATCACCAGGGGGCGGTTCGGAGAAAGGGAAAACCTTTTGAGAGGGCGCCGTCGACAACTTGTTGGTGAAGTAGCCACCCCCGTTTTCGTTAAGCACCGCAAGTGATTTCGCGAGTTTGATTCGCAGAGCCGGCACAGACCTGTCTTTCTCCGCAACAGCCGAGTTTCGTACTAAATCGAGGTATTCTTTCATAGCTGGAAGCTCCCGTGTCAAAGTTTCGGATACCTGGAAAGAACGAAAGAAAAACAGTAATACGGGGAGTACCCGTCGTGCACGTAGTCAAAAACTGATTTCTTCGTGCCGCTTTCGACTCGCTGCGGCCGACGAAAAGGGAGTGTGTTGGTCTTAGCAGCCTTCTATTTCTGGTGCATGCACAGGGACGACGCAAAGGTGAGATAGTAGCAGTGCAAAGGAACAATAGCATGACATCCGTGAATGAGTTAATCTAGTAAGTAGCTTACAATTACAGGTACGTACCTGCAAACCGTCAAAGATTTCCTCCGGACCGGGGCGATCGGTCATTTCGATTGCGAGGCTCTTCACAAGGATCGTGACCACAGCTGACTTCAGCTTTGCCACTTCGTCTTTGCATGTGGCATCATCCTCCACTTTCATCTGGACAAACGTTTTCACATTTTTTGCCACTTCCTTGGCTTTGGCGTCGAGTTTCTTCTTCACAGCCTCGTCCAGCACCTCATCTTGCAGCGGGTTGTATGGGTTTGCGATCACCCGTTTGGCGAAACTGCAGGGTTGTTTTGCTTATTCAATTTTTCATGCCTACAAAACAAAGAATAATTTACAATGCTTCTATTTTTGATGTAGCAAGAAGTAAGACTTTTGTTCGCAAAGCCAAATGGCGAAAGATGACCCCTTCCCCGTAACAAGAAGCCAATTCCGGCTAGATGTAGATAAGTATCCCGAGGAGACCACCTGCTGGAATCTTTATGTATTGGTGGAGAAGTAGCTTTTTTAAGCAATTGTAATTTGACATAAAAAAATACCGCTCGAGGTCCTCACCACCGAGTTCCTTGCAGACTTGCGGCAGGTTGCCTTTTGCCCATAAGGCGCGGGCAAAATACCTAGCATTGACAGGGGCCTCCTGCACGTCTTCACTTACTTCGTCAAAATCCTCTGCTTCGGAGACGAAAGTGTGCACCGCCGCTAAGAGGATTTTTCCCATGGAGTAGCAATCGGATTTCGGCCCGAGCCACGGCTTCCGGTTTTTCTCTGTCTCATCATTGTCATTTTCCAGGAATTCCGGCGCGGCATTAAAAGTTGACCCCGTTTCCGCTTCTTTCGAAGCTTGGTTTCTTTTTATGAGTCCCCGCTTCGTTCCGGTCTGCGGCACTTTCAGCTCCTTATAGCACGCGAAGTCGCAATGGACTAAATGAGGAAGCTCGATCTGGCCGTCCATCACGGTAAGCCGTTGGCGCTCCTCGGGCGTCAAGAGTTCCTGCGCACGCTCGCCGGCTTGCAGAATGTTACCGATCTTCAGGTCACGCATGACCACGATGAAGAAGTCGGTTTTGTCGTGGTTGGTGAAGAACTCGATTGCTGCGGCGCACGTCAATATGATCCCAGCAAGATACCTGCAACAGGAATCCATTGCGTATCGATATGCGACCGTACTAGGGCAGAAGAAAGGCGTCTTCAGGGCCACAACACATAGGAACTAACAAGTGCGAAAAGAAGTATGGAATACGAGGAAAACAACATTGGTGCTTGCCTCTAGGTGGGCGAGATACTGTCTGGGCACTGTCGAGTTTTCTGCGAGGAAAACTGTCTGGGCACTTTCCAGTCGAGAATAGGAGGAAAACAAACAAAAACGAATCAAGAATCCCCATGCTGCACTTTTTTGAAGGTAAATTTATACGTTATCACTTCATCGCTACGAACAGTACCGAGTCGCAGTTTCGACCGTGCTGGAACCCTTTTCGAAGACAGCAGTTGGAGGTGGAGCCTCTTTCCGAAAGGCAACGCAGACCTGGGATGGCAAGTCACGACGCTTGGCATAGCGATCCGTCTGGTCGACGTCTGCGATCCGTATTCTTTTTGGGTAAACGTCTGCGCTGGTCCACACCGCGACGGGTTGAGCAAAGAAAAAGCCAGCGGGATTACCCCCGGCCTTTCCCAACGACAGTGCCGACGCGAAGTCGATTTCCGTCAGCATCCGGGTATGGTCGTCGCCATCTGGAAAAGAACAAAGTTGAACGCACGTAACAGAACGCCGTGTATCGATCAGGTTAGCAATTTCTCTTCTTTGTCTGTGTCTACATAGTTGCAGCGTCGATGATCGTCCTCATCTGACTACTTTTGGTTCTGGCATTTTTTTATTTTTTTCGGAATACTAGGAGAGGACTAGCAAGAGGCTGCTATATCAGATGAATCCTCATTGTACCTTTCTTATTTTCTTCGTCGTCCTCGTCCTCGTCGTCGTCCTCCTCAACGCGGTCCTCCACATCGGCCTGTTCCTTCGCCTTTTGCTTTTTTTCATCATCCAAAGCGCCTTTGAAGGGATTTCGGAAGGTTTTCACTGCGACGTGGCACGTCGCACCGGAATGAGACTCAAGTACCGCTGCGTAGACTTGTCCATTCGCAGTGTTATCTGCCTTGGTGGTGAGGAAATCGAACTTGGACAGCTTGTTTACGAAGTTCACGTTGCTTCGATTTCTCGCGTCAGGAAGGGAACGTAAATTGGAATAAACCTCTTCTCGCGCGCAAAAAAAGCGTGGCTGTAGTGAATATGTTCAAGAAGGAAGCTGCAGATTGTGAGAGTATTACATCATTGTTCCATGCAATATTTTCTTCCAAATCCGGAAGCGGAGCAGCGAGGATCTCAATGCCAATCTAGTTCATGTTCACAAAACGCCGAATCCGGAATCATTTCTGATCGATCGAGTTCACGGCGTTGCAAGTGCACTGGTCATAGCAAACTGTTGCTGGCGTCGGACGACCAAAATCAACACCTAACTATTTACAGCACTCAGCTATTCTATACCCTTTAATTCCCGCCGGGAGATCTTCGACCAACGGGTGTTTGTGCGGCAAGAGAAAGTCATCCTCGCCTCCTTTTGCTTGATCACGGCCCTGGTGCTGCGATGCAGCCGCGGCCTGCGCACTCGACGAAGCTGAAGCGGACGCTGAAGAGGAGGACTGAGAAGAAGGTAGCATCGCCGCGCCTTATAATTTCTGCACAAAGAAAAAGAGCTACTGCTCTGTCGGTTGCACTGCTTGTTGAGGGTGGTCGTGGTATGCTCCTCCAAAACGTCGTGCTGGCTTTTAGTCCCGTCTGTTAGAAGATGAAGTCCGTCGAGGTCGAGCAACCCAATGAGTATGAAGGCAGCTGGTCCACGAAGTCTCTGCCTATGTAGAGGTCGGCAACGCCGAACAACACGTTGTAGTCAGAAGAGAAAAAAACAAAGTGCAAATGTCAATTAAAAAAAAAAAAGAATATACAAGAGTCGGCCGAATGAAAATTCAATATCCATATGCTACCCGGCCGCCTTGAATGCAGCAGGGTTGCGCTTGCGGTATGTGTGCCAATAGCAATAAAAACAGAAAAGAAGACCTCGCAGGAAAAAATATCAATTGAAAATTTCGTTTTCGCAAACAGCAGCAAGAAAATTTCGGAAGTTGCTATGACAACAACGAAAACTATTGTGATTGTCTTTGACTGTAAAACTAAACAAGGAAAGGCTGGGTGTTGCGGATAATCTTCCTGATCCTGCCTGCTGACACGTTTCGCATTTCAAAAAGGCTTGATCCTTTAGAAATAACGGAGACCACAAAAGGAGAGGCAACTGTCACATAAAGGTGGTCGCGCGATATCTATGATCACAGTTCTTTGCGAAAAGAAAAAAAGAAACAGACCTTGATCGGCAAGCTCAACACACATTCTAGATGCCACAAAGACAAACGGTTGTTCCAGAATATCACACACACACGACCACTCGCGGTAGCATCTAACCTTCCTCTTCGTGCTTCCGCCAAAAATGAAAGTCAAAAAAAACGAAAACGTCCTTCACAAGATATGACAAACGGTCCGAAGGAGCTGAATACACAACCGCAACGTGAATGTTGCGATTTTGATTTTGTGTTCAACCAGTGTCGCACTTCCTTGTGGCAGGATCCATCGTACGAGGAAAGTGTTGACAAACAGGAACAGCAAGAGACAAAAGAAAGCTCCTCTACTTTGTTTAGGTTTATTGCGTCGTCTTCTTGTCTATTGACTGGAAGTACAACAACCTGAACCTGGCCTGCTTTGATTTCGGAATACAACTCCGTGCAGGGTCAGAAGATGGAGATGCTTTTCTTTCAAGTCAAAAAGCAGCCGAGTTCGATTCCGAAAGGTACTTGCCGCGGAGCAATCGCAAGACGACGGAGAAAACAACTACGAACGCCCGCGAAAACACCACACAGCCCTCCCGATTTACGACTTGGGCTTGAAGACGTCGCAGAGGGCCGTTTGGATGTCTGACCATTGAAGCGTCTTCCCCTCTAGCCATTCCGGAGCTGTCGGCCGTGTCATTTTGTCGAATCGGGTACGCATGAGCGCTAAAATGCCAGCTTCGTCGAGTTCTTCCAAAATGTCTCTTCTTTTCAGAAACGCATCGGAAATTCGCTCCAGGGGGTGCATAATGTGCTTCATGTCGTAACTCACAGCCAAGTCCTTGTTCAGCATCTCCTGGAGCTCCCGGCAGTACCCGAGAAAGCGAAACACGGGGGTGCGTATGTCCACCGTAAGTGTCCTTCGAATTGCCTTTGCTGGTCCGGGACCGCGAGCGACAATGGGGTCTAAGAATTCGTCCGCAAAACTGGAGCCAAAGTGGTCGTCTCGATCGAATTTGTTTCCCCAAAATTTTTTCAGCAGTGCTGTCTTCCCAATGTACTCCGCTTCAAGAGTAGCAAAGAAGGCAGGAACTGCAACCTCCTTGCCTTTCTGCACGACGTGCTTGAGTATCACTCGAGCGTAATCTCGCTTGGGACTGAAAATTAAGGCCTTAGTCTCTTCCTCGAAGCCGGCTCCGAAAACGCGCTTCCAGCGAGAGGAGAACAGGGGTTCCTCGCTGTCAAGAACTCTTCCACGTCCAGCTCCGCCTCCAGGTCTAGTCGTTTTCCAAGCCAGCAAACGAGCGTACAAGACTGCTGCGTCGGCTGGAGTTACGGCTTCACCTGCAATCTGCAGTGATTGGTCCAAGAGCTGCACGAGGTCCGCCTGCGTCACCCCGTCTGGAAAGTCATGGGTCCTTTCGTCATAGTGCCCGGAGTAATCCGGCGCATGGATGACTACTTTGTTTGCTACCATCAAGCAGAAAGCACTCCGGTGGGAAGCCGGAAAGGCGTGAACATCATTGAAATCACGAAGACTAAACTGTGCTTGGGAAGTTTGACGCTGGTGCTTCTTCCACTCCGTCACCGGCATTTCGATCACCGCTCGCCACACGTTCCACAAATAGGCGTAATGATCTTCCGCGGGGTGTGGGTCCGCCCAGGGACTAATGGCGAGCAATTTGCAAGTGCGGTGTCCGGCGACTAGCTCGTAGGAAAAGGGAACACAAGCGCGGAGGTCATCTTCCGGCTTTGCTCGGCAAGGGTCTTCAAGATCGAGGTATCTTTGGTCGTAAATGAAGGCGCGGGCGTCTTCCACGGATCGCACGCTGTTGTTGAGGGTCTCACGGACGTGCTGTCTCCACGCGTTTCTCCTTCTTCTAGCAGGACTTAATATCTGAATCCGGGGGTCATCCTTATCGTCCTCTCCACTGTAATCTTCCGGACGATACGCGAGACACTTGTGCGAACTTCTGACGATTGCGAACTGGTACGTAACCGTAGGTGCGAAATCTAACTTCGCGTCAGGATGAAGAAAACAATCGTCCGCGGAACCGGCTGGCGATTTGTCGCTGTTGGTGGTCGCGGCGTCCGTGTGCAGCAGCTCTTGGCCCTGAGCCTGACTCTGAGTCTGATTCACAGCACTTGCATGAAGATTCCGTTCCACGATAGGACTCTGGTCGCTTGCGCTAGATGGCGCGCGGCCAATGGTGTGGGTGGTTGTTGGCGGAGCTCTTTCATCAGTTGGGAGTGCGTCCGTGGAGGACGACAAGCCCCCCACCACGATGTCCATGTCGTGATCCTCGTCGAAGCTGAAGTCTTGCTGACTGCCTTCCGACTTCTCGCCGAGCGGACTGCTCTCATCTGCATCACGAATTTCGGCACTTCCCACATATTCCCGCACTTGAATCCACTTGACAAGGGACGTGGGTGGAAAGAGATCCCGCTCCGCGTCGAAGAATAGGGAGAGGAACTCTGGGCCGTAGATGTCCCGGATCTGCTTCACTTTGTTCGGGTCCACGAGCAGGGTATGCTCCGTCCCTGTGAAGTTTCGCAGGCGAAGCGGCTTCTTGAGATCTTCATCTTCGTCCAGCGTGGGTTTGACAGCGGGCGTTGGCTGCTCCGCCAAAGGCTTCTCCTTCTGTTCGGACATGAACTTTCTGCTTGTTGGCCTCTTTGGAAAGCAACAGCAAATGCGAAGTGAAATATGACGACGTCTCTTCAAAAAACAAGCAGGAAACAACTGCAAAACGCTCTTAATCTAAAGGGGGCGTGTGGAAATTATGCAATGATCCTTTTCGGGTTCGAACAGGGAAGGTAGGACGACAACGAAAAACGATTTGCTTCCTGGCCGATTTGCGACAATTTGAAGTCAGTTTTTTCTTTTTCGACAAGAATGACGACTTTGATTTTTCACTCTCAGGGTCTCTTGCACTTCTGGTTGAGTTTATGCTTGTCATTATGCAAGAAGCAGAACTCACTGCGCGAAAAAACGAATACCAAAAATACGGAATGAAAAAACGATCCGATGCTGGAAGTGGTTGCAGGATGAAACGAAAACATACGCGAGGCAAGAACTTCGAGCTCGAACATTTACACAGTTTTCTCATGTAGTCGTGCAGTTGACAAAACAAAGGGCCAGTCTGACAGCCTGTGCGCTATCTTATTGCTTCTTTTTGGTTCTGCAACATAAGTTACAATGAATGTCATGTCTTTATTGTGTCCATGGGCGAGACTGCATCTGCACCTGCGCGCTATACCCGCTACACTTCCGCAGCAGAGCAGTAGGTGAGCGTTTCCGCACCGTCCACGAGCACATCCGGTGCCGGGTTGTAGGTGTAGAAGCCCCACTGCGATCGCTGCGTGAACGCACCGAGAAACAACACTTCCGTGTCTGCCTGGGGTTTCGAGATGTGCGTTCGCCACATGCCCGAGGAGAGAAGCAGCAAGTCAGGCGGTGGGTACATCCGCAAGCCATGGTCGAACCTGTGTAGTAGAAGTGCATACGTCCTCATCGTACAACTGCAGATGCATGTACATTTACTTTAGTTTCGCCTTCCATGAAAGCGACATCAGTTTACCTGCAGCAGCAAAACAAGTGTCATGAAAACAATCGCCACGAGAAGAGAAAAGCAATGCATACCCGATGAGCGTGTTCCTATGTGCCACCGGCAGTACGGGAAATAAATGCGCCTGTGCCAGCAGGTAGTGCGCGATAGCGTCAAACCGCCTCGTGGGATCACCCTGGTCGCGGAAGGGCACGCACTCGGCCTCGCGCAGTTCCTTCCATACGTCGTTCCGACAGATGACGATCTGTTTCCCGTAGTGCCGGATGCGGCAGGGGTTGCTCGCGAAAATGACGTTCTCGCGGAACTGCACACCGTAGGTCTCCATCGGGGGCAGCGGGAAAAAATCGGGGTGCCCGCAGTGGTCCGACGAGTCCGGCACGATGATGATGCGCTTTTTCCGGGTGTGCTCGTGGCTGGCGAGGAGGGTGCTCAAGTGGAGCAGCTTGTCCTTCCACGTGTGCACCGTGTTCTCCATGCGCGGATCGAAGTAGTGGTCCGGGGCGCGGAACTTGCCCATCAGGATGTAGTGCGGCTGATGCTCAGAGTCCTCGAACCGGTCAAACACCACGGCGAGCATCTCGAACGTGTTCGGGTCGTCGAAATTCACGTCGGCCATGAGGACGTAGTACTCCCGCTCGTAGCGGAGTCGCGCGTCCACCAGGTGGCGATTGCAGTCCAGCTGCTTCTCCGCGTCCTCCATTTCCTCAATCTTCGTCAAATACTTCAAATCCTCGAGCGTGATATTCCCGCCAAAGTGGTTTATCGCGTCCGGAATACGCTTGCGCTTCTTCGAACCCGGCTGGATGGGACTGTTGTGGAATGTTTTCTTCAATTTTTTTCCCCTAAGATGAAAGTGAAAGAAACACACAAGCTCAAAACAGGGTGAAGGAATCACTTTTTCCTCGTCGTCAAAACGACAAAATACGTCTTTGTTTCGGTGATTGGCGGATTCCACATCTTGCACACGTGCAAAATTCCGTGCTCATTGTCCACGATGCCTTCCACGACGTAGAAGCCACCGTGGATGATCAGTTCGTCCGCCTGGGCAAAGTGCTTCAGATTCAGCTCGATCCGCTTTCTCCCTTCCTGCAGCGCATACCTCCTTCCGTGCATGCCGGAGCTGGAGCTGCTCGACCCGGCGTTTGGTGCCTCCACCAGAAGACCGAAGGTGATTTTGTGACCGTAGTTGCCCACCAGGCTCTCGACGCAAGTAATCATGCACTTGTCTGGCTCGCCCCGCGGCTTTACCGTGTCCTGTTCGACGCCGGCAATGCTTGCACGGTAGGGAATCCACCCCTCCTGCTTGCTGTTCGGCAGTTTCTGCAGCTTCAGGTACCATTCCGGCTTATCGTGGGCGGAGGTGTACCTGAAAACGTGGGCGATCATGCGTCGTTACAAAAAGCATCACACAGGCTGAGTCCAATCTCATCAATCGTGCAGATCTACTATTTTGTATTCAAACAGGTCACCATGAACTTCAGGCGGCTCTCAGTCTTAGCGAAGTACCACTCGCAAATTGCCACTGTGGTGCCGGGTGGTATCGGGTCGCGTATGTCCTTCGGATCATCCGACTCGATCCGGCGCGAGTGGTGGCTCGCTCGGGGTATTACGGGAATCAAAATTTCGTACAGGTTGGTCTGTCCGCGACAGATTTGCTGTTTGTTCGTGAACTCGTGTGAGGAGGGGTAGTACTGCATTTGCGGCACTTCCTTCAGCAGGTCCTTCCCCTTTGGTAGCTTCAAGTTCAGCGCTTTTGCCTTCCGTTTCAACTCTACCGCGGCCTTGTTTCGGTGGTACAGCTGCGACTCGCACACGTGCTGGCGCTCCTGCATCATGCGCGGGCGCCGGTCGGCGTCTGGAAACAGGGTCGGTTTGAAGCTGGTGGACACCTGAAACGTGTGCGTGCTCGTGTTGTACTCCATCACGGGGGTGTCTTTGAACACGTTGTAGACCGCAATGCCGTCTCCTAGGTGCGCAAATTTGTTCCGCTCTTGCTCCAGCAGCTCTTGTCGGGCGTTCGGAATGGACTCCATCGTGGTATTGAGCCCCGCTTTGTTCGCCATGGTACTGGCGTTCAACGCGTCGTTTTCTATCTCCATGTCCTGCACACCTTTGTTATTCATCAGCCCAAGCTGCGCGGCTGCGGCTCCGGGTGGGGGAGCAAACATGGGCGGGGGGACCGCGGAAGAGGACGAGCTTGCGGACGTGCCGGCCTGCACTTTGGCCAGAACTCTACTGCTGGGTTCGTTACTGCCTTGGTTATTGCCTTGTTTGTTCCCGCTGCTTCCTGCAGCTGCGGCAGCACTGCCATCGACGTCCATCGGGTCGTCCGGGTCCGTCGCTGCCTGCTGCTGCAGTTGAAATGTATTCAGCAGCTCGTTCACCATGTTCTCCTCGACGAACGTCTGAGCAAGTATGTGGTGGACTTTCACTTTTTTGATGTCAGATGGAGATCAACATGGAAGTGGAATTAGAGTGCGAGTTTGGATTTGCGTCACTTCCGCATGACAACGCAGAAGCGGGTGAAAGCAAATCCCTGTTTATTTTAGTGAGTTTGTGGCTTTCGAACTTCAAAATCAACCAATGTCAGAGATGGTTTTTCTGCAACACCAAGAACGAATATCGAATTAGATAGAATTTACCGTCCGCGTCGTCGCCCGTCGAAGGTGCTGTTTGCAGGCTTCGGCGAAGAGTTTGACCTGTTTGTCGTAATCCTCCGCAGCGGCCAGACCCTTCATCACCGCCTTCAAGGCTTTGGGGCGCAGCTGAAGTCCCTTCAGCGAAAATGCCTGCAGCGTTGTGCTGCGCTTCGCATTGCTGCCACCCTGCATCTCTTTGCCGCAGAAGGTGCAATGTGCGTAGTCAGAATGAGCCTGTGAGTCCGTCGCGTGCAGGCAAGGATTGAGTCTTCAGGGGCAACAACTGTGACAATTCCTACCCGGGGCCATGCGCACTAGCTTTTCTGCGGCTAATTCTAGATTGATTTTGATAACACTAGATCAATTTGTATTTCCGGCCCTGCGAAAGCTAATTCAACAAGGATTTATCTATTGCTCTTTTTCTTGGCTGAGCTGAGCATGCTGAGGTACCTACTTACTTCCAGTTCCAACTATATGCACAATCCAATGCGCGTGGGCTGATAGAGGCAGCGTCCTGCTGGTGACCGCAGTTCATCTGACGATGAAAACTTTCTGTGGCAATGGCAAAGATGATAAACATAAAGGTGGTAGTGTCTCATTTTGTTGTGCTGACCATCTAGCGACTAACTATTTTCGCGACTTCTTTATCAACAACGACAACATTCACGAATTGGGAGGTGCAAGACTTTTGCGACGCACTGAAATGTCCATCAGCCTCTTGCATTCAGTTACTGTGTGACAGCCATCCAGCAACATCTTGTGACTCACACATTGGCCGTGTTTTCATGATCCTGAACACTGATGGTCTTCGAGCTGCCGACGGTTGACTGCAACTCCGCGAGACGCAAGCGCGACCTGCCTCTAGCGCATGTTTGCGACCCGCTGGGAATGCTGAGGTTCATAGAGATCATGAGGCCGTTGAAACGCAAATGAACTACTGGAGTTACGAGGAGGTACATCTAGAACATATAAGAAAGAAACGAATTCCGGCGCATTTGCATCATTCAAAGTGAAACTAGAGGTAGACGAACATACTGAAGTGGCCTGTGTACCAAAATCACACAAATCATCGAAACGGAGGCTCTTCTATACTCACTCTATCTATCTGAATGTTGTACCGTTTTTGTTGGTTATCATGGAGATGAAATTCCCGAAATTTATCATACATCGAGCTGTTTATTTTTCCCCGGCGATGAGTTCGCACCATTTCCGTACACTGGTGTCATTTTTCGGAGGAGCATCGGCTTGTTTTCACCACCACCGGCACTCGAGCGACCGACCACCTGCTCAGTGCCAGCACCCGGCGCGCTGCTTCGCTTCGAGTGCGATTTTTGGTACGTGCTCTTCGTCTTCGGAACTACCGGTGTCGCTGTAGCCCTCGCAGCACCAGTCGCCGATTCGTGTTTCTCGTGACCAGTACTGTTTTTGCTCACTGCAGCTTCACTACGCCCAGAAGAGCGTCCGCCAAGAATGCCTCCACCACGGGGCGTAACGAGCGTGTCCACCAGGCGGCTTGTAGTTGCGTTGCTGCTTGCTGGTGCGTGACCTCCACCGCGCGGCGTCGTCGCAACTCCAGGGGTTTTACTCCTTCCACCGCGATTCCGTGTAGCAGTGGCCCCGCTCTTCCGCGGCGTCACCAACGATGTCACCCAGGAGGAGCTGCTGGCGGCCCCAGCACCTCGCGGAGTTGTTGACGTGCGGTTTGACGAAGAAGCCGATGTTCCCTGGGTGGTACTTGCCCCGGCGGCGCTCCTGCTTGGTCCCGTGCCGCGGCCACCTGCTTCCTCTGGACGAGTTGATGAACTAGTGGGTTTGCTTGGCTTCCTACCTTCACCTGCAGTCCGCGGAGTCGCCGAGCCGGAGGTTGAACTAGACATAGACATAGTTTCGGCTTTAATATTCTTGTTACCCTTGGATGTTTTGTAGGACTTCAATGGGCTAGCTGCGTGGTTGACAACGGAAGTCAACGTATTCCGGAGCATGCGCTCGAACCTCGTCGCGCGCGATGCCGCTGGGTGCTGCCCGTCGGTAAGAAATCTGAAGATGTACACGAAATAAACTCGTTGTCAACATCGAGATCGACATCATGTTCGTGCCGCAGGGAGAATTCCAGAGACGAAATGCCAGAGTCATCGTTTGATCAATAATGAAGATCTTGTTCAAGATCAAGCGGCTATAAGCTAAAAAGCTGGCAGCTAGATGAAAATCCGATCTTCGCACAATTATGCCTTACTTCTCAAGTCCGTAGTCTGCGAGAGTGGGTCGACCGAGGTTGGCCCGGTCGAGTGTAGCCACCAATTCCAGATCGTCGTAAGCCGAAGCGGACGAGGACGAGCTTGAAGTCGTCGTTGGCCGATCCGTTGTAGTTGTTCTCGAGTTGTTCGGTACTATTTCGCGAGCAGACTGAACGGAGAATGTGTTCTTGCTAGTGGGTGTCGTCCACGGTGCTTCTGCGTCACCTGATGACGCCGCTGCAGCATATTGTACTTTCTCCGTTGCTGCAACTTGCGAAGAAATACGGTCTGCAAATGTCGTAGAAGTTGTACTCGTCGGCTTGGTATTCGTATCGTCTGTGCGAGACGAACTCGAGTCAGCACCTTCTAGTCCTTCCATCATGTTGTCCGTGGCTGTTTTTAACAAAGGGCCGTCTTGTACTTGCTCAAAAACATAGTCCGGTGCAATTTCGGCTCGCAGTTGATCCACAATATCGACCAGCTCGTCGTCCTGTGCTTCTCCAAGCAATAAAGCGTTGTCGCTGCCGCTGAATGTCAGAGGCGAATCGTCCATTTTGAGAATTATACACAAAGGCGAAAAGGATAATTCGTGACACGCTGGCGCGCACGTGCTTTGACTAATGGAGCAAAGGATAAATGCCACTTGTTTTTCGCTAAAGAACAAACGAAAATGATCACGTTGGCCCGATCATGAGGAAACATTTTCACCCATCCATCTATCCTCGACATCCTAGTGCTAGTCTGAAGAACGAAAAGTATGGAAGTCGACACGCATACACATCACGAAAAGAAAAAAAAGCAAGAGCTAGTCACCGAAGTCGTGGCATCATAATCCTTTGCTTTTCTCCTGCTGTGGTGCCCAGATAGTGAATTTTCGTATCAACCGAACAATTCTTGACACCTGCGGATCTTCTCAAACAAAAAAGATCAAACACCACATCTCGAGCATCAAGATCCAGCTAGGCCGTTGAAAAACAACTTCGAAGACAGAGTTACCACCTGTATGTCTGTGTGAGCATAGGTACAACATTGCCATTCCAAGATCTCCACCTCGATCCCAGAAAAAAACTTTCCCGAACACGGTGACAGAAACTGCCTCGCTCTTGGTTTAGCGGTCCGCATACCTATTGCCTCGAAGAAGGATCTTCACCGCAAGAAAAAGATGAGTTGTGATGAATGCATTTGCATGTGAGTTGTTCTTGCGCACGTCAGGAAAAGTCCGTCGAAGATGTGAAGTTGTCGTGGAAAAGAATCAAAATGAAAATGCATTCTTACTCCAGTTCGTCCATCCGTCTCTTCTTCTTTTTGAACCTTGCAAGCGCACCATCCGACTTGACATCCACAGTTCGATCCAGTGCCACCGATGGAGCTTTCTTTCGTTTGACCTTGCGCGTGCCTTCGCGTTTCTCCTCGCCCTTTGCCACTTCCTTTTTCTTCAGGCGTTTTCCGATCTTGTTCTTCCCGCGCATCTTTTTCTTGCCGCGGGTCAACCGGATTCCGGTCTGTTCGAACTCCTCCTCAGAGTCCACGTCTGAGTCGTCCTCGCCCGTCGTGCTTTTGACATTGACAATCTTGCCACTATTGTCCAACTCATGCGACCCAAGCCAATCGTTGCTCTTGCTCTTCTTGTCTTCTGATGTAGTTCCGGTACTCGGAGCGGCAGTGGAAGTAGATGACGCAGCGGCACTACTAGAAGCCGTGGAGTTGTTTTGCTTTTTGAAGTTGCCAACGAGGTGTTTGGTCCCACGACTGTCAAATGCCGGGTTGAACACGATCATGTCGTGCGGTACCTTGTCCAGCAGCATGTGCACCTCGCGCTCGCGCTTCTGCGTTTTGGTTTCGTACGGGTTCGCCCCGTAGCTGTCGAAGAAGGCGTGGCCGGCGCCGGGGACCAGCAGCTGCGATAAGCCGGCCGACGTCCCGACGGACAAGACGTCCTGGAACGGCTGGAAGCGGACGCACTGGACGAATTTCCCCGGAAAAGTTTGCTGCATGTACGGCTCCGCCGCTCTCCTTGTCGCGGTCAGCGCCGGCAGATTCGCCTGCTGTTCCGCGCGTTTCGCACGCTGCACTTGGTTCAGCTTCTTCATCGGCTGTTGTACTTTGTTCGTACCTGCTGTCGTCAGCATTTCCGGCGCGCTATTCCAGATCTTGGAGTCGAACACCTGCACCTTCTTGTTCATGCCAAACGCGAGTAATCCGGTCTGGGACACGTCTATGCTGGTGACCGGGCACCCGTAGTAGGACTGCGACAGCACCGGCTCCGCCGGCTTTCGCAGGTCGAAGATCTTCCAGCGGCCGTCGCCCCCGGACGAGACCATGTAGTGGTCGCGGTAGAAGTCCAGGTGGTCCACCGGGCCCTTGTGCGCGAGAATTTTCATGCAGGGTTCCTTGATGGTCGGCGTCCACAGCGACACCACTCCGTTCGCCTGGCCGCAGTGCATCACCGCGGTTTGCTTGTTCTGCCGGAGACATTTCACCGGGCCCTTTTTCGTGCGCAGGTGCGCGACGCCCTGCCCCGTGGCGATGTCGTGGTACCGGATGTCGCCGAATTCGGACCCGGTGACCAGCAGAAAGTGGTAGCGGAGGAACTCCATTTGGTGCACCAGGCTGTGCTCCTTCATCTTGTGGATCTCCATGCCGTTCCGGTCGTACACGAAACAGCACTTCTTCTGCGAGACCGCGAACAAGTTGTCGTTGTGGAAGGATTGCGCGCAACGGACAGATTCCTTCAGCTTCAACTCGCAAGCTGTGCTCAGAGACTGGGTATCCAACAAGCTCACGTGGCCCTTGCTCCCGGCGAGCACCATGTGTCTGCCCGACGGAGTGTAGCTCACACTGTAGTCGCCGAAAGGGAGCGCTAAATCGATGGCCTTGGCTTGTGTCCCGATGTCCACGGAATCGAGAATCTCGTCCTGTCGGACCTTCAGCGTCTTCTCCCCGAAGACTTCCGGGTCCGCCTCCATCAACCCGCCCGCGTTTTCCTGGCGCAACACCGCATCCCGCTTCTCCAATTCTGTCTCCGCCTTGGACTCAACACGGATGGTGCGCTTCAACTTCCGCGAAAGCTTGATATCCGGCTTACTGCCGTTTCCGGAAGAGAATGATTTCTTCACCTGCTTTTCGTTGCGCAGGGGAAGCGGGTCCTGCTCCGAAAAATTCGCAGCCGTCACCACCGCGGGCCGCTCAACGGCGGTTTTCGGTGCCGAGGCAGATTTCTTGGTTTTCTTTTTCATTTTTGCAGCTGGTGCGGTCAAGGACGACATGTCTTGTAGGGATTAAGGAGGTGATGTTGAAAATAATGTGCAAAACGAAGGTTGAAAAGTCGTCGCTAGCATCTAGACATGGAAGGCAACATCATGCAGGATTTGTACGAAGTCGTTACTTACGGCTACAGTAGCAAGTTCTTCGCATGTTTAGAAACTGCACATTCAGAAAAGCATGTTGACTTCAATTCAAATATGTGGGGAAGGGGATTCCATACGCATCAATGGGAGGCATTTGAACGGAACATCAATTTCATCGCACGAACAAGGAGATCTTCTTCGTCTTAATCTGACGTCGGCAACATGGATCCAACTTTTTACACTGATCGTTGTGACATTTTGACTCTGTGGAAAAGATCATGAACTTTTTCTAGCACCATCGCTTATGGATCCTCATCGGTATCGATACCGCACTCCGAGATCATTTTTCTGATCTAGAAGCACCTAGTTCGTGCTGTGGCTCTACGTGGAAAATCATCACTTGCACGGGAGCAACAGCTTCTGCTCTCCAGGAAAACCTTCCGTGCAACTGCAAACTGCAAAGCTTTCGATTTCATGAAATTCAGTACAATAAGGGATGGCGTCATCACATATAGCATTTCGCAGTTGCATTTGGATTTGAGTCAAGATCAAGAGCAATTTGATCTATCAACTATCACTTCGCTTTAGAGTCCAGTTTTCTCCTTGTTGCTGTTCACAAAAGCTGCAGATTCGCTTGGGTCCTCGGCAGTATCGGTTTGATTTTCTCCACCACGGCGTCGCTTTTGACACAGGCTTCCACGCAAATTGCAAATCTTGCTGCCCAACTGTATGGGCACGCCGAGGTTCGTGGGCCACAAGGACAACGCAGCTTCACTCTCGACGATACCTTGTTCCTCTGCAAGCAAAGAGGCACTCACATTGGAGTCACGCCCTTCTACTTCTAGATCCATTGCGTTCATCCTTGCCAACCTGTTCCGTTGCCCGTAGCCGCGATCAGGTGAAGATTTCTTCGCAAACCAAGAGGCCATGATCGACGGCATATCTCTCGGAAACCAGCCCCCTTTTGGCATTTTCAAAAGAGCTGCTTTCCGCTGGGTCGATGCCACGTGTCTCGGAGCCGCGGGCATGCCCGCACGATTGTTCCCATCCTCCGATCCAGCAAGCTTCAGCGAAAGCCCGATTCCCGTGGCCGTAGCCGTTGCCGCCACGGTGCCGCCGAGGGCGAGCAGGTTTCGTTTCACCGTGCGGGAAAATCCGAATCTGGCGGGTATCGTCGGCTCTTCGATACGGACTCCGGTTCTCTCCGGCTCGTCATCGTGCATTGAGCCCGAATTCGGTTTCGACTTCTTCCTGGTTCCTCGTTGGCCAGCTGGTGGCGACGAACTTCCGCGAAACAAAGACGGATCATTCGTGCTCCTGGTCGAAATCGCGACCACGGCTGTTAATGAACCAGCGGGATTGAAGATTGCGGCGCAAGAAGCTAGAAGTACCCCGATTCGAATGATTTTTGCGATCGCCAAGGATAGGTCGTGCCCAGAATGACCTCGCGTGGTGAAGCACGGGGAGGAAGTTGTGGCATAAAGGCCGCCCATCGTTCTTCCTGCTGAGTGTGCCTAGTTTATTGCCTTGCTCTACGTCTACTGACACAAACAAAAATCGAAAACTCAGCTTCTTGATCTTCTGACGAATTGAGAGCTGTCCACCAACTGGCTGGAATCAATTAGGTGGAGGGTGTATTGAACTCCTTGCGTGTGTTGGGTGGATCAAAGTCAATGTCAAATACAAGAGCACGATGTTCATAATGCATCACTGGATATCAATCAAGATCTTCATCTACTACTTCGCCAGTCGTGTAGGATCCTTCAATCATCTTCAGCAGCACTACAGCAGCGACAGAGAAACAAAAGACAAAAGCAAAAGGAAAAAGGAGGCTGCGCCATCAAGCGAAATGCACTATGGGGCACCCATCACGAAAACCACACAGAGACAGAGACGACATTGCAAAAATGAACAGCTACACTGGCGCTTGGGGAAAGCTTGCTGAAGCATCAAAAACCATCCATGTGTTTTGCAATTTTCCGTTCTGTCGCTTTCTTTTTTTTCGTTACTTCTACTAGAGGTTCTGCTCAATCATCATTCCGAGAATAGCTGGAGGTCTACACGTCCTCATGCAGGCCTGCACTTTCAGCTCCTGCCTCTCCCTGTCGCTTTTGAAATACGTACACTTGCGCGTTGTTTTGAATGTTCTCACTGTTGAACCCTCGTCCCTTTTCGTACTGCAAGCCGTTTGTTCGCCGGTGGTGGTACCCTTGCAACGGCACAAACGGCACTTGGCGGTCAAGCCGCAAATTCGCCACTTTGCCCAGGCTCGCGACCTTCCAGTGCTTGTACGGCTCTCCGCGCTTCACCGCTATGTGGATCTCGCCGTTTTGGTCCAAGCACTTAGCGGCCGACTTGAGAAAGTCAAGTAGCAGCTCCTGGTGCTGCTCAATACTGTTTTTACAACCACCAGCTGCGGGCTGTGCGGTTGTACTAGCGTCCTGCTCCGCCAGCGTCTTCTCAACAGCTTCCTCGCCACAGTGCGGGAAGTTGAAGACGATTTTCGTGAAAAACTCCTCCCACTTCTTGTCTCCCGTTTCCAGCAGGGCCCGGGCATCGACGTTGTACCGGGGAACCGCTTTAAAATTAGACGAAAGCTGCTTCAACAAGTTGGGCACAGTGTCCGGGTACTTTTTCGTCAGTTCCTTCCGCGAGTCGTACACGGTAGGTTGGAGGAAAACGTTCCCAGCTCCGAATTTTTTCAGTAGGGACGTCGAAAAACTGAGGTCGCCGTCGCCCACAACCAGGATCAAGTCGCCCACTTCGTATAGTTTAAGTTTTTGCCCTTTGGTCGAGGGTTTCGCAGAGGTGGACGATGATGGGGTCCGCCCAGAAGTCGGCTGTGGTCGTGAGGTAGTACAACTCGGTGTGCTTGTTGTTTCTCCTGTGGTTTTACTTGCAGTTGCATCTGTATGCTCTCCCTCGTCCTGCGCAACATCATCATCCGATGCAGCCCTAGTTTTCTTCTTGTTCTTGCTCAATTTTTTCACATCCTTCGCGATTTTGCCGCGGTTTTTCTTTTTCAGAGCTCCTTTCTTCACCATCTTGTTGTTCGTATTCGTTATCGTTGTACTGCTGCAATGTCCTTCTTTCGACGACTTAGAGTGTTGCTCTTAGTTTGTTCAATGTTCACAAGTTCGTACGTCTGTCGTGCTACATCAAAGACAAAAATCTCTACTCGTTAGCCTGCATGTTATATAAGAGACAGAGACATGCAAGATCATGGGTTGAGAACAAATTTTATGAATTTATCACTATCAGTAAAGATGATCATTGTTTTTATTGCGAGCAGATCTTTACCTTTTTTAGCAGAAGATGTGAACGGAACTTTCTTGATCTATGTATTGCTTTCCTGCGACTTCTTAAGAGCCAGATCTACCAAAGCCACTGGAACAGGCCAGAGGCAAAACCGCACTGCTCCGTGATCGTGATTGCGGCCATAGTATCTCTTTTTGTGTCAGGATCTTCGACGTAGTGAAGAGTGATCCTTTGTCTAGTATTACGACATCGTTCATCTTCACGAAGGTAGGTGTATCAGAAAAAAGAACTACCAGGGCCAGACCTTTGAAGCTCATCCTGGTACTACATCATGGTGGCCAGCAGCATGCTAGTCTCTGCGGCAGATGATGAAGGTCAAGACAAAACTTTACGCATCTACTTTGCAGCGTTAGCCTTAAGACTCATCAATCGTCGCCGGCCAACTGGCCATCATGCGTCCGGAGATGGGAGAAAAGAGCCACAATTTGCTATGCACGTCCCCGTTGCTGAGCCGCACGCGGGATTTACAAAGCCAGTCCTTCACGTCAAGAGCGTCCCACGGGTCGGGTTCTGGCTTGCCCGTAAATTTCGCATGCACTGCGTTGAACTGGTCGACCTTTTTCCTCCAGGTATCTGATTCACTGACGATCTTCACATCCGTTTCGTCGCACAACGGAAAGAACACCACGTCGGTGACTGTGGTCACGACTTCCGAAGCTGAGGTTGAATCATGGCCGCTAGCCTGTTCTTCCACTACGAATTTCTCTGTCGCTTTGGTGAGTAAGTTGAACAGCGTCTCCCCCGGTGCGATCCCGGTCAACTCGTTGAACTTGCTTATGGTCCCAGGAGGTGAACCTCCTCCGGCGTTCGAAGTCGTCGTACTTGATGCACCAGCAGGCACGTGCGCGACATATCCCGGGTCGAGAAATTCCTCCAGGTTGTGAAACTTCCGCTTGACAAACGTCGTCTTGAAATACTCCACAACGGAAGCCTCCTCTTCTTTCATCAGGGCGATGCCTCGAAGCGAAGGGTTGACCGGCATGGTGTTCTTGGGAGTCTTGTATGAATGTAGCTCGTTCCTACTCAACTTGTTGTACACGAGTGACCTGGTGGCCCTGCGATCGATCTGGTAAGCCAAGACAGTTTCGAAGGATCACCTCAACAAGGATAATGATCGGCTTTGGGGCGTGTTTGCGATAGACATCTTTGATGATCAACTCTGTGGGTACAATGCTGTTGATGTCGAACGCTTTCGACATATTCGTGCGGCCTGTCGCGTGAGCATCACCTTGGATGTAGCTGCTTTCACAGATGTAATACCGCAACATACTTTTTTATTTTTTTTTCGAAGCAGAATCTGTCCTGCTGTTGCGACATTCTGTTTCTGTCAACATATGCGATGCCAAAGCAAACCCAAGCGCTGCGCCAGCTTAGGTTACTTTACGTAACAGACGTTCTGTGCAGGTGCAAAATTTTGTTCTGCTATGCAGAATAGAATACGCATGAGCAGTCCCGTAAAATTTGTCTGAAACTGAATTAGTAAGTGGTCCAGAAACTTGGCTATCCGTATGAGTCATCGTGCGTATCGGTACTGTAACAAAACAGCAAGACATGCTTATTTACGTGTGAAATTATCATTTGTTGATTGCATGTACATGTTACAGCGAAACTATGTATTTCAACATGGGGAAACCATATCTATCATGGTAGGTGTACCTGTACGTACACATAGCTAGATGTTGAAAAATAATGCTTGGCATTGACTTTTTGATAAGCTACAGCGAGCTCCTGTTGAAGCAACATTCTTGAGGTACTATTCTTTGTTCGAATAAAACCGAGGCTGGGACGGAATAGACTTGTACTCCAGTACTAAAGCGTACATGCATCAGTAAAGCATAGGATATCTTCTTCTAATTCTATCGTTGCGATACATAAAGTACTGAAAAGAAAAAGTAGAGGCTACCCATTGCAAAATGTCTTCACATGAACAACTACGGCGGCGGTCGCTGTTTTGGTGGCTCCGCGTCCCGGCGCTCCTGGTCTCCGGCCAGGCCGTCCGGCGCGACGTTCGGCGTCCCCTCCAGGTGGCAGTCTAGCTGCGTGCGCATCCGCGTGCCGTCCAGGAGCAGGGTGCTGTGGCGGCTGACATCAAACCAATAATAGCCGCGTCCGCGGAGGTAGTGAGGTCATGGCGGTCTTTTTGTCTTCACGCCAAAAAAGGACGCAACTTCTCTGCCCACCATGCCATCGTGAGTAATGTTATGCACGACGGCACGGCGGTCGCTAAAAATCTCAATCCAGAGGCGGCCCCCATTTGGTTTCGAATCGAAGAACCGTCCCCGCATGCTATGGCCCCGCCAGGGCCCACGCCAGGGTCGGCCCCTTGGGAGCCCCAAATCGGGCCCATAGCATGCGGATTGGCTTTTTGCTTTTGGCGGACTTTGTTTTTTTTGTTTTTTTTTTGGCAAAATGCTGCATCTTCTGGTCTTCAGTCCGCCTCTGAAATGGCGGATTTTGAAGGCGTCTTTTGCGCGGCCCGAATGTGGGGAAAAATGAGGCCCATACCATGCGGATTCTCTGTTTTTTTCGGAGTGCTGCTTTTTGGGCGCCCATTTTTGGGCGCCGCAAATCGCCAGAAACTAAGGCGGTGGGCGCCTCAGAAGGGCGCCCCTTTTGCCGGCTCCCCTGCGTCGTTTTATCAAGCGGGAATCGATAGAATCCGCCCGGGCTATTTTGCCGCAAACGCCCCGGCCGCTTGATAATTGAAAACTTTTTTTGTTAAAAACACTTCCGGCCGCTTGAAAACTGCCGGTCGTTTTGCGTGATGCATGTCAAAAAAACCGCTAGGATAGAACGTTCGTGACCTCACTACATACAACGTGTTGTCCTGAAGACTGTTGGACGGGTAGGGAAGGTCATGTAACGCATCCGAATGCGACGTCGAGGTAGAGGAGTTTGATGTGCTAGACACCCTTTGTAAAGGCAGCGTAGTTGAACTCGCCGGTCTACTTGATCCCGGCTTTTTTTCTTGTTCAGCGAGGTGGACAGAGAGCTCTTTATTAGCACTTTTCGAGTGCTGTCGCACCAGAGACATCTGCGAACGCGAGAAACTTGATGTTCGTGAATTGTTGTTCTCGGTGGCCGCCTGCTGAAGAACTAAAGTGTTGCTTGATACGCCGTCGGCATCAGGAGCATGATGGGCGACCGCTTCATCTTTGCAAGTACCACTGCTCGCAGTCCTCGTTTCCGGCTTTGCCGAGTAGATCGGTTGAAGTGGGGAACCGTTGCTTGTCGTGGACATCGGCACGTCGGCAGCGGAGTGCTGATTACGGTTGCCTGACGCACGCTCCGAGCAACCCGACGAGATCATCCTGTCGTTGTAGGCGACCCTGGATCTTGTCGAAGAGTTTCGGTCCTGCAAGTCCTGATTGAATTTTCCCGAAGAGAAACTGGACAAGTTGTCCTGCTGATAATCGTCCTTCTCGGCATGATACAGCTGCTGCATCTTCGGAGCGACCTCCCGCTGCTGCAGCATCTGGTCGTGTAGCCGCGGTTGACTAGATTGGGTTTCTAATTCTACCGGCGAATGCACCACCGAACCACCCGGAGCGACGTTCAGAGAAGTTGCCTCTCGGCCGACTAGGGCTTCCCAGTGCTGCACTTTTTCCTTGACGGATTGGGCAGAATCGGGAGAGCAACTGAGTGATGTGGCCTTCTGTTCGAGTACGTTGGTGTGCGCGTCGGTGCTGTGGGCAGCAAAAATCACCGCGGAACCAGGAGGCGCAGCCGTACGTGATGTAGTTCTTGCAGCAGCAGTTGCGCCATCATTTGCACATGTAGTGGCTCCGTGCTCATCTGCGACCTGTGGTCTTCTTTGATCTGCAGAAACGATCATCTGTGGACGCGGAACAGCATGGTTCATCGCGTTCTGGTTTTGATGTTGTACTGCAGCAGAAAGTTGCGAGTTGCTGGACTTGTACAGACTGCTCTTGGTGGTGACGCAACTGCGGCGCAACTCGTCCATGAGAATCTGATTTTCGTTTTGCAGCCTCGTATTCTCATCCTCCAGGTTCCGCACCTTCGACTCGCAATCCCACCGGTATCAAATGCAAAAATGTCGGGGTCTGGAAGGATCCGAACTTGTCATGTAGATTTTACATGGCCCGTGACGTCTGTGATGTATTCCCTGGCATCACAGATTTTCCGAGTGCTTCTTGATGCCTATTCCGCATGACAAATGGCCTCCCTGCGTAGCAGAAACTGGACTCCTCTTGCTGGTCATGCAATACAGATTTTTCTAGAGTCCAAAGTTAGCATCACAAGTTCCAGCTTTCCAGACCCAGACATTTTTACATCTGATAACCGGAGCATGCGGGCAAACCTCCGGATACGCCCATCCAGCCGTTCCAAATCTGAAGTCGCAACCAAGCTGAACTTCCCCTGTGAAGGTATGCGAAAGAATTTCTTTCGACGGTAGTCGCACTTGCACCAAAAATTTCAGGACCTAGTACTAGTACAGAAATCACATAAACGCAAATTTGTCGCTCGAGCTGTGACGCGATCTGTTGGCAGGTTTCTCTTCTGTTGTTTGTGAACATGAAATTAGAATTACCTCAAAGTAAAGACACACGTTTTTACCTGCTTTTCCCCTGTTGGTACAGTGATGCTATCTTGATGCTGGGAGTAGTTGACACCAGGTTTCTGGTCCTTCATTGAAGAACTACTTAAAGCTTTCTTGCCGCCTTGTTGCGCGCTCTTACCGGCGGGTGTGCATGAGCTGGCTGCAGACAAATTGCGCTTGACTCCCGACGAGTTCGAATACGCCGCAACGGTGTGTGCGTGCCCGCGAGCCTCGTAGCCAGCGAGCCGCTGTTGTTTCTGGCGTTTGCTAGCAAACTTTTCTTCGCGCGCGACGAGATCCGTGCGAAGCTTCTCCAGCTCCGCGCGGTAGTCTTCGACGTATTGAATCTCGAGCGCGAGCTCCTGTTTGGAATTCAGTAGCGCCTGCTGTTCACATCCTATGGCTTGTCGGTACTGGTCCAGATGAATGCGCTCCTGCTTCAACTGCGTCTGCACGTCTGACAAACGCTGTTCCCAGTCGCGAACCTGAGCACACGATTTTTTTTCACTTCCATGGAGATGGAGTTTCAAATTCAAAACAAATTGACACGCTGCATTCATTTCGACGATAACGACCACGGATTCAACACTTATGTACCTGCTCTTCCCTGGCCAATACAGTTTCCTCCCGGACCCGCAGTGCCTCCTCGCGTTCCTGATCGTAGAGGCGGGAGTTTTTGGTCGACATTATCCCGCGCTCGCCCTGCTCCGAGACAAACAGCTTCTGTTTCCCCTTGTCTCCCCCGCCCCCTCCTCGGCCGCTGAACTGATGGCTCCAATCATCCTGCTCCTCCAACAGTGTCGTGGTGCGTTGGTTCATGCCGCTCGATCCGATGGGGCTCAATTCATCGCCGAACAGCGGACCCTGGTGCTGCAGCTGCTCTGGGTACGGCACTTTCAAGCGTGATTGATGCGAGTGGGGAACAGCAGTTGTGCTTGTTGTGCGTCGCACTACGTGTCCTTGCTGCTGTTCGTGATCATGATGTCGGTTGTTCCCCTTCGACTCCGAACTCGGATCTAGGTCGGATGGCTGCATTTGTGGAGTGTTTTCAGGAACCGGCACCTGACTCCGGATTCTTTCGTCTGCGCCTCCGGCGGAATGCTCCGGGAGCGCTGGTCGTGGTTGCAGCCCGGAATTATACTGGTGTAGTACCTGCTCCTGCTGTACTTCCAGTGCAGCAGTTGTGGAGTGGTGCGGCGTCGCCCCGGCGTGGCGTCTGAAGTCAGCAGATTCCATGAAAGCGGACAAAGTTTGAACATGCTGGCTTTGGCTTTCCGTCGTCGCGGTTCGATCATGAGGCGGTATGACTTCCGCTACCACCGCGTCCGAAGCCTTACTCAACGTCGTTACTGATGATGAAACCGCTCGCGAAGAGGTTCCCGCCGGTGGATGTTCACAACTGTTGACAGACTTTCTATCCACGACGTTGCAGCTTGGTACATTTTTCATTCCTCGAGTCATGTTTTGGTGGTCGGCCAAATGGATTTCAAGATGTTGATGCGCTTCCTGTTGAGAATGCACGCGAGAGGAAGGCAACCCCACTCGCACGACACTAGATTCTGCAACTCCTCGGCCGCTGTTGCCGTGGTGAAGCTCGACGGTCATTGGAGTCAGCTCTTCGATTCCGGGAAGCCGCACCGTGCGGTTTGCGCCAAACGTGGATGAGTAATCTTTCAGCTCCGATCGCAACGTGGTTCCAGAAGAATCCGAGAAGTCGAATGGCTCCCGATCGCTGGCGCGCAGAGCCTGGAAACGCTTCTCGAGCTGCTGCTCTTGCCCGAGACGGTTTGCAGCTCGCTCCTGTAAGGAATAGTCCCGTGACAGAATGAACGTTACTCATGACTGTCTGAAGAGTGAGAGAAGCAAATTTAGAAAAACAAAGGAGAATCGCCAGCATGGAAAAATAAATTTTGATTTTCTTTGTCGTATCTTTTGATAGTACCAGGTCAACGTCCGCAATCTCCCCGTGGTCCTCATGGGACATCAAGCTGCTTTTCGTTCCGGGCTTGTCAAGCGCGATACTGTTCGTGGTACCTGTTTTCATCTGCAATTCCAATTCGTGGGCTGATTCTAGCTCTTGTATTCTCAGATCATGATCCTCATCCCTCAGGATCGACTCCACGAGCTCTCTTTCGCCGTGCAGGCGCATCTCATGCCCGCTGTCGTATTCAGTATCCGGGTCATCCACGATATGATGCTCCGGGGGTTCCGCTGGCGCCGAGCTGTCGCAGCTGCCAGCACTCGACGAAGAACTGTTAGACGACGGCGCATCGTCTTCTATTTCTGGCGCAAGAGCGTAGGTCGAACACGGTGCAACTCCCTCATCGTGTTGGTTCGCCAGATTGGGGAACAAGGTAGCCTGCTCAAGCTGTGGAGCGGAGCTGCCATCAACGTCTCCAACAGCAGACCCGGGTCTTGTCAAGGACAGACCGCTCGTGCTCGTAAAACTCGCCTGCAGCAGCTCCCTGCAACTGCCGGACGGAATTCGGTCTTCTAAACTGCTCGTCAGGGAGCGACATTTTTGCATTGCGATCAAACCGATCTGTCGTCGCAAGGTCGACACGTCGTGACTCCACGCGGTCTCCACGCGCCGCAACTCCCTGTCCCGCCGCTCGATCTCCTTCTTCTGCAAACGAACCTGTCGTGTTTGTTCATCATGAAGACTACCGACTTCAGCGACGACATTAAGACTATTAACAAGAAGTACGAAGTACCGACTTTGGCGTTGCGGAAAAAGAAAATGCAATTTATATTTACCTGCCGCATGAGCTCCGTTCGCAGCACGGCTTCCGACCCCTTCCCATCGGCTCCCCGCGACGAGAGGCACTTGCCGAAAGAGTAATTCCGGAGTGACGACTCCGACATAGCGTCGTCCTCCGGTGTGAGGACGGCTGCGGTCTCGTCTAGAAGAATCTGTTCTTCCTCCGGGACAACATCCGCGCCGTGGTCGCAGCATTCGCTGCCGTTCTGCACAACTACATTCCCGTCGTGTTTCTCCTCCGTTTCCATGCTTCTCGTTGTCTCGAGCAAAATCGAGGACTGCGTGTCGCCGAGCGTGTCCGGACTCGGGCGCTGGTTTTCGTTGTGGGCCTTCTGTTCCATCTCTAATATTTCCTGTGCAGCTCCTTCTTGGTCTTCTGCTTCGCTAGGGTCCAACACGCTGATGACTGAATCGTCGATGTCTTGGTTGTCAGCGCCAACTGCTTTGTCTTCCATAGGTTGCTGCAAGCGACGGCCCTGTGCAGCGATTTGTAAACAAGTACTACAGAGCGCTTTGTTTCGGAAATAAGGCGAAGATAAAGTTGTAGTCAGACAGTGGATGATCATAGCGACAACCCTTCGTAGCAGCAACTCCAGCAGTTTCAACTAGTTGTGTAGCTGCGAGGTACCTCTTTTTCCTCAAGCTTTGTGCCGACCAGTTTTTCCCAGTCGCGGCCCATGCCCTCGACTGATTCGTACTTGAGAAATTGCAACCCTTTCGAGATCTCGGAAGACAATGCCTCACGGGTGTCATACGAGAGTTGCTCGCAACGGGCGTTCGTCGACATTGGAAATCGTAATCGACACGGTGGGTCGTCTTACCACCAACACGGGAAAATGGAGAGTGATAGTACTTTCAAAATTCGGAAAAGAAATTCGCGCGGTTTTATGTCATCTCTCGGAGTGCTCTGGAATGCTTAGAAGCCGGTTGACAGCTCGTGCCAAGTCTGCATGCGCCACCCGCTGTTCATAGGATTCTCTCACATCCAAAAATACCACTCAACAAAACCAAAATGTCGAACAATGTTCGCGTAGAATACGCAACTGTGTGTTGCTCCCAGCTGAAAGAAGTCTCGACTTTTTGTTTTTTGTCTTTTATCTGGATGTGGATGTGGAAGCGGATGAAAAGAAATAAAACTGGAATGTTGAAAACACAGACGCCAATGCTTGTCGGGGCCTTACAGTACGCGCAGCAAAAAAGACAATGTTTTCGCGCATGCTGAATATTTTACAAAAAACAAGCTAACATGCATATGACATAAGGACTACAAAAAAATCAAAATGAAACTCACATGCAGGAAACGCACGCAAGTGCAAAAAACTAAACTATGTTTGACTTTGAGTAAAGTAAATCGATATCCTATGACGGCAGCAGGTGCTCTGAAAAATGCATCTCACAGATATTTCATACAATCCGTTTTGAAGGAGGAAGCTTTCACGACTCGGTTAAACTTCATGTTTCTGCTCTTTTTAAACGCCACCGCTTTGAGCATGGCCCCGCTTGTCACTGCACACAACAGGATCGGCATGGCGGCCTCCGACGCGGAGTAACCGAGCATCCGGGCTACCGTTGCATCACCAGCAGTGGGGGAGGTGGATTCAAAATGATCGGCAGTCACATTCGAAGTGGCGTTAGAAGACCACACCAACCCGCCCGGTTTTTTGGTGTAGTTCATGTCGAAGTCACCCTTGAGCGGCTGCGGCACGTGTTGCGTTTGCGCGTAGATGATGTGACCATTGAGCACGATTTCCACAAACATGGTGAGGAGGCACAGCGTGTACCACGCCTTTTTGCTCCCCACGTCGACGCTGTTCGGGTCGTTCACCTCTTGCAACATGCACCATCCGCAGCAGCCACGAATCACGCCACAGAGCAGGAACAGGTAGATGGCCAGAAGGGTCGCCAAATTTGTGTTGTCGGGAACGCAAAACGGGATCACAAGCTCGAACGGCTGAAAAATCCCCAGTAGCGGCAACAATACGAGCAAAATCAGGTCCAAGCCGAAGCCCCACACCACCAAAAACCAGCCGAATTTTGTCTGCCGCGCTATTTGCGCCGTTGTCGGTGCGGTTCCGGGTGCTAGGCCGTGCGGCGACATGGGTGTTCGTTCGGATGGGTCGGTACTAAAGACAGTACGAGAAGGACGCGAATTCGATTTGTTCATCGAACAACAAGAAAAAATGAATCTAGGACGAACCGACGAAGAGGCATCATGTAGATTTTTCGAAGCTCATTTAGATTCAAACTCGAAGATACAGACACCGACTATAGTAAACTTTTGATTTTTTCGTGCAATATTTTGTTCTCTCCATCGTTTGCTTGACGAAACATTTTCATTTCGACAGCTCTTTGTGTTTGCATGATCTATTCCATTTTTTTATTATTCAAAACCTCTCGCGAGCAAGAAGCGAACACGTTTCTGGAAATATCAGAAAGAACCTAGGAGCACGGTGGATCGGCCACGTTGAGTTTCTTGGTCAAAGTGCTTGCATTCAGATGGTCGTCATGGAGTGTAAGTGTAGCTGGCGTCTGAGTAAGTGTTTCGCCTAGTGTATCCACAGTGCAGAAAATGATAATTATGGAAATGCTTGATGATGTTGTCGATGCAGCAAACCAGTCTCAAGCGCCTCCGGCCGCGGCCTTGTACTTTCCAAACCGGCTTTCGTACATGCGGACGCATTGTCGCAGTGACTGGATGTAATAGAGCTTGCCAAGTACATTTGTCAGGTCCAGCACTGGTTTCGCAGTCGCGCCGTACCCCAGCATGTGGCACATCAGTTCCTTCTGCACGGTTTGCACTGCAATGTCCACCGCTTGCGTCATGAGGTGCTCTCTTTCCGAAGCCTCTACACCATCCGAAATTGAAGTCACTTCCGCCTCTTCTACTTCCGACACTGATGTGCCAGCATTCTTATTTGGAATTTTCTTTCCCGGCTCGACAATACCACTCGCTGTCCCGTCGTGCGCCGCCAGAAGCCCAGCGCTCGCATAGACCGCCCGGAGAGATGCCATCTGGGCCAGCAGTTTGATATCGAGACTGAGATTTTCCTCTTCCAGCGCGTTCTCTAGCACCGCGCAAAGCTCCATCGCGCTCCTCCAGTCCTCTCCGTCCGCCTCTTCTGTGTCTTTGCTATTCGTTGACGGGGCCGCTTTATTGATGAACTGTGTCAGTTCCGTGAAGCCCTGTCGGAGCGGAATTAGCCGCGCGTTCTCCTCCGAAAATTGCGCCTCGGACGGACCACTAGAAGCGGAGGAACAGAACTCGCTGCAGCGAACGCAGCGGCATTTGAAGTCGTACAAACGGTGCAGGTAGTCTTGCCGATTCTTCCAGTCGAGAAAGAGGAAATGCTGAGCCGTGTCCTGCCACTCATCTAGTACTTTCCCCTGCGGGTAGCACCAAAACAGCTCCTCGCCCTCCTGAATGTCGCGCAGTGCCAGCACAACGCCGTTCTGTTGCCACAGGTTCGGCCGGCAGCCGTGATTGACGCGGGAAAGAAGCGGGAAGAGAAGGATAAAGTTGTCCTCGCGGATGCTGTTCGTGCGCACCGCACCGTACGCCATTTTTACCGCGAGCTGCTGGACAGCATCTGGTGCGCTTTCCAGCATTTTTTTGAAGCCGGTATCTTCTGTGCTGCTGCTATCGGGCACCACGTAATTTTGTCGGATGTAGTCACGCACCAGCGTGCTCTCCTCCTCGGTCGGAAAGCCTCGCTCTTTCAAATCCAGCAAATGCGTCAGCTCCTCGGGAGACAGGGTCTTGAAGCTTGGCTTTTGGGTCGCTTTATCATTCTCCCCGTCTTTCTTAGTCGCAGCGAGAAAGTTCAAGTCTTCCAAGGCGCTGCTGTCGCCATCTCGCTGCACGCCGGCCCGCGGATTACACTTCAACTGCAAAACCGCTTCCATTTGTGTGTCGTTGAGTTCTTTCCAGAACCAGTTTTGACAGGCCTCAAGGTTAAATTCTGTCTTGTCCGCGTCGTGTTTCAGAACCGGCTTATCTTGGAAGACGACCGAATACCTGGGGATATCCCGCTTCGCAGCCAGCCCAAGCCCCTGGGGGTCGGTGGTCTCAGCTGTAGGACCGGCGCCATCTCCGCTTTTCGAAAATTCACCCTTCTCGTCTCCGCTTACCTTCTCTGCCTTGTGGCTCTGCTCCGTGATGACGAAGAAGTTGTCGCTTTCCTTGTCTGCTGGGTCGTCAAACACCTGTTCGCCGAGTTCTTGAATTTCGGACTCGGCCGCGACGAAGGCATTTTGTTTCAACCTGGAGTGGCATTCGGGGGGCAGCTGTTTTTCCAGCCCGGAAACGACCTTGTCCACGTTACGGGTCAACGGGTTGTCGTCGCCGGAGCGGGACATGCTCGTGGGAGACGACATTTTGGAATAAACTAGCGGGATATCTTGTAATATCAGATCCGAGGGGCAAGGACGAAAACTAGCAGCACGAATGAAGGAAGGGGAAATCTTCGAATCCGGGTAAGAATAAATGCAATGTGTCAGTAATTGATTCGGGTTTCACTTGTTTCACACGTCTTGAAATATCAACGGGTCTGATCTAACCAACGGGTCTGAAGATATTCAAGGAAAAAATTTCGTGTGCCTGTCGGTTTGGTCTTTTTTGCGCATATTCTGTGCATGCGAGGGAAAGTCAGTGTGTGCATAATCGACTTCAATCTTAGTATACATGAACATGATCTTGATCATGTGATCGTGCTGGATTTTCTTGTTCGTCAGTCTTTGTCTTTTGTGACCATATCTTCTCAGAAGATTCTTACATCGTTTTGATCCTTGTCTTGCACACGCATGCGCATGCCTAAAAATGCGTTCGATCAGGAATTTTTACAGCGCAGCTTCGCACGGATCGAAGCAACGGATAGGATCATCGAAAGAGCTTGTTCACAACATGTATAGGACCGCCATTTTGATTTTCAATTTCATCAAATGCCAATGCGTCGGCAGGCCAAGAAGCGACAGATCTCAGCAGAGCAGGCTTTTGGTTTGCGTTTGGAACTTGTAATTGCCGCACTCCGTGGGTCTTTTTTCGAAGATGAGGCAACACGTCCGCCGTTCTTGCCCGAAGCTCATAGTGACACACGGAGAGCAACCGTCCGATGAAGATTCTTCGAGGACGAAAGGAGCATACAACTACGAGGACCTCTGCCAATTTTATCTCTTCAACGTCTGCGCAGAATAGGGAATTGACAGCACATTTTTCTTCGTTTGTCCTTGTGCTTAATTTATGAAATTCGTTTAATATACGATTGATTCTTTCGACTACACGTGCTCAAGTCCGCTCGGAAACTACAGCTTGAAGCTTCCGCGCAACCCAACGCGCCATTGCGTCGAGATTCTTGCTGTGTCTTTCGTACTCCTCGAACTCCAGGACCAGAAAGTGGGGAAAGACATCTTGATGAAAGAAGTCGCGGATTATTGTTCTTCCGGTTTTGCACCACAACCTGTTTCCTCGGTTCTTCACGTAGTGCTGCTCGCCGTCGACTTCCACGGCTACTTGAACATTCTGATCGGGCAACTCGACAAGAAAGTCAACGCTCCAGACACGATCGGGAGTTACGTATTCTCGAATGTAGGACAGTCCGAGGTGTTCAAGGGCGTCAGCGACGTTTTCTTCCATGCAAGAAGTATGCCCGTCTGTACCACGAACGAACCAATCCGAGCGCGCTGCTTGCTCCAGCTCGGGACTCAGAACGGGCCACCAGCGAGCTGAGTTTTGCGTGTTCTTCTTCTTGTGCTTGTTCCATATCGTCGCAGCTGTGTGATATTGAAACAAGACCGATAATGAGAAAACGCCGCAAGCATCCAGGTGACGTGTATCATCTGTAGGAACATGATCGCCCCGAGCGCTGCGAATAGCAATGTCATCCTTGGTGGGAGAAGAGAAAGAGTCGAAATGCTGGTCGTGGTCGTTTCTTTCTGCGCCCTCGTTGCACTCAGAGATTTGACAATTTCTGTCCGATCCTGACTCTTTCTCCTCTGTATTTGCTGCTCCTTCGCCGCACAATTTGGTTGCCTCGTGTTGATGTTGCCCAAGAGGCCCGATTGCAACAGCAAAACCTGCCTCGCATTTCATAACGAGAACCGTGTAGATGTCACCGTATGTGATTGTTGGAAGCCCCTGCTCATCTTCGTCACAGCGCAAAGCTATGCCCTCAGTGGCGACATTGGACATTGCCGCCAGCTTTTCCGCAGCCAACTTCAATTTCCGAGCTTGGCGGGACGTTCGGGTAATGACTTGGTCGCTTCCCATATCCAGAAAGCACGCAAGCACTGCGATTGCTCGTAGACAATGAGCTGCTTCGGAGAATGTCATCTTGCTCAACTCGCATGGAATGGCAAGTAGTAAGTCTTCCAGGAATTCACGACCAGGGTCCAGCTGCAAGCACGCAAACGCGAACAAATAATTGTCGATATTTGTGTAGCTGGAGGTAGAAGCGGAGGAGCATGATGTTGCGCTTATCTGGTGGTAACAGTCCCCGAAAATTCTCAAGATATCGGGCGACACTGTCTCACGAAGATCTGCGTAGCTCGAGAGCAACAGCGGGATACTACGCACACGAGAGTTGAGCTCCAGAAGCAAGTACTGGCTGCGCAAAATTTTTTCCATCGAGTCGAAGAATTCGGCACCGGGATGGTATTCAAACTTCGCAAAGGCCCCACACACGTTCGTCAGATCTACGGTTTCCACCTGCCGAAAGGCTCGAGTAGTCATCTGATTTTTTGTCCGGAGGCAACTTTCAAAGTGCTGAAGCAGTTGATCCATGAAGGCAGACATGTTGAGACCAGACTCCCGCAAAGGGTAAAGCGTAAACCGGCCGCGGTCTACTGCAGCGAATTCGAGATCAGCCAGGCACTGCAATGTCCCGCAAAGTTCCTCGACTTTAAAACGTTCTCGCACTTCGCTGAGCCTTGCACCAAAGGCACGACCAAGAGCACCGACGACGGCGTGGCGACGAAATGAGCGCAGGTCGAAGAAGCCGCGGATCGTGTGGCACAGGTCCATGGCGTTCATGCTTCCTGCCACATGCTGTACTTCCTCTACGAGTGCTGCAATAGCCTCGGCGCTCAGGAAGGAGCTTGCCAGTGCAGGGTCTTCTCTATTCTCCTTGACAGAAGCAGCAGCCCGCCACTCTGATCGGTCGGTCGGAAGATGACAGCACGTCGACGAAGATGCTTGCGAATCCGAATTCGAGCGGCTGATTTCTTTAATGAACCGAATGTCCCTGCTTGATGAGTCATGACCTCTTGCATGCAGTCGACCGAGCTTGACGAAGCGGCCAGCCGCCATGCAGACCTGCGCGATGTCAAAGCAATTGAATTGATGTCGTCTGGTGTAAGTGCAAACTCGCTCGGAAAAGGCGGCCAAGAGCGTTTTCGTAGGAATCGTTTTCATCGCGGACAACACACAGAGGATATTAGCAATGTCCCGGGGCCACATGCCGGAAACTTTTCGTGTTGCCTCGGAGTCCAGAACGGTTAAAAAAGTCCCGTCGCAGAGGGATGTAATTGACTTATCTCGCAGCTTTTCTTGTTTCTGGTAAAGGCGTGCCAACGAATGAAAAACGCAGCACAGATCCAGTACGTTGCAGCGCGGAAGATGATGCAAAACCTCTTCGTGAAGCATTTGCTTCAAATCGGAAATAAGTCGGCGCTTGCTTGTTGCGACACCCATTGTGGCTGTGCCGCTGGCAGATTCCTGACAAAGTTCCTTGACCTTCCGGCTAAATTCCGACACAATGCGGTAGGTCTCATCTGGACTTCGCTTTCTGTATTGCATGGGCAACAGCTGCATGCTTTGGCCATTTTGCGCTGTTGAGTTCCTTTGAAATGGCTCGAGAACGTCGGCGACCTTTATCGATGAAGAATACACATACAGCTTGAAAGAAGAAGAAGGCTTTTTGATGGGCACGTGTTGTTGCTTAGCTCCTGCATTTTGGCCCACCCTGTCCAGCCCGTCTTCTTCGACTTCGTGTTCCCCGTGCGCAGTTCCAGGGGTTCTTGTATCATGTGGCTCTGGCACCACCATCTCCATCGCTATTCTGCATCCATTTCCAGTTGCTCCTCCCCCCGGCTTGTCACTGCATGCAGAATACTCCCCTTTCGTAAAATTCATCGGTCGCGTCTCGCATGATGTAAAGTTCTCGACAGAACCACTATCTTTTTGGTCTCCGACATGATCATTGTGGTGGTCGGTATGAGGAAGCGTTGCATGATCATGTTGACTGCGGCCTCCACCTCTAGCTCTGCGTTTGCCACGTCTGTTGCGCTTTTGCTTTGCGAGCGCTGTCAACTCGGTAGCTTCCTGGGACGCCGAAGGTGGTCGTGTTGCCGCAGTCCTTGATGTGGTACTCGTGCTTCTACTGTAGGCGCATGAACATGGAGGCTTGCAATCGATCTGACCACCTTGCACTTCCTGTTCGTGCCGCTGCGGTGGAAGGTAGATCGTCAAAGTGTCTCGCGCTGCACGACCACGTGCTGGCTCCGGAGACGCGTGAGTTTCCTTTCGCTCTCCCACGAGGATGATGGTTCTTCTTCTCGTTGTGTCTCTAATTCCTAGCCGTTGGATTGACGGCACATTGGTGGTGTTGTACCCACTTCCGTGCTGCGTCGGTGCGTTTCGTTTGCTTGCCCTGTCCACATCATTTCCAAAGCCGAAGTACGGCGGAGCGCCCGAGCTTTTGGCCCTCCAATCCAGATCCGTGTCAACATTCTTGACCGCGGCAAGCGAAACTTGCCGAAAGTTTTCTTTTTTGTCGTCGCGTAGCTGGTTGGTCGAAGGGCGTCCGTCGAAAGATTCGACGTCTAGAACGCGAGGAGGAGGCGTCACCGCCGGCATGCTCAAATATTGAGAAGAAGGTCGTTGACGACGAGCGACAAAACGAATGAATAATCTGGCAAAGCCCCCTGCCACTGCCTGTGCCTCCGATTGGCATGTCACTCACTATTGTATCACCCCGACCACAACGAACGGTAAAAGAGAAGGGTGTACAAACGAGTGGCGAAATGAGGTACGGGAATTGAGAACCACGAAAAAAACACGAGAATCACACAAACGCGTCGGAACAACACTTTTGCTTTGTCTAAATCTTTAGGCGAACGAAAAGATCGGGGCTTTAATGATAATGTTACCGAATCTCAAGCGCGCTTGCAAGCGCTAGAGAAGGGTTTGTGGAACAGACCACCACGCGAGGCCACCCTCCAGCGTTGACACGCGGCACACAAAAATGTTCCCAGTGCTGTCCGGGCACACACAAGTGAAAAATATTGATATTCATGACGACGGTCATTCGTTTAGGGGCCACTATTTGACCACTGTGCCCTATAGTGCTGTACTCCGTCGAGGCCACTTGCAAAAATCGCGTCACCGCAGACCGCGAGGTCGTAGCAGAAACTGCTATTTGCAGCGGACGCATCTGCACGCTTACCCCCTCCAGCGGGTTCGAGCTGCTCCATTGTGTTCACGTCGAAAGAGTAGACTCCAGACGAGTCCAGCAGTGCGCAGTAGTTCGGCAGCCGCAAGGGATGCAGCCGTATCGCGGTGCCGATGAGCTCCCGGCCGGCCTGCGGACCACGCTCCAGTTTGCGTGCGTCGAACTGAAAACAGCCGTCACCGGCACAAAGAATCGATGTGGGCGCGGGAGACTGCGAATTAGCCTGAAAGAGTTTCAACATATGTGCTTTGCGGGCTAGGATGCGGCTGTTCTCGAATATGTGAAACAATGCATGAGTACGAGAAGGAGAACAATGAAAAACAGAAGCAGGAGACAATAAAGCTGCGACTGGTAGCTACTACTTACCTTCACAGCCGCAACGCACGTCAGATCCGTTTCTGCCATGGAGTATTCCGACACACATGCGTTTTTCTCGCGGATGTCGAAGAGCATCAAGCTTGCCGCTGGGGCGCGCGACACCGCGGCCAGGCAAAACGGGTCTAGCGCGACGAGGTCCCCGGCTGGCGTCACGAGCGGCACCTGCCGCGCCGCGCGCAGCTCCCTCTCGCCCTGAATCAGTAGCAGGCTCTCCTCGAGCGTGGTGGCTGCGAGACAGACCGCGTCGCCGAGGAAGCAACTTCGAGTTACGCGCTCGAAAGTGGTCTGCTTGTCGGGCATTTCCACTTGCCACACCTGCTGCGTATCTCGCCAGAGCTGCGCGAAGGCGCTTGTCCGCCCGTCGGCAGACACCAGGCCGACGCTGGCCCGGTCGCCGAGCTTGCTGTGTGCGAGGGAAACGACGGAAAAGTCCTCGCAGGGAATGATATCCGTGCATAATTGCGCAGTGACGTCAAATTGGCATACCGCGTTTTTTGTCCCAGTCAGAAGAGTTTGCGAGTCCACGTAACTGACACAGAAGAACGGCAGGCGGGACGAGGAGGAACTGGAAGAACTTGACCCGGAGTTCGAAGCTGGGATCCACATCCGCGAACAGGGATGCAGTGAGCAGCTGAGACGATTTTTAAACATTTGCCCACCGGCGTGTGCATGTCCGTCGAGTATTGTGGCGTCCACTTCGCCGTCAATGACACCAGAAGTCACCACCTGCGGAACGATGAGGTTCTGTGCAAGGCGTGGAAAGCGCTTGCGGTATTTCTGTGCCAGCTTCTTGGTTCTCGCGGGTAGAGGAACTTGCGGACAAACCTGCAGCAGTGTGTCCAGTACGGCTGCGTGCTCCTCTGCAGCCAAAGTCGTGCCGCTACCGCCGCCGGCTGTTTGTGCGGGTCGGGTTTTTGGTTCGGATTCTATCTCCGTCAGCATCTCTTCCATCATGCGCAGAAGTCCCGTGACCTCCAGCACCTGTGATTTCAGCAGCAGTTCCACCAGTCGGCAAAACCGAGGGCCCAGACCGTGCGAGTCTTGCATATTCTCCGCCACAAAAACTGCAGCGGTCAGACGCGCTTCCGGAAAGAAGGTGCTGGATTTTTTCAGCCCTAACAGGTGCTCGACCGCTTGCTCCGGAGAAAAGCGAGTGTCCTCCAGGACCACCCGCAAGCGGGCAAGCGACTCCTCGGGTTCCGTCATCTTTATGCTTTTTGAATTGTCGTAGTCGTAGGCTTTTCCTTTTGTCGAGCGGGAACTTTTACTGAATCACTGCCAGGAGGACCATCTGACTATGTTGGGCCGCGGATAGAATGCGTGTTGATAGGTAGTGACGCACACTCGTGGCAGCATCTCCGCGTAGGACTGCTGCGGAGACTCTTGAACTTGCTCCATCTCTGGTCAGATTTGCAACGGGGCTACACTTTTTACACACAACTCAGCGATGACTGCATGGGTCGTGCTTGTTTGAGCCCTTGATTTGCAACTCAAGCGCACTCATGCTCGACACTAAAGCAAAGTCAGAAACGAGAACGACAAAAACAAGCAAAGGGGGACGCCAAGAATGTATGGCACCGGTCACGAGTCGGTGTCGGCTGATGAACACTTGTTCACATGAAAAAACCGCCAAGCAGTTCCAGTTTATGGCTCGTGAAGCACTGGTTTGTGTCTTTATTGCGTCTATGTATGCGTTAGCGTAAACTTCTGAACCTGAAGCATCAAGGTTGCGCGTGAATATGGGTTGTGGTCGCTGTGAGGGAAAAGGAGGTTTGGGTTTCTTGAAGAGCTTTTTCTGATCTGCGCGAGCGCGTTTCATCCGGTCATGAAATCCTGAACATCGTCAGAGGACAGCCCCTGCTGTTTCCCTACCTGCTCAAGCACTCGCCCGAGTCGCGCGTCTGGCGCAAGTGCGAGCAAGTTGGATACACTTGTCCTTGGCCCGCCCGCTGCTCCTGGCCCTCCGCTGCCGTTGTCGGCAACTGCTACCGCTCCGACAGTTCCGTAGAGCTGTTCGAAGGCTTGCACTGCAGAGATTTCGAAATCTCGCTTTCGCAGCTCGTACGTCAGCACATGATCGTCCATAGCAGGGTCGGCAAGGCGGGTTTCCAACTGCATTTGCAGGTGGCGTTTTACCGAGGGGAAAACCGCTTTCGCTGCGCAACTGCGAATCACCTGCACCCAGTCCCCCGTGTCGCTTAGATACGGCAGAAGCATCGCGCAGAGCAGCTCGGCTTCAGAATCATCCTCGTTTAGTGTTTCAGATTCATTCTCGCCTGCGTTGATGATCGCTTGCAGCGAGGGTCGGCCTGTGCTGATGAGTGCGTGTCGCGCGAGCCCGGATGCGGTGACGCCGCAGTACTGATACAGGAGGTTCTGCGCCGGGAGGTCTTGGACGGCCAAACACACCATGTAGACGCAGTCGCGGGGCGCGCAAGCCAGGATTTCGTCGTAGAACAGCTCGCGCAGCAAGACCGCGATTTCGCGCAGAAGGAGATTGAAATCGTGCTGATCATCCTCCTTGTCGGTAGAACCGCCTGCCCCAGATATCTGCTCCTGGATGGCGGAGAAGAAGCCTTGAGCGCCGAGAAAATTCCCGAGCGGCGTTGCACCAGAGTTGTTTTCCTCATCTGCTGCAAGCTTTCTCTTCTGACTCGCATCGTGCTCCTGCTGCAAGTGGCGCTTTTCCGTCCGGCCCAAGTAGTGGAAGAGCAGTTGGCGGAACCGGGCGAAGTGCTGTGAATGGGGTTGGATGTACTCCTGGCATTGCTGCAACACCTGCACGACCTGGAGGAGCTCAATAAACGGACTTACTCCCGCCTGCTCGTAGAGAGAAACACGCACCTGGTCGCCGCAATTGTTGCTCAGGACGGAAAGCTTAAGCACCGCGGCCTGCAGCGCACTCTCCACGTCTTCGAAGTCGGGGGTGCCGTCCTGCAAATGATCTTCCGGGCCGAGAAACGTCCGTCCGAACACGTTCATCATCCCCGCGACACCGTCGCCGATCACGCCTGCAATGGCTGCAACCTCGTCGTGCACGGTGTTCTCCGCAAAGCGGTCGAGAAACTCCCGCGCGTCCTTACTCGGCGATTTTGGTGTAGGTGTTGTGTCGCTGTGATAGCCGTTGGCTTGCTGGGATGTCGAGTTTGGTATTCTCTGCTGGTGTTGTTCTCCGTTCTGCTGGTGAGGAGCAGGAGCTTCGGTCACCTGTCCAACCTCATCGTCTTCAAACAAGTACTCACCCGGCTTGGAGGACTTCGACGGTGTTGACGTTCTGACGCGTTGAATTGCCGTGGGTCCGTCATTTTTGTCGTCGTCTGAAAACATATCGTCCCAGGGAAGATCATCGCTAACCTTCGAAGCAGGCACGGCTTTGTTGGTTTCGCTAGTACTCGCTGCAGGTTGGGGTGGAGCAGGTCGTTGCACTTCTTTCTCATTCTCAGCGCTCTCCTGCTGCTGAGCCTGATCCAAAGTTCTTTCGGTGAAGTGCAACGCTTGCGTTTCGGATCCGAGATCCGGTGGGAGAGTTGGTAAATTGTCGAAATCCAGCGACGTTTGATTCAGCAAGTCGTCGAGTCCAAAGTTGGTCGCTGCCGTTTGAAGGTTGTTCGTCGGTGTGACGTCTTGTAGAAGTAATGCCGAATCTTCCTCAACCTCTTCTGTCACCCGTTCTGCTGGCATCTCCGGAATGCGGTCACTTTCCCTGATATTTTCGGAGTCGCACGATAAGCGCGTAGTTGTGCCATTCGCTGTTTTCTTGGAAAAGTCGTCTGGCGCCGCTAGAGGATTCTTGGAATCTCTGTCATGGTTCTTCGCCAACGCCATCTCACCTGAAGCTTCCTGCGGCCCCACCGCAAGCTGTTGTTCATCGTCGTCGCTAAAATCCCAACCGTCGTCATCTCCAGCAGGTTTTGGTGGTGCCAGAGCTCCTCCCAGCGCGCTTGGTTGCTGCGACCTGCTGACTTCTCGTAGTTCTGCCAAAGGAAGATCTCCCGCAGGAAGAGCTGTCGTAACTTCTCCACTCGGCGGCACCACCAAAACGTCCTCGTCGCCGCCACTTTCCACCTCCCACGGAAGTTTTGAGGGGACGAGATCTTCCGTCGACGCATCGGTGATCTCCTTTTCTCCGCCCAGCTGATACAGCAAAAGTGGGTCCTCTTGCAGGTCTCGATCCACTGCTACGTCCAGCTGTTGTGTCAAATCGACTTCCAAAGCCGCTCCAGCGCCGGCGTCCGGGTGGACAGCCAACTCTAACGGAGGCATGGGTGTTGTACTATCGGCTGCGTCGTCGCCGTCGTCTTGCTGCTGATCCTGTTCCCAGGGCAGCCGCATCGACGCGAATCTGGTCGGACTTGGGCTACCGGCACTGGACGCTTCCATCTGCTCTTCTTGTTCCCAGGGTAAATGGGACATCACCGGGGAGATAGCAGGTTGGCTTTGGAGAGTGTCTTGGTCTGGCATTGCGCTTTGTTCTTGCAGCTCCTGCGCATCTTCAGGTAGAAGCTCTGGTAACTTTGCGGGTGTATAAAGCGAAGCAAAAGGAGCATCATCGTCGTCTTCGGGCCAGGACGGAGACGACTGGGCTGGTGGCGCGGCTGCTTCCTCGATTTGTTGTACTTTCCGGGGCTCGATCAAAACATCCGCACCAGCACCCGGCTCTGAAGGCACAACTGGAGCAGGTAAAACTGTTGGGGAAGGAACTTCCACCGGTGCTGCTACAACGGCGGGAGCAACAGACTCCGTGGCGAATCCCGCGTCGCTGAAGTCTTCCGGCCAAGATGACGGTGATGACGCAGGCGACTTCTTGTCACCGATGCGGTCTTCCTCCATGCTCGTGACAGGTGGGGCAGGCTCGGGAGGAAGTGAGAGTGGCGCTTCATCCTCGCGTGTCTTGGAGCTTTCAAGAGGAGCAGGGTCTTCTTGTACAGGAAGAGGGAGAGAATCAGCAAAAGCTTCGTCGTCGTCAGGCCAAGAGGCGGGCGAAGAAGCAGGTCGCGCTGTGTCGTCAGCTGCGGTATCAGAAGCGGCGATTGGCGGGGGCTGCAACTGCTCCTGTTCTACTTCCTGCGAAGCTGTAGAAGCTACGGCCGCCTGCGGTGCCGGTTCATCGAACTTCAGCTCTGCTTCTTCGTCATCTTCCCAGTCCCAGCCTGCGTCAGATTTCGTCTCTTGTACGAGCGCTGGTTTACTGAGTGCATCCGGAGGTGCAGGTGCAGGAGTAGAAGCTGGCGCAACTACAGGTGGCGCAGCTGGAGCCGCACTTTCCTGTGCAGTGATTTTAGGCGATTCATCTCCCAGCTCATTCCATAGAAGATCATCGCCGTCCTTGACTTGCTCTTCTGTTTTTGCGACCGTCTCCTCGAAAATAACAGGGTGGTCTTTACTTATCGGTGAGGAAGGTGAGGATTTAGATTTTGCTTGCGCTTTATTTTCTGCTGAGGGCGCAGAGGGGGCCTGCGGCGACTTGGACTTCTTCTGGTTTTCCCGTAGCGGCAAAAGGTCATCCCATGCCTCGTCGTCGTCATCATCCCAGCCCCACTCATCTGCGGCCGTCTTCTCCGGCCCGTCGCACTTCTTCCCGAGTGTCGGCGCGCGCGATCTTGCGGAGGGCGCGATTGTCTCAGGATGAGCACCATCGGTGGACGGGCTTTCATCAGTTCTTCGCGGTACGGCAAGGGGTGAAGTACTATCGTCTACGCCGCCCTCTTTCTGGTCTTCCTCCTCGTGCCAATCCTGTTCGAAGATATGAACCAATTTTGCGGAATGCGCTGTCGGGCTTGAAGATTCTGACAGAAACCTCCTCCTGCTCGTTTCGAACGCGGTTAGCGCGTCCTGTATTCGTTGGCGCTCAGGTTGAGTGCTGCCGGGAAGTGAGGGAAAAAAGTCCGTGAATGGCAGCTGTGCCTCGGCCATGGTTCCTTTGCAAACGGACCGCACGCTTTCCAACAGCTTTCTTCTTGCCGCGGCCGACGTCGCGTCTTGATGAGCAGAAGCGAGCGCCTGCAGTGCGGGAAGAAAATCGCGATCTACTTCTTTCATCTCACTGTCAACATCGTATTGCCGCAACACATCCAGCGCCGATATTTTTGTTTCAAGCGAGCTGCTGGCAGAGAAGACAAGGGACATCAAGGAAGGAACTACGGCATATCCCTTGCTCGTCAAGTACAAGCACGCCATGCGTGGGTCGCGGGTTAGCAGCGGCTGCAACACAGCAACTGAGAGTGGACCACGACCTTCTTGTCCCACTCCGCTTGGAGCGCTCTTGTCTCCCAGCTCGCGACTGCTTCGCCGGTGCATGGAGAACGACGACCGAGGATCAGTGAAGGACTGTCTCGTGCTACTAGAGGAAGAGAAAGTTCTTGATGCAGGTGCTGGCGCTCGAACCAAATTTCGCCAAGCGTCGTAATCCGTTGCTTCGCGATCGTTCTCTGGAACAAAAGGAGCGGAAAGCACGAACTGGTATGCGTTCTTCGCCCGCGTGCTTTGCTCAGCAGGTCGCGCAGTTGAGGACGAGGACGCAGAACTACCCGTGGACAGAATTATTCCGGTCGTGTGATTGCCACTAGTCGGCAGCAGGCCGCTTCGCGACTGGCTCGCTGCGTGCTGCACGCTGCAAAGCCGCCGGTAGGTAACAGCTACCTCGCGCACAAGATCGACTGAGGTGCAGATTTTCAAACAGTCGCCAACGAGCTCGGTGAGAGCAGCAAGCTTGCTGATCTGCTCTGCGGAGAAGGTTTCCGCATCGGTTCCGAAGAAGGACGAGCCAACGACCCGTCTTGATGCTGCAGCACGCGGTCCAGCATCGAGCAAATTTGCCAGCCCCGAGCGGTCAATCTCTGTGACAACGAAAGCGAGAACGAGCCTGCACGCGCGGTCCTTTTTCGCGGAGTGTTGCTCCTCTCCAGTGCTGAGCTTGCTCAGCAAACGCTGCAGATTCTCGACCGCGGGCCCAAATTTGTCCAGCATCACGCAGACCGCAGATCGCACGAGCAGCACGTCGACGTCGTTATGGCCGTCGATGTTTAGTAATTGCAACAGATGTAAAAATTTTTCCTCAAACGGGTCCACGAGGAGAAAAGGATTCCACTCCGCGAGTAAAGACGCCAGCGATTTTTGCTGCTTCCGGTCGCGGAGCAACATCTTGACGTGTGCGGGTGTTTCGATGGGGAATGTGCGCGCGTCTTGGTCGAAGAAATCATCTTCGACGAGAACTTGAGACTGCTCGCTTCTCCGACCGCGAAGGTCTTTGCTGCTTTTCCTGCCTCGGCCAGAAAAAGAAGATCGCCGTCTCTTGTTGCCCTTGTTTGCACCAGCTGCATCGAGTGCTTGCGCAGCAGGTGTGGTGTCTGCTCTATTTTTAGCAGCTGACTCTTCAGAAAGTATCGTTTTCATCTGCTTGTTCGCTGGCGTTCTTTGGGACGACGCAGCACTTCCGGTCATGGCCGTCTGTTCGGAACCTGCGGGTTGCTCATCTGCTCTCCGCAAGTGCCCCAGCGCGTCCGCCAAATCTGGCGTGCCGTCTTGTTCCTCGAGGAGAGCGTTCGCAACGCCGCCGAAGAATTTTCCGGCCACCCCGAGAAATCCGGTCGCCTTTTCCTTCACTTTGTCGATGTTTTCTTTGATGTGGATTTTTTCCAATGCGTCCGCTGCGCGGTCTTGCATCACGTTTTTCACTTGCGCGACGGTATTCTTTACGTCCTCCACAAAAACGTCGCCGAAATTCGGTTTGCTGGTGAGTAAATCGTGTAACGAAACGCATACCTGGATCCAGGTGCGCACGTCCGCTATTTTCTTTTTGTGAGCGGGGCTGAGAGATTTTTCCTTGATTTTCTCCTTCCGCAAATTTTCCGCAAGGTTAGGGATCAGCGAATTGTTGTTTTGTACTGGTTTATTGCCCTTGCTGCTTTTACTGCTAGCCGTCAACAAGTCGGATTCATCCACCCCCGCGTCTCCTCCAAAACCATCCTCAGCACTGCCGGCGTTCTCGGCCATGTGCACGCACTGATGGGCTTTCGCGACTTCGGCGGTTTTCAACCCGTGGGCTTGTTGCAAGTAGTCTGCTGCTAGATTCAGCAGGATGTCGCGGTAGTCGTCGAGATTGACGACAGTGCTCCACCGGTGCCACACCTCGGGCAAGAGTTCCAAATGCCCCTGGTCAACCAGGGCGGTTAAAAGCAGCTCAAATTTCCGCTTTGGCTTCAACGCGAGGAAGACGGCGGAGTTTTCCCAGTACAATGCAGAAACGGACCCCCAGAACTGCGCGTCGCGGTATTCGGAGGTGAGGGCGCGGAAAAGCAGGAACAAACTGTGCTCGCACAAGCTGGCGTCGGTTTGGCAGGTGCGCAACTCGGAAAAAGACAGATTCAACGGTATGCGGTACCGCTGCAGAACGTGCTCCACAAAGTTCAGGTGTTGCTCTGTGAGGTCCGCGAGGCTGTGCAACTGTTCCGAATCCTGCTGCTGGGCGGGGTTCATCTGGATTTTTCGCGGATCGGGGATCTGCGAATAAATCTGGTCCACCAGCACCAGGATCAAGGAAGCGGGACACTTGGTGCAGTAGATGGCGTCCAGGGAGAGCTTCATCAAATTTAGTGCTCCCTTAATCACGCGGTCCTGGATCGGGCGGGCGAGAGACGACGCTTTCACCAACGCGGTGAGGTTTCGCATTGTCTGGAGCGAACCGCGATCGGTTTGCGCGGCGCGCGCAATTAACGCTTCGACCAAATGCTGCTCCCTCGCTTCAACATCGTAGTCCAATCGGAGCGCTGCGGACAAAAGCGTCGGCTTCGTTGTTGCTTTCGTTTTGTCGGGAGAAGATATTTTTGCACTAGTTGTTGGAAAAACTAGTTCCTCAAAATACGCATCGTCTGCATGCTTTGCCCGGCTTCCAGAAACTCTTTCCAGGTATTTCGGGAGCGTTAAGATACGGCGGCAGTATTCCAGAAATGCGTCCTCCGTGAGCACCCTGGGCTCGACGAGAGAACTGGCGCTCGGAGAAGATGCAGGCTGATGCATTTTGGCCTTTCCAGCGTCATCCACGAGAAATTTTCTGCTGGCCGTCGCATCCCGCCCAGGTTGTACTTTGCTTTTTGCTAGTGGTCCGAGGGCGTGCGCGTACCGTTGCGAAGCCCCATCTTGCAATTCGTCAAGATAATTGGCCTGGTTATTCCCACCCACGTCGTGGTCTGGGTTCCTACCGGCCTGAAAACTAAGCAAAACACGCTCGGACTCGGCTAAGCAAGCGTACTCTCGGAAAGTGTAGCAGCTTCGCGATGAGCCAGGAAACGCGAGGCTTCCTCCCGCTGTTGTCACATAGTCTGTGTAGAGAATCGCGAGCTCGTGGAGGCGGTATAGCATCTCCAAACCGAGGGAGGCCGACGTGGGCAGAAGGGGCAGGGCCCCCTCTACCATTTCTGCATGAGTACTAGCTCCGCCGGAGATCAACGGCTGGTCGAAATTTCTCCTGTTGATTGTTTTCCCGCTTGTTTTCGACGGGGATTTCTGATCCCCAGCTTTGACAGCGATATGATCATCGTCCTCAAAGTCGAAATCGTCACCCCATTCGTCTTGATATGCTCCCGGAGCGAGTGCCGCAAGCTCGTTGGCAAATGCGGTGTCGCTAGAAGCATCGGCGGCGGACAAACCGGACGCGTGCTGGATGCCGAGGCTGTGAGTAGACATCGTACAACAGATTATATCATGTGTCACCTTGACCAAGCAGAAAATTATGATATTAGCTTGTTGAAAATACGGCAAAGAATAGAACTCGTCAGTAAAAATCTTTATCTTTGGCAAAAACCAGACCGTACCGGATCCACTGCGTCCCCCGGTGGAACAAACGCGCCTCCAACATTCGTACGCCGCGGATGAGAAAGAAAGAGAGCGCTTCTCGCCCCTGCCGCTGCGGTAGAACGTTGACCAACAGGGGCTCCCATATCGACGGAGCGGCAGTTAATGCGCAGAGGGCTTGAAGACGCTCTGGCTGCAGAAACTGAAGCAATTCTGGGTGTTTTTGCAGGACACTGACGCAGGAAAACTGCGCGAGTCGCTCCGCGAGCGCGTTCTCGTGAAGGAGACGCAGCTCCGGCCAGCTCAACCACTTCGAAGACCTGGAAAGGTGGAAATGAGGTTTGTCTAAAAACGATACGAAGAAGTGGATTTTGACACTTTCGTCGACCACTACTAGCACCACAATCTTCAACATCAACTTCATCTTTGTTTATTAGCACCTAAAATTCGTGTAAAACAAAACAGACTAGTAGAAGTAGCAAAACAATGCTAATACCATTCGGAAGCGGCCTCAGCCTTCTGGCTGACGGGAACAAGCGGCACTGAGCTGGAAGACGAAGAGGATGAAGCTCCGCCGGCAGTGGAGGGGTGGATCTGCTTGAAAAGCTCGAAGCGCTGTAGCTGATCCAGCACTTTTGCGTACAATTCCGCGAGTTCGTCTGGCTCCTCTTCAGTGCGTTTGGCTTTTGATGCTTCTCCCGTCGCAGGAGGCTTCTTCTCTCCTGCGCCAGTGGCGGCAATTGTGGGTGCAAAATCGTCATCGTTCTCGTCATCAAAATCCCACCCGTCATCCTCTTCTGGTTGCTTTTTTTGCCTCTGCGTAGTTGCGCCGGTATCATCTACTTCCGAGCTCTTCTTGGATGTTGCTCCGGACGTTGATGAAATGAGCTCCCGCCGTCTTCGCGCCAATATGCTCGCTGCCTTGTCCGCAAGGGTAATCGGAGCATCGGCACACAGCACGTCGTGCACCCGCTGCAGCCGCGACTTCGCCTCTTCCAGTAGCAAGCTGATCTGGAACGCATCGCCGTCGAAATCGTATCCAGGAAAAAACACCCATCCCCATCCAATTTGTCATGCAAAACATGCATAAACTCCTTTGTTTGTCATGCAAAAAATGGATGGGGGTGGGTGTTTTTTCCTGGATAAATCGAGGGCCTTTTCCACAAAATTTTCCACATCGGGCTCCTGGAACAGCCGCCGAAACTGCTGCAGGCGCCGCTGCTTCTGCATAATGACGAGATGGTGGGCGTGGCGGTAACTATTTGTTCTCGACCGTCTTTATTGATCTGGTGCTTCTTGAGTTGTCGAAAACTGGAACTGGAAGTTGGTTGGTGGAAGGGTGCTTCATCTGCTCCAGCAAGTTGAAATTATGGTGCGAAGACGCAAACCATCAGAACAAGCAGCTGGCGTCCATCATTACTATTTTTGCATTCGTTTCATTTGTTCTCCCTCGCAAATCATGGTCAACATGGAGGCCGGTTGACCTGCTACTGGTACTTTACTACTTGTTCAGGACGTATTTCCCACTATCAAAGCCTTCGTCTCAAGAACGCTATAATTCCTAGACCAGGAGGAGGAGCGGTGCTCACATGATCCTGTCATAGGGGTCAAGATTCTGATTGTGTCCGGATCATTGCACGACCAGTTGGCCTGCGACAGAAGATCTATTGGTGCCGCTACATGGACGGCACACCGACCCTGACCGTGACCCGACAAGAACCACGTTTCCACTGCTCACGTGCTGGGTCGTACTGTCCCCGCCACCACCGGCGGTGGTAATCTTTGCGGCAACAGGTGTGCTGCTGTTGTTTGGTTTCATTTGTTGAGCATCTCATAAGAGAAAGCAAAAAAGTCGAATCTCGTCGCAGCGACGCTGCACACGGGGGCGTTTTATTGTTCAGTGATGAAGATGTCCATCGAGGTTGCTGGTCGTAAAAAAATAAGGCGTTCGTAGTTTGTTGAAATTCGTCATAAACAAAAATTGACTCTGACTCTTGACAGATAATCTTCACAAAAATTGTAAATCTTCCAGTTATGGTTGAACTCACTATCAGTGCTTATAGCCGAAATAAAGCCGAAACGTCATAGCAGCTGTAGCAAAGGCAAAAGCGATGTCAGGATGATGACTAAAAACAGTACGCAAGATCAGAGTGGCACTAGACAAAATTCGCAATTGTTTTTGTCGTAGAAGCCCTGCAGCAAGTGCTGTTGCAATGAGCCCTTGAGAAGATCATCGGTGCATGACGTTAGCATTTGCGGTCAATCACGTCTCCACTTAAAGGATGGTGTAAATCCGGGGTTGGGCGGACTTTTCCAAAACTTTTTGCGCTCAGATTCTGCATCATATATCAGATCTGCCTCTGGTAGGCTCAAGATAGAATGTTGAATCGTGGCAATTGTAAAATTTGAATTTCTGTGTCAGCATCGGCTGAACTTGTGACAAGCTTGTAAAAAACGAAGTAAAAGTCTAGCTGGCCTTGCTCTCAGCAAAGCGACTGCAAAAGCAGCGCCCTGCAGCTCACCGGTAAGTAGCACAGAAATTCCTCTAGTAACTCTGCAATAAGTTGTAACTCTCCTACAACAATATGAAGAAGTAAACACCTGCGTCTGCGAATAGGCCGACACCACATCCGCGGAGAAAAAAACAAAAAATGTGACGCGAAAGGAGCAGGTTGTACTATCCCTGGTTCGGTACATTCCGTACTGTAGCTGTACAGTTACATTCTGCTGTTGTGTCGAGTGGCACTCGATCTCCTAGTTTGCTGAATCATCTGTATTCTGGTATAGTAAATTTTGGAAGATGTGCTTTCGCTATTGATTTTGATACATTTCTTCGATAAGCAAGTAGTCTGGATATGATGAGATTGTGCACATGTATTGGTGGCGCCCTCTTCAAAAACCGCGGATCGCTTAGGATCCACAACCAACGCACTCGTATTTGCTCTTCTCGGCCTGCTCTTTTGCGATCTCCTCGGTCTTCTTCTGCAGGGAAGCGGCGTCGACCGTAAACTTGATTGCCTCCACAGCCGCCTTCGTTCGCAAGTAGTACTGACCGGTCTTGAGCCCGAGCTTCCAGCCGTAGAAATGCATGGAGGACAACTTTTGCTGCGTGCAGTCGGTCATGTGGATGTTCAAACTCTGCGACTGATCGATGTACGCACCTCGGTCGGCCGCCATCTCGATCACGCGTTTCTGCTTGATCTCCCACACCGTCTTGTATCTGGAATTTTCGCATTTTTGCAATTCCAATTGCTCGGATTCGGATATAATCATGATCTGAAACTACAGAACTGGAGAACGAAGTACACACAACGTAGGAACAAGATTAGAAATGCAGGATAGTCGCTTGTACAGTTCCTTCAGATCGGAGGGCACGTCGCCCATTTGTGCCAGTGACCCGTTGTGGGCGATGAGCGTCTGTTTCAGTTCTTCGTTCCACAGCTTCCGTTCGACCAAGTCGTTGAGCAGGTGGCGGTTGATGGCTACAAACTCACCGGACAACACCCTGCGCACGTAGATGTTCTGCGTGTACGGCTCGATGGATTCGTTGTTCCCCAAGATCTGGGCGGTGGACGCCGTGGGCATCGGCGCGAGCAGCAAACTGTTCCGCAGACCATGCTGCTTCACCTCTGCGCGCAGTTCGTCCCAGTCCCACTTCAGTCCGTTTTCGGGCTTCACGCCCCACAAATCCGGCTGCAAAAGCCCCTCGCTAGCGGGGGAACCTTGTTCACAGTGGTTTTGCATGGCCTGGTTGTACGTAAAAATGCTAGCAAGAGGCATGCAGCACATTCTTTCACGGTCGCACAACTCTGACGTCAGAGGTCCTTAACTTGATGGCGCATCATTTGATAAGACAAGACCAGTGACAAAGACAAACACAAAACTTGCAAGTACATGACATAATCGCACTTAGAGTTACTAGATACTTACCTGGGAAGGTCTCATACCACCCCTCTTCCTTGGCGAGTTCCATACTCTGCTTGCACGCGGCGAAGTAAATAGTTTCGAAGATTTGCTTGTTCAACACTCCCGCCGCGGGAGATTCGAAGGGCATCTTCATCTTCATAAACACGTCTGCCAACCCCTGCACACCCAGACCGATTGGTCGGTGCTTCATGTTACTTCTTCGCGCTTGCTCCACGGGGTAGTAGTTACGGTCGATGACGCGATTCAGATTCCTTGTGATCACCTTCGTGATATCATACCTGGAAACGAAAATGAAGAGAGTTTGGGGTGCAGAAGGTGCTCTTCCGGAGTTGCAGCTGTACCTATAGGAGATGCTTACTCATGCTGAGCAGAATCATGCGATTGCGATGCCACCGAGGGTGCCGCAATGAATTGCTTATCAAGAAAAACGCAAATTGTACAGCAAATCGAAGTCGAATTGTTTCGTCTTGTCGTCCACGAAACGGGGCAATGCGATGGACGCCAGGTTGCACACCGCTACCTCGTCTGGGCTGGTAAACTCCATGATTTCGGTGCACAAGTTTGAACACCGGATCGTACCTGTTTTTGATGTAGTTGCGTAATTTTATTATGGCCTGCAACTAGTTGCAACTTGTCCTAGTTGTGTAGAAATATTTTGTCTAAAAATGATTTTGTCACGAACTCCGTCGGGCTCAAATTTTGAGCCGCATGGAATTCTCGCTTCAGACGATTGAACAAACCTCAAAATGGGTCAGCGTAGAAGTGCGCTGGTACTAGTGGTACCGACGTTCTTCTGGTTGCTTTTTTTGTTTGCAGCGTCCTTGTAGCACATGTAGGGAGTTCCGGTTTCCATCTGACTCTCCAAGACCTTGAACCACAGCGACTGGGCCTTCACCGTCTTTCTCCCTTTTCCTTCCTTCTCAAGCTTCTCGTACAGCTCTTCAAACTCCTCGCCATAGGCGTCTTGCAGCGTGAGCACTTTGCCGTCGGGCCCCGTCCCCACCTGTATGGAAATGGAATTGCATGTATCATCGTTGTTGAAAATCTTCCTCTTCTTGGACGAGAGGGTAAGGGTTGCATCATGACCACAATAAATCTCTGGAAAAATCACGCGTATACTATTTCCATTGCAGGAACAGAAACGCAGGAACGAAGACAGAAAAAAACAAGGGTGCTACGCAGAGGCAGAAGGAGGAATCATATACTGCTTCGTCCGGGCAAAATAGCGTCCAGTCACCACCGGCCATGACGCGCTTCATGAACAGATCTGGTATCCAGAGGGCGTAGAACAAATCCCGCGCTCGCATTTCCTCCTTGCCGTGGTTCTTTCTGAGCTCGAGGAAGTCAAAAACGTCTGCGTGCCAGGGCTCCAGATACATGGCGAAACTTCCTTTCCGTCGACCGCCACCTTTGTTATTTGAAGTTGAACAAGATACAATGATCATCCGAAACCTTGTCTTGGGAAGGTAGCCCGACAGGACATGATTGCAAAGCTCAAGCTGCAGTTCAGGGAAGAGAGACGAAGAACAATAAAATGCCTCGACAAGTAGATTGAACAGCTCAAAAACACAAGAGGGACTTCTACCTTGATCGACGTATCTGGCGGCATCGTTGAAGACGCGCAGCATTGGCACCAGACCATTGCTGTAGCCGTTAGTACCGCGGATGTAACTACCCGACGCGCGGATGTTGGATATCGCTACGCCGATGCCCCCGGCGCTCTTGCTGATGAGTGCGGTGCGCTTTAAGGTTTCGAAAATCCCCTCGATGGAGTCCCCCGCCATCGAGAGGAGAAAGCAACTGCTCATCTGGTTCAACTTTGTGCCGGCGTTGTACAGTGTTGGTGTGGCGTGCGTGAAGTACCTCTGGGAAAGCAGTTTGTAGGTTTCCAGTGCTCGCTCAATGTCGCCGAAATGGATACCAATGGCACATCGCATCAGCATGTGCTGCGGTCGCTCCACAATTTTTCCTCTTACCTGGGTAGCGACGTTGTAAAGAAGCCGATCGGCACGTGAGCAATAAAGAAAGTGACATTCCAAATTGCAAATAAAAGTTGGTCCTTTTTATTCGCGCGTGATTTTGTTCATCACCTTTTCTAGACGAGTAGGGTGCATCAAGATGTTGACGCTGGCAGTACCCTGAGCAGGTACGCTTTTTCCAGCGTTTTGAAGCCAAAGAAGTCGTAATTGTAATCCTGCGTGTAGTCGAAGGTGGCCTGTATTTTGTCTGCGTGTTCCTGCACCACATTGTAGAACTCTTCGCTGAGCAGTGCGCAATCCTTACCGTTTGGGTCCGTCCAATGGTACAATGCCTCCACCACGTCGGTGTACCTTACAAAAAAGTTTCACTTTCATCATGGTTTTGCAACATTGCCCGCAGACCTCCGGACATCGTACTCACCACTGACAACATACAGACCACATGTTGGTTAATCATGTGCAACACATCAACTCTACCTAGCAAACAGAAACACATCTTCTACTGCATCAAATAATACTTTTCTGGTGTGGATTTGTGCAGCCTGGTGATGGCGATTCGCGAGGCTAGGAAGGAGTAATCCGGGTGGTTTTGACTCATGTAGGCACAGGTTTCCGCGATGAGATTGTCCAGGTCGGCCGTTTTGACATTGTCGTAGAGCCCCTGTTCGACCTTTTCCACCACCTCCGGGACCGAAACATAGTCGGTATTCAGGCCAAACGTCAGGACACTCAGTCGCTTGACGATCTTCTCGCGGTCGAAGACCTGCTTGCTACCGCTCGCCTTTTCGACCTGCATCGTCGCCGGTGCCTCACGGGGCGAGAGGTCGAGTTCAACTTTATTCTGTTCTTCTTTATTGCTAGATTGACTTTTTTTTCTAATTTGCTTTTGGACAACTTTACTATTTTGACAGGATACACCTAGGAACCCGTTTGATAGAGAGGATGAACATATTCATATCTTTCGTGTCGTTCAGGTGCTAGGTAGCGTGATACTTGCTTCGCGGACGAAACGGTGGAAACGTCAATTGTGCACGGCCGCTTGTCCATCAACATTGCTTTTCTCTCGTAAAGGTCAACGTTTGAACTCAATGTCGCTTTGGAGGCTAAATTCTGTTACTATTTATCATAATTATTTGCATTTACATGGTGAAAGAGACCTAGAACGACAACGACTCCAACTGCATTTTCACACGCACCACACGCAATCATACTTGCCTTTCATCGCTTTGTTTTCATCTCCAATCAGATAACTCGGAATGAATTTCAAAACTTTTTGAGATTTTTACGACTCACTTCAGCGCTTTTGTGAAAAAAATAATTCTTTGCATGCAGGCCGCAAAAGCTAGCCGCTGAACGTCTTTTTTTTTCCTTCTGAAGAAAACAACACCATCATGATTCAAACTCAATTAACAGAGCGCCACAGTGAATAGACGAAAAAGCGTATTGCTACTTTCAAGGTCGTGAAAACCGAACCTGTTCATGATTCGCTAGATTCATCTGCACGACCGCACACGCACTTCTTATTACTTATGTCAGCAGCTTAGGGGCACCAGGTAGTGCTAATCGCATTCCCGACCGCTTTATGTTCTTGTTCACCCTTAAGTAAAATCCCGGCACACACCAAATAAACAGAGTGTCCACGTTTTTGGCCGCATCGGAGAGAAATATTGTCCTTCGATGTGACATCCCAACTGGTGCTGCACCGATCGAAGCTGGAAGGCAGCTAGCAGTAAAAGTGCTGTGTTGCCACCTACGAGAACGGGCGAGGCCAGTTTGAGCATTGATCGCGCTGCACTAGAACCTCGCAGCTCGTGTTTTCCGTAGGAGAACAGCAGAATGCTTGGAAGGACGACTAATGCCACTCCAGCAAGACACAAGGCCGCGACGACAGCGATTCCATTGTCGAACAAATACGCAGCGAGTATCTTTGGACACACGTCGCCAACCAAAAAAGCCGACCACGATCTTGCTGAGACCGATAGTTGTGCGATAGCCGGGGAAGCTTGTGATGAAGACTGTGTTTTTGATAGTCCCGCCTCCTCCTCGAGGTGCACGAGTCTCGCGGCTATCAGCCCCAGGAAGCCGAGAGCAAGAGCGATTCCGGCGACAGAGATAAAACTTCCGGCAGGGAAGGTCACGTTCAGCAGCAGATCCCAGGGCCACATATGCGGCCCCAGGAGCACGCATGGTCCGTATTCCCAGCTAAGCCACTCGGCTGGACGATTGGGAACCTGCACGGGAAACTGTTTCGTACCAAAAACGTCCGATCGCAGCGGCAGAAGAGACGATACCGGGAAAGTGAAATCACTGTGCGTATCCCCGACACGCTCGTACCACTTATCGAGAAGGACCGAGTGGTCACTACTTCCGTTATTTTGAAGTACTGCAGCTCCCTCTTCCGTCCCGGTCTCGTTTGCAGAGGAAGGTGTCGTATTCAACGAACAAGAGCCTGCTGTTGAAGTAGATGCGCAAGTAGAGGTTTTTATCTGATCGCGCCAGCCCCACCGCTCCGAAAACATCGTCGTAGCTTCTTGGGCCGTCAAGTGACGCTGCCAGCCGCGTCTCTTCATTTTCTTCACCAGTGCGTAGCCGAAAACGTCGACGACAGTGCCGGAACCTGTGTGCACGAGCCTGCCAGCTACGCGCTTCTCAACTCCCTCACAGCTACCCTTGGGCAGTCCATTTTCCTCGCAACGGCACCCAAAGAAAAGCGCTTTGAATGGCGACGGCGCGGCCTTTTTCTGTCGTTTACTTTTGCCTTTTTTTCTTTGTATTTTCCCGAGGTCTTCTTGTTGCGACACCACGTCCACATTGGCAAGGGCTTGGTTGAGACGCTCCACTAAGGAAGAACCCTTTGGGGCGCCGTCGCTTCTCTCGACTTTTCGACAATCTGACTCCAGAAAACCGAGGTCCCCGTCCGTGTCCCACGGAACCATCTGCCTGCCATGCCGCGCGTGCCCAATCAAGTTCGCGCTTTCCAAAAAAACTGGCAAGCCCAACTGCCGAAACGCTTGGACCCCCGCGTGCAGAAGGTCCTCGATGGCCCCGAGCCGAGCGCCTTGCGTCGCGTTGTTTCGCCAATACTCTGGATAGAAGTGCTCGGCAGTCACAAACAGCGGGTTCTCCACATTTGCTTCCCGGACGGCTTCTTCGCTGTAAAGCCAATACTGGCGACCTGCAAGAAATAAGAGTAGCAACACCGCGCACTCAAGAAAAGCAGTGCCGAGAATCAGTGACCGCAGCTTGACCTTCATTGTTTCTGTTCGTTGTTGTTTGGCGCAAATAAAGCTTGAGAGCTCCACTCTGTTCTTGCTGTTCTGAGCAGCTGCGGTATACCACACGCATGTTGCAAAAATGCGGCATGATACCGAAATGTCTGATCGACGCATATAAGCAGTACCTTAACGTTAACTTCTCGATAAATATCGATCCAATTGTTGAACACAGAATGATTCTTTTCTTGCGTTGTAGAAAAAAAAGTGACAGAAGCTCCTTTCGTCCTTTTGCTTTGTTATTTTGTCCGGGTTTTACAACGCAACATCCAGAAGCACAAAAGTTTTCTTACACGTCGCGAAACGGGAATGTATTAAGTCATCATCTCAACCAGGAGGTGGGTAAGTTTTCCAGTGCGCGTTTGTAGATGACCCTTGAGCATGTTTCACAGGTCGTCCCTGCTCCCTGGAGTGGTACAGAAATTGTGACGAGGGAAAACAAAAGCTGTTCTTTTTCTAGATTCAAGAAAGAAACGGATGAGTATTGTTGATTTTAATATTGCCTCGGAGATTGATGCTAGCCTGCCTCAAAGCAAATTCATATCGTTGTCATCAAGCATATCAATGTCAGGCTCCGCCGCGTCCCGATCCATATCGAAGTCCGCCTCCATGTGCTGCTGCAGCTGCTGTTGCGTCACCGCAGCTGCTGGCGGATCGGCATCATGCGGTCTTGGTGCGCTTAGCCCAACCGAGTTGTTCGGGTTGGAGTTGTGCGACGGTGAGGAATGGTTACTGAAGAAGGAATTGTGGAAGTTTCTTTGCTCCGCGGCCAGGTTTGCAAAGGATAACAGCGGCCGGCCTTGTGAATTGGTCGAGTTGTGAAAAGGTGATGTCTGCTGCTGCTGCAGCTGCTGCTGGTCCATTCCGCCCGTTGACCCAATGTCTAGCACTTCTCGCGTTTGCACAACCGCACCAGGCGGCAATGCGGAGCCGGCAGAACCGAGCCCGGGAGCGGGGCCGGCTGCTGCGGCCCCAGCAAACAACGAGAAGAAGTTGCTCGGTTGTGTTATCGCCTGGTGCTGCGCTGATTGCGGGGAGGTGTGCGACTGATCTGCTACTGCATTCGAAGCAGGAGCACTGCCGCTAACGGTAAACGCTGGCATTGCAGCTGAGGCCGACGAGCCCGGTGTTGCCGTTGAGCCGCCCCCAGGACTGTTAATCAAGTTCTGACTCAGGTCTATCGTCGACGTGCGCTTGCGTTCTTTTGCAAAGAGAGTTGCGGGCTGGAACCATGACCCGATCTGGCTGGATTGAGGGTTTACGGCAACCGCGGAAGGGCTTCGTTGTTCTGATTCTGAAAGCGCTGCAGGAGCGGGTCTTGTTTTGTTTGGAGAGGGAAACAGCAACTGTGGCCCTCTGGGGGGCGACGAAGGACCTAGTGAAGAAGGGCCTGGAGGTGCTCCTGCACTATGGTGCACACCAGTTGTCAGAGCGAAGTTTGTTACTCCTGCGCTACCTGTACTAGTTCTCGTTCCTGGGATCGGTGGACTGCCTTCGTTTGAAGTTTTTCCGAGCTGGCTCGTTAGAAGTAGGGTTTGCTCCTGTAATGGAAGTTCTTGCTGCCTTTCGAACGCTTGTATCTCGTCCTCTCCGTTGGAGTTCGTCTGTATCGTAACAACGCGCACGTGCTGCATCGCCGCTGCGCCTGCCGGCACCGCATTCGTTCCCACTGGTAGGACCAGAGAGGCCAACTCCGCTGTGGCGGAATCGTGCTCCTGCAAGTGAGATCCCACTACGGGCTGTATGCTCGCGCTCCGTTCCAACTCCGCTCGCTGCTCCAACTGTAGCGCGAAGGCCGCGGGAGCACTGCCTGCAGCATGCTCGAAGGGCGATGACTTGACGCTGCTCAATCTTGGTGTGATGCTGCGACTCCGTGCCCGTGGTGAATAGTAAGGGGTGACCGTGCCGGACGGCCCCGAAGTCGCCGTGTTGGCAATCGTGCCCAGTCGAGTTTGCAAATCGCACACGTGCAGGCGGAGCTCATTCTTTGCGTCCTGCTCTTCCTGGATGACGCGGCTCAGTTCCGCTTTTTCGTGGTCGAATACTCTACGCTCGTGCTCTTTGCGCTCGTCAAGAAAGGCAAGTTTCTCTTGCAAAAGCCGGTTGTCGGCCGCGAGCTTTTCATTTGCGGCGTCCTTTTCCCGCAGCTTGTGTCTCATCCTTTCGAGTTCCGCATCTTTCTGCTTCACCTGCTCCTCAAACTCCAAGATACGGCGGGACGTGACGCTATGGTGATCGGCGGCTCCGAGAGAGGTTGCACTTGCAGCATTGTCTACAGGTGGTGTTTGAGGGGGAGCAGATGGCCTTACGTCGTGCTCAGGGGTTACATCGTGGTTGAGAAAAGCCGGCGGTGGCGAGGTCCTGGTAAGACCCACAAACGCGAGCTCATCTACAATTTGATGGCTGTTGCTAGTAATATGCCCGCCAAGCTGTGCCGTAGTCACTGGATCGCTCACAAGCTGTACTGATGGAGGTTGCACTGACGGGTACGAAACCGAGGCATTCGGTATATCGACAGCAGCAGACGACGTAGCGCTTCCTGCAGGTGCAGCACTTATTGTTCCTGACGCAGTAGCCGCCGCACCAGCGACCACGTAACTGTGATTATCGCTGTGAGCTGCCCGCATGGCATAGAGTGTTGCCAAGCGTTTATCGGGATCCGCGTACCCTTGAGAAGAGAGCAAGCGTTCGCGCGGCGGCGTGGTTGTTGCCGTCGACTGTTCACTCAGCTCCTCCAAGAGTCCGCTCGCGTCGAGCCTAATTGCGCCACCTGTGGTCGATGTGTTCCCAGACCGGCTTTTCTCATCCCCGGAGGACGTGGACATCCGGCTGGATCCCTTCGAATCTATCTGCGCAGGAGGCGCATCGTAGTTCCCTGCTCGACCCTTGCTTCCGCGCTGCTGGCTGTTAGTGCTATCTTCGCTTGGTCTAGTACTCTGTGGCGCGCCGCCGAAAAGCACGGGCCGTGGTTGCGTCGACGAAGCCGAGGGTGTCTTTTTTCCGAAACTGACCACGCCAACCGGACTGGATGCTTGGCTCGACTGGAATAGCGCGGGTCTCCTACTTTCCTCAACAATCGAGGTCGCAACGACCGGAGCCACCTGGTTCATTTGCTGCTGCAACAGGCCTGGTGATCTTGAAGTTGCGCCGGGTCGCTCGGTCTCAACTTGTTCCAGGGTTCGAATGATGGCTGCCGGTGTCCGGGCGTCTGGGTCAAATAAACTCGTCGGTTCCTCTCGTTGTCCTTCTCTTGCGCTATCCAACGCGTCGTCCTCGCTAGCAGTGTCTGTCTGTGGCCTAGTACAGTGAACCGGGGGAACAACTCCACTATTGCCTCCGCGAGCGTTCGAATTCCTGCCCTTGTCGAAAAGCGGCGCAAAGGTGTGCCGTCGCTGCACCGGGACATCGCGTTTGAACGAAAATGCGGACGAACCGCCGCCGCGGCTCCCGCTCCCGGAATTATCTCCGCCACCGAATTGCCCTCGCGATCTCGTTTCCGCTAAGCGTTCTCGGAGGGATCGCGGCTGTCCCTGTCTCGCCGCGTCGCCGTCGGCGCCTCGGGATGCAGCTCCGCGGAGGAAGACCATAGTCGTCTTTGTGCTATCTTCGTAAGGATTGCATCTTCATGGCATGAACGAATTCAAACAAAAGCAACATGCTGGTTGGAGGATCAAAAGGAAACAACAACGTTTCTGAAAAAAATACGTGATATTTCGCATGGGTAGACGTCTTTGGTGGTTATGCCGCTGCGTTTTTTGGGTAAAGCTCAAATCAACAAATCCGACGCACTAGAAGCAGTTCAAGTTCTCATCGCACGACATAATAGCCAATGAACGTAACGAGTCAAGCCATCTCGGCGGCAAAGGCAAAGGAACGATAGCAGTCAAAAACGAACCGATTGCGTATGCCACGGAAGCAAGATGGACGATAGGTATGTGCAATGCAATCTCAAATGTGCGCTCGGACATCTCACTAATTGAAACTAAATAAGTACGACTGGAGCGGCAGCAGTTGCTGCAGGATACGACCGAGGATATGGATATCCACTACGATCAAATTGCAGGCAGCTCCGACTTGCATATGAACTGAAAAACCGACATCGAACCTTGACGGATACGAACGAGTACATACTGCATGAAGTGCCCGAGAAATCGTTAACCGATCTCCAAGTACAAGTTGAAGTTTTTATGTTTGGCGGGCATGGGCGAATCACTACTAAATCGCGTTCCAACCATCGTCGATCGGCAGTAGTTACTGTTCTTGCAATTCTCCTGCCAACTATGCTTGTGGCTCATTGCGAGAACGAGAATCAACTCAACTCGTTTGGCGGTGGCAGACACAACACAACCAATCTTAACGGTCACTTCTTCATCACCTGTGCCTACGTTGTTCTGTTTGTGTTTCAGTTTCGTGTGACTATTTCGTGGTACGTGTACGTTTGTTCCAAGAAAGCGACGTAGCGAAAAGGAAAACGAAAATCAGAAAGTCACGACGCAGACAATAAAGCCCGATGAAGCTGCAGGAGCGGTGCGACAAAAAAAAGGCAGTGCATTGTTGCATGCTCGTCTTTCTATGTGTTCTTGTTCATCTTCTACTGATAGATACTAACATCCAGTAGAAGCGACGGGCTACAAGTGAACCACAACATACACGAATGACACGACGAAAAATTCGGAATGTGATGCCAGTGCTTTCCTGAGATTCCTACAGTGAATTCATTTGATGCTGAGTACCCGAGTATACAACAAGAGAAAATGTCTACTACCATGCGATCACCACACGTCTTCAACTTTATCATGATGAAAGCTCGTCTCGGTCTCTGGTATGGGTATAACGTCGCTGTAGTTTCTCGATGTCCGCGCTGAGGTTGAAGTTGAACTACTTGAAGACGTAGACGACCATGAGCATGATGACGGCACTGGAGGTGCACGAAACTTATCTTCTTCAAAAAAGAACCCGGAACAAAGCTGCATTGGCTTGTTTGCTCTACGCTGTTTTTCGTTATTCTTCCGCACGACCGTATGGTGCGAAGCTCCTACTGCAGCCGACGTTTTTGACTTGAGGCAGCTGCTGTTTCCCCGCTCCTGTTTCTGCGTCGGTTTATTCAGCCCGAGGTGGTCCCTGCAGAAGGCCCGGGTCTTCTCGCCAATTAAACCAACACCCGAAGCCGCTAGTATTTTTCTCACTGCCATGTTGATGAGAGCCTTGCGGCTTGCTGCCGACCAGTAGAGGTCCCTCGCTAATTGCTCGCCCAGTATCTGCAACCTCGAAACTATTTCTACCTCCACCATCACCCGTAGCTGCGGCTGCTTCACTATTCGTTTTATGTCCCCTTCGATCCACCGTGTGATTCTGTTTGCAAGTTTGATCATTCATTTTTCTTCTTCCAGAAGCAAAGTGAAAGTCAAAGTTGTGCTGTAGGCATAACGCAAAAATAAACACCTAAATTCCCAAAAGTACAGCATCGATGTGGATCATTGTATCGCTACTCCAGGACGACCAGGTTGAAAACAACTCGCACCTTTCAGCCTGAAGCTCATCGCAGGTCACGCAGGTTGCTTGCTCATCACTCGGAGTGCTGGCGTCGCAGCAGGTTCGACACGTCGTACGGTCATCAGAGAAGGCTACCATTGGTAGAGGTGTGGCGCTCGTTGAAGCGTCCGACATTATTGCTTCAAATTTTTGTTCCCACCGACCCGAAACGAGTGCGCTGCCTTCAGTGCAACTTTTTAAAAATTATTTGCAACAAAAAATATATCTTTCTGCGAGCAGGCTGTGACGTGGGATAGTTTTTTCTTTTGAGTTACTCGTGTACAGTAGACCTTCAGTTTATCCACGCGAGGCCCTAGAACTAGAAGTCGCTTCTACTTATGCCGGAGGTACCAGTTCCACCAGGCCCCAAGAGTACCCAGACCCACCGCAAAAAACATCTACCCACCATAGAGGCAACAACCAAAACCACCATCACAACCACATCTACCAATCCAACCAGACCACGACCACACCGATTTTCCAGGAAAACCACCACGACAACCAGTGCGAATGCAAGATTCAAGATCCCATTGATGTCATACATTAGCATTACGTCAAAGATACGCCTCTCTCAGAATCAGAAACACCCTCGAATCACATCAAGTTCCAGAAAAAGACTACTCAACGCTAGTCCTAGTGCATGATACGATGAAGTTGTCAGAAGTGCAGGAAGATACGATTGTGCCGAACACGACATTGGTGCCCCCGAAAAACGCCTGCACGAACTGTTTGCAAGAACCTCACAAAATGCATGTGAGGAAGACGTCGACCAACGTCGTCGCGGTGCGAATGAGAAAACATAAAAGCCACCATGAAAAGGACAATCATATGAGCGTTTTGTTCGTCATAACTACTTGAGTAGGCTGTCGATGTGTATCGTTTTCTATGTGGAAACGAATCAGTATAGCGCCACCATACCGAAACCGAAGCAGGTCACTCAACCCACTTACTTCAACAATGAGCTTCAGACTCCTTTGCAGGTTGTGTCGACGATGTTCCATGCATTTTTTCCTATTCCATGCGAGCTGTAGTTCCACACTATGTCCTATGCCTACAAGCAGCTAGTGTTGACTCCGTCCTACTACTACTTCTTAAAATTTCAAAGCGCGTGATTAGAACAATTTCAATTCGATAAAAAAGTACTTGCGTAAACATCAAATAGGGGGACATCATAAAAAAAGCACAAATCTTCTTTAGTTTGCGTTGGTTGGATAAGGGGTATTTGTGTCTCACACAGTGTCAATTATCGAGAACAAGGCTACTTACTTATCCCATTTCCCGGCCAAAGTTCGCGAAATAGATGTCTTGTGTCATCCGGAATATTTCGCTCAGTTTGGAGGAGAGGGCCTCGTTGTCGAGCCGTAGCCTTCGCAGTTGTCGTGTGTACTGGGCGCTCGATTGTGAAAACCCGGGCGCCGCCATCTCGGCCTCGTCAGGGAAGGTAGACTGTCGAGCGAACCTGGCCGCCGGCCCCTTGCTGCCGCCGGAGGACGTGCGTGACCGGACCTCCATTGGAGGTTTGCTCCCGCCAACGTGCTCGTTCACTAGCCTCTCCACGTCCTCCGGATTTATCGCCTTGCCGCCCTCCATCTCTTCGTTGATCTTTCTGATAATCTGATCCGAATTATCGCCCATCACCTCCGACACGTTGCTCTTGGACAGCCTCTGCGCACGGAAGGCAATGCGCGAGAGTACCTGAAGGGTCAGGAGTTTTTGAATTTCTTTTTTGTTCTTAAGTATTTCTCTTACTGTGTCTATCCAAATCCAAGAACGACTTTAAGAAACACTAGCACCTCAGAGACGATTCATCATCATCTGACAAAACAGAAACACGAGAACCCTGCTCGCAGTAGTGAATGTGAAATCAAAGCAGACAAAGGAAGATATGCTCCTACAAAATTTGCATTTCCTATATCGTACCGTTTTTAGTTTGCTGCCCGATTCGGCGGGATATACACCGTGAGCCAGTGCTGCGTTGTTTTGTTCGAGAGCCTGTGTCAACTGCACAGCCATCTGTTTCTGTGATATCGCCCGCCACCACCTTGTTAATATCCTCCCGGCCAATTGCTGGTGGTCTATTTGCTCTGCGTGTGCGGCGATAGCCATCCGCCTGCGGCTCTCCTTTCGCTGCGCGTGCATTTTCAGGCTGCTGATCAGATTCGGAAATTTGTGGCAAATGGTCACGAAGTCGTTCCTGCTCAAGTAGGCCACGGTCGCTTCCTGCTCTACCCGGCAATTGGTTACGCGCTCTCTTGGATAAATCACTTCCCAAATGCCCACGTATGACCTCGGACCAAACACCATGTAGGGGTACGCCCTGTTTTCGAGTTAGGGAATGACAATGGGCGGTTCCATGCTAGTAAGAAATGCATCAGCATCAGGTCAGATTGAGCAGTGAACATGATAGATAAAACATAAAAGTTAAATTAGAAGGCGGGTTTCGGCCTTTTCTCCTACGACGAACATAGTACAAAGACAAACATCCTACCGTTCTTTCAGCATCAGTGGCGTTTGCTGGAGTCGCATCAGGTTCAATATCGTCGATGTGTGGTGAATTCCGCCGAATTCCGAGGGTACGGCGACGTAGCTGACGACACCCTTCATGATCAGCCACAACCCCTTCGGCTGCTCGCCCACGTGATACAGGTAGTCGCCCTGCGCTATTGTCTGTTGCTTCAGAAACGACGCTACCACTAGCGGCAGCGATCGCAACTCTTCCGACGCCGCGTTTTTGTTGATGCAGTGCATCAGGAAGGCCGAGCGAAAGAACATGCCCTCGAAGACCCGCTTCACGATGCTGGAGCGCAAATTTGGATCCATCGCGTCGGCCAGTTCGCAGAGATCGCGCCACATAAACCTATCCGTTTCGCGCGTGGCCGAGTCTTCCTTGGCGTATTTGGACTTTGTCATCACCTCGGAGAACCTGGAAATCGTTCGTTCCGTCCGCAGATTCAATCTAGTCGCCTCGCAGAACTGTTTGACCGCCTGGTTCTTCCGCTGCATCTCCGACCTGACGACGTCCGTTCTGGTGACCACGTGGATCACTTCAGAGATGATGATGGAGTTCACAATGGCACCGATCAACATCAAAAACATGGAGTAGAGAAGTTCGGATTTGGTGAACGGCGTGATGTCACCAAAACCCACGGTGGTGAAAACCGTCAAGACGTAGTACAAAGAGTGCAGCCACTGTTCGCCGCTCCCGTAGTCAACAAGTAACAACGGCTCGCTACCGTTCTGTGTAGGCACCGTTCGTCGCCACACCCACGTGTGTGTCGGGTCGGGTTGCAGCGCGGCGACGAGGTACCATCCGCAGGCGAAAATGTGGGAGAGAGCCTGTAGTAGTTGCGAAATGGGGCAATAAAAATTTGTTTTCCATTTATTTTCGTGCTTGAGCTTGTTACATTGCGGTTACAAAATGAATAGCAAAAGTAGGAGCAATCAACGAACTGAACGAGAACGAGAAACAGCAAAAAAAAATTCCCAAAAAAAAAGTCAGTACCAGCAGGGAGCACATGAACTTCAAGATTTCGAAGACCCGGCTTTTCCCGAACACCTGGAAGAGCAAGTAGAGCAACTGGGACGACTTGGCGAGGGCGGACCACTTCATCAGGGCTTTTATCTTCACCAGCCTGGTCAGCTTGAAGATTTTGGAAACGCGGTATAGACGGCTGATCCTTCCGAGCTTGTTGGTGCCGGACGCCTCTCCAGCTAGGCCCTCCCAGACGATGGGGGGCAGACAAGCGAGAAAATCGATGGCAAACCACGTTTTTAAGTAGGCACAGAAAATTTCCCGGGGATGACTGACCAGCTCGCCCTTGTGGTTTTCGTAGGCAAAGGTGAACTGCAGGAGTAAATCCAGCCAGAACAGCCCGTCGATCACATAGTCGAAAATCTTCCACGCCTCGGAAACCGGATCGGCGCTGCCGTCAGTCAGAATTTCGTTCCCGTTTGCGTCTATCTCGTTTGGCCACACCGTCGGCAGCCGCATTTCGACGAACGCGAGCCTATACGGGAAAACCGTTGCTATGTACATCAGGGGTAACACGAAGAACAGGCTCCAGGCGGTGCGGTACACGTTTTCTGTGTGGAAAACGGGAAAGTAGTCCCAGAACCAGCTGTCCTTGCCGCTTACCTTCCTCCACGGCTGGTTCCACAGGTGGTTCACGGTCTCTGTAGTTAGAGCTTCGAGCTCGGCAACCCTATCGTCGGGGAACGTGCCCGATTTCCCGAAGAAAAAACTGGCGCCCGCGTTTCTCGCGCCACCGGTCCTGCGGTTCAGCACGGTGACGCCGGGCAAGAAGGCGCCCGCGGAAAAAATGTTCGTCCGAGCCTTGTTCCGTTTCTCCTTCTGTTCCTTTTCTCTTTCCTTCCTGTCCGTCTCTTCGTCCACCCGGACCTTCATTTTGGTGACCACCGCCATCGACTGCGCTCGCGCGAATTCCACCGTTTTATTCTCCGGCTTGTTACTTGATGTTCCGGAGGTCGTCGTTGTTCCGTCTGGCGGCTTGGCGGGAGGTGGTCTATTTGAGGACGAGCTAGCTTGCCCTCCCCCTGGCGGCCTGTCCTCATTCAGAAGCTCGTCTATGGCGGTGTCCAGCTCGTCGCCTCTCGGTGTCACGTCGACATTCGTCTGGTACTTGCCGCTGCCGCCCGCCGGCCCCGGGCCTGGACCACTCATCTAGTTGCTCGTGATCAGACGGTGGTGACTGTGGTCCTGCTCCGGGAAACGAAAACACAGTAGGTCGCGTAAAGGAGCAGGTTTAAATTTCTCGTGGGAACAACATCATGCTACTGTAAAAATGATCAAAACGAAAGTGATGGTGTTTCGCCAAGAAACCAACGCAGCGCGGAGACTGCGAAGGCCTCCTGGGCACGCCAACACAACATGGGGGACAGAAAATGGCGGATAATTTGAAATTCTTTGGGGAAAAACGCTTGTATGGGGAATATGGGTTAATTTTAGTGTAGCCTGTACCGGGTTAATTGATGTGAAGATGGACCAGGTCAACATCTGCTACGCAAAGTGAAGCACGCGGTTGCAGAAGTGCACGACGAAAATGCAGAAAAGACGACTTAACTTTCATTTGCACGAGAGCCAGCGTAGCAGGCTCTGGTCCTCTTTGAGTTTGAACGAACGCGCAACGGCGCATGCATGAACGATACCGATGACGCATTCGGCATTTAACTTTCCGACAAACCGAGCGTAACAAGGGCAGCGCTTTTCAAACCGAATATAGTTGTGAATTGCACGAAATTCAAATTCATCATCACGAGTAGGAGCAGCGAGCTCCAAAGTCAAACCGAAAGTAGAAAGCAATTTCGCATTTTTTCTTGTGTTTGCACGAAACCGAAAAAATCTTCTGAACTATCTTCATTAGAGCAGGCAGTTGTAGAAGAGTGTGAGTGCAGGACCTGGCAGCTAGTAGTTGTACTGGTAGCACAACAACATTAGACCGACCTGATTCCGGTGATGTTCTCAACAGAAATTGAAATAGTGATTGACCGACTGACTAGACGTCCTAACTTAGTAGAACAGCCAGAACCGCAAAGCAAGCCGCGCTGTACTGAAATTTTCAAAGACGTTAAAAATGCTTAAGCGCTCGCAGCAACAAGACCCGCTGCAGAATCGACTGAAGCTGGACTAGTAGTCGGAGGCTTTTGCGTTCGAATGCGACATCGCACAACTTCACACAGATGTCGAAACTTGCCATGTGTTGCAGGAAGCAAATTCGATCCAATATCTTCCATTTTTTTGTCAGCCGCAGCGAGGCCTTCTGAAAATTTCACCACTGTTTTTCTTTCTTCTACACTCGCTTTAGCCCCAGAAACAGAATCGGAATCCGCCTGGCTGAACAGCATCCTCCGAATGTCTCGAAATACTGTGGAAAGCACGCCTGTGGATGTTTCTCCATTTTCTTGTTCCCTTATTGCATTTTTTCCGTCTTTCTCCTTTCTTCTTGATGTGCTGAAATCTTTTTCCGTTTTCTGCACCTCTGTGACCTCTGCCGAAGGTAGAATCGCCAATTTCGTACGCACCAGCTTCAGGACCTCCAACTCCATCTTGTCCAGTGCTTTCCGCTCCGCGGGGCTCATTTTCGGAAAAAATTCAACGCCGCTTAGTTCCTCTAACTCGTCCAAGGAGCGCAAGAAGAACAGCAGCGGGATCTCGGGTTCGATTTCGCAGTTTGGGAGCAGGAAACAAGCCAAAAAGCGGTCTTTCGCAAAAACGATCTTGAAGTAATGCGTCGGTACGCTGACGAGATTAGGAACTTGTCCAAGAGCGGGGTACTCGACGCGAAGTCTGTGAGGAGTGGTCTTGGGAGCAGCCAGAGGCTCCGCTTCGGTCTCCTGATCTTTTGCTTTCCGTCCCACAACCTCCTGTGGCAGGAACAACGGACCAGTTATCACGATTGCCTCGTCAATAAGAAGTTCATCCACGATCTTATTGCCTGCACCATCTGCTGCTTTTGCCGCCCCGAACAAAACTGCTTCCGCTACGAACCGCTCCAAACCCGCCCAGTAGCCACGGTTGAAGCCGCGACCAACCTGCGGGCTGATGTTAGCCAGGCTGAAGGTTTCGGAAAAAGCTTCAGCGTCGTGCCGATGGTTCCGCGCCGCGGCGAGGTGCCCCCGGTCGTAACCGCTGCGGTAGAAGTGGGAGAGCTTGTTGCGCATTTTTTCCGATATTTTCTCCTCCTCCTGAAAATGGTCGCGGAGAAGGACGTTCTGGCCGCTCGGTATTTGTTCGCCGGTTTCTTTGTTGACGCTTCTCAGCCCTGCTGACGCTGAAAAATCAGACACGGCATCTTGTCGTTCCTGATTCACGACTTGGCTTTCATCCGCAGGTAAGGCCTTCGCGGATTTATTCCCTGCTCCTCCAAACGACGTGCGTTGAACCTGGACATTGCGCAGGTTGTCTCGCGTCAAGTATTCCACCACGTAAACCGGGTTTCGTGTGCGAGAATCGAATTCGACTGCGTAGGAGCGTTTCTGGATCAAATATCGGGAGGTCGGCAGGCCGTAGGTTCGAGCCGCTGCTGCTAACTTGCTGTGCGATGTTGTATCTTCACAATATGTTGAGTTGCTTCGAATGAAGACCTTCTTAGTCGGCCAGTTGAATCTGCGTGAGTGCTGTTGGTCCTCTTCGTGACTTCGCGTTCGCTCACCATTCTGCGGAATCAGCTTGCATCGGGAGCGCAATGCGCTGACCAACGGGAGCCAATACTCGCAAGGTGTCATCGTTTAGCCGCCCACCGCGATACTGCTTCTAGCAGGATGAAGGCTTCACCTTCTCCATCCACCTACCTCGACATGGCAGAGCCTGCGGGGGAACTCATGGTTTTGCATATTCTTCTCCTTCTGCAGAAGAGTGCATAGAGAGAAATTCGATCTGAATGGTTCATGTACATGTTGTCGGTTGGCAAATAATCTGCAGACCACCTAAGTACCACATATCCAGGAGTTGTCGTTGGGAAAATGACATACCAGAAATCTCTTTTATTTCCTTGTCCGTCTACAAAAGCTGTCTACTTTGTATTTTTGCTATGTTGCGAGGAAAGTGCGACGATCGTGGATGTTGCGGATTGTATGCAAGAACCGACACTAATATACGAGATTGAATTCCTGAAGAGAAGGGTGTTACAGAGACTGGTACCGATCATGTATCGAAGACGATTACGGATTTCACTTTCTTCCTTCACGGGCAGCCGTCATCTTGTTGCTGTTGTATCAGTTGCGGGTTTTAGTTTTCGCCTGGCCTTGCTGGGCTTCGCATCTACAATTACAAACCCACTGTTCTTGAGTCATGGAAGGCAAAGTTGCTGCTTTTGCTTCGCGGGCGAAAGTACAGTTCGCGATTCTTTTCCTTCTTCCTCTCCTCCTCAGCCTCAGCGGCCCGGCGCTTCGCCTCCGCTTCCTTTTCTTCCGCAGCTTTCGCAGCGAAAAAGTGATGGCTGTACCTGGTGGGTGTGATAACGGTCAGGATGATGATTTCGATTCTCCGTCTTATTTTACTTTTTCTCAATACCAAATATCCATGCCAATGAGCACCATCTTCAAATTCACAGTCCTCGAGCTCGACGAAGCAAGAAAAGGCTAGCGTTGCAAGAACGCAAGTTGCAGTACCCGCGACTCCTTGCATTCCGCTGCGAGGTGGTAAGTGGCAGCAGCGGTTTGTCCTCAATCGACCCGGGCGGGAGCATATCGCGGAAGTGCGTCCGGAACCGGATGTGGGGCTCCCGGATCAAGCCTTCCAAGCCGGCGATCCGTCGCTCCGCGATGGCAATTTTGTCCTCGTCGGACAGAGCGTTGTACCCGCGGATGTGCTTGACGTCCTCACTGTCGTAGTTTCGCGCGACGGAGGAGAGGATAACTTCCTCCAAATTCAGGAAATCCGCGTTTCTCCGCATCACAATTTGGTCTTTCGGTAGTTGCTCCGCCCTGGTGCGGTCGTAGCCGTACTGTCGGGCGAGGTTCAAGCAGCCAACCTGCGGACGCTCGGTCAACACTCGTCGCAATTGCGCAATCATCTCGCGTTCGGAAACCGCGAGTTGAAAGAAAAAGTGCAGCGTCGCGGGGAACTCGTCGGCCGGAATGTGCTTCCAAGACTCCCGCGGGTTGTAGAGGTAGTGCAGCGCGTGCGCGACGCCCTTGGACGTCAAGCGGGACCGAACTTTCACGGGCTCGTTGGGCCGGTCGACGTGAACTACTACTTGCTTGTAGAAGAGCTCGCCGAGTCCTGTTTGATGATTTAGATTTAGATTTTCATCTCACTGCGCCGCTACGGGAAAATTTCACTTCTTGCATCGCTTACAAAGCACCTGACGAGATAACGATTAAGTTCAAACAAGCGTCAGTGCGGTCTGATTCCTGTAAGAAGTAAGTACGTTGATTCGACCCGCGTATTTTGCAACGGTGGAGGTGCCGCAAGTGGGATTCCTGCAATTCGATGACACTGTTCGCGGATGGTTTCAGCGAGCGCATGCTCTGCTCCGCAAAGGGCATGTAGGTCAAATCGCGCAGCGCCGGCATGTCCTCGACGTCTACTTCGGCCTCGTCCTGCCCTTCCTCCTCCTCCAGTTCGTGCTCCGGCAAAATTGCCTCGTGCACAGGATCATCTTGTTCCCCAGCACGACCACCGACCACGTCGGGAAATCCTTTCTGCGGGCTCGCTTCCGGCGTGTCCTTGGCTTGCGTTTCGAACCAGGCGCCGAAGACCTTGTCGTCTATCGCAGGCGACACTTTTGGCGCGGAAGATGAACTACCTGCTACTGCGCCTGATGTTGACGATGAGGAGGCTGCAACGCCTTCAGGTGGGGGTTGTGCGGCCGCATCTCCCAGCACTTCTTCTCCTTCAGTTGCGAACTCGTCCGGGTAGATTTCGGATTCCGTTTTGGGCACCTGCGACTCCGTGTCGGTTGCAATCCGCTCCGCTCGGTGCGTGCCCTCTTCGTTTATCGTGCCCTCTGTGTCAGTGACGGTCTTATCGGCAGTGCCTGTTTCATTTATCGTCCCGTCGATGTTGTTGTCGGCACCTCCTCCAGGGCCCTGTTCTCCTATCGGCGGTAGCCGTATGCTCATATCGTCCACCACAGCGTCGGGCGGATCGATTTCCTTGCTTCCTGATCGGCTCGCTCCTGCACTACTTGCTACTGCTGAACGTCCTCCGCCTCCGCCATCGTCGTGTTTTTCCACAAATTCCAGTGCGCGGCTGTTTGTGTGCCGTTTCCGGGGCGATCGCGACTTCATGTGGTCCACCCAATTCTTTATCTGCGTTAGACCGAATTTGAACCAGGCGCTGGAGAGTTTTCGGCAGGCTTTGCGGTACTTTACCGCCATGTCCTCCATCTGGTCCCAGAGAAGCATTTCGCTCTTGATCACGCTGTTCAAAGCGGAAAAAATCTCCCGGTGCACGTAGTACAACATGGGCTCCAAGTGGTGCTCGGCTATCTCGATCTCCTCGTCCTCCGCACTCTCGTCCCGCGAAGTGTAGTGCGCGCCGTGCCAGTGCTCGTCGGGGATCTGGTACAACGCGAGCACCATGTCAGGCTCCTTGGAAGCGATACCTAGCGTTTTCTCGAGCGCTGGGATGATGTCGGTCCGTAACACTTTCGTCTCGTGCGTGGTCTTCCCCGAGCTGCGTTTCCGACACTCGGAAAGTAGGGACTGCAGGCGCTCCGTGTAGTCCTGGTCTTCATGAAGATTCCAGTCCCGGCGGGGCAACCGCCAGTGCGCCAGAACCACGTCGTTGGCAAGAAGCCGCTCCATGATGTTCTTGTTCGAGCCAGCAACTGGAGGAGCAGCGCCGGTAGTGCTCGGAGTATCGCTAACTTCTGCAGTAGACCATCTTCGCTTTTTGCTCTATCTCTACACTTCTCACCAAAACCAATAAAGCAAAGCACTTCGTCAACACGTTTTTCTCGTCAGATTTGTTCTACTCGACTTGAACTTGAGGATGTCAAAGACAAAGAGTAAATGCTCCAGAACGATCTCTCACATGAAAGCTACCGAGCAGCTGACTGACCTGCAGGCTCTCCCATTTGCAACGCTCTCGGTCTCTTCGCGATCTCTGTTGTTCTCCCGCCAAATCACAACGCGTTCGAGCAACCGTCTTTCCATTTTGTATCGTTCCGAGGAGCGCCCCTCCTCGGAACAGAGATGAAACGGCAAGGTGACGAAAAGAACATAGCGTCAGAGAAATACTTAATTGACCTGGTGAGGCAAAAACCAACAGCATAAACACTGAAGCAGGAAAGTACTTAGAGCCGAAGTAACGAATCTGTGGCAAGACCCTGGAAAATGAAGACTCGGCTGACACAGTCTCTCGAGTCAGTTTTTCAATTGCTGCAACTTCAACTTTTACGGCTCGTTTTGGTTTTTGTTCTCTGATCTAGTTCCGGTTGCGCCACTTTCGCGGATGGAAAACACTGCTAGCCATGGAGAGATTCAGCAGGCTGGAGTCGCCATCCAGGTCCACTCGCTGATCTGTAAGGTGCAGCGGCGGCGAGATGATGGTCGCTGGCTGTTTAGTATCTTTAGTGGCCTTGTTTTTGGAACTGCTGCTCGGCTGATCCTCCGTGCTGCTCGCACTGTAACTAACGCCACCAGCCTGATTGAACATTTCTTTTACCGCCTGTCGAGTGGGTGCCTGGCGTGTGAACATGGGGACATGGGGCCTTTGAATTGTCGCAGCGCTCTGGACAGGAGGAGGAGCTGCCGCAGAAGCAGCAGTGATGAACAAGGGCGTTGGGATCGCGGACGACGGTTGCGCAGGCGCGAGGTGTGCGGTCGAAGAATTTTTTTGCAGCTGCTCAGCGTCTCCTTGGCTGTAACTCGGCCTGGTTGGTCCAGCCAGGAACGGATTAGGCTTTTTCTTGCCGCTGAGCGACGCCCGCTTTGCAGATGCGGGGCCCGCCGACGGCGGTTTTGCTTTTGGTACAACTTGTGCACCCGTTCTTCCCGAAGAAACTGGACCTGGAGTTGTCCGAGAACTGGATGGAGATGGACCCGAGGGCAACGACAAGCGCTGTCGATTTCCAAAGTCTTGCTGTCGTGCTCCACCTTGATGTGGGTCCTTGTTTGCGTTTGGTGAAGATGCAGGGCTTCGTCGATCTTGATTGAAATCCGACACCCTCCGGGTCTGAGGACACGGCTGTGCCGTCGGCGGCCTCGGCACTGCGCCGATCCCCGAGCCCCTACGGTCAACTACGGATACCGCTCCTGCTGGCGAAGCACCCCTACTAGGAGGAGCGTACGGATTAGAGCGCCGTTGCTGCGAACTCGAACGCCGACGCTCCAGCCCAACTGAAACGCCTCTGGACAATGCGGACTCTGGTACGCTGCCTGCACTCCAGTTCGGGCCGCAGCCCCGGAGGCAAGAATTATCCGCAGCGGTTTTTATGCCGGCAGAGAGCTGGGACTGAGAACTGTTTCGAGTCATTCCGTGCTCCAAAAGAACGCCACTCCTGTTAGTACAACTGGGAGGCGGTTGGAAAATGCTGCTTTTGCTACGGCTGAGCGCGTTCAACGGTGATCCCGACGGCGGCCTCTGAGTGAACGGGTTCGATTGAACTTGCTGTTCTACTTGCAGTGGTACTCTTCCTCTACTTCCCAGACGTTCGCTTCTATCATGGATGCCGACACCACTGTGAATGGTCGATCTTCGATTCGTCTGGTGTGCTACAACGTGACCGACGACCGCGAAACTTGGAACTGGACCCGTTCGATCCAAGGAGGGCACGCCGAAAACTTCCGGCACCCCTCCCGTCTGTTGCTGAGGAGCAATGCGCTGCTGCAGCTGCTCGGAGGCTCCACCTAGTTCCAGTCGCGGCGGCCTGTTCTTAACTGCAACACAATTCCCGACGGAGGGTGGCGACGTGTCTGGCTGTTCCTTGCGCTTGTTCCCTCCGTTGGCAATGGACATCGGGGATATGCTGCACTGAGATACCTCCATCTGCACAAGGTGGGACTCGTTCAAGTGAAGATCAATTTTTTCAGGAACTCGAAATCGTGGTGTTTGACTTTGCTGTTTGATCGGGTCGTCCCCAACTACACTACGCCCTGCTCCTGCACCGACTCTGCGGGGCGTTCCTTGCGGGCGCGCCGCACGGCTTTTCTTCACGACGGACATGGGCGAGATAATGGACGATTGTTCCTGCTGCTGCAGTACACTGTGGTCAACCTCAACATCCTGATGTTCCTGGAACATTGCAAAGCGTGCCTGCTCCGCTTGCGACACCGCGGAGGAAGTGCGTGACATCTGACGGCTCGTACTAGCGACAGTGGTAAAAGTGGCACGACGATATTGATCTTCCGGGTTCATAGTGCTGCTTGCAGGAGGAACCGAGAATCGCACGTCGTCGCAATTTTCTTGCATTTCCATTTCGCTGTCGAAGAATTTCTCCTGCATTTTATTTTGCTGCTTCCTGCAGCTCGAAGAACAACCCCGAAGATCATCCCCGGTGCGGACCCGCAGATCGCTTTGATCAAGGATTTCCGAAGGCTCAAACAAGCTGGAATGAACCAAAACGCTTTCCATGTTCCGGTTTGACCGCGGGCTCTGGATGTAGTTTTCCTTTTCATCATGCATGTTGTACTGGTAGGAAATCTGGCTCGCATTAGCGTCGTCCACAACCATGAATGTCTCGTTCTCCAAGGGAATGAGCAGCTCCGAATCCTCTGCCCAGTTGGAGCTCGCAAAGCGGACTTGATCGGACGTGTTCCCGGTGCGGCGCGTCTGTTGGAAGGGCGTGATCTCCGGATGATGTTTTGCATCATGATTCTGTCGGCTGAAGCACTTTTTAGCGCTGACGCTCAGTCTCTCCTCACCTGGTCGCTCGCCAGGATTTTGGTTTAAACAAAACCCGGCCGCGGTCCCTGCCGTTGTACCGCTCACGACGTGCTTCACGCCGCCGTCGCCTCCACACATCGAGGAGATGAAGCTAACGTCCTCGTCGTCGTCGTCCGCTGCAGGGTTTGCATTGACGTTTCGGTCGTGCGAAACAGGACCAGCGGGAACCGCACCGCCATAGCGATAATCTCGGGTGGCGGAAGCGGGTGCGGCGAAGGAGACTGAAAGGTTCAGCTCGCTATCGCTCGGGGTCTGAGAAACATTGATGACGCCGAGGCCGGCGATGGGCGACTCGTCTGGCAGAAGCTGTTGGAACGGTCGGCGATTGTAGGAGGGTGGTTGTGGAGGTTGCGCGGCGAAGAAGTTCGGCGCAGCGTCTCCGACAGTCGGTTGCTTCCCGTGCACCTGCCCGTCGCTATCTACCCAACGCCTTTGAACCGTCTGCATTGCGTAGTGTGTGGCCTTATTCGCGTCGGTCGCGTTGGGAGAAAAGCAGATGCTGCCGCTCAAGGTACAGTTCCTTCTGCTTCTGTGCTATTTCAATCCTAAGTTGTATTTTTTGCATTTCGGATGGGTACTATAGAAGTGACTGTGCTTTCTTTAACTTTATCTTGGCATCATATCATGATCTTCGTGGGTTCGCTCAGTCGCACTAAGATCGAGCGTCTCAACGCTCGAACTAATCAGCACTGAAGGTGGAGACGAGGGAGTTCTGCCCGTGTCGTGCTTCTTCGTGTTCCTCTCCTTCCCCTTGCAGCTTTCATCGTTTTCCGTAATGAGTAAGTAGAGCTGACCTGACTCCTGAGACGAAACATGTGCCCAGCAGAGCAAACAAAGCTTCTAAACACATCGGCGCGCTCTGGGTGTTGAAACATTGGCTTCCACACATCGGAAGGGCGTCAAACTGAACTTTTGAAATTTTCTATTGCAGCGGAACTTACTACTACTAGCTCTTGCTGCGTGACTATACTAGCAGGACCAAAACCGGAGGGATTTTACATCAAGACTATGTTGTTCAAGCAATTTCAGAAGTCTTCATGACTTTCTTCTTCTTGTCAGTCATGCACATGCTAACATTTACTCTCATGCGTTTTAGTTTTTGTTGATGAAAATTACTTTTAGATATTCCGACAACAATTCTTTTGATGATTCTTCTACAACTACAAACCGGAAACTAAATGTCATTGATGAGACTGAGGACTGGATGTAATGTAACTATTTTCATGTCGTAGCATTAATTACGTTTTGTATACGGCTCCATTCTGTGAAACTTGACTAATGCTTACTCTTAATCTTGAACACATAGTTTAGTTACTTGCGAAGGGCACTCCTTACCTCGGTGCCGGCTACTGTTTCCACCTCGTGTAGTAGTAGGCCTCTAGCTACTGGAGTTGCGCCCCTGGTCCTGTTTTGCCGAAAACTTGTGAATCTTTTCTAGTCGGGCTTGGTAAATTTTCTCAAGAATCAGCGATGCCACACCGACCCGCCACCGCTGGAAGCCGTCGCCCTCACCATTCTCCGCAGCTGCGCGCTCGCAACCAGCGCCCAACAAAAGTCTCTCCGAATCAAGGAAGGAATCCTGTATTGAAACATTAACATTGTTCAGTTTTTACTTACATCTGGAACTGTATAGATCAAAAAAACTATCGTGGAAGTCAAGCATCTTCGTTGGATCATTCTTGCGTGGGCATCAAGCTGCTCATGGTACCTTTCGTCCTCTCGTTGCACTGAAAGATGAATTCACAACTGCCGGACTCGGTATTACCGGACCCGTCAACATCAACGCTGGGGAACAATCGGGTGGCAACTTTCCCTTGAGCGGTCGCTTGCGCACCAGCGGGCTTTGAAAATTTGCGCGCACCTCCGTCTGGAACTCGCGCAGCTCGTACAAAAACTGGTCGCGCCCGGAGCTCGCTTCGTTTTGTTTCAGAAAAGTGGTCTCAGCCAGGTCGATCGGGTTGCTGTTATAGCTGCCGGGGAGGTTGGAAGAGAAAGACGCCAGTGCGCTGAAGTTCTGCTTGTTCACACTTATGCTCTCCTTGTTGTGGCTACTGGGCCTGCCTGCCGGCGGGACAACGCTTTGAAGATGCGTAACCCCAGTCGTCGTGTGGTTCCAGGACTGTTTGCGCCGTAAGCGGTGGCTCTTTCGTGCAGACGACTTCCGCGGCGAGGTCGAAGCGTCGGAAATCGGAGCAGGTCTTGGCGGTTTCGCGGAGAACGGGGTCTGGAAATTATCAGGTTCCTGATTCCTTGCTTGACCTTTTCCGTTGCTCGCAACTATGGCAGAACTCGCATTCATCGCTGATCCACCTCTACTCCCAGCCGCTACATTCGTCTTATTCCGCGTGCTGCTTCTGAAGGAAGAAGCGCAGGGCACTCGACTTGCAAGCGGAGACGATGGTGACGCAGATGCCGACCGGGATCTCGGCGTTTGAAATTTCAACTTAGACGCACTCTTTGGGGAACTAGAGCCTGAGTTTAGTCCGCTTCTTGATCCCGGAGAACATTGCCGCATATCAGGTGCTGCATCGTGCGCCGTCCGATCCCACTCCCGGGCTCGTTTGAAGAGTTGCTTCCAGCGGCTGAAGTAGCGATCCTTCAAGAACGCGCGGAGCGAACGGACGGTGTAGCAAACGGCTTTCTTGCTCTCTCGGTCGCCGTCGTGGTCGTGGTCGTGCTGCGCGACCATAGTGTCATATGTATGTAGGCTCGTCCGATCGTTAACTTCATGATCCGATAATCTGCCAGACAATCTCGAAGTTTCTTCCTCTTCATTTCCACTTCGCCGGCCTGCAGCCGTGTGCTCTGCGTGTTGTAGGGTCGTGGAGGAAGTAGTAGATGATGCAGTTGCAGTGGGAGTGGCTCCGTGGTGAACAAAGTGCTTTTGGGCGCTGCACTTCTCCTTTGACTTCGACCGTTTGGGACGCTCTTCCCCGAGCTCGGGTAAGGACCGCGTGAAAGACCAATCTGGATCATACGCCTCGGGGTCGTACAACAACTCGGAGTTGTCACCTGCTCCGTACAAATCTTGTTGATGTTCAACCGGTGCAATAGCGTGTTCTTCGTGCTGCGGCGTGGCGTTTCTGCTGTTGGTCGCTCCAGCTGCTACGCCCTCGATCTCCTGGTCCTGCTGCAGTTCCTCATCAAGCAAGATGTTTGTATCGATGGCAAACGAGGAATCCGAATCTTGCACCGCGATCATAGTGGATCCTCTATCTTGTTCCGTACTGACTTCCTTGCTCGACGAAGTGCTTGCGTTTGCGCGCTCCATGCCCCCGGTTGCGTCTTGATCACCTTCAGTGCCGTGTTCTTCTTTTCGTGCAACATCCTCAACATTCGACTTGATCGCGATCTCCACACCGTCGAGATCTGCTACAGCACCATCCTCCTCGTCGGAGAACAGCAAAGTAGGCAATGCGGGAGACATTTCGAAATCTGCAGCAGAAACCAAATCGTGGCTCCCTTTATTTCCATCAGAATATTCGCGATCATTTTCCGCTGGATGGCCACCGTCTACTAGGTGCTTTTGCCCTGCAGATGACACTGAGGCACTATCGTATGCGTTGAAGAGCAACAGATTGACAACATCCGCTGAGCACCAATCGACACCTGCGCTCGCTCCTATGCAGGTGTCATCCTCTGCATCGCTCTGCACGGTAAGCTTTTCAACTTCGACGAAGTATTCCTGATCGCCACGGTCTCGCGCAGGCTCGAAAACTCCACAGAGGGAGTACAGCTGACCTTTGTTCGTGTCGCTGTCGCTGTCAACGTTCCCAAAGGCAGTCCCTCTTGAAGATTGCGCAGAGGACGTCACCACTTCCGAAATTCCGTGAAAAATTGCGTCTCGCAGCACGCAGTCCACGACCTCCTCCATGCCAACTTCGTCATCCTCAATTTCCTCAGGCTCGGCGAACGAGATCGCGCGCTTCACCGCACCGGATGCTGGTTTTCGATGCTGTTCATCTTGTGGCGCAGGACCAGATGATGTTCTGTCGTCCGTCGACGAGGAACTGGAAGAGGTACCGCGGGGGGCATCATCTCGGTTTCCTTCTATGCTCGGATCAAGTGACGCATGCTTCGCGACCGCGTCTATCCGTGGGTGTTCGTTTTCCTTGCTGGAACTGGTTTCGGTTTCCGCCAGTTCTTGCTCTTGATCTTCATCCACGACTGCGGAGTCAGGTGCTTCTTCCTCAAGAACGCGCGTCACCACGCTAGGTTCTTCGTCGACGTAGATCTCCCGCACCGCAGCACCATGAAGACCCGTGGAGCTCCGGACGAAGCCGGAACCTTTTGCCCCACTGCTTTGGTGCTGCACCATGGGGAGATCTTGTAGCAGCTCGTCCTCTTCACTTTCGACCTCTTCGTCCTCGCGTGCGCCTGGCATAGACGTACTGCAAGCTGCCTCAGCGGTAGGCGCTGCCTCGTCAGAGTTGTAGTCGCCGATTGACGATGACGTAGAGAAAATTGACTGGTACATCAGGGTCAAGACAAAACTTGCGACAGCAGCTTCGTCTGTGCCGTTCTCGTTGTGCACCACCCCCACCTCGGACGCAGGGTGGACATCTTCGTCAACCTCGGGGGCGTTTTCCTGCTGACATAGCGTCGTCGTAGTCTCGCTGGTGCGGCTCCGGCCGTCGAGCTGGTGATCGACATCGACTTCTACTTCACGGTCATCGTCCACCGGCTTTTGCTGCTGCTTTTCCTCTTCCTCTTCGTCGTCCATACCGCAAAGGAGATTGTTCAGTAGCAGCGAGCACACTCCACCGGTCACCGAGGTCGCCTGGGCGCGACGCATCTCAGCTGAATGCGTTCTCGTTTTGCGCCGCCGTGGCGTCGGCGGCTCCACGTCACCATCAGCAGGAACGGAACCGGGCTCGCTGATCCGCTCGCCATAATGGTGCCCTCCGTCTCCCTCGGCGGTTGAGGACATTGTCTGTGGCTCGGTGCTTTATTTGACTCTCGGAAAGGTGACGAAGCTGGCTAGAACCGCTGAGTGACAGTGATCTCACAGAATCACTGTAACTTTTTGCCCTCACACTCACATCTCCAGTATAATGCCTTCGCGCGACGGAAGAAAGTGAATTTCGACACAAGAAGGGTAAAGAAACATGCTGCGAATACATAGTGCTGCCACATCCGGTAGCACTTTCTTTTTCAGCTCTCCCTCTCCTGAACAACATCTCCGGCTCCGCAAGAGCTCTACTAGGTGACGCCCAAGTATTTTCACAAAGCCTTTTGATTTTTGATCTGCGTGTTCCTGAAAAAAACCATTTGTGTCCTCATCTGATCTTCAGCAGAAAAAATACGCCGCCAGCTAATGCAAACCTCGCGGGTACGCGCATCACCTTTTCAGGTTAACAACTTTTTCTTTTTCAGCAACGCCATATAATCTTTCGCCCGCCAGCATCAAGAACTACATCCGCATGCCCAGCTTCATGAAGTCCTTTTGCAGCTGCATCATGTTGGCAGATTCGTTTTTCAGTCGCTGGTCAAATTGCAGCTTGATGTTTGTCAGCTGCGGCAGCTGCTCCTCGGCCTCCTTGATTTTTGACTCCAAATCGTCCTGAATGTCGTCGTAAGTCGAGAGAAAAAACGCCCGTCCGTAATGCTTGTACACTGCCGGTTTGTCGCCTTCCATCTGCTGCAGATGCGCCGCCGAGTAAACGGAAGCTTGCTTCATCCTGAAAGAAAATTTTGCGATTCTTTGTGTTTGTGAACATCCCACAGACAGAAAAAAATGCGAGGTTGGGTTCTTGTCCAAGCAGACAAGAACTTGACCAGTAGTACCTCTGATAGCGTGCGATTCTGGCTTCGATCTTCTTGTTTTGTATGTACAAGTACTGCACCCTCTGCTCGAGTTCCTGCAGTTCCTTGATCTTCTGCATCTGCTCCTGTTGAAGCTTCTCCCGCTTCTCGCTCTTCGTGAGCTTCGTCTTCTTCGTGTGCTTCCCCATCTTGTTTTCTTGCTATTGCGTAGTAATACTAGAATACAATTAGACCATTCGACGGAAGTAATACTGATAGACTCAAATCACTCACGAAGGACCCCTACTTCACTACTTCGTGTTCTTCAGGTTCAGACATCAAAGAAATAAGTAGAAGCGCTAGCGCGCTAGAGGTACTTACATTTTTTGATGTTTCTGTTTTTCTTTGATTTACGTGAAAATAGGACTATGTACTTCCATCACATGTGATCTTCAACTTCATCGACTTGCACTTGCCCTACGCGGAATCAAATATAAACTCGTCAATACACCATCGAGTATGCGATGCGGAACAACACACACTACTCAAGCGCCATCTCCTCGGTACCGTCACTAGAGTGTGAAAGATGAACACGCACACCCTAGTTGTATATGAAGTCTTGCTATCCCTCCAGAAGACAAAGAACTCACGCTTTTTTGCAAAGAAAAAGGGATAGTAAAATGAAAATCAAAATGTTCCAGACAAACCTTCATGAAATAATTGCACAATCGCGTGGGCATCTCCTGTGCTTGTCAGAAAAGGTCATCGCTGTCGCTCTCACTTTCGGTGCTGTCGCTCTCACTACCGGAGGTTCGAGGACGTTTATTACTGACCTTCTCCGAGGAGCCGACCAACCCAAACATATTCCGCCACGTTGCTTTGATTTTTCCGGAATCCCAATGGAGAGCACGCCCAATTGGAGTCAAGGTGATCGATTTCGGGTTGGCTCGTTGAGCGAACGGCAACAAGTTATACCGATCCACAACACGGCCCTTCAAAACCTCTCTATAAGCAGACCAGAGTTCACCGGCGCCCTCAGTCCAACTACCATCTTCTTTCTTCGCCCGGTTCCCGACAGCTGAGCTAAAAAGGCACTCGCAGATGTGAGCAACCTTCTCCGCGCCGTCCACGCTGCTGGAAGCGCCTTCTTGCAACTCAACAAAGACGTTTCGCGGGCTCAGTAGGTTTTTGATATTTTCGTGTCCAATGTGCGAAGCTAAGGCGATAAAGATTCGCGCTGTCAGTTGTGTCTGCGCGTCTTTCAAAAGACACTGCAGGGCCTCGGGCGAGATAGGCGGACATATCTTGAGCACGCTTTCAATCAGCTTGACCGAGGCCTTCAGTCCCTCCCGGCCGCCGCACATCTCCACGGCCTGTGCATCGAGCAAACGGTATCCCTGTAAGTGATTGGGTTGCATTAAGAAAAGTGAGCGTAAAACAGGGCCCCCCTCGTGTTCCAATTGGTTGGTACTGATTTTATTGGAACCTTACATATTACTGCGTCACTTGGGGCCTTCCAGGTCACAAACGGGCAGACGGCTGCTCTGGGTCCAACTCGCCCACTTTTCTCATCATGCATGAGTGCGTTTCGATTCGGTATTTTTTCCCGGAGACTCGAGAAAAAATATTGAATCACTCTCTCTTTTATTACTACACTTCGTCGAGTGTTTATTACGGAAAGAAGCGCGATCTAGGAGTCAGAATCAAGCTCAACAACCTAAAGACCAGCGGCGTGACAAACAGCATCAATGTCCTCAGCTGCTGCAAAATTTAAATTGTAGCTATCAAAGTGTAGGCGTACGCGCTTGCATGTGGCTCCGAGGTGCTTTTGCATGTCTGCCAGCTTTCCCTGGAACTTGCAGCCGTGCACGGAGTGCGGACAGCTCCGCACTGCCTCAGCGCATGGATTTTTTTGCTCCCAGTAGAGTCCCGACGTAGAGGAGCAATGTTCTTTGCGAAATTGTTTGCGGGTCATGGTCTCGTGGCAGGCTTGGCACTTCACCTGGGCGGAATCCAGCTGCATCTCGATGAACTTGACGCGTGCGATTTCATAACCGTTGCTGGACGTCTTCCGACAATGAGGACACACAGGCTTCTTGTATACATCGCGACACGCTTCGCAGAAAAATTTTCCGCAACAATTTGTGGTGAGCACACGATCCTGAATGTCCTGGTGGCATATCAGGCAATCCGCGGCTTTGGTAAGCACATTACTTTCTTTCCCCACGAAATCCATTTTGAAGTTTAGTAGAGTTACGCAAATCAATGACCCAGATGAAGAAGGATAACGGATAACGGCATCAGAAAACTTGAGCTTCTGTTTTCCTTTTTGTGTATCGTGGAGCTTCTATTTGCATTTAAGGAGCACATAGACTCTACAACTCAAACAATACATCCACATTCTACTTTCATTCTTGTTCAACCTCCTTCCCTGGTGATATTAACGATAAAGATAAACTCAAACTCGCTAGTAAAAAAATCATTTTGATTTTTTTTATTCGAGTCCTAGCTGCAGGTCAACACGGCAGCAGGTCAACCCCGGGAACCTGTGCGTACCGGCTGACCCCGACAAAAAAAAGACGAAATTGATTCCGCGCACGTCTTTCCACCGAAAGACATCTGAGCGTGATCTGATCTCATTCGCGCTGTAGCACATGTTGGAAATGAATGATCATGCTGATCTTTGACACGTGCATCTGCTTTTCAAATATCTTCTTCTGTATCTGGTTTCATCCCCGGCAATAGCAATAGCGGAGTTCTTGACGTTTTTCATCACTCGGGGTGAAAGGGTCAGCCCAGTTTTCAGGTAAACGCGACGGCTTGCGAAGGCGAGTTTGTAATGAAGAGCTCGAAGCTGCTTTCTCTCGTAGGGTCTGAAGAACTCGCAGTTGGCTTTCATTAATCCAGAATCGGAAACAACACACACCACTCAAGCGGCAGCTTCTCGGTACAACCGTCTGCGCTGCAATGGGAAAGATGAACACGCGTGCCTTACAGTACGTGAACTTAAACCTAACGCCAACCCTAAGCTTCGTTTTCCTTTTCCCGCCAGCAGAAAACATATAAAGGTCGCGCTTTTCCTAAAACAAGATCAATCAGAATTCATGATGCGTGCTGTACCACTTGACTTTGCGATTCTGATTTCAACGTGACAAACCTCAATCAGGTTTCATCGAGGAAAAGTCTTCAAATAGAGCTCCAGTTGCCCTCCTTGTGCTTCTGGGCAGAGCGATCGCATCTCCATCTTTAACCTCAACTAGCACTAGCCCTACACGCATCTACGCTGCGCATGCTTTCCTTTGACATCAGGTAGAAAATACCAACGAGCTACCCCCCGCTCTCGCCCGCGTGTCCGTTTTGGCGCCGCGGACTGCGGCTCCTGTCGTTGTTGCGACCCGCAGATGGTTTCTTCAGCCAGCCGAACACCTTCCGCCACTCGTCCCGCCAGTCGTCCTCTCCTTTTTCGGGACACGGCTTCACATCGATGTCGCTGGGAGTATCGCGATCGTCCCAGTCTTCGTTGTTGTAAGTGTCCACGACTCTCAGGAGTAGATGCTTATGATACCCGTCCCACAGTTCGGATCTTGCGTCTTCAGATGTCCCCCGGACGGAGTGCGCGAAAATGTATGTCGTTATGTGCTTGATGTTGTCCACCCAGTCCCGTCGTCCTGCGGCTCGACGGCCCTCTTCGTACTCGATAAAAGAGTTCTCCAAGCTGAGTCTATCAGGGATTTCGTCCCAGCATTCGCCGCCTGCAAGCGCCAAAATATGCAATTAGAAGCTGCTCTACGGCGCACTCTCAGTCTATGTCTCGACTCACTTCATTATACGCACTACACAGCCGGCCTGGGCCTTTGCTTTGCTCGGGCCTTCTACTTTTTTTTAGCAAGATGGAACATAAATGGCGCAGGGAGGTAAACGTGATAAAGCGAGCAGGTTACCGTTACGTCATAGCGTGGTAAGTTATATACAAGCAAGAGCAACACAGTGACGAGTAGGAGTAGAGTAGGCGGGGCCAGAGCGGTACTTGCAGCAGCTTCACACACCATACTGCACGACCCTCGAGGTCAGGTTTATGCCGGCCGCGTGCATCAGCTGGCCGAGCGTCTCGGGGGGCGTTGGCGGATTGAGGTGGAGATGGGACTCGATGTACTGCACAGATTTCTTCAACCCTGCCTCACCACCGCAAATTGCGATTGCAGAAGCATCGAGCTTGCGATATCCCTGTGAGTTGTAAGTTTGATTTTCCGTCTCCGTCATAATTGTATGGCGACAGTTTTACTCTTCTACCCTAGTTGTACAGTAGAATGTGCAAGATAATGATCTCTTTCTCTATTAATATGCATACACCAATGGTAGCGCCAACGCAAACTAACAAGTAGCACGATCAGGTGTCGGGTGGTTTACGTTTGACACAGTTACATCCAAAAAAATACGTGCTCGCACTCACATCCCAAGTGCTTTCGCAACTTCGCCAACTTCCCTTCGAATTTGCAACCGGCATAACTGTGCGGGCAACTTCTCTTTGTTTCTGCGCACGGTTCACATTCTTCCCAGTAGTTGGTTTTGATGTGGTCTTCGCGAAACTGCTTTCTTGTCATCGTTTTCTTGCACCCTTTACATCTTACTTTTTCGTTGTCGATGTTCATTTCGATAAACCGGTTCGGAACAATCGTGAAGCCGTCTGATTTCTTGGCGCGACACGCTGGGCAATCCATGGAAGAGCACTCATCGCGACAATCTTCGCAGAAAGCCTTTGCGCAACAGGAAGCTGTGAAGACCTTGTCTTTGATGGTTTCCAGACAAATTAGGCAGTCGGCGGCCTCGGTAAACTGGTTCTTTTTTACAAACTCCATTTTGCAGATCACTTTCACTACAGTACACAGTACACAAGAATGCTTCTTCAAATTTCTACCTTTTTACCTCTACAGTATGCCTAAACTCCGCCACCAAGTAGTACAACTCACCAAACAATGCGAAAATCCAAGCGGAAACGGACGACCTGTGCTACGATGACCTGCGATACGATATATAAACTTCACCGCTCTTACTCATTTCCGGAATGCGATTGCGAATACGAATAAATATTACCGTCTACCTAAGCATGAGTAAGCGCGCCACACTTTTTCGAAAATCGATCCATATTGCAATTGGAATCAATGAATTGGGTCGTGTCAACCAATTATACCAAAGGAGAATACAAACATAGCAACAATTGTTCCTCTTTGACTTTGAGCATCATCCGGGACGGGACGGGAATTAGATGGTGATTGGCGTTGCCTCTTACCTCAACCCTCGATAGACAGACGCGGGCTTACATCTTTTTCTTTTCGCGATTATCCCTTCAAAAAATACACTACAGCCGATCGAACGAGTTCTCTGCTTCGCTTTGCCTTTGCATTCATTTTCTTCAACGTTCAAACCCCCGCCAAGAAATTTTTCGTTTCTCATTTTTGATTTTCCAACCCGCCAGACCCAACTAAATTTGCACAAAAAATACCAAGTCGTGAAAACAATGATCTTCGCAACGTCCTTCATCATCTTCTTCGATACGACGACCAACTAACGCTTTCTCAGAACAAAACCCCGGAGAAAAACCGATACCACATTTCTACCGCGTACTTATCCTGGCGCTGCACAGCAAAAACGAGGAGCTTGCCGACTGGCGACAGTGCATGTAAGGGGAACATGCTCCAGCCGAGCATGTTCATGTTGTTGTACATGCTTATGATTTAGTTTGTCTGAGTCATATCATCTTTTGGCATTCAATGCGTTGTTTATCGAACGAATGAAACTCGATGCGAAACAAAGGCTTGAGGATATCCGCGTTCGCGTTCCTTCGTGAATCAGTTTTGCTTCTTCGCAATATTGCATTCTTAGACAACAAGCCTGGTACGCTCGGTCAACGCGAGCGCTACTGTAAGGAAGGGCCATTCCGATTCCGAGCTACGATTCTCCATACTGCATCTCGAACCTCACCGCGACCGGTGCGTGGTCGGAAGGATTCTCGCCATTTGGCAGCATACCGCCGAGAAGCGGCGTTTCCTTGTCGGCTTCGAGAATATCGTCCAAGTTCACCGCTTTCAACAAGGTGTTCTTGATCGGAAACGCCTGCAGACTCTTGGAGTTTAGCACCGAGCGTATGTGAAGGAACAATGCAGGAGGCGCGGCAACTATCGCTTTTTTATCAGCGTCCTCTTCTACTTCTGCTAGTTCTACACTTCTCTTCGGGTTCCTGACCATGACGTAGTCGATATTGCGCAGCTGGTAGTCGCCCCACTTCTTCACTTGCGACGAGAACATGCCCCTCAAGCGATTCACGGTGACAGGGTGCTCGTCGAATCCGTTGTCCGCCTTCAGGGAATCCACCTGCACCTCCTGGTTCCGCGACACGAGGTATTTTTCGTGTTTTTTCCCCACGGACACGTCTTCCCACTGCTCGAAGTCCGCAAATGCAGCGTCCCAGGAGCCCGCAAAGTGGTCGCCGTTTCGGACCTTGATCATGTCCACCTTGCGATCGAAGTTCCCGTCCATGCCGAGCAGCACGGGGATTGCTGTGTACTCCGGCCGGTTCAGGGTCTCTAGCAGATCCGCCACCTGCTCCACACGGTCTTCAAAATCCGTTTCCAACACGCCGGAAGCCAAGTGCGCGGAAACGACAGCGAAGGTGCTAGGTGGGGGTATTTTCGCTGCAGCTTCTTGCACTTTATTTCCTGGAACTGTCCCACCACCTTGGTTTCGCTTTGTTCTCACCGTCGCAATCACCGCGAAGTCCTTGACCCGTTCGCGCTTCACGACTTCGAACCTTTTCGGGTCGACAAACAGCGCGGTGCCGATCACGGTCGGGCCGACCGGGCGAAGCACGTAGGAAAACTGGGAGGTCAGCACGGGGTCCTCGTTCAGACGTTTGATGTAGATTTTGTCGTCTTTTTCTTCCTCTTTCGACCTTCGAAGAATCTTCTGCAGCTCGTCGAAAGTTGCAGTCGTTTGCTGGTCCGAACCAGTTGTGCTGCTCTCGTCGGCTGGGCTGGTGGCTGGTGCCCCCTGCTTGAGATACGCGTGGTTTTTCATGGACACAACCAGCAAGAACTGGCTCGGCGCGACCTCCTGCAGTGTGAGGAAGCTTGGCAACGATTCCGTACTACTTGCGGCTGCAAATGCTCCTGCACTGGTTGCAATCATGGTTTCCAATTCGCCCAGCCTTCTCGCTTTAGCCGCCTCGCTGTTCAACGCGTTCTCGATGGCCCAGGCCTTCCGCGTCATTTGCAGCAGCTCGCTTCCGTAGTCCGTTTCGCAGAATTCGTGGTGCCAGAACTTCGCACCGAGGGCAAACACCTCGTAAGGATTGAACTGGAGCTTCGGGTTCACGCGCTCGCGAATCGGCACTGAATTAGAATCGGAGGACGACGCAGGAGATGAGGCGGACTGCAGCGTTCCGCGCATTGTAGTTTCGGCGCGGGTGCTTGGATCAGTGCGGACCGAAGGAGATACGGCCGACAGCTTTTCCAATTCCAGCTTTTTCTGTGCCAGTGCCTTCTCGTCCATTATCCCGGCTTCTACTTCATCTGGCGCTGGACGGTTGTTCATCTTCGTTGCAGTCACGGACGACGTCACGACTGCAGATGATACGAGTTTCGTGCTGGAACGCAGGTAGTAGTCCCACACTTTTGTAATTGCCTTCTCCACGTCCGCGCTCTTCAGGCTAAAGTTCTCTGTGAAGAACTTGACGAAGCTTTCCCAGCGTGGTCGGACCTCGTCCCTGTGGAGATCGTCGAGCGGGAGGAAAAAGAGCTCGTCCCTTTTACTAAACTCGTTTTTCAACAACAGCTTCTCCGCTACCGGGCCGGTCAGGATTTTTGCAAGTGCCGCGCAAGAATCAGCTCGATGATCCTCTTGCTCCGGTAGTTGTACAACATCTTTCGTCGCGGCGTCGCTGGAGTTCTTGTTGTCCTTCTCCTTGTCCTCCCCAAAGAGCGCTTTGTTCCACAACGGTTGCACATGCTTCAGCAGTTCCAAATCCACATTGTGTTCCTGCATCAGGGCCCGGTATTTGCGGGTCACGTCCAGGTGCTGTTGCATTTTTTCGCCCGGAAACAAATCCGGTCGCACAAACCCATCCTGGTGCAGGCCGGTCGCGAGCAGGTTCCACTGGAACAGGGTGACCTGACTTTCTTTGGAGGGATCATCAGACGTTGAACTGCTACTTACACCACTACTTACCCGCTCGGGAGACCGTGAAAATGCACGCGGTCTTGGTTGAAATGATTCGGCATTCATCGTATGCGATCCGTCTGCTGCTACATCAGCTGCGGAGTCTGCAACGTCATCTCCCAGCTGGAGCTGGTGCTGCTCGTGTTGGCCACTATCTTCGCCCTGCGGCATGTCGTTGATGAAAGCACTCCTAGTCGTATCTTCCTCGTCGGAGTTCTCGTCCTGTACTGAACTTTTCGTCCAAACTGGTGTCGCGTGGTCCAAAGAAGGTAATATCTGTTGTTGATCAATCCTATCCTGCTCGTCGCCCCAGCCGTCGGCCTCGAGTCCTGTGTGGTGATACTTGTAGGCGTACACCGATGGAGGTACGACGCTGCGCGGAAAGGAGTAGGGCGTGAGAAAACGCAGGAGCTTCCACACTTCAAAAAAGTACACAGTACTTGTCGCTGAGAAGCAGATGAAGCGATTTAAAATTGTTGGAAGGACGGCAACTACCAAGTTATCGGTCCAGCTACGACGTCTGCAGCCTCGATGAAAAGTCTCGCGCCGGCCCATCGCATTGCATAATTTTCATTCCCGGTTGAAGTAAGGGCATCAAATAAAGGCCTGCTTGCGGGGCAAAAGACTTGATGAAGTGTGAAAATCTGCGTCGAGATAGAAGAGCTAAAAAACCATGTCGCAATACGTCGAGATTGGTTTAACATCTTCTTAGATAGCTTGTTGATATTTTTCCAAGGAGTAAACCAGCACTTTTTACGAGATAAAAGCAAAAAGAGCACTTCTTCTCATGTAAAGAAGCATCAATATCGGCCCAAAACTAGCGCTCCCATTCAATCTCTCTGCTTCTCTCCTTGTCGAGTCACCTGCTGGAATAGATGGGTGCGCTCCTCACAAAAGAGATGCAGTTCGTTGCCAATCACAAGCTGCAACAGCTGCAGTTGCGATCAACCTTTGCTTTCACTGTCACTACGATGCTCTCATATTCTTCGATATCGTCGACTACTAGATGATACAGCATGATTAATATGATAACCAATCAGAAGCACTATGTAAGTGTATACGTAAAAGCGCTCGTATTCTAAGGAGAAAATTAGGATTCAAGGACTGAAAGCTGGAGAGGCACGACCAGAACGAGAGCTAATTGATTCCAAAAGCCCTCGCGCTGGGACGTATGTAGGCTCTATGATTCTTCTCAAATTTCATTCATATGGTGACACAATTTAATGCTGCCGGTGGTTCTTCGTGAGGTACATTTTTTAGTAAAACAAAAGCAAATTGTACAAATCTTACAGCTAGCAGGAGAAGCGGGCTTTGTCATTCAGGAGGCCTTCTTTGTTGCATTGCACACTTATCCAAGGTTCAGAAACCACCGGCAAGAATCCGTTTTCACAGGTCGTTCACTCTCATGAAATTCGCGTTGCGTAGTTTCGAGCTTCAAGATAAGCTAGCAGCTCTTCATCAAGGAATTGGAATAGGAATTTTGATTCCGCTCCGTTCGCATACTAAACTCCTCTGGCTCTGCATGTTGCCCAAAGACTTACTTTAAACAACAAAACAGTAGCCGAGCTACTAGGTCTGAGTTGAAGCTTGCCCTACTCAACAACAAGCCGTAGCTGCAGTAGGCGAGTCGTAGTACAATTACCAGAGAGCGTAGTCAAAAAATGCGAGCGAGCGCGAGGCAAGTCGTAGTATCGTATTCAAAAGAGTGCACTGTCACTACAACGAATGAAGCACCTGCAAAGCGATATGTCGATGAAACGGGCGGTTAGTTTCAGGCCGGGGAAAACTGAAAAATGCGCGGTGCGAAAGTTGGCGTGGGGAAAATCTATGCGAAGGGGTGAACGTGAAGTAGACGTAGTGGCATGAAAACTAAGCGGTTCTAATTCAACGCCATGCTGGTACAACCTACTAAGCGGGGAAGAACGGGAACCTGCAAGTTTTTGAGAAAGATAAGAATCAACACAGTTGCCCTACCGTGTCTCATCGAGCAGGGTTTGGACGCAGGTAGTAGGTGTACAACAGCATCAAGGAATCTTTAGAGTCGAAAGGTCGACACCTGATGTGATTCTTCCCCTTGTAATTGCATGAGATTTTTCTCACGAGCGGCACATGTAAACGATGATCTCTAATCGACCGAAAAGCATGATGTGCATGCTATGAACTTTTACAGAGGACAGAAGGATATGTTTTTTCCAGCACTCCATCTAATGCAACATCATTTCTTTTCTTTTTTGGGCAAAAAAAACGACTGTAGTGTCCTTCTAATGGATTCGCGGCGGTGATAATGATCGTAGTGCTGTCACGTACTGTGTATAGAAAAAGCTCAAAAAGCAGCAGCAGAGGAGAAGATATTCAAACACAAGAGGTGGAGCATCAAGATCTACTACAAGTAGAGCCGTGGCGTGCTAAAGATGTTGTGGTTTTTTCCGCTTAATTCAGAGTGTTTTGCTGAAACTTCTTCCGCAGCTTGCTCCACGCGGTCCCGCGCTTCGCGTCCTTTTGCTGTGAGTTTGTTTTGGATTTGTTGGTTGCTTTCAAATTGAATTGTTCAAGCTCCATGCTGTGGTCATGCACAAATGTACAGTGAGAAAGAGGTTCTTCAATGCATGTGCATTTTTTCTAAATATGGTCAGAAGCAGTAACAAACAAGGGGTACTTCCACTGCTCAAAAATTATGGCATTTGAGCATGCTTACGAAAAAAGTAATCAGAAGGTTTGGACTACAGGGGCTACCTGCTAAACTTACAGAAACTACGGAAACTGGGTGCACTTCTCAAATTTATGTGATTTGAAACTTCGGGGAAACGAAAATTTTTTTCAAGCATGATTGAATGTCTACTAACTCAATGAAAAGATTGCTTGTCTATTGCAACTGACGTTCCTTTCTTGGAATTATTTTGCGAGAAGAAAAGCGCCTTAGTCATTCTGAATGTCTAAGTTCGATTTGGGAGCTACATCAGCATCGATTCGACATTTCACTCATCGTCGCTCTTTTTCTCCTTGTCGCCTTCGGGGATCGGAAACCCCATTGCCAATTTGCCACGCATCTTCGATTTTTCTCTCATCTTGGCCCACGCACTTCCCTTCTTCGGAAACATGCCCCCCGGATACAGCTCTTCCTGTTTGAAAATTCAATGGGGAGAGTGCCTGCTAGTTTTGACAAATGGGTCTATGTATCTTCTTGGTAGCATGATAGTATTAATTTAGGACTATGTCTATGGGAAGGGCTGCTGGGAGTGGTATTCTTATTCATCGTTGACTGGAGACGCGAGTGGGCAATACGGATCCGAGTAGTATAGTCTTCTCAGAAGTTGGATATGAAAATCTTCTAGTGACACTAGGGGTGTTGTAGGGGTTTCGTACCCGTAGTCAGCTTGCGGTTGGGTTTGTTCATTCGAAAGAAATAGAATTGCGTGTGGGTTTCATATTCATTGAAAGCAATTGAAAAACAAACAACACGCAATACCATCTTTTGGTTGGTTTCCCGTGCTTGCTGAAAGAATGTTATGCTCTTTTCGCAGTTCTCGGCAACCTCCTCCGCTGTCATAGCGCGCTGCGTCCTTCGATTTACCCTGTTTGTGTTTTGGTGTTTAGTTGAAGATATGAAAGTAGTACAGGTGAAAGACAAAGAGAAAGACGAACGAAGAAGAAAATTCAAGTTGGTTCTTCTTTGTACTGAAGAAGAAAAGAAGTAACTCCATTTGCAAGTTTCATGAAATGTCAAAAGCAAACTGGAATTTCATTACGTTGTGACGTTGTGCAGTGTTGTTTCGCCCTTGCTCTTCTTCACTTTCATCGGGTCGACATCGATGTGGTGGACCTGTTTTGTTAACGCGGTGTGTGTTTTAGGTGGTCGTTACGTTTGTCGTTGAAACCCCATGACCACAAGTTTCATGATCGGATGCGTAGTTATTCATCTTCATCTTCAACTACAACATCGTCATGAATTTATAGATTGCCTAGCATTACCGTGCATCATCGAAAACTACATCAGAAAGTCTGAATACGATCGCCCTGCAGGGGATGACTTTTTCGACGGAGTCGCGGCAGAGTTTGCGGAGTGGTGACGTGTCCTCCTCCTGTCCGATGTATTCCAGCGTCTGCTGTGCCACGGTCCGCGGGCTCCACTGTGGAAAGGGCTTTCTCGGCGAGAACGGAAGGCTGTTGTGATCAGTTAATTTCAAATTTCAGATTCATTCAGTCGAGTAAAGTAGAGTTCAACTTCAACTTCATATATAACGTCCACTCTCCCCATTGATCAAAGCTGACGAAACTACCACCATCGAAAAAGAAAACTCAAAACAAATCTTTAATCTTTATGCTGGATGAAGCAAACACTAAATACGCTTCCGTTTTTCGCAAGGAGTCGGGGATGACGAGTTTCTTCTTTTCCCTCTTTTCCATGGGTGCCGACGAAATCGCGGCTTTCAGGGAGTTCACCCGCAGGGCCCCGAGCAGATTGCTCAGGTCCATCTTCTTCTCGTCCATTTCGTCCCCCATCTTGGCAGTGGCTTGCTCTACTGGTGGTCAAAAATCGCTTGCAAGTTTCGACGCTCGAGTGGCTTGATTTTTTTCTTGAAGAATTTTTGGTGTAGCAGTTACTTCGAAGTACTACACTAGACGTTAATTTCTCGCTCCGAAGATCGAACGTTTACGTTATCGATTTTCAGTCTCCTCGGCTATTTTGGTACTGACGTAGAAAGTTTTTTTACACACAAGGTTTCAGAGTGGTGGCTGGGTGCTGTGGTTTGAAGAGTGACAGTGAGGGATTCTGCAGTTGCGATTCTTTAGTTCCTACGACTGTGAATGCGCCAGCGCGAGAGACGAACTCTCGTGCTCGTCTGTACGTCGTGTTTGCTTGAGAACGAAGACGAGGTCCAGCAGGTAGCTAGTACTGGTGTACGTACCGAGATTCTTCACTTTGGGTCTCCGTTTCTCAAGAGCGATGCTTTACATTGCCAGGACGTACCGATTTTCCGAATCGAAATGCGAAGATATCGCTGTGAATATGTGCACGAACGAGGACCGAATTTTTTCACTTTCCTTCGTGTCTGTCACGTTCGATTTTTGAACTCACTTTTTTCCGCTTTCGCTTTGCTTTATAATTCTCTCTTTCTACTGTCTTCAAGTAAAATTGTCTGGTTCTTGTCTGGGAAACAACCAAGATAACACTCATGGGGCCACGAGATGGACGAAATTGGGTGATGCTAGCACAAGCACACAGCTGGAAACTGCAACGACAAAGAGAACGAAAACGAGAGGAACAAAAACGCGACGCACGAAGAAAGTTTTTTCAATTACGTTTGCAGCCGGCACGATCTGCCTTGCGCATAGATACTTCTGTCGTATTTGTTTCACCTCCTTGTAGTTTCAGTCTTACAAGCGGTACTTGGTACTACAAATTGCGTCGCTAGTGCCGGCTTGGCTTTCATACATCATCAAGGGTATCTCCAGGGTAGAGCTTGTTGTATCGCGGGGAGAACGAAGGTTATGGGTCACATTGATTTCAGGGTAGATGAAGGGTCTTCAACTTAAGGCGTCGCTTGCGTTTGTTTGAGTTTGTGTTTGTCTGGGGACGGGGATTGGACAAAAAGAATTGTCTCTAGAGGGTAGCTACGTACCAACTACACCGATTTGTTCTCAGAGTCAGAATAGTAGAAAGCGGCCGCACATGAGGACATTGAGCACGAGCGCCACAAGCAGGTAAGCGAAGATGCACACCCGCACATTTGGCGTTTTCTGGATGTATACCAAACCCTGTTGGCACAACTCGTCGAATTTGATTATCCCAGCGTGCACCTTGCGCGGCGCGAACTCGCGGAACTCCGCCCCGAGCGATTCCAAATCTATCCGGCGCGACATGTTCTGGATTTCAAGATTCAAAGCGGATTTTTCACACACCAAAACCTCTATCCGTTTCGTTTGGTCCGCAAGTTTCTTCCTCAAGTGATCGATTTCCAGGGCGTGTTGGATCGTTGGTGAGTTTTGTTTGTTCCCCGTTGTGCTTGCCGTTGGGTCCACTAAGGGCTTGATCACACTGCCACTGGCTGCGTTCTGCGCGAGCTCTTTGTCTTTCATCCGGATTTCCTTGCTTTTCGCGTCAATGACCTGCTGCTGGCGCTCGATCTCCTTTTGGTAGTTCGCGCTTTCGTATTCCAGTTTCTGCTTCTGCAACTCCAGGTCCCGGTGCTTCTGCTGGTGGGTATCCTTCAGTTGCTTCATTTGCGCGTCGAATTCCTGCTGCAGGTGGTCGTTGCTCGTTTCCACCGCCTCCCGGTGCTTCGATTTCTCTTGCTCTAGTAACGTTTCCAGGCGAACGCGCTGCTCCTGCGCTTCCACAATGCCCTGCATCAACCGGTGGTACTTTTGGCCTTCTTCTTCAGCCTCCTTGCGCAGCTCCTCGTTCTCGCGCGTCAGTCTGTCGTGAGATTTGAACAGAAATAGACTTCTGCGTAAAATCGTCGTGATGAACAATGAGCATGAGGAGCTTGATCATGAACTTGTTCAGTGATGCTCTCTCATACGGTATTCGTATTCCTCTACACGCTGGTACTTTTGGTTATCATCTATAAGAAAAGCCGCGATAATGCATACCAGAAAGTGGTCATGATCACAGTGGAAAACACAAGAGTTGTCATCTGTACAGTGAGGCTTTCTGCGCCTTGTCGTGCGCGTCCCGCAGTTGTTCGTGAAATTCCTTCTCTTTGTCGCTGATGCGCTTTCGCAGCTCGGTGATGGTCCCGGAACTCTGTTCCAGTTGCTCTTTCAACTCCACCGTTTGCGCCCGGTCCGCTGCAAACTGCTGCGATTCCTTTTCCCGCTCCTTCAGCTGATTCCGCGCCTGCAGCAGCTCCTCCTCCAATTCCTTTGTCTGGAGCGACTGGCACTTCTGCAGGTGTTGAATCTCGTCGCCTTTTGTCTTGCTGTCGTCCTGAATCGACTGCTCGAGTGCGGCGATTTGCTGCTGATACCTGTCAGGAGTTGAAGGAACAAAAAATGGTGGAGTTTGAAGAAGTAAAGAGTGATCAAGGAAAAGACAAAAGAAAGGGGGCAGGCGACCGTGACCTCCAGAAATTCTGTTTATAGGGCTCTTGCAAGCGTTTTCTTGGATCTTCGCAAAACAAAGTTAAAGTCACATAGAAAAATCAGTACTGCGCCTCAATCTGCACGACTTTGTCCGCAAACGTGTCCCGCTGCTTCTGCATGTCAGTCGCGAACTTCTGCCTTTCCGCGTTCCACGAAGCTTTGTCGCGATCAAACTCGCTCCGCTCGAAGGCCCACTTGTCCTGGAATTTCTTCACAAACTTCTGCTTTTCCTCATCCCACTTGGCAGCGGATTCCGTGTCCTGTTGGGTAGAGAAATTTTGAATTTCATTTGATTTTTTGCTAAATCAAAAATGTCAAAAATCTTTTCCTCTTCGGACTCATTTCTACTTATGTGCAAATCAATCTTCAAAAAAGCCACTCACCCTTCGTGCAGTGAAAGTAACAAGTACTTAAGTACCTTTGCGGAGTGCTTTGCTTCCAGATCCGCTTGCTTTTTTTCGAAGTCCTCTACGACGGACTGCAGCTTCTTTTCCAGCCTCGACTCGAATTCTTCCCGGATTTTCTGTTTTTCTTCCTTGAACTTCCCTTCGCACTCCTCTCTAACTTTACTGGCTTCCACCGCGGCCTCGCTGACACCGTTGGCGGCCTGCCGCAGCGTCTCTACCTCCTGTTGCAGGGTAGCGCACTCTTGTTCCTTCGTCTGGACGGTCGCATTGTGCTGCTCCGTGAGTGCGTCGAGCTTCTGCTTGTTTTCCATCTCCGACGCCTCTAGTTGCGCTGTAACTGCACCCAGTTGCTCCTCGAGCCTTTTTTGCTCCTCCGCGCACCGACTCTTTTCCGCCTCTAGCGTGTCGTCAAACGTTTGCTGCAGAGCCTGTTTCTCGGCGGCAAGCGCCTCTAATTGCCTTTTCATTTCCGTACCCTGCTCGCCCACTTCCGTTTTCGCCTCGCTCAACTCTAATTTCAGAGTTTCCAGGGCGGTTTCCTTCTTTTCTAGTTCTTCTTTCAGCAACCCCAACTGATCGCTGCTTCCCGATTCCAGCGATGCGAGTTTTGCTTCCAGCTCTGCAGCTTTATCAAATGCAAAAATGTCTGGGTCGGGAAGGATTCGAATTTGTGATGCGATCATGTCTACATCATGATAAAATCAGTCATGCATGGCTAGCAAAAAGCCCCATTTCTTGTTTCCGAGAGAGAGGATTTGTCATGCGGATTAGGCATTGGAATAAGTGCTTAAAATCTGTGATGCTAGAGCTTGCATGCCAGGAGACGATCTGGGTCAGGCAAAAACTGCATGACAGATCTCGCTTTCTTCCAGACCCAGACATTTTTGCAATCCATAAGCTTTGGCGGTCAGCAGTTCTTTTTCCGCCGTGCTCGCGCCCACTTCCGTTTTCGCCTCGCTCAACTCTAATTTCAGAGTTTCCAGAGCGGTTTCCTTCTTTTCGAGTTCTTCTTTCAGCAACCCCAACTGATCGCTGTTTCCCGATTCCAGCGATGCGAGTTTTGCCTCCAGCTCTACCGCATTTGCGGTCAGCAATTCCTTTTCCGCCGTGCTCGCGGCAGCCTCCGCTTGCAACGCTTCAGCCTTGATTTTCCAATCGAAACTTGACTCCTGCAACTCCGCGTTTTGTTGTTCCAACGACTTGCAGCGCTCCGCAGCCTCAGCGTTTGCGGCTTGCAACGACTTCTCCAGGTCGGCGGCTGCTTGCTTCTCCGTCGCCACTTGCCCCTCGAGTGTCGCTATTTGCTGCTTCAAGCCGGCGATCTCTTCCTGCAGTGCCGCTGTCGCAGCTGCAACCTCTTCTGCCGAAGGACCTCCTGCAGTTGCACTCTCTTCAGGTGCAGGTGCGCCGCCCGCCTGAGCCGGAGCTGTTGTTATACTCGGTGCAGTTATAGTGGCACTACCGTCTTCCCCGTCGGTCTCCTTACTCGTGCTACTGCTCTCTGCCGATGCGGTAGAGCCGGCGGCGGAATCTTTCAGGCGTTGTTCCAGCGCTACTCGCTGCTCGGTCTCCTTTCGGAACTCTTCCTGCAGCAAGAACAACTGGCTCTGCAGCTTGTCATTGACTTCCTTCTCTGCCTGGTGCATGGAAAGCGTGTCTTCCAGCGTGTGCCGTGCTTCTTGCTCCGATCGGAGTTTCTGCTGCAGGGTCTGTATCTCTTGTTGGAAGATCAACACGTGGTCGTTTTCTCGTTCCTTCGCCAGGATCGTGTCGTGCGTGTGCTGCAGCAGCTGCAACTCTTTTTGCGAGGCGGCACGAGATTCCTCCGCGGTGGTAAGCTTCGACTGGAGATCTTTTATCTCCGTCTGAAACAGTTCCAGTTGCTGGCTTGATACCTTGTCATGTAAATCAGTTGACTCTTCAATCCAAGAAGGGACTGTGACTGTTTAGATATTGATTTTCATATAATTTGTTTCTTTGTCTTCTATGAGGTATGAGTGGAAGCGGTATGACCCTCCCGACAGCGACTGCCAGTAAGTAGCAGAAAGGACGTTTTTCAAAAAGGAAAAAGCGGAGGCACGGGTGCAAATTGAAATTCATTCACCTTTAAGACAAAAGTTACTTTGTTTTCGCGGAGATCTGCGACTTGCTGCTCAAAAAAGACGGCGTCCTTGTTGGAGGCGTCGAGCTTCTCCTGTAGATTAGCTTTTTCCGCTTCCAGGCTTTCTACTGACTTTTGCAACTCGACTTGCGCAGTCCCGGCTTGCTCCTGGAGCGACGCTTTTTCTGTTCGCAACTCCTCAACTTCTGCCGTGAGTTCGGCCTTGATCTTTTCGACGGAAGCTTCCGCTTCGGCGGCAAGTGTGGCAAGTTTGATCTCGATGTCTGTTTTCTCTGTAATGACCTGCTGCTTTTCCGTTTCCAGCTGCTGTTTTTGCGTTTCGAACTCCGCACGGGCAGCTGCTAAAGCCGCTTCCAAGTTCGCTGCCGCCTCTGCACTACTGCTGGAGCTGGAGGTTGCTGCGGCTTCTGCGGCTTGTGCGGCGGCCGCGGTAGCTTCTTCGAGTTTCTTGACAGCGTCGTCCCGCTCCTGCTCCACGCTTACTTGGGTTTCCCGCTGTTTCTGAAACGCCTCTTTTAGTACCTGCATCTTCTCCTGGTACTTCTCAATCTTTTCCTGCCGTTCCTTTGCCTCCGCTTCTGCTTGCTCACAGCGTGCAAGGAGTGCCGGGTCTGGCTCGGTAGGAGGTGCTGGTGGCGGCGCAGCGGCCGGGGCCACAGCACTCTCAGCGAGCTTTGCCTCCAGTTCGGCGATTTGGGACTGAAACCTGGCGGTTGTAGTTTTGTATCGATTTTTTCACCTCTAGTACTAGACACACATCGCACACACAGACACAGGCACTAGCAGCAAGCTCCCGAAGCAAGTCTCGTCTGGTGGAGCTAGATCAAAATTAATGAAATTCAAATTCGGATCAGAAAAAAGCTTGACAAGGATGAACAGAAACTCAGTAAGTACTTCGATTCAGCTTCCTCCGATGCCTTTTGTTTTTCCTGCTCCAGCCTCTCTCGCATCTGCTCCTTCATTTGTTCAAAGCGGTCTTGCAGAGATTTCTTTGCCTCCTGAAACTTCTCCGCGTTTTCCTTTCGCACCCGCGTTTCTATTTCCCCGACCTCTTGCTGCAGCTTGTCGCGCTCCTGCTCCAGTGCCGCAAGCTTTTCCTGCGTTGCTGCATCGACAGCAGTACTATCTCCGCCAGGTAGGCTCGCTGCACCGCTTGCAGCGGTCGTTTTCTCGCTTTCTAATTGTTGTATCCTGGTTTGCAGTGCTCCCTTCTCTTCATCGAACTTCGCCACCATTTGTGTTTTCATTTGCTGCACGCGCTCCTGCAGACTTTTTTTTGCTTCCTCAAACTTTGCCTGCATTTCTTTCCTGACCGCATCGCGCTCCGTCGCCGCTATTTGCTCCTTTTCCGCCTGCAGGCGCGCGATCTCCGCGGTCGCGGTAGCAAGATCTCCACTCGGCAGCTGATGCCCGTTCGCAGTGGGGGGTGGTGGTGGCGGCGCCCTGCCTTCTTGCAACAACTGATTCCTCTCCTCCTGGAGAATAGCGTACTTCGTTGTCAACTCATCCAGCTGGTTTTTCAACACCACGACGGCTCTCATGTCGTCGTTGCCGCCGTCGTCGTTTTGCCCGTCCTGCAATTCGGTTGACAACTGTTTTGCTGCATCGAGTACGCTGCTTCCCGCAGCGAACAGATTCGATCCAGCATGCGTGGCCAAACTGAGCAGAGACCCAGAAGGCGTGGTCGTGCCGTCCTGACTGGCGCCTTTCGGCGTGCTCATCTGCCCGGGGGTCTGCTCCCCTTTGTTCTCTTCGTCAACCATCTTGCGTAGAAAATCCATCTTGCCGGATGTCGTGGTTGCCGTCGTGCTCGTGCAGTCAGCGGACACACAGAACTCGTTTCACGACGCTGCACCCACAGGCGCAGCTTTCTTCCGGCTAACGTTAATACTTCCACTGCAGATTTGGTTCTCACGGCATTCCGGCTAGCAACGAAACGGTGGTGCTACTGCACCGCAGCGAAGAGAAATTCCGAAGGCTTTGCACCCGGAGGCAGAGGCCTAAGACATCATTGTCGATCATGGAAAGAAAATCTCCTACACGGATTGAAAATCGGTACCGCACTCTAGGTCATATGCGTTTGAAAACGGGTCAAGGGAGGTACGTAGAGAGAAGAAAAACACCATGACCTCCACACATCCACAGGGACATCAAGGGCTAGATCTTCTTCTTTATGCATCGTCTTCGTCGTGCATGCTTTTCGTTTTCGAGAATTAGCTTTTCTTTCTCATGATGGGAGCCTGGAATGGTGAGGAGAGGGTACTTCTCGTGTTTTTGCTAAACAAGAAACAAAAGTTCAGTATTTGGTGCCTTGTTCCAGTAGCTAGATGATGTTGAACATTATGAAGAACTCCTTCCTTTTACTACTCACGTACTTGACGTCTTCATGATCAGTGGGGCAATCGCGGACACGAGAAATTCGTATTTCCATCGGCGTGCTTTCGAATCATGGCCCTTCAAACTCAAGTTTTGGTGCTACTGTAAACCGATTGACACCGATTGTTGAGAAGTCAAGCAAGAGCTACGAGGCAAATTGATTATGCATGATGCGAACACCTGTGGTCCGAAATCATTGAGCGACCTGACTGAGGCTTGTCAACGTCAAGTTGAAGTTCCGCATTATATAACATTCGCCTCTTTGGATATTCCAAATTGAAATTGGATTTTTCTCGTTTCATTGGCTCCTCTGGATGAGAGAGTATATCGTGGTCTTCGCTCGCGGCTTTCATAGTGGTTCAGGTTTCCATTGTCGTCTTGGACTATTTGAGTTTACGGTCCTCTGACAAAGCGAAAGCCATTGGATTTATTGTGCATCACTGTCGGGAGTCAGTGATTCCTCAGTCACGTCGCGAATGTGCACCTTCCACCTCATCACGCGGCTTCGTTCGTCGGAGCAGCGGCTGCATCCGGTGCCACCGTTTCATCATCTTCACAGTTCATGCCCGCAACGAGACACGAGATCTGAATTGCATTTTTTCATGAAGAGATGAAGTTTCACACATCATCTTCATCATACTCTTAATCAGGGAAAACCAACATCGGGACGAGATCATAGCACTTCCCGTTCCGATGCAGTCATAACCATATTTTTAGAAAACCTGAAGAATCAAAGGGAACAACAGAAATCTTTCGTACGCTGTCAAAAAGTGCGATGAGGCCCTCGCTGGAAGCGTCGTCGCAGGGCGAGTCGCCGTCGGGACAGAGCTTGGTTTCGTAGTCGCAGTCGCAGAGGTAGTGGAAGTCCTCTCCCGCCGTCCAAATGTAGGACCCGCCCATGAAGAACAGTTTCAGCTTGTAGACCAGTGTAGTGGACTTTGCCGCACTTTGGCCCCTCATTTGCGCCAGCAGCAGCTCGCGTTCTCGCCTTTTGTGCTCCTTCTGTGTGACCTTCTGAATAGCTGCCTTGTTCTGCTGCTCTTTGCTGGACGAAGCCGTCGCTACTTCGTGGTTTTTGTTCATGTGCGAGTTCTGCTGTAGGTGGACGGCTGCGCGCTCCTTGCTAGACCGTTCCTCGTGTTCGCCATCGCCGCTTGTTTCGGATTGTACTGCTTCACTTGTATGCTGGCCGGTGTCGGTCGCATTCTCGTCAGAAGCTCGATGGTGCGCCGCGGTTCGCATCAACGTTGTTGCCGATGCGCTAGAGTTCTTTGCGGATGCTGTGGCCGCGCCGGCGGCCGCATTTTTGGCAGACGTTGTGAGCAGTGCTGCCGAAGAATTCGCTACCTCACCCAGAAATGACTCGGTGTCGTGTCTACTTCCCGCCGCGGAAATGGTTCTGTTGTCTATTGCTGTCAAAAAAGTTGAAGTTGTTGAGTTGTCGTCCTTCAGGTTCCTTGTGCTTTGCTCACTCAAAGACACGCCTTTGCCTTTGTTGACACCATCAGTTTCGGTCCGCAGTCGTCGGGCTGTAGTAGAAGTGGCCGACGCAATATGATCTTCGGCGTCAAGGTGCGTATCTCCTCCCGCTCCACTTACCTCGACTTCCAACATGCTAGCCTGTCGTGAGGTTAAGATGAAATTCTTTTTCTTAGCTTTGCAATTGTATATTGTTGGTGATTTCTTTGGCTGCATTTACAACCTCGACCTTTAAGACAAAACATCAAGGGTAACATCCCCTACCTGAATGCGTGCTCTTTTCCCTCTCGCTGGAGTGACATGTTGGAGATGCGCGGCTGATGCTGCTGAGCCAATGACATGCCCATACTCCCCGCTTGAAGAGAACGACCTTGACGTCGCTTTCGCCAGTTCCTTCTCTAGCGCTGCAAACGCGAAGTCCTTTTCCTGCGGCAAAATGCTTTTCGCATCTGGAAGGTTATCGACGTGAACCACGTTATGCGTTCTCCCATCCTCCAACCAGTCCTGGATTTTTTGCTGTCGCCTCTTGTGCCCTTTCTCGTGCAGCTGAATCAGTGCGTGGTTGCTCAACGCTGTTCTCGCCCGTCTGCGCGGGCGATGGTCCGGGCTGCCATGCTTCTCCTTCAGGTCTTGAAAGGAACCCAACTCGTTAGCGAGCAGGTCTAAAACCTCCTGACTGCGTGCCGTGCGGGAAGCGGTCCTCGACGCTATCGCCGTGGAGGCTCCTGCAGACAAGACGAGTAGCAACTTCGTCATTTGGTACAGGTAAAAGTCAAGCGCCATTCTTATAATTAAAATTATGTAAATATCCGCTTTTTGACACGGTAATGTTGCGGATTTTCAACAGTCATTCTCTCACTTTTCCATTCCCTCGCGCAAACTTGCTTGAGCTAGGAAGCCGCCCTAGATTTGCTTCCTTGACCTTCTTCTTGAGAAGAGCGAAACGAAAAGCACTGAAGACGCCTGCCACATTACATTTTTGCGATTCTTGCCCGGGCCACTTCTCCCTGTCAGCGGCTACGCTCTTGCTCTCGTTATCGTTTGGATTTGGTTACGATTATAGCGAGGACAACTGAAACTGTCTTCTGTTCATCTGTTTTCGCCGATCTCTCATGTCTCATGCCCTCGTTGATTGACAGCTCGCGATTTTGACGATGGGGATAGAATTAGAAACAGAATCTATCAGGACGAGAGGCTCAACAGAAAACGAAAACAGCACCAAACAGATGCATCTACAACATTGGAAGATGCCACATCAAAACTCGAACAATGATACAACTAAAATGACACACACAGCATCAGCAACAGCACCCTGTACCATTCTACTTATTGGCGGTAGCGGAAGCGGGTTCATTTTGTTTAACATGAAAACTGTCAATCACGACATAAACAACATTGTCGCTCTGCCGTATTCCAGATCCAGGTACATTCATCTGTCGAAAGCAACCGTCTTTCCAATCCTCCATCCTCGACGACCTCCTGTTCAAGCTGCGACGCTGTAGCACGATAAATGGGGTCGCGATGCGGCCGCGCCACAGCAATGCATTTATTTTCTAAAACCGCAAGATTTTTTGTGTGAAGCACCCGAAGCAGCTAATGAAGCAGGCAAGGAGCACACCGATCACAGACGCCGTGGTGACATTTGTGAAGATGATGGACAGCGTATCTGTGATTTTCGTATTGTTTTTGGCTGCCCTTGGGTGTAATCAGGAAGATGCTCTGCTTCTGCAAAACAGTTTCTAGCGAACAGCACTACTCAGTACTCACGCGTCATCGAGGCTCGCGGAGAAATGTGGAGTCCCCGGAAAAAATAAGAGTGTGGAAAATCATGATGCATAACCATAAAGAGCATTATCAAACATTTTATGATCTAGTCAACATCTTCTCCGACGGATAGATCATCCTATGGATGATCATCGTTGGATGTGCGCTCCGGGAGTCAGGAGGTGCAGGCGCCCGCGACCAAGCATGTGGAGCGCCTACCCCAGTTCCCGAATGCAAGAGATGGGCTTCTGTCACACCTCAAAAAGAAGCGGCGCGAAGCCTCATGATCCATCCGCTCGGAAGAAGAGATAACAAGAAGAAAATAGGGGCGGGAGGGTGGGGAAAATCAACGCAAAACTGCGCCCCTGCCTGGTTCATATTCATGCTACTCAGGTTTTGGTTACCGTGATGGGCGGGTTGAGCCCGCTCATAAAATATAGACCGACCACTGTCGGCCTTGACTCACAGGCTCGCAAGACCACGCGTGCCCGGTCATACATTTAATGATCTAGTCAACATCTTCTCCGACGGATAGATCATCCTATGGATGATCATCGTTGGATGTGCGCTCCGGGAGTCAGGAGGTGCAGGCGCCCGCGACCAAGCATGTGGAGAGCCTACCCCACCGGCGGAGACGCAACGCATCGACGCGACCCAAAGAACCCTACGGCACCAGCTGGAGATGAATTTGGGTACCGAACAGCCGCCCCACACGCAAGAGTGCGTGCGACGACACCGACTGAGATGCCAAAGACTGTCACACAGCATCCCAACAAGGCTCCAAAAGGGCGAAACAAAGCGCCTTCGCCCTGGCCCTTAGCAAAATCCTTGTCAACTACCGAAACCACAAGAGCAGCTAGTGGCAGAAGCGCTGCCCAAGAATCAGCGTAAGAACATTTAATATAGGAAATAACTCCCCGGAAGCTCCGGCTTCACTTCGGATACGTAGTGCGCTTGACCACTCGCACACTGATGAAAGAGGTCTCAACCCTGACAACTCGGCCGGGATGCGGCCGGGGAAATGCTGGAAAGTCATCGAGCAACAAGAAGTACTCAGATCAAGAGCCCACGGGGATGAACGCGCCCCCAGGTCAAAGACCTGCATACCAAACAACTATCCAGGAAGGAACCTTCCAAAGCACAAGAGTAGACCTCGCGGCGGTGGCCACAACGCCCGCGCAAGCTGTGTGTTTCAAACGGAAATAATAACTTCGGCGCGGGATCCTTTCCGAAGACACTGCGTGCAAAGAAAACTCGGAGCCACCCGGCACCATGACACAGGGAAAGAGAGTCCGGAGCCCATGAAAAGATTGGAGCCGTCATCTGCGACACCCTTCCGGAGATGCGCGCGAACTCACTAAGACTGCCTCTGGAGCAGTAAGCAAACAACACCCACCTCAGCGACGATGGCCGTGAGGACCTCGAGAAACACTAACACCCATGACCATGCCAAATGGACCTCGAGGTAATGCTTGTGATCCGGTCAACGCGCATGCTGCGACATCAGAAAGAAAAGGACCAAGCCCTGCAGGGAAGGCGCAGTGCCCCCTACAATCCTGCCAAGAATCCTCACACACACATACGAAAGTTTGCCCGATAAACATGAGACACCCAACAAAAACGCCCGACGACCTCCTCTCTCCAGGGACTAACACTTCTCGCCCCCTGAACCGAAAAAGGCGGGCAAAGGATTCGGAAGAGGATACCACATCGCTGCGTAATGATGCAACCGGATCGACTCTTGACACAACACTCCTCGCACCCTGTACAACAGGGATCTGAAGATGTCCTAAAACCACAGGCAAACAACATAGGGGCACGAAGCTCCATATAGAAAGATCACCCCCTCCAGAGGAGAATCGGAATACCTTGAAAGAAAACATCCCGACAGGGGAAAACCTGCGCCACATGCGCCATCGCTGACCTTGGTCATTTCATCTCAAGCCCTCGACTCGGCTCGTGGAGCTAGGGACGGCAGAAACCCGGAAACCGGAACCAAAAGAATCCGCGAAAACAAAACCCCGGCGCACGAGGCGCCGGGCGCATCCCTAGCCTTTCCATCTCGCGCCTGCCCTCTTTTAGGTTTAACGGATTCAAACCGCCAGTGCCACAAAGCCGAGCAAGGTTGAAATGAAAATAACCAAGGTCAGAATGGCGCCCCATGTCGAATACAACGGAGCAAAACCTTGCAAGTAGACCTCGAGAAAGAAGCCTGCAAGGGCAAGCACATCTCGAAAATGAGTAATAAAGTGAGACCCACAAGAAAACCAAAGCCGGCAGAAGCCGGAAATTAGAGCAGAAAAGCAGCCTGCAGCTAGACCCTGAAATCCTTCTCCGCACCCGGGAGAACCTGGGGCAATAGACTTCTTGCCCTCACAAGTGGAAATCCAAGAGAAACCCACTCCCCGAGCGGGGAGAGTGGAGAAGCCCCCGAAGAAACGGCATAAACGCGGCCGATGCTCCCTCACCAGCACGAGAGATGTGTGGCGATAAACTGCTCCAAGCCCGACTAACAACAGGACTGAAACACGCTCGCTGAGAGACACAAGGGGGATACTCCGATTTGTACGGGGAAAGCGCGGCAAATAAAAATGCGAAATCAAGCAGAGACTCACTCCGCCATCACAAACGGATGCGAAAATCAAACAAAATCGACCCCGAAGGGGAAATGGATTCCCTACTCTCTCCTCGCAAGGGGGGAATAGGAGGCCACTCGCAAAGAAATCATCCGAAACAGGACGGAGCCTCCCTCCCTCGAGCTGGAAACTAGAAATCTGGGGCATACTTCAAACCCCCGGACTTAGGGCGAAGCCCCCCGCTCCAAAATTGGAGAAAATAGAAGACGCCCAACATAGTTAGTCCGGAACTAGGACCGGAGTTACATTCTCCCTCTCCAGAAACGGGAGAAAACCGCACAAATCCGACATAGTCCGCAACTCGGACTGAAAATAAATGTCCCTTCTCCAGATCGGGGGAAAATAAACAGGAGAAATCAAACGTAGTCCGAAGCTAGGACGGGAACTCAAATCCTTCTTCTCCAAACCGGGAGAAATCACGAGAAATCCAAACAAGCCCGAAACTTCTAGGACTGGAAACAAAATCACTCTCCTTCTCCGGAACGGGAGAAATCTGGAGAACTCCAACCTAGACCGAAACTAGGACCGGAAATAAACTCAATTCTCCCTCTCCGGAACGGGAGAAAACAGGAGAAATCCAACCTAGTCCGAAACCAGGACTGGAAATAAAATCACTCTCCCTCTCCGGAACGGGAGAAAATAGGAGAAGTCCAACCTAGCCCGAAACTAGGACTGGAAATAAAACCACTCTCCCTCTCCGGAACGGGAGAAATCAGGAGAAGTCCAACCTAGCCCGAAACTAGGACTGGAAATAAAACCACTCTCCCTCTCCGGAACGGGAGAAATCAGGAGAAATCCAACCTAGCCCGAAGCTAGGACTGGAAATAAACTCTCTCCCCCTCTCCGGAACGAGAGAAATCAGGGGAGACCAATCATAATCCGAAACTAGGATTGAAAATAAACTCTCCCTCTCCAGAACTGGAGAAATCAGGAGGAAATAAATCGGCCTAAGGCAGAGCAAAATAGCAGCTCTAATCACCCTCGGCGAATCACAATCAAGCTACCATCGGCAGGGGCGCAAGTCCCTGAAAACCCAGCATGTCAAACACAGAGCAGGAAAATCAACGCAAAACTGCGCCCCTGCCTGGTTCATATTCATGCTACTCAGGTTTTGGTTACCGTGATGGGCGGGTTGAGCCCGCTCATAAAATATAGACCGACCACTGTCGGCCTTGACTCACAGGCTCGCAAGACCACGCGTGCCCGGTCATACATTTAATTGTACGCCCTAGTTCGGTTGATCTTGGATCTTGGTACGGCACCAGCAATTCCGGGTCGTCGTTCACAGCAGAGGCAGCAGCTTCCCGTTCCACAGATCGGCTGGAGGTACTACCAGTCGTGCTCCCGCTCATGTCGCCGACCGTCGGAGAAGACGAACCAACCCGAACGTTTGGACCGTACGGAGCAGTCGGAGCAGTTACTGCATGGTTGTTGACATAAAACTCATGCTGCAGGACGTCACCCGTCCTTGCTGCACTCTTCTGCTTCTCGACGAAAGAGCTTGCGGGGCGGAGATCTTCTTCGTGCTGTAGCGGAGTCTGCTCCACCCCACTTTGCCGCTTTTTCATCCGCCCAACACGCCGGACCAACGATGGACCACTTGGGGTAGCTGAAGAGCCTGATGATGAAGAATGCAGGGATGGGGTGTCCATTTCCTGGTGCAGAGCAGGAAGGCCCGGCTGCTCCGAAAGATGCGTTGTCGAGGCTGATCCACCTCGCCGGCTTTCTCGCAGCATGGATTTCTCCAAGTCCTCCAACTGCAGCATACTCGAAGCGACTTGTGAAGGAGCAACTGCGCGACCACGAACACTACTGGTACTGGTCCGCCCCCGTGGTGGCAGTGAATGATCATGCTCATCATGATTTTCCACATGGTTTTTGTTTTCCTGGTCCTGGTTCGTAGTCCTTTTTGTCGAAGCTGCTGTTCCTGTTGTTGAACTCGTGGCAGACACCATTCCATCGCTCGGCTCTCTTTGTAGTAGTTTGTTGCTGGACCCGGCAGGATTAGGATTACCAACATGATTCGAAGATGAAACAGACGTACTTCGAGCGCCGTCGGCAGCATCTTCACGGTCACTTGCGGCAGCGCCAGCATCCGCTGACAGCTCAACGGACACCCGCTTGTGCGATTGCGAAGAGGAAGATGAAGAAGACGCGGTATGCTTGGTTCTTGCTTTCTCGTTTGTTGAATCTACTTCCTGATTTCTGCCTCCTTTGCTGTTGCTCTCCACTTTCGTACCATCCTGGCGCTCTTCCCCGACAAATTCCAAGAAGTTTTGCAATCGGTGCCGTTGTTTCGGACTGAGCTGGCCAAGCAGAGTTTCGACTTGAGACGGCTCTCTCGACGAAGGGGAAGGGGTCGCTGTAGGACTGTTCTGCGCTTCACCAGTGTGCCGATCACGACCACCCTCCTTGTCTTGCGGTTCTTGGCCGTTTTCAGTTTTTGAAGAAGATGCTGCGGATCCCCCCTCATCTCCTGATGAATGCACTTCGGCGAAAGAGAGTGGAGGAATCTGGTCCCACGTATGCCACGATGCCTGCGCTCCGATCGCACCGAACTCTGCCAGGATCAGCCTCATCTTCGCAGGTCAAGATCGCAATTCTACTTTCTCTTTGTTTTGTTGCAGCAACGAGCTGATTGCTGGTACATACAGATGTCGTGATCGTAATACGAAACAAACAACCTGCTGCGTGACACCAATCGAGAAGATCGAGACCGACCAACTCGGCGGTATCTCATCTGTAGAAAATCGTCTTCCTTTTCCCTTCATCTACTTCGCCAAATCGAATTCACTTCTCTTGCACTGTCGATCGACTACGTACTTCTAGCCGGTGCAATCTACTGCTCTCACGCCTCTCATCAGAACGAGAACCACGACCACCACCACACGAATGACTCACGATCTCGACGAGGTGAGTAGGTGAACGAAGAAGACCTACGAGCGGAACATAAGTACCACGGAAAAAGTGTAGAATACAACAGCATCTGCATCCCTCATCATTTCTTTTCTTACCAGCACGGAATTGCTCCTATCGTATCCCGTACTCGTATGCGCCTTATAAAGTTATAGTAGTATGCTATTGCTATGCAAGATTTCTTGTTTCACTACATGAGCGTAAGCAAGTCGTCTAGCTCGTCGTTTGCACTTGCGGTTTTCTTTTCCGCGCTGGCAGTTTCGGGGCTGGGCGCGCTGGTGGTGTCTTGCATCAAGCTGTCGAGCAAGTCCTCGTCCCCTGCCCCTGGTGACGAGGCTACTTTACTTGTCGCTGCAGGTGGTGCTACTTCATCCGCGGGCGCCTCTACTGCGACAACCGCGGGGGGCGGCGGCGGTGGTGGTGGCGCGGTTTTTTCTTCTGCACTCTTTTCCGGAGTTGACGTCGCACTCTTGGGCGTCGTCATATCGAACGCCTGAACGTTTCCCGCCGCGGATCCACTTGCAGTGGCTGAAGTGGGGGTGGTTGTACTGCTAGCAGCTGGATTTTCGGTCACTCCACCTCCTGCTACAGATTTCGCCTCTTCTTTTTTCCCACCGCGGCTCTCGTCGCCCTTCTGGCCTTTCGCGCCCGGCTGCGCCCAGCTCATCTCGTACATATCAGTCGTATCCAAGTTCTGGATCGTGGGAGAGGCTTCACCACCAGCACCTTGCTCCAGTTCGGCATCCTCGAGCAGCTGTCGCTGTAGCCGGTCGAACTCCTCCTCTGTTTGCATGCGCTCCTCGACCGAGCCGGCGTCGCTGCTGTGATCACCTGTTTTTAATTTGTTTGCAGTTTTTGCTTTGATTTTGAATTTCCTACTTTCTATTCTTCTGACACTCTAGTTTGTGTGCTAAGTCGTCACGACGGCAATCGCAAGTCTTGTTCGTTCCCACATTTCATAGATACCCATTTCATCTTCAGTCCAAACACAGCACGTACCAGCGAGGTGCGCCGAAATCCGGCCCTTGATGTTTTTGTTTTCCTTTTCCAGCAAAACCTGCTGTCTTAGCCTCTCCGTTTCCTCGGCCTTGATCTCCTCAAAGAGCTGCCGGGCGCGCTGGAACACTTCGGCCTCCTGTGACAGAGTCTCCTTGGTTTTTTTCTTGGCGCCGTCCTCCTCGAAGAAGAGGTCGACAAAGCCGTCCCGCGGAAATTCCATCGTTGCGGTGTCTAGCTCCGTGTTCGGGAAATGCAGAAAGTTCCCCGACACGTAGTTTGTGTTGAAACCTAGTCAACGACGTCATTTTCGCTTTTTTACACACGCTTTGATCGGAAGAAGAAGATGAAGATGAAGATCGATGTAGCTCTAGCTACAACCATTATCTTTACCGAGAGCAGAGTGCCATAGCTGTAGATGGCCACAAAGCGCCCGGCTTTACGTTTACCATGCATTCGTGTTTTGCAATTCAACACCAAGCGCAGAAGATAGAAATACGTGTCTACCTAGGCGAAACGCGGAGCTTTTCTGCTTAGTTTTCTTGTCGTAGTGCCGCACCCGCACCAGGACGTCGCCGTCTAGCGAGGGACAAAGGAATTTCTCCGCGTCTTTGAGTGTGAAGGGTACACAGGAGTCTGAGGTGTAGTACTCCTGAGCGGGGCTTGTCGCGGGATCCAGCGAATTCCAGGAGGAATACAGCATCTTCTCCTTGTGCCAGATTTCTGCAGAAGTTTTGTACTGAATTTGCTGCAGAATTTGCGTACTCTTTTACTTTTTTTCGTATTACAAAGTGTAGTAGGCGTGTGTCGGAATGTGACAACGACGGTAGACTCACTGTGACAACGACATTTTCCTGAAATGGAAGTACCTAGATAGGGCACGAATATCGGTTCCTTCGCGGCTGAAGTGGTGGAGCTTGTCTCGGGATCTGAACCTCCCCCTCCTGCTCCTTGCAAACTATTCCCTCCGGTGGTCATCAGCGGAGAAGCTGCGGCGGCGGTGGTGACCTGTTGAAAGATCTTCGCACTGCTTGTCGAAACTTCCTTCTGCAAGTTCTTGAACGTACTGGAAAAGTCTTTCTGAAAGTTCGAAAATAGCTTCGGCGCGCTCTCTTTGGAGGAGGACCGGAACGTCTCAAACGTGGAGCTCATTTTTCCGAAAAACGCGCTGCCGCTTGCGGAAGAGGCCGAGTCACCAAGTTTGGATTCGTCCTTGTCACTTTTGCTGGCAGTGGATGCTTGTGCATCTTCCGCGGCTTTATCCTGCGATGTCGATGACGATGAAGCGGACTCATGCTGCGCTCCTTTCCCACCGGCATCTGAATTATCTCCTGCTGCAAAAGGTGCCACTTTGCCCTGCTCGGTAGTCTCGCTGGCGGATGCATTCGATGCTTTGCTTTTATTTCCAACATCTCCTGCCGGCGTCGTCGCAGCTCCGAGCGCTTGTTGGCGCTGCGCCACTCCGGCGCCGCCTCCGGAATTGGAAAAGTTTGGTATGCCCGTGATAAGCACGCGAGTGAGATATTTCGGGGCGTCCGCGGCTTTCTGCCCGTCTGTGAGAACTGTTTCGAAGTACTCCATGTACCGCTTTTGCGTGGGCAGGATCTGGCTCGGCACCTTTAGTCGCCGCAGAGTGTACTCTAAGCCCCGCTGCGTTGATTGACAGTAGCTGCACCAGTACAAGTAGCACGCGCAAAACATCGCACTCCGCGTGAAACCGGAAAAGCAGTGGACCTGTACTGGTTTTCGTTGTCCTATCTTTGACTTATTACACGCAACAACGTTTCTCTCGTTGCAAATGGTCCTGCGGGCTTCGCTTCGTGCTGTCTGAAAGCTGCATTGAAAAGGTTTAGAAAACGAAGACGTAGATGAGAAATTAGGCCGACAAGCAAGCATTATCATCGCAAAGTACCACCACAACATGCTCTTTCCCGGTGTCAAGCCACTGCTTCACGCTGATTACCAACTTGAAAAACAGTTCCAGCGGTGGGCTGGGCAGTCCACGGAAACGCACGTCCATCACTTCGCCTTGAAACGGCTTGGTATCGTAGGAGTGTTCGCTCATGTTGAGCACCAAGTACTTGGAACCGTGGCTCCGGTTTAGCCTGTTCGCCAGCCGCTCCAGCTTGTTGTCCTCTTTGGCGGGAAACTCCATGATAAGCAGCTTCCTTGGTATCACATCCACAATTTTTGTCAGCTGCTCCTCAAAAGTCGCTCGGTATTCCTCCTGCACCAGCTGCGCAGCCTCGCGCGCCTTAGCAGCCGCGTTTGCTGCGGTCTTTTGCGCCAGTTTCGCGGCGTCATCGGCGAACGACTTGAAGTCGAAGTTGGGAACTGCACGGGTGCTGGAATTCCCGAACGTGGAGGAGAGAGACCCTAACAGGGTGCCGCTGTTCGACGGCCTTTCGGCGGGCTCCGTAGACGAGGAGGACCCAGAAGTTGTCGCGGTCGTGCCGCCGTCGCTGCGATTGGCCTTGCTGTTGCTGGAAGAGGAGGCGTCGCTAGTACCCGACGCAGTACCGGTGAAGCTCGGCACCGATGTACCAAAAGCACTCGCGAAACCTTGAAACATCTTCAGTCGTCTGACGAAGCTTTCAGGAGTGGTACTACAACATATCACGTGGCTTCTTCCTCGAAAATACGATCATGTTCCGCGAGACCTAAATGGCCCAAAAAAATACTTAAAGGTAGAGAGAAGAATAATCGCTAGTAGTTGCGAAAAACTAGAAAAGAAAGCCAATGATCATTTCACGAAGGGGTAGTTGATAGCGTTCAGAAAAACAGGAACTGGAAGTGAAATACTAAACAGCGACGATGGTGCATTTTTGAACTTTCTACTTGTGAGAGATCTACTAGTCAGAACAAACTGAGTCGACCTCGCGCTGAGGAAACGAAATAGAGAACACTCTAAGCGCACCCTGGACAAAAACCAATACTCCACGCTTGCACACATGGTTCTATCGCTTCTTGCTTGACATCACTGCGTCGTTGTTTGCCGGTGAATACTTACCGGCACATCATCACATACTGCAACTTTGTTCGCAAGAATTGTCGGGCCAAAAAGTGCACGGGTACCCACTCACTTTTCGTCCTAATAAGCATGCATCTTCAAAATTCCAGGAGAGTTTTCTTTTTCTTCGAATCGAATTCGTTTATCCACAGGCATGCGTGAGCTGCCGCTGGCTCAACGATTTCAAGGTCCAGATAATCCCTTAAGTATCGATGCATCCATCAATATGCAGCAAGCCGATCAAAAGTTCGCTGCTTTAACAGGCACCCCCTTCCCAAGGGACGACTTCTTCACGCCTTTTTCATCGTATAAGTCCATTGGTAGGTCTTCGAATCGCCACAGGTGGCCTTCCATAGGGTTGCAGACTCGGTGAAACCCCTGACCGCCTTGCTTAAATCTCCGCCGCTTCCCGCGCTGGCCAAGCGCTACGCCTTGACCACCACGGGTCGTTCCCGACAACTTGAAAACGAAAGATACGCCCTTCCATACCTTTCCAAAACAAGCACCGACCAGGCCAAAACCCTTCTGGAATAGTGAACTTGAGCCGTGCGTCGTGGTCACCGTCTCGCTGTGCGCAACGGCGTGCAGCAGCACGAAACTGATGTCCGCCACACACACGAACAACGTGTCCAGGAAGTTCGAAAACTCCTCGCGCGATACTCCGGAGAGAAAAAACAACGGCGCATCCTCCGACCCCACGTCGGAGGTTCCACCTGCTGAACTTCCACTGCTGCTTCCGGCTCCGTTCGGATACCGCACCTTGTGCGCCAAGCTGCTGCCCAAAGACATTAGGATCAGCCCGAAGATGGTCGCGGCGATCAATCGATCCAAAAACGTCAGGTAAGGCACGCGAGGCAACCGATCCAAGATCGTCCACTGAATAGCGAACGCGGTCAAAAACATGCCGAAAATCAGCGCGAGCCGATCGGACAGGAGGGCCACGTCGATGAAGAAGGTCAGATTCGACAAAAACATGATTCCGTAGAGCGGCAAGACGCCCTTGTACATGTAGTAGGCTGCGTTCCGCTGCAAATGGACACAGTACACCACGTCGTCGTACGACAATCCCGTTCGCGGACTGGTGTGCATGCCGATTCCGTAACTTATCCTCTCCACAACGAACTCCCCACTCCGCGGCTTAGTTAGTGTCTCTTTGAGCGAGTTAGTGTCTCTTTGAGCGCCATGCTGCCCCCCATGGCTTCGCAAAGTCCAAAACATTTCTTGCAGCTCTTCAAATAGGAATGTAGCCAGCCTATCTCTTTCGAAGTGTAATACTAGCTGCGCGCGTTCATTCTGTATTCCTCCAAGTTTTGGGCCTGCCCTGTATTCATCCAAGTTGTGGAACTATATGTGGGCCAACGCGCTCGAGTGTCCGAGCTAGTCGCCCGTCCGAGCAGGCGGGCGAATAGCTCGGATCTTGCCCAGCGATATCGCGAGGGCGGGGGCGGAGGCTCCAACAAGATCGCGATCGCGCTCGTGGTTTTAAATTTTGCTCATCAAGGGAGGGCGAAACGATCCCCAGGATTAAATGGTCTTGCAATCTGCCGCAACCGGGGGCTACTCGGGAGTTTTTCAAAAACATCGACGAAAGCACAGACAGGAGCTACGTGCACTTCGGCTATTCTTTCGCCCCAAAAAACTTTCGTTCAAAAAACAGAGAAAAGCGGCGATCTTGATCATCAAAAGGCAAACGGCTGCCGTCTTCTTGGCAAATCAAAGAGCAAGATCATTCGGCTGTCGTTATTCGTACACAGATGGGTGTGGGGGCACTGATCCAACCATCTACGCTCTATTGCTTTGTCTGTGTACATTCTGAATCTGTGTCAACGACCGTGGATCTCGAGCCTCTGTTGCTTCAACAACGAGGAAAGCCATGTAGTGCGTTGGACAATGAAGCTAAACAGTGCGCCACTGCTTATCTCGTGAGATCGAAGCCTGCTGTCGCCTTTCCAGTCGTATGCGCGTCGGTGTGTGGGCGTGGTGGGAGTGGTGGTGCGAGGTAGCTAGAGCATACATCTCTTGCGCTTCAACATACTAGCGCACCCGTCTAAACTGACATACCACAAACGAAGTACTGGGATACAAAACAAGAACTGTAGTACCTGCGAGAGCGTGCCGTCATCCATAACACGCATCCGGACTGCCAGCCGTGACATCACGAGGAGGCGAAGCGACAAACCATGTTGATCCGGCGCTTGTGATAGAAGCCGACCCGGGATCGGTGGCCGCAACGGATCGCCAGTCACAACTTATGCACAACCAAGATATACTATGATGAGAATTACAACAGAACCCTGCGCCCTTGTGTCTGAATGTGGTTCGACTCGAAGGCATACACAGCATGCAAATGAAGTCTCGTGGCCATCTCAACCCAAATAAATGCGCGGCAGCGAACATGCAAAGCCGAGCGATGAAGTTATGAGAAAACGACTGGCCAAAGCGCAGGGGGACAACGGGTGCAATGCAGACGAGAGAGAAAGAAATGCGCGGCGAGCACATTCGACTATGGGCACAGACTCCATGCATAATTCTGACGCTAGTATCTTGATTCTATCCTCTATCCTGATTCTACTATTCTGATTCTACCTCTAGTCTGATTCCATTAGTTTGATTCTACATTTAGTCTGATTCTATTAGTCTGATTCCATTCTATTAGTCTGATTCCCTCTCTTACCGTAACTGATCCTCTCCACGACGAACTCCCCACTCCGCGGCGTGATAGGGAAGACGTGGTGATGCGCGGGAACAACAGCAATCACGGAGCCGGAGGTGGTATCCTGTGTAAAAACGTCCCCAACTCCCCAGAGTTGTAATGCAAATCTGCATGCTGAAAATGTTTCTCATGCCGAGACCCATGAGAAGCAGTCTCTAGTCGTGTTTTGGGCTTTGTGATGCTAGAAACAGCATTATATGCCAGATCTGTGATGCTGCTGATCTGAACAAGCTAAACATGTACAGGATGACACTACGAGGGCAAGCCTGTCATGCGAATCAACCAAAGCTAGTGGATTTGTCTAGCAGATTTCCGAACTTGGCTCTGCTGTGGGGACGTTTTTACTCAGGATAGGTGGCGGAGTAAACTCTTCCTTTTCCTCTAGGTTTTATTCATCTGATGGTGCTCGGGGAGGTGGAACAAAAAGTAATACCAGCAAAGCTTCTTCTTCGTTCAAGAACCGACGGGCGAATTTGCTCGATTCGTTAAACACAAGTGATGAGGATGATGACGATGATAGTCACCCCGCTTTCTCGACTTCCAATGAGGGCGGGGGAAACTCAAGCGAAACGTCGGGCGCAGCGATGGTCGTTGGTGGCTCTGCTGGTGCGACGTCCTCGACGGCCCACCAACAACAACATCCTTTCGCGTGGGTCAAGACTGACAGCAGGTTTGACAGGGGGCGGCAACCATTTGGCTGGAGCTGGGCCGAGCTCCAAACTGGGCGGGACGAGCAACAGGGACCAAGCTCATCCTGGAACTAGTGGAAGCTTGAGCAGCAGTGGGCGGGCGGTGAACTACAGCAATTTTAATCACGCAGTAATGTCGACCGGGACCACGCCGGCCGACAGACTGCACGCGATGCAGAACCGGCAGAGCCAGACGCACGCCGTGAAGGTGATTTTGGAGAAGAAAAGCTACCAGGAACAGCTGCTGCGATTGAAGCACAACGTGGACAAGGTATCGAACGAAGACGACTGGAACGACTTATTACAATGAAAAATGCCCCCACCCCGGAAGTTGCAAAAGTTTCTCATGCACAGTTTACAAATGAAAGCTTTTTGTCTTGCATGAAAGGACTACGAGCCTTTCTGATGCAGAATCTAGGTGCGCAAAGTATCTCTTGGAAAACAGATCCGGCTGCTGTTGGCCTCCTTTGCAACACAAATTTGAGCTATTCAGCATGGAAATTTGTGATGCCGACTTATGCAGTAAGACGGGGAATATTTGTGTTTCTATTGGAAAGGGTTGCAATACAAATGCTGCCAAGAAGTTCTGGTGTGGGGGTATTTTTCACGTTGATACGCTTTAACCGAGGTAGAGCGGGACTTCTCCACAAAGCTCGGCTACCAGTTTCTAAGCGTCACCGGGTATGCAAGAAAAAACTGTGTAAGTGTAAATCTGTGATGCAGAAAATGCAAAACAACTACACTTGTCATGCTGGAATTGCGTCATCGGCTACTATCATACGTGTTTCCACGTACTAGCTACGCATGACAGGTTTTCCCTGTAATGCAAAGCGAATTTGTGATGCTGCTCTTCCTACACAGTTACACTTACGCAGTTTTTTTCCTGGATACCGGGGGAGCTGCTAGTACTACATCTGCAGGAGCAGGAGCTTCTACAGCACCCTCCGGAGGAGCTCCTGCCGGTCCTCAAAGTGGTCCGCAGGGCAACAAGAATCCGATAGGCAAAGCCGTTTTCCACTTGCTCAGTGTGCTGATAACGCAGAGGGACATGCCGTAACTGATCCTCTCCACAACGAACTCCCCACTCCGCGGCGTCGGCCGAAACACGAAATCATCCGGGTTGCTGGTTTTGTCGTCCGTGTACCCAGCGTGTTGCTTGTCGAACCGCACACGGATGTCGTCCTGGTTCTCCAACCGCTTTTCTCCGGCGAGGCACGCGCCGAAGTCGAAGCGGAAGCTGTCGAACGGGAACGTCTTCAGCGCTTCCGGGTCATCGCGGAAGAGATCTACTGTGCAGGAATCGGACTCGAGTTCCAGTTGCAATACGCCATCGCGTCTGTCCTTGTCGTGGAAGGTCGGCAGGGTCGTCTCCTTCATTTCTTTCTTCATATGCAATCTCCCCCTGCATCATAATCTCAGGTCGCCACACGTCGGAAGGCATCGGCTGGTCGAGCGGGAAGTTCTTGAATCTCTCATCCGTCCAGTGGAAGCAAAAGACGGCCTTAAACTGCAGCATCTCGCCCTGGTGCTGGGTGATAATCTTGCACTCGTCAATAAGGACTTTCACACTCACCAACGTCGGGGGCGGCTTCGGGCTTCCTTCTTGTTGGGCCTCTGCTGGTGACACTATGCGGGAATACTCTGGCTTCGCGGCCATGAGCTCGTCGGAGGGAATGGGGCGTGACGAGTAGGAAAACAGCAATGACTCGTCAGAATTGAGACGCTGCAGACCTGGGCCCGCAGGCAGACTCATAGTAGAGCTGTTTGGCGCCGCCATATTTTCTATTCTTCAGAAGGCATTCGCAGACTTAACGCGATCAGACTTCACGCCTTACGCACTCTGCGTCACCAGCCGTCTTGTCATCAAGTCGCTCAGACTGACCGACATTTCAATGTCTATCATAATCATGCTGATCCTGATTATAGATGAGCGCAGGCCTGTGTCTAGTGCAATTCTTTAGGTTTTTGCGGAAAACGCAAAACAATGAAAACATGAACATAGTCGTAGTAGATTGCTTTGCCGCTACGCACAGACGAGGGCAGGCACATGCGATGAGGAGCCATATTTATGGTGGTGAAGACCTAGGACTTGAAACAGATTCAACGGCTTTTTCATCTTCGAACTACATCGTCGTCCCCGTAATCATAGACATGATGCGGGACCCTGTTTCATATCATATCTGGTCCGCCTTCTCACACATCTCCACCACCTCAGACAGTCGCAATTGCTTGCGTGTCCAAAAACCTGACCACTAGGTCGCCCTGGTCCGCTTCCCCGTTGATGTCTCCAAAGTACGCGACCTTACCCCCGCATGCGGTCTTATTGTTTCCCGCGACAACCGGGAATTGCTTGACCGCCACGATAGCGTGCTGCCGATTCGCATCCTTATCCTTACTCGCGTCGTAGTCATCACCTCGAAACAATTTCAAGTCCTGACTCGTCGCAAAGTAGATTTCGTTGTCCGGCACGTTGCCGAGCATGTTGCCCTTGACCGAGAACTTGTCGTCCTCCGCCCCGGGGAACAGTCGCTTGACATTCTCGCGATTCCGCTGCACCGCGCAGTGCGTCGCACGGTAATAACAGCTCTTTCTCCACCCAATTTCCGGGTAAATTTCCAGCAGAACGTCGCGCAACATGGAGTCGCCCGTGTGCGACACAAATGCGACGCTGCCACCAAACTCCAGCACGAAGGTCCGCAGGGAAGGCCCCAGACACTCGTTGAACTTGTCAAACACATCATCGTAATAGCTGGACAAATCGCCGATGACGATGCTTTTGTACTCCCCAGACTCGATTGCGTCGACGATTTTCCTCGCCGCTTTTCCGCTTTTCCCATGTTTGAAGGACAGGAACCGGCACCCCCACTCTTTCCACTTTTCCTCGAATTGGCTCAGAATCACGTTCACCATGAAGTTGCTCCCGTCCACGTCATCGCACTGCCCGAAGCCGGCGAGCACCAACACCGGCCGCGTTCCGGTCTTCGGGTACTTGTACGCAGGGTTCGTTTTTAGCACGCCCGGCTCGCCCTCGCACGTGTTGTAAAATCCGTTTCTGCGGCGCGCTGCGGGGTAGTCCCGCACTTTCGCCTCCGCCAGCGAACCGTCGGAAGCGTCGCCACTTTCACTGGTCTCATCCTCTTGGTCGGAACTTTGACTTTCATCATCATCCGGGTCGAGATAATTGGAGTAGAAGCGCTTGTCGTACGTTTTGCCCTGCATTTTTCTACTGGTCGAATTTTTCATCACCTGTTTTTTCCACTTCCGCGTAGCCTTTTTCGTCCATTTCTCCAACGGTATGTCAATCTCAGCCAGGTTCTTGCGTTGCAGCGAAAAGCGGGAAGTCGAAGAAAAAGAGATTGGTGGAGCATCCAGCGGAGCGACATCCGCAGGGGTTTTCAACGTGCCAGCGTCAAGCGCGGCTCCGATCGCGTACGTCTGCGCCACACGGCGCTGCATGAGCACGGCACCGTTGGCACTGCTGGTGGGATCGATTTCCACCGCGTATCGATCCTTCTCCTTGACGTACCCGCGAATTTGGCCTACCAGCCCATTCAGCTCCGGCCTGCCCGTCAGATTGTGAATCTCCACGTAGGTATCTTTTGTGAGTTTGCTAGCTGTTGCCATCCCCGCAAAAAGGTTTTTTGCAAAGGAATTGCTGCAACTTTTTTCCGGCGCTTGCTGGGCTTGCCTCGTAATTTCCGTTCCCGGTACATTCCCCCCATGTTCCTTCCGGACTTGGTCAATCAGTGCCTGCGTCTTCGGCAGATACTTCGAAAAGTCGCCACGCATGAGATCCTCGATCCCTTCTTCATCGGTGAGAATCGTCGCTTGTCCGGGGCGATTTTTCTCGTGAGCGTCCGGCATTGTGGAGTAGTTGTTCTTCCTTTTATGATAATCGTTTCTGTGCTTTCTCGCTCTCTTTTCTGCCCAGTCGGTCAGAGTGGGAAAATACTTTTCTAGTGCATCTACGTTGGAGGGACCATACTCCGGGTCATGCAGACACACCCAACTGCGTGGCGTATGGTTTCCCTCGTGGTGCCTTGTAAACCTTGAATTCTTTGGGTCGCGCAAGTGTTCTTCGATAAGACTAAAACCCTTGATCACTAGCCGCAAAACGTAAAGAGAGAAAAGTACGAAGATGGAAGCCACAAAATAGAAAACATAGGTCCACATTGCGATTGCAATGAATGCATCACTACGACTCGACAACCACAACCAGAATAAAAATGCCCGACCGGAATATCTGATGAGACCTGTTTTATCCATATGGCATATTGACGTTGAAGGAATACAAGTTGAAATTTCAAATTCATTGGCAAAAATGCATGCTTCGCGCTGCAGAGAGATACGACTGTGATCTTCGTAGCGTTGATCTTGTAGAAGATCCTTTAGAAGTCATCCGCACTTGATGAGCAGGTGAAAAGATGGCACTTTCGTGTCCGCGACGTCGCTAAAGATCTTGATCTTCAGTACTTGTACTGCTGCACGTCGGAAGAAACAAACACACGAAAGCGTTACCTGTGCTTCATGTAGTTGATGCTCCGAAAATCCACAAGCACCAGAGAGATCGTAATCAAGGATCCGGGATACATCAACAAGATCAACCGCGTTCAAAAGCTTGCACCTTAAGCTTATTGCTTGAGACCGTCGTCATTCGCAATTGGGAACAGAAGTACAGTCCCGTAATTAAGAGCAGGACAAGATCACCATTTCAGCGGTCTCCTGCGTGGTACTAGCACGAGCTTGCAGCTCTGAACCCCTTTTTTGTTTTTTTTTATTCTCGTGCTGTATTGCTAGTCGCCCGAAAGTGAGTTGATCATCCTATCCTGACGAATCTAGGATTCGGCAAGGTCGCCGAAAATGACGAGTAGTAGTAGTTCTTGATAATTATTCCAAAATATGTAGGTAGCACTCGGCAAGAAACTCGACATCCATCTCCATGTTCATCAGATCCTGTAGCCCATTTCCTCTGTGGCGATCGCATGGGTTTCGAGAAACTTGACGACCAAGTGAGCCGTCTCCGCCTGGCCGTTGATGTCACCGAAGTAGGCCACTTTCCCTCCACACCCGGTCCTGTTCTTCTCGGAGACGAGCGGAAACTGCTTCACGGCGACAATGGCATTCCGCCGGTGCTCGTCCGGGTCGCGCTCCGCGTCGTAGTCGTCACTGAGGTACCGAAACATCTTCATCTCTTGGCTCGTTGCGAAATACATCTCATTCTCCGGCACGTCCTCGAGCATATTGCCCTTGACCGAGAATTTCCAGTCCTCCGCGCCGGGGAAGATCCGCGCCACGTTGTTGCGGTTTCGCTGCACCGCGCAGTGCGTCGCCCGGTAGTACGCACTCATCTTCCATCCGATCTCCGGCCACAGTTTCGGGAACACTTCGCTCATGATCACATCTCCAGTGCTGGTCGTGAAAGCAACACTACCCCCCAACTCGCGCACAAAGCTCCCGAGCGCGGGCCCGAGATGGTCCACGAACCTCTGCAGGGACGCATAGTCTCCGCTGGCCGACAAATCCCCAATCAAAATGCTTCCGTACTGCCCAGATTGAATGGCCTCTTGGATTTTTTCAGATGCGGCATGGCTGTTCCCCTGCTTGAACGACAAAAAGCGGCAGCCCCACTGCTTCCATTTGGCGCTCTCTTTATGCAGGATGGAATTCAGGGTGAAGTTGCTTCCATCGTCCTTGTCAACGTGCCCGACGCCGGCAATGACCAGGACGGGCCGGCTACCTGTTTTTGGATACTTGTACGCGGGGTTCTCCTCGTGGTCCTTGGGAACTCCGTGAACCTGCATATTCGCCATAAAGGGGTACTTCTTCACGTTCCGCGCGCGACGGCGTTCTTTCCGACGCTCATGCGTAGGAATTTTGGATGCGCAGAGGGATCCGTCAGAGTCCGCTTCTGATTCGCTCGTCTCGCTTTCGTCATCATCTTCCTGATGAACCCCCGGAGGAGCTCCGGGACCAGAGGTTGCAGCGTTCTTGTTTTTACTCTCATCGACGTGGTCACGTTTTCGTAGCTTTTTTCTGGTCCAACGCTCCAGATCCATTTCGATCGGCACCAGGTTCTTCCGCTGAAGCAAAAACCGGGACGTGGAAGAGAAACTGAGAGGTGGCGCCGCCGCCGATGTGCTCTCTGCTGTCGTGGCAGAAGATGCGTTGCTGCTGGAGGAGGAGCCTGTTGCCGTTGATGTCGCACCAGCAGTCGCCTTGTGTTCTTCTAACACCGCGACGTTTGCAGCACTATTCGGGTCCACGTCCACCGCGTAGCGTTCTTTGTCCTTGACAAACCCACGAATCTGCCCCACGAGTCCATTCAATTCAGCCTTGGCAACCAGGTCGTGGATCTCTACATAACTTTCCCGGGGAAGCTTCTTTTCTTGAAACATCCTCTGAGCTAAACCATCCTTCTTCAACCCCCGGAGAAAAGAGCTTGCGGCAGGCGGTGACGTAGCAGCATCTGTTTTGTCGCCGCGAAAGCTGTCGTTTCCAAACTCATCATAATCGTCTTCAGGGAGAGAGCCTGGGTCAAAACCTTGCGAACGCAACATGTCTGCGAGTCCGTCCATCTTGGTCCTGCTCCTGGCCTGCGGACGAAGAAAATATCACGGAAAAGTGCAATAGAAGTTGTATATTGAAGTACACTCAAGGTCAAGACGCACTCGCACGCCCGCAGGAATAAAATTAGAATCCGAAGATCAGCTAATCTTGCTGTGTGTCGATTGTTCCTACAGATCTTCGGAGAATGTGTGGGACGCAGATGCAAACCTGAGGGTGAGGCACGAATGATCTAGATCTAATCTTCTTCCTTCGCTTCCCTCCGGGCGTGAATTTGACTTGCAAATACTTTGCCTCACATCCAGTAATCGCTCGGTGATGACATTTTAGGAGGCGTTTGATCCAACAAGAGCTACCAACAATGACCTTCTATTTGTTTTGAGGAGCGCAATTGATTTCACTTTTGGGTAGTCTGATGAACTACGATATTTTTATTTATTCTTATATTATAGAAAGGAACCAGGCTAGACAAGGCCACAAGGTAACACAACAAGCCAAACAAATATCCAACAAGTAGTTGCTTTCTTTCGTGCTATCGCCCAGAGGCGTGCCGATTGTTGATTTGAAGAATGCCATACTAGTTGCCCAAAAGTGAGTTGATCATCCTGACGAATCTAGGATTCGGCAAGGTCGTGCGTTCTCTCGAAATCGCTGTAGCAGAACCTAGTGGGAGGTGAAGCGCTGGCGGGGGGGAGCCCTAGTGTCGGAAACTACTACAGAAAAGTCGAAGACGCCTCTACTTTTTCTACGGATTCCCGGGTGAAAATGAGAATCGCTTGCTTTGATACAACTCCGGCTTCTACCTTGCTAAGAAATGAGATTATCGTCGAAACTGCAACTTCTCTAATTGAGGTTGATAAGTGTACACAGTGTCACAGATAACTCGTTTGCAGAAAGTAAAGAGCTGGTCGTGCTGCATCGTGGTCGTAGTCGTTTGCTATGAGCTCTACTTGTTCAAATTCCAGAGCTTTGGAGATGTTACAGATCTTAGTTCTTGAAATGTTGTTTAGAGAGTGCTGCTTGCTAATGTATGCGGGTCAAAATCAGAAGGAAGGATATTCCAAGAAGCAAAATATCACGGGAGGGGGCCGTGCTCAAGTTAGTAGTAGTTATGTGAAGGAGATTGTGTTCTGCGGCGGATTGTGTCCTAACTACTTCAGTGGTATTTTTCATGTAGAATAGGATTTTTTGTGTTCGACAAGATGACATTGCAGGAGAAGCTTCGTCCGCTAGAGATGTAGTTGGGAAGACAACTCTTATGACAAAGCCCATAAGCTCGTTGTGAAAGTTGTAAGCGAAGTAATCATCGAGCCGAGCACAGAAGATATGAGAGTTCTGACGTTTCTACTTCTTCGACGTTAAGAAAACGATATGGGCGGGGAGTTCTTGTCTGTGTGTTTCGTTCTGTAATTCTTACTCATCGTGGGTTATGCTACTGTACTAGACGTTTCAAGCGGAGTATTCTTGTTTTAGGGGAGAGCGACATCATCTGGAGTTGTTCCAACACACACCTAGAAACGACGGGGGTACCGTCATATTCAGTGTATGCGGTCTCAAGCACCACTCCTCAAGTAGTGAAGAAGATCTTGCGCGCTGTAAACCTGTGTGCTGATGTTGACTTCTGGTTGCTCATTCGCGTTTTGAGACCTCTGAAAATTATACTTCTGATAGAAAAATTTGATGAAGCTATTCGTAAAAAACATTTTATGATTATGTACGCTATGAAAAAGGTTAAAGTATACTAGCATATGGTTGAAAACAGTGTTGAAGTGAATGTGAAAATGATGAAAAAGAAACAAATAAAAGTACAACTGACAGAAGTAGAGAAGTGCTCAACTGAGTCGAAAGCTGCACAGAAGAAAGAACATTCGGTTTATCATACACGATCTTCATGGGAAGGGATTACTTTTAGTCTCATCTCGGTGATTCCGCAAGGAGTCGCATGTTGTGCACCTGCTTCTTGCTCAGATCGGCGGCAATTTGGTTCCGCTGGCGGTGCCGCTCGGGCTACCGAGTTTTGACAGGCCGCGCATGCTTCCGGCGATGGCGAGGTCGGCCGCGTTGTCCATGAGGGCACGCGGTCCGATTCCGCGCAGGATGTTCGCGATTTCTTCCAGGTCCAGAGAGCCACCGGCGTCAGCGTCCATGTGGTGGAAGATGCGCTCGCGGCGACGGCGCGTGGTGATGGTGGTGGGTCCCGGCGGGTAGTGGAGCTCGCGGAGCCCCTGCACGAACTCCTCCTTGGAAACGTCCCCGTTGCCGTTGGCGTCCAATTTCTGGAAAATGCGCTGCATCACGTCCTTGGACTCAAATGTGTCCGTGTTGAACTCCACCTTCAAGTGCTCCCGGAGCAAAGCCAACTCCTCCTTCATTTGGATCCTGTTGGTTGAATTGGGTGGAGACAAAATTTCAGGCGAAAAGAGAAGAATGCTTAATATCTCGCATTTTCAAAGCGGTTCCGAAGCAAATCGCAAGGAAAAGGACATGCTCACGCATGCAGCATGCTATAGATTTAGATTGCAAATAAAAACATCGGCATCCATCGCGTTCAAACAAAGTCAATTCGGAACGTAATTTCTTTCAAATGTGGATTTTTCCACACAGATTCGGGTAAGAAAGAAAATCTGTCAATGTGCAAGAAGAGGGCTGCAATTTAATATACCTTGGCGGCGGCGGGTACATGTCGCGTTGAAGCTGCTCCTTGATCTCCCGATCCAAAGTGAGTGCACCTGGGGAACCGAAGTACTCTCGGAAGTTCGGGTGCACGTCGGTGCCACGCCCAGCGATCGAGTTACGGCAGGACCACATCTGGTTTGTCAATTTTTCCATTTTTTTTATGGTCTTGCATACATGCAGGGCGGGGTATCAGAGTGAAAAATGGTCATGACACTACCTACAGTCGGTGTCGGACTCGTACAGCCAAGATTATTTTTATTACGTAACAAGTTTCTTGGTAGACTAATCGAAAGAAAAAATGATCTGTCCTGATCGTGTTAACGTTAAGTAGATCTAGATACCGTGTCGTGTTTGGTGTACATAACGGGCAGCTTTCCAGTCCTTCCGCTGCTGCCCTTTCTCTTGCTCTGCTTCTGCTGCGCCGGGTACAGATCTTCGAGGTGGCGCTGCGACTCGGTGTTGCGCTTGAAGCGGCGCTTCTCGTTGCGGAACCGGAGCATGTTGTCGTAGGCCTTGCGCATGGAGTACCGGCCGTCCACGTAGCTCTCCTCGTCCTTGAAGCGGGCCTTCTTGATCGCGTCCTGCAGCTCGTCCCACCGGCGGTCCATGGTGTACTCCTCCACCTTGTTCTCGATTTCCTTCGGGTCCACCCCCAGCACCACCGCGAACTCCTCGAAGGACAAATCCCCGCTGCCGTCCGTGTCCAGGATCTCCAGCAGGTGCTTCCGGCGCTGGAAGGCCTCCTCGCTGTTGCGGGTCTCCCATATCAAAGTGAAAAATCCCCCCACCCCATACTCAAACTAGAAATTTGTGATGCAGATTTGTGGCCACAAATCAGCTTTGTCATGCTAGAAGGGAAAAGATGCGGACTGTAGTGCTGGTTGGCGTGGGAAAGCCTTGCATCTTCAGCATAACAGGGGGCAGCTGGAAGTGGGAAACAGCATGACAAATTGCCTGCAAACGAGGCCACAGCTGCGTCTCTTGGCATTCTAGCACTACAAGTCGATTTGTGTACTCAAATACAGCATCACAAATTTCGTTTTCGATATGGGGAGGGGGGATTTTTCCTTTTGATATCCCAGGTGGGGTAGCCCATGCGCGCGAGCCCGGACTGGAACTCCTCCATGTCCTATCAAATGTAAAAATGTCTGGGTCTGGAAGAATTCATGTTTGTCATGCTTGTCTGGCATGACTGTTAAATCTGTCATGCACGTTACCCAAGAGCTCCCTTTTTCTGTGATGCAGAAGCGCAGTTTGTCATGCGGAATAGGCAACACCGAGGAGCTCAGAAACTTGTCATGCTGAGCCAGCATTTGGAGCCTCATCATGATGCGCCACCCAGCATCACAAGTTTCCAGACCCAGACATTTTTACATTTGATATGTCCACGGAGTTGCTGCGGTCGCTGTCCAGGGTCAGGTAGAATTTGTACCACCAACTGGTGTCCGCCGCGTTGTCGTACCCGGAGAACATCTTCCCGAACTTGTGGGCCAACCACACGCGGAAGTAGTGCAGCTCGTCGCCCACCTTCACCAGGCAGTGACGCTTCATCGGGTCCACGAACGTGTAGTCCATGTAGGTAACCTGAGATTGAGAACAAAGTATGTCGTGCATGATATTTTTTTCGGCTTTGAAGATGTTGTACACAGCCTAAAAAAAGAAGCAAGCTAGCTTTTTTACAGTACTACCAACTTTCAAGCGAAGAGCAAGTGTCGAGGCATCAACAACAAATCGTGACCATGATCATCACGACGAAAAAAATATCGTAAAGTACCCAGTAGACGGTTTGGTCACTTTGCTTCTCGCCGAACTCGGTGGGCGGCTTACGGCACACCGGGATGCGGCAGGTACCGTGGTAGGGTGGCTCCAGCCAGACGCACGCACCGCAGCAGTACATGATGTCGGACTGTTGCAGGTTGCGGCCGTTGCGCTTGGAGAGCAGGTCCAGGCCGCGCTGGATCTTCAGGTCCGGGCACCCAACCCAGAACGCCTGTCCCACCTCCGGATCCGGGTCAATGTACTTGGTGCTGCCAAGCAGCTTGTCGAGATCCTTCGGCTCCGGGATCACGTTGGTCTCGGTACGCATTTTGCTTGTCTGATCGATTCGATACAGATTAGACGGAAATCACAAAAAGTGAAACACTACTCTGAAGATTGAGTGAAAAGTGCTTAAGCTGTCACGGTTTCTGTGAAACGCAAACTGCTTTGTTTGTTGTAGTTGAGGATGGATGCTGCCGTTGTAGTTGCTTGAAACTGTAGTTGTAGTTCCGGTAAAAGTTGGTGTGATGCTGTTTTCACAAGAAGTGCTTGAAACGTAAAAGTAGCTGAGTGAGAAGTCTAAACGAATCCGGGGGGGAAACGATTATAATCGTCACAACTCTTTTTACTGCGGTTCGTTGGTGAAGTGAAAGGGCATACGAATAGACACGATGAAGACGATGGATGGAAAAATCGTAGTTTTTATTTGTGTATGAAATTTTCGTACGACGTAGGCCACCAGCTGTCACTGCTGGTCAACTTCTGCACGATAACGATATTTTCACGTAACTAATATGTCTTCTTGCCAATGTGCGGGTCCGGCCCAGGACGAGACGTGTAAAGTTCTACGTATCTATGTGCACGAGGTGGAGAGCGAAAGTGGCCAAGACCGGTAATAACGGTCGTACGATTGATTCCGACTTGTGCTTGATTGTCGCTACGAGGTGTAATGTCACCGAGAATAAACTACTTCTAGTATGACCGACGACCGACTGATCTTCATGCCGCAGCTCGTCCTGTTGAAACTCAGTATATAAGCACCGTAGAATGCTCGTTCATCCACGAGACCGATTTTTCGTGTTCATCTTTCACTTTTTACGTGAATTTTCTTTTCTACGGCCTCGCTCGCGGACCGACATTGAGATTGACATGATTGTGACGTCGAGCGTCATCAATAGAACTCGTTCTTGAGCACCTTCTTTTATAAGCTCTGGGCTCGTGTTTCATTTCTTTCGTTCTTTCTGTTCTTGCCCGGGCACGGCGTCAATTGTTTCATGGCCCTATAGTCCTGCTCAGTCTCATGCTCTTCATTGCTTCTGCTCGCGGATCACCATCATTATTTTTTGATGAAGTTATAGTTAGACATAATGCAACTTGGTAAACTGCTCTGCTAAATCTAAATGTAAGTAGCCTCAAACGAGAAAAACCCTTGCGGGAAAAAAGTGATCGGCTTTTTTTCAAATCGCGACTTTCTTCCTTTCTGTTGATGCAGGGGAGGAAAGTTGCACTTTGCATAGACATAGTTATTCAATTTTTTGGCTTTGATATTTTTTTGGGTTTTATTGTAAAAAACCTGCTAAAAAGTCAAGGCGATTGTAAAAAGCCTGCTCATGTTCTTCATTACCATCATGATTTTTTTGATAACGTTATAGATACTTATATATGTAATTTGGTGAACTGCTCTGCTAAATGTAAGCAGGCTCAAACGAGAAAAACCCTTGCGGGAAAAAAGTGATCGGCTTTTTTTCAAGTCGTGACTTTCTTCCTTTCTGTTGATGCAGGGGAGGAAAGTTGCATTTTGCATAGTTATTTATTTTTTTGGGTTTGATATTTTTTTTGTAAAAAACCTGCTAAGTCAAGCTCTATGGTACGTCGTAATGCTGCGGCTTTTCAGCTAGAGCGCCTACTTCCTCCGCACTGTTAAAATTATATAAACAAAAGAAAACAAATACTAATTTGAAATTGTAATCGACCTCTTCCTCTAGTCCTAGTCGCTAGTCTACTCAGGACTATTAATTATAAGCTCTGGGTTCGTGTTTTATAATTCGTGTCTCCTCGTGTTCTTTTCTATTTCTTCATTGACTGATATTCTGTAATAAAGATTATGCTCCAATAAAATTAGCACTACTAATTGTATTTGTATGGGCACGAAAAAACGCAAGAAATAAATGTCAAGTTTGGAATCTTCTGGGACTTTCATGCAAGATGACACGCATGCTTTCTTGACCTGGGGACGATGAAGAATGAATTGAAGCACACCGATGAATTCCCACACAGAGACAGACGAAAAAAAGCAACTTGGTTGATTCACGCGTACATAATTCAAACTATTTACTTAGCGCGCAGAACAACACTTTAGAAAAATGCAAGAAATAAATTTTCTATGGCATAGGTACATCCAATGAATCATCTTTCGGGACCGGAAGTTGGCTTATTTCGGCACGGTATTGCCCAGCGACATCGTTGTAGAGCTCAGGGTTCGCGTCCAGCGCTTTCTGTATTATAGGTTGCTGGACAATTTTGAAGTCCCGGTAAAATTCATAAAGCGAGTTGTCGGTCATAAAAACCAGGTCGTTTACGAGATCCATCATCACACGATCGGCCGGCGCTCGCACGGGCTCACCGGAAGGAACGCCACCCACCAAATTGTCCCCGTTTACGTCCTGCAGGTGGTTCGGTTGCCACACGCCAGAGTTTGGTGCGAGGTTCCACAACCGGTTGGCAACCTCTGCGGGGCTGTTGTCGCCACTGTGGGCGCCCCCGGGTCCGTTCAGACGGAACACTTTCTTGGCTTCCACTACCAGATATTGGCTTTTCTGCAGTGACATGCCATCATGCGTCCTCCAAACGCGTTCCTTCGCCGCGCTTAGGTGCCCGCTCACCAGCAGCGCTCTGGTGTCGGCACGGTTCTCGTAGCAATACAGCTTCTTGCGCCTCGGCAGAACGCCGGTTTTCGGATCTTTTGCGCCTTTCTCATCTTCCGAGTAGTCAATCACCAACAGCAAGTCTGGAATCGCGCGCGACGTGATGGGATCGTAGCCGGTCTCGCAAGAGCCCGGAGCCGTCCAGCCGCGGTCAGCAGCGGCCAGTCGCGCACCTGGATTGACCGTGGCCGGATTGCCGCGCGTAGCTCGCATTCTTTGTGAAATATAAATGTCTGCATCTAGTTCTTTTTCACTGCAACTGCATCCATTTTCCGTGCCGTGTACCAAGTCACATGTGCCCTTTCTGCTTTTTTCCGGGTACTTCCAGCACATGTGGTCGGGTTCGATTTGCATTGTATCTACGTATTCCCCCGTCGGACGCTCCGACTGATACATCTTCGAGTGCACGTTTTCTGCTGCGAGAAGATGAGGAGGTGTTCCTGAGGACAACATGTTTTTGCGGATTTGTTCTGGCGTTCCGTCAATGAGCACTTCGTCTCGAAACGTCGTGATTTTCCCGCTCACCAATCCTGTCTCCGGATAGTATTTGTCGATCCACTGGGGCACGGTAAAGGGTTCGGGCTTCGCTGTCGACCTGCAGGTCTTGTATGATCTCGGGAATAACCACGCGTGCAAGCTTCTCGAGTTGCCAGTCGAACTCGACAAGGTCAAGGTCAAATTCGTTCACCAGCACACTTTCTTGGGACGAATGAACAGGCTCCTGTCCGCTGAGGCGTGCTTCCTCATCGTTCAAGACTTTGGCTCGTGCGAACTGCAGCGCGTTACGCGCCCCTCTTTCCGCGTCCCAAACATAAATTATAGAGGCATGGTCTTTCTTGCCTTCTTGCGTATACCCCACGTCGTAGTGTGAGTTGAGAATTTTTGCCCTGCTTTGCAGCAAATTTTTGCCCTGCCTTTGCTTCAGGTAGCCCATGTAAACCTGATTATCGAGAATCAGCATACGGAGTTCGGGTGGTGAGTTGCTCTGAAAAGATTCGGTGGCGCGCTGGGCCGTTTCGGACAGCACTAGATCTTGTTTGCCAAGAAAAGCGAAGTCGTGGTGCACTGCCCGCTCTACACTGTACGCGCCAGAAGGAGAATGGGCAAACGGCTGCGTAACGGTGGCGCTCGGCGGCTTCCTGCGTTCCCTCTCGTCGACGAAGTCACGTATTTGCTTCATCAATTCTCCTATCCTACAGAAAAGCAAACCCATACGAGAGGAAAGAAAAGTGAGTTTGCTTGTGTGCTTCTGAATAATTGGAGTCACCATCAAAAGCGCTTTGCATTGCTAAATTGTTGGCGCCACCAAAACCTCTGTGATCGATGAAAAGACCACAAAATGCATGGCATATTGCTTGTGCCCTCGTCGGGGCGCGTCATGTAATGCATGCTAGCGAGGATTCGAGCGTTACCAAAAAAATTTTATCCTGCTGGAAAGCCAAAGAGAAGGCGCCTGCTTCCTTTGACTTTTGTGTAAAATCCGCAGCACAGATGTTTTCTTTTTTTTCTGGTCTAATGGTTGCACTTTTCTGTAGCATATCTTTCGCAAGCAAGCCTAGGGACGGACTGGAGGAGAACGGGAAGGCCAACTGAGCGGTCTGTCCATCGCTCTGTCCGTCTGTTGCGGTCGTGGCCGCCGATGGCATAGCCTCCTGCTCCAGTTCAAAGGACTGCTTCTGGTTTGTAAATGTGCCCTGAACAACCTCCACCCACTCAATCGCAAACTCCGCTGTCATGTAGTTTGTTTTTTGTCGTTTTGACTCTCCTTGTTCTAGCGCCTCCCCGGAAGGGGAGCCTATGAATACAACCCCCGTAAGGCGATAAATTCCCCGACTCTCGGCCCCCTGGTCGGGCTTGAAGAATAGATCGATCTGGCTGCTGTAGTCAACACCTTGCCCAACAGATTCTCGTCCGAGATTACGGTTTAGCTCTTTGGCTACAGCATCCACGAGCTTTTTTTCCAGCTCTTCCTTTTGCTTTCTACTTTTGGACGCAAAAATGTTAAACGTGGCCAGCGGCTCCTCCGGCAGCCAGTTGGAAAGGCGAAAGAACTCGTAATCGGGCCCGAGCTGCTGTTGGTGCGGTAGGCGTTTCAGTCGTTCTACATATTCGCGCAATCTTCCCTTGTCGTCGACGTCTCTAATTGATTGTGCATGCGTGGGCCCAACCACCCCGCGTTTGAGCCCCGCCCAGATCTGCTGTGCACGTGTGGCAGCCGTGTCGGCGAGGTCCCCCAAGTTATGCATTGCAAAAACATCCGATCGATACAACAAGAATTTAGGATACAGATACGAAATCTAATATTGCCGGGCTCAATAAAAGTCACGAAAGACGAGACATTTTTCACCGAGAGGAGCAAAAGAGCTTCTGGCAGTTAAGTATCATGGCATTGGCATCAACTCCACTTTACTATGCAATTCCAATTTGATCAGATGTGATTCTTTTGCGGAGGATATAACTTCTTCTGCCACCATTCCTGCGTCATGCCAGGGATCAAAAAGTCCTCTCGCAGGACCGAAAGCGCAACACCTTTGTCCTTTTGGTTCCACTGAAGACTTTCTTCGGTGATTTTATATGATCGGCTCTGTTTGGGCTCCTGGCTCAACAATAACATGTTCACAGCCTCCGCAAGTGGCATGCCTGCATCGACCCAAACTTCCAATCTCTTGACCATCTTTCTCCTTGTCTCCCTCTCCTGCTGCGCGTCCCTGTCCGCCATTTCACCCAATGCGAATTTCTCCAGAAACTGGAGGGAATTTGCGCCATTATCGGTAGCTGTACCGTTAGAAAACGAGAAGTCAGCAAAATTATATTCATTTTCTGATTCTTGTGCTTCAACATCATGAACAACCCGTGGCGTTCGACTGCCGCGCAGACGAGGAGAGGATCGCGAAAGCTCGGCATGGTCTGTCCTCGCGAGCACAGACCCATGATACTGCAGGAGGGAAAGGACTTCCGCGGCCAACTTTGCGCGCGTGAGTAATTCGGCCGACACGTACGGCCGATGGCGATGGCTGTGCTGTCCTGTAAAAGTCATCGTGTGCTCGAAAGTGAAATGAAGATAGTTCGGCTGCAACCGAAAATCAATGCGAATCAAGTAAGTTGTCAACACCAGTAGCAAAATCGAAGGCGCATCGATTGATGTAGGAGCGATTCTTCCTTATCAACAACTTGAACTTGGATAAATTCGATGTATCTCTTGTTGAAATTCTTTGCTTCTGGTTCACAAAGATGAGAGGTAAAAACTTTCAAGTCTTATCCAAAAAACGTGCTGAGCTCACAAAAGGGGGAAGCGCAACTGCAGCAGATTGGAACAAAGGCGGAAAGACGTGTGAAAGCGCAGTAACAGCAGCAGAAAAAGGTAGTTCTAGGTAGTTTCCAAATTGAAATTCATGTATGCATTTACAAACTATAACTTTACCTACATAAATAGGCACAAGTGCTTATTCTACTTATTAATTTTCCGATGCGCATGGAGGTCATAGTGATCGAGGAGGTCGAAGTGTCGACGCGGCCTGCCGATCATCATCTTACTCGCGAAAAGGAATGCAGCTGATCGACTAGCTTACAACTTCGAGCGTAGCAAACCGAGGAACTTGTGAAACCGAAAGAGACTTGAGTTTGGAACCGTAACTACCGATAGTACCGACTATAAACCACCGCTTTTTCATAGAAGTTGAAGTACACGTACCGAAAACGCAGAAAAAAGTACATCGACAGTGAGTTTTTTTCGTCATCTCCATCAACGATCAAGACATCTCGATTCTTCTTTCAATTTCGGCATTGTGCTCTTGGCCTTGCCCGATGCACATGCCATGCTGATGCATACCCTTATCCTCAATCTGTCCATTTATTGTACAAAGTATTTTTCTTTCATTTCAAGATGGTACGCCCGATCACCGAAGCAGGCCGCGCAGGGACAGTTTTTTCATTCGACGAGGATAGCTTTGTCCAAATTCTCAACATACGTATCCTACAGAGAGAAGTTCGAGGAGATACAAGGGCATTTCTGTATGTTTTCGTAGATTTAATTTCCTCTGATGCGAGCCGGCGCCGGACGACGGTAGCACCCTACTACTTGTTGATTTATCGTAAAACGTAACTGTGGGATTAACAGCACTGGCGGGTCTTGTGCGACCTCTGCTTGTTCATCTGAAAAAACTGTGTGACTTTGTAGACTTGAAAGAAATGGTAACTAGGGCTGATGTGCTCCTGCTTCTAGTACCACAGCGTCACGCGGCTCACGTGCACGACTATTCCTGGATGCCAGAAACGTGAACGCGGATGGTGCTCGCAGTGGGTGATTTTTGCTCAAACTGATACAAAACATAAATAAGCCGGAGCCTCAAGTTTTTGCTATAAATAAATGTTCTTTGGTTATTTTGGGATCATTCGGGCGCGACCGGCGAGCCGAGAGTGCATCTTCGGGTTCTTTCCGGGTCATCGAATTTTCATATATACCTCTTGCGTTTATTAGTTGACTGTTTAGTAAAGAAACCATTGGACATAGTTCGTACACTAGCAATCTGAATCTTCTGCTTTCACCGCCCCTGAAAATTAAGAACGAGCTCATTTTTATTGTTGTGCATGCGCTGTTCCTCGTCTACTTTGCGATCGCAAACTCAAAGTATCAAGGATCGGCTCTATAGTTGCATCGTCCCCGCAGCCTCAGTTGCAGAAGTTTACTCCTGCCCCGGTGGCGGGGGCGGGTTCTCCTTGTCGTACGTGCAGACCAGGTCGAGAACCTTGGGCTCGAGCGGCCCTGCCTCGTTGTCCTTCTCGGTCAGGGTTAAGCACTTCCGAATGAATTCGTAGAGGAACTCTGGCTTACGCAGCAGCGGGCCCATGGCCGCGGCCATGTCGTCGGTGACGTTTTCCTCGTTCAGGATAAGGTCGCCCATGCGCTGGGACGCAACTTCGTACACCTGCAAGTAGTATCGCCGATTTTCGTACTGGTAGATCGTCAGAATCACCTCCAGGTTGTCCGGTTTTATCTGAATCTCCTTCCGCCCTAGCAGGGTCGGGAATACCAGCTTTCGTGGTGGGCCGGTTTGCAGACCTGAAGAAAACAGCGAGGGCAGGGGCACAAAATAGAACAAAACCAAATATCAAATTGTTCGAGTACGTCAGTAACACGACACTCGGCATGTTTATGCCATAGTGCTGTCGTGTCTGAGTCTGACGCAACACATCAACATGCGAGCACCATTCAAACCAAGCTAACTTCTTGTCATTCTTCTTATATCTACGCAGGAGCACTGCATCAAATGGGCCTACTTCCTTCGCAAGACAAAAAAAACAGCAGTGTTTTTTGTCAATGCTACCTATCATCTGGAAGAGTTCTGTCCATGGGTCGTCCTGGTCGAGTTCGCTTAGCAATTCCTCCGGTAGCTCCAGCGTAAATTTCTCGTTGCTCGCGATTTCGTGACCCCGAACTTCCATCTTTTCTGGGGCAACAAGCCATACCTGAAGTTAGGATTTTATGTGGTGACAGCCGCTAGTTCATTGACGTAGATCGGGGGGAGAGATAAGCAGCGAGCACGCAGCCGATGCAGAGCGCAGCAGAAGCGCAATGCAGCCGGTCGTAGTTAGTGTTCGAGCAACTTTTTTTTCTATACGACAAGAGGACCGCGGGAAACATTTTTGAAAAATTGAGAACAAGTACTTACCTCCATATTGAGAAGCTCCCCGGTTCGGCAAAATGTGGCCAGGGCGGCGAGCATGTTTGGTTCGCCCGTCCACCCGATTCCGGTCCCGGTGACGTCTTTCAAATTTGTCAGCGACACGGGCAAGAACTGCTGTTCCACGCTCAGGTGCCCGAAGTTCAGCTTGTCGGCCTGTCGGTTCACCACGTCGGCGATCACGTCGCGCACGAATAATTGCAAGGTGGCCGGGTCGAGCGGCACCTCGGACAGAATGTCGTATTTGTCGCTCCTCTCCTCCGGGAACACCACCTTCGGCTTGTTGGGGTCCCGGCTCTGCTCCTCGATGCGCCTCCGCTCCGCCTCCTCCTCGGGGTCCGCCATTGTCGCGCCGATCTCAAGGGCGGTGTATGCGTCGTGCACCTTCATCAGCTCGTTCTGCAGCTTCTCGTTTAATGACTGGTAACTGTGTAGTTTCGAAAACGAAGGTCACGATGTGAAAAGACAAATGGAGACGCGACGCACGTGCGCCGTCTGCGCTAACTTTGTATCATGAATCAAAACCACAGTCGAACGAGCAGAGAAGCAGGAGCTCATCCTTCTTCATGATCTTCGCAGAAAATGAAAAAATTCGCTACCCCATCGCCGTGCTGCTTGCATGCTCGAACTCGGTCTGCATTTTCTTGATGCGGACTTCGAAGTTTCGTCTTTCGGCTTCGATTCGGTACTCGATGTCCTGCTGCCTCTGGGCAACCTAGGTAGATGTTATGGATCGAATGTTATTTGCAGTTTTCAAGTAGTGGGTCTTCGTCATTTTCGAATTCTTTGGATTTTTTTGTCGTACTTCCTTCTGTACCTGACTTTGCAGCCGCGCGTATTCCGCCTGGACTTTTGCATACCTCGACTCTAGATCGGAGTACTTCAGGTCTTTTTGGTCGCAAAGGGCGTGGTAGGACTTGACGTTACGCTCCAGAGACTGGATCAGCTCCTGCTGTTCGGTTTTCGTCTTTTCCAGCAGCCCACGCTCCCTGTGCAGGGATTCTACCCAATGATCCAAGCCCTTCGCGCCTTCGTCGAGGACCTTGTAAACAAGAAGTTAGTAGTACTTCTAACTTCCAGGCGATAAGTGTGACGAGGACCACACTACAAAAAAAACCTTCGGCCTGCGTCGGATTTTTCATACATATCAGTCAACAGATATTCATCATCATCTACCTGGTATCTCCTTTCAAAATTGCTAAGCTCGTCCTCAAACTCTTCGTCTGAGAGGTCCTCTTCGGCATTGGCGCCCTTTCCGCCCCCACCTCCGACATCTCCCATTAGTATCGCATTTGCTTTTTGAACTTCGGCCAGCTGGACCTGCAAATGCGAGATGGAGAAGCTGATGATAATTAACAGAACAAAGAGATAGAAGCCGCAAGTGCAAGAGCACTGAGTATATTGTTTCGCGTCTTTTGTAGAAGTACTTCATCTTCTTCTTCTTCTCGGTCGAGCTCGAGCACGATAGATCAAAATTACCGCATAGTGCGCTCTATTTTTACATTCATTTTCATAGTTCACGCTACCAGCTGCTGCACCTAGAGGGACTACTACGAAGCTTCCAACACTCGTACCTGAAACTTTTTGTTTGTGGCCGCGACTTTTCTTCGTTCGTCTTGGAGCGTCTTGACCTCTTGTCGAGCCTGGTGGAGCTGCGCTTTTAGTCTTGTTTTTTCCTTCATCACCTCGTCGCGTTGCACGATGCATTTACCCAACTTGTCTAGCAAGTCGGCCATTTCATTCACCTGTTAGGTAAGATTTTTACTCCACTTGCCTTGGCATTTCTTCGTCTACACAACATCTACATCTCGTATCAACATATTGATATTTCCCTTTCTACCTTTTTCGTGTTATTCCTTCTGCTTCAGCTTCTTCTTCCTGCAGCATGCAAGCTCCTGCAAAGTCAACAAAACACGCAGCAAGCATGTCCAGGAGCTGGTCCGAAGGAGCAGAATGCAACAAAAATGTAGTACCGTATTTTTGCTATCTCCGCCTTGCCGGTTTTGAAGACCGCGCTGCAGTAAGCGGACCTCCACGATATGGTTTTGTCTCATTTCGTTCATCATGTCCACCGCCTCCCTACTGGCGCTTGCCCAGTACTCGTTTTCGCCCTGTATTCTCTGCGCGTCGCGCTGCACCGCGTCGAAGGCTTTTTGCATGGCCTCCACCTCCTTCTCGCTCTTCCCGCTCTGGCTTTTGTATGCTTCTTTCTTCGCCTGCAAGATGGACACCTGCTCCTGCAGATTTCGTGCCTTGCGTATCAAGAAGAAAAATCCCCCCTCCCCATATCAAAACGGAAATCTGTGATGCAGATTTTTTTTTTTACATGGCGGCAGTTTGTTTTGGCTACTAAACTTACGATGAATCTCATTCCTAGTTTTCATTTTGACCCTAATGCTGCCGCGGTGCTCACGTCGACCGATATGCAAACAGGTGCCGAGGCCTGTTTGCATGCGATCTAGTGAAGGTTTATTGGGCGTTCCCGTCTGCCTTACCACGTTGCCCGGGCTTGCAGGGGTTGGGATTTTCCTGCCGGATGTTCAACGACATCTACGTGGCTAGTCATGATCCCTCTCCCTGTTGCGACCTGCTTTTTTGTTTGGCTGAAAAAATCCAAGAAGTGAAAGGTTGAAAAAAAAAGGCCGTGGTCTGTATTTGTTGAAAGACAGGAGCGAAACCCACCACGTAAGCAGGAGAAAATTTGGGCACGAGAGAAACAGAGCATGTACTAGGGCAGGGATTATGAAGCGGAAGCCATTAGACTACGAGGGCAAATATGTAAAGGGCCAGACGATGAGAAAAGCGAAAAGCAAAAACTTACTTAGGGGCTCACTAGCTACCAAGGGCGCGAGGGGCTATCAATCGCAAGTAAAGCGGCCTAGGGAGAAAATGCTTAAGACTCGACAAAAGCCAAGGGGATCATCAAAGATGAGAAAAAAGCGAAAAAACAACAGAGAAACAGAGGCGCAGGCTAGAGGAAGAAAAAACGCTTAACGGTCTCTCAGGAACAAGAAGAAAATCGTACGCAAAAAACCAGAAGAGATTCTTTCAGTCAAGGGGGAAAAAAAAGAGGATAGGACGCAGGAAAAAACACGCTCAGCATGTTATTGGAAAAAAAAAGACGAACACTGCAGATTTGCAGCTCCAGGGAATGCAGATTTGTGGTCACAAATCAGCTCTGTCATGCTACACGGGAAAAGATGCGGACTGTAGTGCTGGGTGGCGTGGGGGAGCCTTGCATCTTCAGCATGATAGGAGGCAGCTGAGAGTGGGAAACAGAATGACAAATTGCCTGCAAACGAGACCACGACTGCGGCTCTTGGCCTTCTAGCATGACAAGTCGATTTGGTACCTCAAATCCTGCATCACAGATTTCCATTTCGATATGGGGAGGGGGGATTTTTCCGTTTGATATTGCGGTTCAGACGCTCGTTCTCCTTCACTACTTCCTCATATCGTTCCTCCAAAATCTCTATGAAATGTAAAAATGTCTGGGTCTGGAAGAATGCAACTTGTCATGCTAAATCTGAAACAGGCAAGAATCTGTGTTGCATGATTACCAACAGTCATCCAGTTTTGAACAAGTCGGGAGGGAGTTTCTCATGCAGGATAGGCATGAAACAGCTCGCGCAGAATCTGTCATGCTAGGTCCTGCATTCCAGACCTCATGGGTCATGGAAAAGCTGCATGACAAATCGCGCATTCTTCCAGACCCAGACATTTTTACATTTGATAATCTCCCGAAGCACCTGTGCAGCAGCAGAAAGTGTGGTCTTTCTTCTACTTTATATCGTTTGGGTTTGCCAGAATGAAAACTCCGTGAACGCTTGGCATGAGCTTGCCGAGGAAAGTAGATTGAGCCTCTATTCTACTAAAAAAATCGAATACTTGCTCTCGGGGCATCTTTGCTGACGCTTGCATAGCCATATCGAATGAGTGGTCCGTGAGCATTCCTGGCGGTACAGCGGCTGTAGAATTTGTATGTACTAGTAGTAGTAATTTGCATTCGGATGTGTATGACCATAATTACGCGGTCTCAATCTATTGTTCGTAATACGAAGTCGTACTCGATTTATTTCATCTAGGAAAGCACAATAAAAATGCCCCAAAAAAATGCGTACAGCTGCTTGCACTCTGCTGTGTCCCCGTGTGTATTGGTGGCAGTTTCACATCGTCCTGGTGGCCGGGTTTTGGCCCGGGGGCGCCCTTCTGGAGTTGACGATGTGACTCGTCGAAGTATCCCTCCAACACGGCGTCCATTTTCGACGTAGCAGGTGGAAATAAGTACCGGCACCGGCTAAGTACTTCTATGCAACTTGCTGCACGAGTTGGTTGTACGTGTCTTCGTCTTGTCGTTGCGCGCCGAAAATAACTGACGGCCTAGCTTGTGATTTCGCTTCGTGCTTTCTCCCTTTCTGGATTGCGTTTTTTCGTTGAATAGGCCTTCTATTTGCGTGGTCGTCGCGGCTACTGGAACAGCTCTGCGCGACGCCGGGACCGAGACCGACGAGGGAACCGCGTCAATACAACATCTAGTCGCATTTTTTCTTTTTGTGAAAACGTGGATAAAAATGTTCTCCTGCTGCCTCGAGAGCTCCCTGCTCCCGGCCTACTTTATTCGAGGCTGATGAATGTTTCCGCGCTCCAGGCACTTCTTGTGCTTCTACCTACAGGTTCAAAATATATCCTGGATGCAAGAAAGACGTCGGAGCCTAGTTTAAAAACCCGTATTTTTGGGCGGCGCTCAACATCAGGAGCAGACCGCACTTAGTAGTGCTGCACGTGGAGACAGCTACTGATCAATCTTCGCTAAGAGGTTGAGGTAGAAGGGTTGTAGTCATCGACGAAGTTGTAAACATTCACGACAATCGAATCGCTTCCACCAAGGAGTTTTCAGCACGTAATGGCCAGTTACGGACAAGAAAAGATAGAAAAACGACGACGCAGACGAACATGCCGACACCTCAGCTGACGTGCCTCTCACTTCACAACACTCGATCTCTTGGCTGTCGTCATTCTCTTTCGCAAGGTTAGAAAGAAGACTTGGACCTCCTGTGTGCGGACCTGATGGGCCTGGCATGTTGAAAAAAAGCGACCACGGCATATTTGATTTGATGCGCCGCTGGAGAAAATCATATATTTTTATTACTCACGATCTAACGACGGAACGACTTTCGACAAACACGACTTTCAGTCAATGACGCACTGGCGATTGATTCTCCGACTTTCGACAAACACGACTTTCAGTCAGTGACGACCAGTAGATAATGTGATATTCTTCTGCGGCCTAGGCCCAGGATAGCACACGACGAGGACCAAGACTAAAAGCTACGATCGACTGATGATCTCGTCAGTCAAGACTCCCAAGGCCAAGCACAATGTTCAGAATTAGAACGCTTCGATGCGGTTCTTCAAGTCATAAAAGTAAGAGGCCTCATCCAACCTTAGTTTTTGTATAAGACCGACATTCACCAGGATGAGTAGGGGCGATTTTTCGTTTTCCATTGAAGAACAAGATCTCCTCCACCACAACCGTTGTTGTGTCGGCACCAGGAAAAAACAAAACATTGCTCCGATTCTACTAGAATGTTGAACGCATTAACATTTTCGGGAATCTGGGGCGGGGGAGAGGGAATGGAAATAGATGAGCATAGGGGTAGATATTTTGATTTCATTCCAATGAATTTCGAAAAGACATGGTCACCAAAAATCTTCGAAATGTAAATCTATGTATATCTATCTGTATCTGTTTGTTTCTTGTGTCTATGCATCCCTAATGTCTTTTTTTCCGTAAGCGAAACCTACACATTGACATTATGAAAATGAAGCGTGACTTTGGGCAATGCGAAGGCCGCAAACAGAGCTAGCCCGGCAGTTAGAAAACACGTTACCACGAACGATGCTAGGTTTGTTGCAAAGCGACCGCTCTCATAAGCATGTAGAATATCCCCTGCGATCTCAAGAACGGCATTCTTATCGTCTTCCGACAGGAAATCCGGGTGGCTCCATACCTTCGCCAAGCCCTCGAGTTTTTGCAAACCCGGTCGCTTCAGCCACCTCTGCAGTTGGTCCGCCGTCACACCGTGCTGCTCCGCAAGTAACTTGGAAAACTGTAGTGTGATTTAGAATTGCAAGCTTGGCTTTATTAAGGGTAGTGATATTTTGACCAAATCAAAACTAGTATGCACACGAAACATCAACACATGTGACTGACCTGATTTCAATTTCGATTTCTGAAAATACGAAATTATCTGACTAGTACGTAAGTGCGTAAGTAAGTACCTTCTTTAGCCGCCCTGTCAGTTCCTTTTTACCGGCACTGCAGCTTTGCACAACTAGTCCGCTTCTCTCTGCCGTACTCGTTGCACCCATGACGGGCGCAAAGTGGAATCCCTTAGTTGCGCTCCTAGCTTGACGACTGCTCACGCCGAAGCTCTGTTGACCATGATAGCCCGACTCCAACATGGAAGACGTTTGCATAGATTGTGTCTCGTTTGATCCTGTGTCTGCTTCACTCGTGGCTGGGTCTGCTTCACCTCCTCCTGTGTGTGGGTCTGCTTGGCTCGGTCCTTCGGCTGCGCTCGCGGCTTCAGTCACGGTTTCTGTGCTTAGCGTTTGATGAGTCGACTCTGCTGTGATTGCTGTTTGATGATCTGCGGCTTCTGTGTCTGGTGTTCGATTTGCAGTCACAGTGTCTATTTCATTCGATGCCGTTGCTGCCTCTGTTTTGTTGGAGCCGGTCGTGTCCGCCTGATTCAACGATGTACCAAGAGGCGGCCCAGAACCTACCTCAGTTGTACCGTTTGCAGGCGACGAAGCAGGCACCACAGAATCTGCCGCTGCCGTGCCGCTTTGACCTTCTTCTGCCGAAGAGGCCGAATTTTCTTCCTCCGCTGCTGAGGCCTCGTTTTCGTCGTGGTTGGAATTCGTAGTACTCGTCGTATCTGACGCGGCTATTATCAAGGGCCCGGGGAGGTGCTCCTCCTCGACGACTGAGCATGCCGTGGACCGCGCTTGCTGCCCGGCCTCAGTTAGGGCGGAGAAAAACGGCTGCCGGTTCTCCGGATTGGAGTACCTCAAACAGCAATCGCCCAGCAGTCCGGAAAGTAATTCAAGCTCCAGCAGGAAGGCGAGCGTCAGGGACGAGTCAGACTCGTCTGTGGCATTTGCGTCTTTCTCCCCCTGGCCCAAGTTCTGCGCGGCACCGGAACCGTATGCGCCGTAAGTAGACGCTGAGGTAAACACAAGATGATTACCGTGGCCCGAGCCCCCTCCACCCATCGCGAGATCTTCCCTCCTTCTCGATGCTGGAGGCACTGCTTGTTCGTTAATCTTTTTGACACTTGTTCCGTTTTCCGCTACTGTACCGAAAACATTCCGGCCGCGCTCTGTCGTCGTGTTCTTGTTGCTCGAGGACATGTTGCTCACAAAGAGAAACGAGGACTCATTCGCATTCCTGCTCTCCGACGTACTAGCATTCGCAAAGGAGGTGGCAGTTGTCTCGTTGGACATGTTGAATGCGGCACCATCTTGACTGTCCGGAAGCCCTCTTGAGGTCCTCACGACAGGTGCATGATTCATCTCCTCGTGGGGTGGCGCTAGTGCGGCATCGAAGATCCGAAAGGTCATCTTTGGAGGGGGACCGTCCACATCGCCGCTATCGTCCTGGTTCTGCCCGACTGATGATGATTGTTGCGTTCCGTATTCATCTTGGCCGGAATTTGCAGAGGGTCTACTTTCTTCACCACCAGCGGTTATGTTTTTTAGCTCTTCCCGGGCGAGCATCACCAGGCCTCGTTTGACGTAGTCGTGGTACAACCCGTCCAACCGCCGGTCACCGTACACGTAGGGCACCAGGTGGCCCACCTCCACCTCCGCTCGCTCTTGCAGGGGGATGGACTGCCACGCGCGCTGCAGGTCGCCTTGGTGCAGCCCCGGCCCCTCCATCCACACCATGTACTGCTCGACGGTCAGGTGCATCCGGTTCAGCGCCAGGCTGATGTGCTCCCGCAGCAGCAACTGGGCCTTTCCCAGGTCCGTGATCTTGTCCACATCTTCCAGCGCCAGCAGCGTGTTTCCGAACGCAATGTCTGGGTCGGGAATCGGCTCCGGCGCAGCGAGGGTGCCGCCAGACTGCAACGGCGAGTGTTGGCGGCTACCGCCGCCGAAGTGGAGGCCACCGATTCCAGCGCCGCCCAGCAGGCTGGTCAGATCATGTTCATGATCCACACTTCCATTGCTTGTGGCAGAACCAGAAGTTGACGCAGTGCTATTGACCATTGAGGTCTCATGAAACGGCGAGTGTTGGCGGGTACCGCCGCCGAATAAGTGGAGGGCACCGATTCCAGCTCCGTCCAGCAGGCTGGTCAGATCAGTTTCATGATCCACACTTCCTTTGCTTGCGGCAGAAGTTGACGCAGTGCTATTGACCATTGAGGTCTCATGAAACGGCGAGGGTTGGCGGGTACCGCCGCCGAAGTGGAGGCCATCGGTTCCGGTTCCAGCGCCGCCCTGCTGCAGGCTGGCCAGATCTTGTTCATGATCCACACTTCCTTTGCCTGTGGCAGAAGTTGATGCAGTGCTATTGCCGATTGGGGCCTCACTCAAAAACGATGAAGCTGGTAAAAGATGGACGCTTTCCTCGATCATGGGTTTTGTCACTTCGGCGGAAGTCCTTGTTGACCTGATGGTACGAAGATTATTCCTCCGGCGGTCCCTTTCGCTTTCGCTCGCAGTTGAAAATGCCGCCGTGGGCGGCCCATGATCTCCGCTTTTGATTTCGTGTCGTCCCCTGTCGTGCAGTCCTGTTGACATCGGGTCTGCACGACTGCCGACTTGTTGCAGGGTTTCCTGATGATCGTGCGTTACGGTTACATCTCCTCGCAGCACCTCCTCCGACTTCTCTGCTGTTTGATCAGTCGCACTCTCCGCAACTACACAGGAAAGGTCCGCAAAAGAAGACGCGTTCGAAGTTGCCTCGGCCCCCGGTATGTCAGAGGCGGACGCATTGTTTACATTTGTCGTATTTTGTGCACTAGTTGTCTCTTGTGCCTCGCTCGATGCGGGATTAGCAGTGGCAGAGCCGCTGATTTGCATGTTCGTGGCCGTGGGTTGGACCGAAGCTTGTGCTGCGGTGTTAGCCTTACTGCTCGAGGACGCGGTGGTCTCGAGCCCCGCTAGTGTTAGAATTTTGTCCACCAGTTTTACCGCTTGCGCTCGATTGTAGACGGGAATCAGTTCTTCGTACAGCACGGTCGCGACGGCGGCCTCTGGCGACACGATGCGGGACAGAAACTTCAGGGCTATGGCCAAATCTGCTTCCTCCCTGCTCACGACCGTCATGTTTGCTGCCCCCGTCGTCACACCCAAGTTCGCTGCGTTCTCTTCCAATTCCTCGTCTTCTTGTGCACTACTTGCTCCGTGCTTGATCCACCAGGTCTCCGCAGCACCCTCCTTGCCTAGGAAAGGACAATCCTTCACCAGAGGACCTTCGTCTAGATCTCGAAAAACCGTTCGCAGGTGTGGATTCCCACACTTCAGTGTGTGCAGAACAACAGGAACTGTAGTGATTATGGAGTTGCTTTCAACTAGTTCTTCGATTTCTCATACTCATTTTTTGCAAGAAACGTCACATCTTGTTTCGGCATTTTGCCCGAGCAGGGAGTAATTTCAACGCACGACGACGACATCGATATTTACTGATTAGTACTTGCTTTAAATCATGATGCATTGATATTGTGTATGCTCATCCGCATGAAGCAAAAAATATCTGTACATTTTTCAGCCCGAAAATTGTTGAGGTCTGCATCGTGCGTCATCTGCCACTCCTCGTCGCCGCAGCAGCCCCCATTCTTGTACTCTACTCCGCTGTGCTTTTGCAGTTCCAAATACTCGTCGTAGATCGCAACGCTCTCCCGCATGGAAAGGAGGGGCCTGACCGTCTCTCGAGACGTGGGCAGAAGTGCGTTGTGTTGGGCGCCATCACTTGCAGAGGCGGCGCCGGTTGCAGGAAGAGGGTGCAAGGTTCCAGAACTTCCCAACAAGGTTCCTCGTTCCGTCGTTGGTTGTACTGCGGGAGTCTGCGTCTGGTCGTCGCGTTTACTATCGTCGTCCGTAGTTTTCGACGTTGTCACTTCCTTCTTAGCATGATCTTCACGCCAGTTGGCATTGTAGTCACCAGCCGAGAGGGCCAGGTCTTGTTCTGCCGAGGCGTTGTGCACTTGTTGGTTGTTATGGTCGGCTTTTCTACTCCGCACCCATTCTTCTGGCAGACCGTTGCCCGAACGCTGCCCTGGTCTTTCTAGCTCAGTTGTTATACGCCGCGTTTTTCTGTCCACCTCAGGCTCAGTGGTATCCTGGTCGTGCACAATAGCCTGTTCCAGCTCGTCTCTCGACAATGGGGTCGATGACCCCCCTCGAGACATGGTCAGAAATCTATTATCGGAGCCGATTGGAAGACTCGGCGGTACCACCTGCCAACCTGAAGACCCAGAGATGACCGGGTGGCCAGAGCTACCTTGTTTGTCCTCTGATAACCAGTCCTCCTTCGACCCGCTAGTAGTCGAAGATGGGGACGCCTCCGCCAACGCCTGCTGTAACTCCTCCGTTGATAGAGGCCGCGAGGAACCGCCAGAACCCTGCCTGTTTGGCACGGAGTTGATGTACTCGTCAGGTGATGAATATGAACCCAGAATGCTAGGTGATCCGCTGCTAGAGCCCGTCTGGTATGACTCTAGTTCCTCACTTTGATCATCAGCGTGGGCCTTTTCATCTACTTGTGGGTTCGTCGAAGATGTTGAAGCTGTAAAACCTTGCTGCGCGACCTCACTCTGTGGCACAACTACTTTCTCCGCAGGAAATAATGAACCAGACCCTGTTTGGGGCGGCTGCTCCGTGGGCTTCTGGTGCTGGTGGTCCTTGGAAGACTCATAGGCCAGCGCTTGTTTCTCGTTCTCGTTTGCCGGGACCACGACCTCCGTCGCTGATGCAGCAGATGCAGTGCTAGATTCCGATCCTGGTGTTTCTTGTCTTTCTACTTCTCCACCTGGATGCTGTTTATCGGTTATCGTGGCTTCCGTCACGGGTTTGCTCGATGACCCCAGAGCGTTGGAGTTGCTGGGCTCTTCGGTCTGGTCATCAACTTGAGCTTGACCAGCATGTTCTTGCCTGTCTCCTCTTTTTGCTCTAGTGCCCCTAGACGCTCGCAAATTTCGGTTCCGTCGTACCACTTCCACGCGCCGGCCCCAAACATTGCTCGTTCTTGGGACAAACGATAGCGAGTCAAGTATCGTGGCGGAGCACCAGAGCAATGCCATGCCTACCGGCCGCGAGCGGCCCGGAACCACGACAGAATGATCTTCCAACATTGCAACTTTTGGTCCTGGAGGAATCCGGCTCGATTGCTTTCCCTACAGCTCGCCGTCGAAAAAGTCGTCGCTGTAGTCCTCAGGACAAGCAGAAACGAGTAAAGCCAACGAGTCAGTCTCTAGCAAAAGCATCGGTGTGCCGATAGTGTAAAAACGACATGGGAAACATCACCTTTCAATCAATGCGACATAGCCAATGTCGATCTGCGATAGCAAGCCATTGTCTGGGGAGGCTAGATGAAAGCCTCACTCCAAGTACCATGAAATCAAAGGGGTGGTAGAACTGAGGGAGCGTTTTCTTCAGTAGCAATAGGGGAGGACGGGGATGAGGCAATTCCGATCAACGGATGGCGCATCGAGAATATTGCTAGGAATAGGGTGTGAGAACATGTTGGTGAGTCGTGCTTACATAATCCCGCAGGGTCTACTAGGGCTAGGGTTATCTTGTTGGTCGTGATGGTAATCGTAATCCTAATCTTTCACATTCATGGTGGAAAGAAAACCTGTAGAGGAAATCATCCACGAATGTTTCTTTAGTAACGAAAGAAATAGAAAGCGTTGCAGCTGCACGTATAAAGACGAGGACGAAAAACGCGGCACGAACAAAGTTTTTGAGGAACGACGGGATTTAACCTTCTATGAACGAACGGCGCTAGAAACAACACTTTCACAATCAATGGCAAGGCCATTGGCCTGTGATCGGGACGCACACACGATACCTACCTATGTGAGGACGACGCACGAGTATCGATATCGCCAGGGAATTGCACGAGCAGACGATTGACAACGCTACTCTTGATGAATGAAATTCCTCTGGAACAAAAAGTTTTGTGATAGGTTAAACCACATACGAGTACGACAGTGTTGACAGCTGACAATTGTGTTTGGGTTTCTTACTAAAGCAGAACAGAAAAAACACGACTTAGACATGTTCGCAGTGTTCTCACCAACTAGTTCAAACAGTGGCAATTTCTAACACCAAAATCAAAATGCTTGCTCGATTTTGTCGCTACAATTCCTAGTCGAAATCAGGATTTGCATTGTCGCCGTGAGAGCGCCTTCTGTAAAGGTGCGCGAGCTCTTATCGGGAAAAGAACATGATAATGGTATAGTAGGTGTAGCAAATCCTCGTCAAGGTGATCGATGCCACGTAACGTCGGCCTGGCAGTCTCATGAAGCTGCACCAGGGAAGTGGCTTCACCAGCAGTCCAGGGCAGTGGCTAACGCCTTGTTGCTCTGCGGGCGAATCCTAGTCCGAGTCGTCAACCTCCACAGGGTTTTCCGCAAAGCTCACGCCGGAGCTCCGCCGCTTGTTTTTGCATTGAAACGAGCTATGGACAGACTGCCGGTGTTTCGCACTGCTCAGGCCGCTCGGTAACGCGCCCTTTTGCTGCTGCAGGTTGGGATCGACGTCTGTTGGATCATGACAAGATCGAAAGAATTTCGCGCTCGCTGTGAAGAACTTGATCATCAAAAATCACTATCTTCTTATCACAGTACGAGTGCCTGCTCTAATGCAAAGAAATATAGGGTAAACAACAGTAAAACAGGCACCTCCTCCCACGGACCAAGACTGCGAGTCCTGCTGGCTCGAGGGCAGCCCGAAGGCGTGATCACTGTTCTGGCTCCGGGGCCCTGCTCCGCCATCAGCGGCGGAGGCAGAAGCGGACTTTTTGCTGTCGCTGGTGCGTGCGCGCAGTTCCATGTGGTCCCCGGGCTGAGCGGCTTCCACCCCGATTTCCTCCGGCAGCGGGTCCAGGAAATCTCCGGGACCGTGCAGCGGCGAGACTTGACTGGAGTTCTCCTCCGACAGGACAGACATCACCTCCTCCGAGAGCATGTCGGAATCGCGCCGCGCCTTCTTCTTCCAACGGGGAGCGGGCTCATTCTCATCGATCATATCGTCCTCGTCGACGGAGCCTGATCGCTTGTTCTTCGACATCTGCTGCCGTACGGACGTCAGGTTTCCAGTCAGCACGAACCTGCCAAATAAAAATTATGGGCCGCTTCGTCACATTCACTTTCAAAGAAGAAGAACGAAAAAAAAACAGGGTAGTAATAAAGGCAAGTGGACCACGTGGATGTGACAGACTACATCTCCCGTGTTTAGACTACTCTCCCATGTAAAGAAACTACTCATCGAAGTAGCTGGTGCGACCTTTCATCTGTGAGACGAAAAAACAGCACGAGCAGCGTGCATTGCCATTTCTTAATGTACTTCCCGTCTCCCAAGCGCAGCCTCTGTGGCAAATCGCGAAGCTCCTCATACTTGTCGTAGTCCAGGATTTGGTGGCTGGAAGGTTCGTCCGCATGATCGAGCAGTTCGCCAGACTCGAAAAAACAAATATATGGCTGTCCGCTCCGGTGGTAGACGAGCGCGCAGTGTTCTTTCGCTGTTAAGTAATATTAGGCAAGTACAACATTACTCGAAGATTGGATTCCTGTCATGCTTCACAATCACAAAGGACGAAACACATCATTCAGAGAGGAGTAAAAGCGAGACGTAAAGTACCGAGCCCGGGCACCACAACGTCGCACGTCTTCGCATCGGAGCCAATCACTTGGTGCCTTCGACTCAGTAAGAATTTCGTGCGACTTCCATCAAGCAGCTCGAAAGATAGGGTGGCGCGTTCGGCCGGAGGCTCGCACCAACGCGGAGGAAGAAATCTGTATAGCATTTTTGTAGAAGATTAGACAAAAGTAGAGAGATGATCGCGCACTCATCATGTAGACGCAGGATGTTGCGACAGCTATTGAAACAGAGGCACAGAAAACGACGGAGCGTCTTTGGCGGAATCCCGGAGATGATCATCTTCAAGAACTAACGACAGAAGTCAACGAGTAGAATTCGATCAATATTTATCCGTCGTTGGAAAAATGACAATACCGATCCTCGAAGCTGAGAATGTTAAAGCGCTGCTCCTTGGAGAGAATTTCCCGTGGCCGGCGCTGTAGGTGGCTCTTCAGGTTTCTCCGGGTAGACTTGTCTTTCGGAGTGCCCGGACCTTTGCGGGTGGGCGTTCCAACCACGTGCATCGGCACAGGTGACTGGCGCTTCGGACTCCCGCACATGTCGCGCTCCGCATTTAGCTCTGCGGACTCTGCGAGATCGGAAGTGGACTGCTTGCTGCAGGCTGCCTGCAGGTTTCCCATGCCAAACGGCGTGGTGAGCCCGGCTGTCGCCGCCTGTGGTCCGCCCAAGGCGAAGATACTTCCGCCCGCAACTGCTGCTCCCGTTGTGGGAACCACCCCGCCAAACACGCCGCCAAAGAATGAAGATGAAGAGCTGCTGCTCGATGGCGTCGTCCCGAAAGCGGGAGGAGCGTTTCCCGGAGGACCAATCGCGCTTTGGTGATGTCCAAAGGGATTGCTATTGTTCTGATGTTGTGACAACAATCCGCCCCCAGGACCACCACCTCCCGGATCGGAGGCGAATGAACTCATGCTCTGGTGCGCGGCAGCTCCTGCCACATTTATTTTTCCGGATGAAGAACTGGATGCTGGAGTGCTAGGAGCTCCAAAAATTATGCCTCCACCTGAGCCTGCGCCGGATGAAGACGATGAACTTGTTGCGGATATTGGTTGCAGTGTGGCCGCGGCAGTAGTAGAATTATGCGGCTGGAAAAACGCCGCGGAGTTCTGCACCACGGTCATGCCGAAGGGGTTGATCATGCTGGTCGGAACATTTGAAGACGCCGACGAGGATGTACTAGTTCCCCCATGCGGCTGCTGGTGCAAGACCCCTGAAGCGGTGCCTGTGATCCCCAAGGCGCTCGCAGAAGTGGAGCTGCTTGTGGGGTGCAGTGTGCTCGAGGACGAACAAGATGTTGTGGAAGTTGGTATCAGCGTTGTAGTGCCACTACTTCTTGCAGCATTCCCTAGCGAGGACACGACCGCTGCGCTTGTAATAGAGGAGGTACTGGCGGCCGGAGCTATTGCCCCTGCTGAAGATCCCATCAAATTTCCGAAGATCGAATTCCCTCCTCCGAAGGGCGAGGGCCTCTGCAGCATCTCGTGCATGGGCGGCCGCTGCTGGTCGTGCGCTGCTGACAAGTTGTAATTCGAGACCGTCGCTGGCGATGGTGACGGTTCTCTGGAAGCCGGATTCACGTTCATGGCTACTACTTCCTCGGTCGAAGAAGTTGTATGGTCACTAGAACAGGAGGACGTGCTCTTCGTGGTCGTACCACCTCCCCCGCAGCTCAGCGTGGTCTGGTAAGATGAAATTTCTGAGACCGTGCGGCCAAGAACAACAGAATCAGGATTGTCCTGCTCGTTCACGATGCTATCCCGAGCCAAGTGTCGGGTTTGGATGCCCGAACTTATGAGGCGGCTCGCTGAACCACAGAAGTATTGCTGGTTATTGCTCTGGTTCTTTCCCGAAGATGTTGTAGTTGATGAAGAGGACGCAAACGACAGTGGAAAGCTTGAGCTTCGGGCTTTGGTCACCATGATCTTGATCCTCCTATCGTTTTTTGCCCGAACGTCTCTTGCTGTTGGGTTTGACCGCACCACGGTGGCTTTTGGTTCTTTCCCTTGTCCCTGCGCGAGGTGAGGTCCTATCTCATCTGCTATCTTGTCCCGCGCCGCTGCTCAACTTATTCATCATGCTGTCGTGGATCTTCGTCTCGGCGCGTACCTGAAAGAGCGACCGCTTCTCCAATGCCGCGACACGACTAGGGTCCTATGTTGGTTGCTCAAGACGGTGAAAGTTGCCGTTGCGTAGTTCGCGCGTCTAGATAAAGTACGTCGACTCAAACCGGCAGATCTGTACATTGACGAAGGAACGGGCATAGATATAGAAACTTACTACTCTATTAAAAATCTGTATCTGGTGCTTGAAGCTAAGAAATTAGGAGGACTTACTAGTGCTCGTCGGAAGTTGTCAAGGGTGCAGCAGATGCACTATGCTAGAACTTCACTCTACTACTTCGTATCGCTATTAGGTTCATTCGTTTAATTAGTACAGACGTAAGCGTTGGCTTGTGCGGGCTAGAAAAAAATCTTTTTGTTTCGTGCCCTAGTAATCTCGCAAGTAGAGGTGGGATCGCTATGGTTGTACTTCTACGGTTTCTTAACAATTTCGGTCGTGTGTAATCCAGGTCTTGTGTGTGTGCACATCCATGCTTTGCTGACTATGCAAGAGTTCAGTGGATTTTTACTACGCTGTCCTTCTTATCATGTGCCGCATCCGCCGGAGCACGCATCACAAATGATGAACAATAATTTTTTCCGGTACTTGAACACTGCTGGAAAACGAGATTGCAGCGAACGCGGAGCCAATGCGCTCCAGCGATGCAGCCATGGCTGGCTGCGTGATCCGCTCTGGGACTAGGTTGGTCTCATCTTACATACATGGCTGTAAATGCGGGCGCTTGCCGAAACAAGAGGTTCGCCATCGATTTTACTGTGGTGGTCACGCAACAATCATTTCACGCGGTTGGGGTACAACATGGCATGAGGTGAATGGAATGCATGCGAAATCAGGGTAGTGAAGATGAAAGGCAAATTTTTTTGTTCGTACAATGCGAAAGTGAATGTAAGCGTAAAAACAAACGAAACAAAGTATGTGGCGCAGCAGGGGGGCACTCTGCTCATCTAGATTTTTTTGCTGTTGTTGATCTGAATATATATGCAAAATGATACGTAATGTTGTATAACACACTCGAAAAAATCATGGAAAAACTTTTATTCTGTATCTGAGTACAGTGTCCAGAAGAAACTGCAAAAATTGGAACTACTCAGGAGGTCGAAGATCTAGAAAAATCGGACCTTGAATCGGGTCCGTCTAGGCTCCCTCCATTGGTCGCGCATCCGGGTCGTCGTTCGCTATGGAGGGCGGCGGCACTCCCTGGCCGGTCTTCAGTGCCTTCCTGGCCTCGCTCATTTGCTCTGTTCTGCCGGAAACCTCCTTCTCCTTCCGCTCGATCTCTTTGGTCCGCTTGATTTCTTCGGCCAGCTTCTGCTGCGCGTCCTGGCTCATGGGGGGTCGGTAGTTGGTGTGGTACTGGATTCTCGGGGTGGAATGCAGCGGCAACAGGCTATTTTCCACGCCGGTCAGGTTGGACACGGTGAGCACCTTCTCCGGGTCCTCCGTCTTCAGGCGCTCCGACAGGTCGATGTGCAACTTTTCGATGAACTTCCCGTCCACGCCGGCCGCCTTCAGTTCGGCGGAGGAAAACCCGGCGCACTTCAGCTCCGCAGGGGAACACCCCGCGTTGAGCATTTCGCGCACGCTAAAGCCACCCAGGCGGAACTCAATCACGGTCCACCCTCCTTCCTCCATCAGGGCTTTCACCGGATACCGGCCGCGAAGCTTGGACAGCGGGAACCCCGCGCGGCGAATGTCCATGATGGTGAATTCTTCATCCTCGAGCTGGTTCACGGTGTAGGTCTCTCGGTTAATGATTTTCTTCTTCTTTTCCGAGCCGATGCCCACCATCAATACGCAAAATTCGTCGAAGGACAACTCCCCGGAGTTGTCCGCGTCCACCTTCCGCAGCTCGTCCTGGACCTGCTCAGGCGTGTGGGCCATGCCGAGGCGTTTGAAGAGCGCCATCAGTTCGCGCATGTCGATGAACCCGGAGCCGTCCGCATCCGCAACCTCAAACGTGCGCCGGTACATCCGGATTTGGTCGTTCGTCAGAAATTCACGGTAGTTGATACCTGAAAAGGTTTTATGTTTATTTCTCAGCATGATTTGGCATCAAGAGTCGAGCGTTCCTCTTGTTCTTTCATCATTCATACGGTGCTTGATTGTGATACCGTCTTTGTCGTGTTCGTGAATTCATATATTTCCGTAGTATTTGCTGCATCTGCCCCTCTTGAGACTATCGTGCAGCGACTCCTTGGTATCTATGACTTACCCAGGATGAAAAAAGAGAGTTGTTGTAGATTTCATTTCATCATCATCATCTTGCTAGCATAGGGAAGGGAAGCTAGGGGTTTTGGGACTTGTCCTCGTTATCGTTTAGCGCAGCATTCGAATTTGAAAAAAAAAAATAACTACACAAAACAAAATTAATAAGTACGTTTGATCGCTCCAGTGAGCACGCACCACAAGTTGGCGAATTCGTCAAATTCGATTTCGCCGGACTTGTCCTTGTCCACCTCCTCGATCATGTTGGCCACGGATTTGTCGTCCAGGTCTTTCATGCCCAAATCCTGAAACAGGGTTCGGAACTGCGAGGAGGAGATGGATCCGTGCTCGTTCACGTACTTGGCGTACAGCTTGTTCAGCTCCCGCAGTTGGTAGCTCTCCAGGTAGTCTGCGTAGTCGATCCGGTCGGCCCGGCGGCGCGCGTTGGTCACCTTGATCATGATCACCACGAACTCCTCGAAATCAAACATCCCGGGGCGCTCGGAGTTTACGGACTGAAAGGCTTTCTTGAACGCGGTCTTCGACAAGTGTTTCGGGAACCAGGTGGCGATCAGCTCGGGACAGTCGACATCCTCGATGTAACCGGAGCCGGTTTTGTCAAACTCGTCGAACTTCGCACGGAAGGAGCCAAGCTCGTCATCCGTGTAAAATTCCGCAATGTCGAACTGACCGATCGGCATCTTGGAAAAATTGTGTGACAGGAAGAAAGGGGAAGTTTGTGTTTTCTCAAGAGGCTGCTCAAGGTTGAAGAAGTTCTTGGCTAACGAAAAATGATCAGCTGGGGTAAAGAAACTAATTTGAATTCGACTCAGAAGGTCCTGGTGTAAGTAGGTTGCGGTTTTCCATTTCGGTTGCGATTGCATATTATTCTTATTCGTTGTGCAAAAACGTACGACAGAGTGTGGCGTCTTCTATTTGTTTCGCACGAAAAGAATCAGAATAGACGAACGAAGAACGTAGGACGAACGCGGACGCAACAACTACCGACTTGAACGAGAGAACCGAGCAATACTTGAATCAAGCGGGTTCCGATTGAAATACGAGCTACCTGCAGCAGAGACGACATACATTTTGGCAGGAACAAAATGTCAAATATGTTTTTGGAGCATTAACGATGGTGTTGGGCATCACGTTCATTGTATCTATAAGTGTCTTGTTTTTCTTTGTCACTTGTTGCTGCGGATCTTCATTATGGTGGCCCTCACTTGGTCACCACACCAGCACGACTGATTCAATAAATAGAACTACGGCTCGATCATGCAACACGCGCTGCCATTTTCTTTAACTTAAGTATTACCATAGGAGTCACCGTCACGCCTACAGATAAGTATCTTCGTCATTTTTGTCGGTCACGAGACACTGGCGTTTGGGTTTGTTGATGCAGTTCTACTAGGTGTCCTACCGCAACAAGTATCGCAGTGAACCATCTTTCATCACAGCATCATTTCCAAGTCGCATCTATGGTACTCTGGTTCCGGAAGTTTCGGAAAACTTGGCACCAGAGCCTCCTGCGCGCCGATGTACATGTTATTGTAAAGCTTCCAGTAGACCTCGCGCACCCTTCTAGCTGGGTGGAACAGACCCTGCATCAGGTACTGGAGGATCCTTGTTGGCCCGAGCGTCGTGCGGAAGGCATCAATGCAGTTGTAGACACCCTGAATCAAGTGCGGCGTCGACTCGAAGAGATTAGGCCATACGAAGTTCATTAAGTGAATAATCGCGTCTTCGCAATTCATTCCATAGACACCTGCGAAATTTTTTTTCGTCAAACAATTTTGGTTCTTTGCATACTTTTATTTCTTGTTCAGCTAATTCACTGAGAAATGAACCTTAACGTGATGAATCTGGCGAATTTTCGGGCCGCAAAAGTTGAGAACAGTGAAAAAAAACAGAAGAAAACTACAACATCACAACTCACCTAGCGTCAAGTGTGTCGTCGCGAAAATGGCCTGCTGTCGGTGTATTGCGTCTCGATCCTGCAACGCGTCCTCCAACAGGGGGGTGACTGCGTAGATGTAGTCCTTTGCCATCTCGCCAATGTACTCGAACATGAAGGATAGGGACTTGAGGATACCGTGCTGCACGTTCAAATCCGGCTGCTTGTACTCGTTCATCATCGCGGGAAGTACCGTGAACGGGTTACACGTCTCCGCAACGATCCCGATGGCCACCGTGGTACACACACGCAGCTGACGCTCCTGCACGCGAAGGTTATTCAGCAAGGTGGACAACACATCGTGCGGCCCAATCGCGCGCGCGATGTACCCAAAGGTATTTACAGACGCGCGCCGGATTGCCTTCTTCTGCGCTTTCAGCAGCTCCAAGACGTCGAAACAAATTCGGTTCCACTCTCGCGGTGGGGCCAGTTCTGCGCCGCGGTCTGCAATGCGGCCAACAAGGTCGATCACGTTTTCCTGAACCTGTATTGCATTTTATGGTCGATTCGGAATTGATGATTGCTGGTATCACTTTTTTCTACCAGCACTTCGGCTTTGGCCTGAAGTCTGTGTCGAATCTTAAAAACCCCTTAGCCGGAGAAGCATGACCACGCTACAGATTTGTATTTACGAGATACTACAGCAAGAAACAATAGAGAGACCACAACTTCCTCACCTTCTCGTGTCTGTTCTTCAGAATCGGCGTCAACCTTGGCAACAGATCCTTGATCGGCGGCGTCATCTTGTTCATCCCGATTACATTCACGATTGCCTTCAAAGCTCCCAAGATGCTGCCCAGCACGTCCGGATACTCTTCCCCGAGGTATTGGTACAAAAAAATACCGAAGTGCCCCAGCATCTGTTCCTCGCCGCACTGCTTCATGACGCCTGCTATCCTGGCGATCAAGTCTGCTGCCTGCTGTCGGACTTTCGGGTTGGGGGTGTTCAGCCGCCACCGCACAATACCCGCGACCTGCGGCAAATACGGCTTCACACGAGTGCCCAGGGAGTTGATCACGGCCCCGCAGCCGTTGAGCATGACCGTGGTGTCCTCGGTGGACTGTTCTTGAAACGCATAGATAATGCCGTCGACAAGGAGCTCTTCCAGGCGGGAATCGAAATCCGCAACGCCGAGGTTTTGAACAATAATATCGATGGTCTCCATAACCATCTTGCGGTACCTGGGGTTAATAGAATGTTGAAGTATTAAAAGTGGGCGGGTTTATTATACAGTTTGCCCTTGCCATGCTAAAAGGAGCAGGCTGGCCGTGACGCAGAGCGTCAAGCAGCTATTGGTAGAATAGCTAATCATGGCGAGCAAGAAGACCTACGCCGCACTTTAAACAGAGATTAAGAAAAGATACAACATCATGACAAAGCACTTCAATACAGTTCGTTGCCGTCCTTCAAGTCCTCGATGATTTTCCCAACGACTTCCGCGCCGCCTACCTTCGTTGCGATTTCCACTGTTGTGTCCACGAGCTGGCGGTAATTTCTCCGGTCCAAAGCCATTCGGGCGACCCAGAAATTTCGAAAAAACGGCTGCAACACCTCCTCCCGGATGTAATTGGACTCCACACCCTCGGTGGCGACGCACTGGTGCACCACCTTCAGCACGATTTTCTTCATTTCGTCATCCGCGGTGGAGAACTCGCGGATCAAAATGATCATCACCTCTCTTGTGTAGTGGTTCGCGTGGTCCGCGTCCATCAGTGGCACGATGTAACCGATGGCTTTCAGGAAAGCCGCGAGATCCTTGTCGCGGGCCTCGAGAATACCTAGGTAAAAAAAAATTGGATGAAAATCGAGTGGGATTCTTGTTTCAGTTCCACCAGGTTCCACATTCTTTCGCAGTCTACTTCTTGTTAGTAACTAGTCACAACTCTTCGATGGAAATATTATCATGCAGGTCCAGCATCGCAAAAGATGCAAAGGAGCAAACAAGTAAGCCCACCATTAGAAGGCTTTACCTTTCCACAACGGTCGCAAGACGGAGTCGAAGGCTTCAATGCCGTATGGCGTCGCCGCCTCTGCCAGCGCGGCCAACGCCAAGGCCGTCATGGTTCGCACCTTCCGCTGTTCATCGGACAACCCCGGGGCGATGATGTCGACCATCTGCTTCAAATGCGGCAGTATCGCGATCCCTAGCAAGATGGCGATCTGCTGGATGATCTTGATCCCGGTATGCCTCCCCTGCCATGATTTCTTACTGTTACACACCGCTTTCAAGAACATCAGCAACGCTGGGATTCCCAACGCGGACGCGACAACCGCGAACGCCCGCGCGGTGGTGTTTCGGACGTACTCGTCGACGTGATCGATATCTGGCCGCATGGTCGCGATCATCGTCGGCAGGCCCGCGGTATCAAATGCAAAAGTGTCTGGGTCTGGAAGACTGCAAGTTTGTCGTGCTTGTCTAGCATGACTCGAGAATCTGTGTTGCATAGGCACGAAAAGGACCTCTTACCTGTCATGCACAAACGCAGTTTGCCATGCAGAATACGTAGGACATGGCAGCCGAAAAATTTGCTATGCGTAGCTGCGTATTGCAGTGCGTCTATCATTCCCTTTTAGCATTACAAGTTTCCAGACCCAGACATATTTGCAAAGCATACGCGGCTTTCGACAGATTCGCGATCACCTCCCGACCTTCCACCCGGGCGTAGTAGTCTTCGTCGATCAAGAGCGGCTCGACCACGACCAGAATCTTGTGCACGTAGGGGCGCACCAAGTCGTCCAGTCGGTGCAGCACCCGGTCGATGATTTTTACCAGCAGGTGCCTTTCCTGCTCTTCGAGCGTGGAGGACATCATAAGGGGCAAGATCTGGTTGAAAAGCGGCCCGGCACCGAACTCCCGCGCCTTGTTCGTGATCTCCTTTAGGGCGCGTCTTCGCATCGCCGGTTCGCCGTTCTTGATTTGCAGCAAAAGCTTCATGATTTTTCGCTCCTTGGCCTCTTCCGGTGCCAGGTCGTCGTCGTCGTCGCCCGCAAGCAGTGGCGCGAAATGCGTACGATCCTCCGCCTTGATCTCAGGCATGTCGCCAGTCTGAAGTTTGGTTTAATTTTTCAATAGCGTTGTGAATGTCTGCGACTATGACCTTCGAAACAGACATGGTCTGAAAAATCTTTCTCGCGTAAGTACAAAGTACAGATTGGCAGCCAAAAAGAATCACGGAAAAAGACGCGACTCTGTTTACCGCGGCCGTAACGCCGTGAAGTTCTCCCAGCCCGCTGTCCTGCGTCATACCGTCACCGGTTGAGGGGGTGCCGGGCATCATAAACCCTGGGGTCGCTGCCATCCCCGGGGTTGGTGCGGAGAATACGTTTTTTCTTGCTGGAGCGTAATTCGCTGGGGGCTGCACGATTTCGTACCTGTTTTAGTTTTTTCATCAGTTGCTAAGTAATGCGACGAAAAGAATCTATTCTTGTTTCACCTGCTCCTGCTTGGGTGCATTGTTTGTAGTTCGGCTGTTCATGTACGACTTAAGTTGAAGAAGTTCATAGCACTCACGTATGATGTTTGTTCTTTTTTTCAGTACCCTGGAGGGAAGATTTCGTCCAACTCTGCATCGGTCATGGGTCGATTTCTTTCGTCAATTTCCTTCGCAAATCGCCACTGCTGGAGCTGGTCGGGGGTCATCATATCGGGGGTTAAACCAACGGGGGTACCGACGGTTCCCATAAATGCGGCGTCAGGGGTCGCGCCGAGGTCGCCTCCGGACACCGGGGTTGCCATGTCGGCACCGCCAGCGGGTGCCGGCGTGATCTGCTGTTCGCCTTCTCCAGGGGTCTCGTCCCATCTCGCGCGCTTTCTTTTTGGCTTGGACACGTCAATGGAAGCGGGTGTTTCGCCCCAGGCGCCCATCTCGGGGGTGGCACCGATAGCATTCATGTCTGGAGTTTCTTGCCCGGGGGCCGAGCCCATCTCGTCGGGTGTGTCCATCATCGCTGTTTTGTTGGGGCGATAATCGTCATGAGGATTTTGTTTTTGATTTTGTTTCTGCATGGCATTTCAAGCATTCGTAGTATCTAGCGGCAACAGCGAAGAGCAACAACGATAGATTGTAATCATGAATTTGTTGGCCATGGCACGCAGTACGTATATCATTAATAGCGGACTCCGATCATTTTTACCTGCTTCCGTCGGGGTGTCCCAGCGATTTCTTTTTCTTGATTGTGCCTCGACTGCCTTGTTCGCGCCGGGCGCGCTTCCGTTTTGCATGGCTTTCATGTTTGCGTTCACATCTGCTGCAAACTGGGTGTCGCCTTTTTCCTCTCGCATCTTCTGGATTTTCCTCCGCAGCTCCGCGTTTTCTCGCTCTGCTGCGTTATTCTCCATGATCTCCTTGTAGGTCGTCAATCCCTCCGCCGGCGTGGAGAGCGCGAAGGGATCTGCCCGTGGCGGTGACAATGCGCGCTCCAGTCGCTTTTGCTGATATTCAGATTCCCTTGCGGTAATCTGGGTGCCGGACCCCGTGACCGGTGGTGCCTGGTCCGCAGTCTGCTGGATCTCCTGCATCATGGCTCGTTGGACCTGATAGAAGTTCCAGATCCAGTTGACTTGTAGTTTATCGAGATGGAGATCTTTCTGTTTTGCATTTACTTTGCGCATTCTACGGTATGGATCATATTTTTACCTCCCGTTGTTTTTTTCTACTACTTATTCCCAACGAGGACCACATGGCTCAAGATGAAAGCTCTTACCTGCGCCTGTGCATGCCCGGCTGCAGGACCTTTTACGGCCGGAGAGTTGTCCCCCCCGTCATCGTCCACGGGCAGCTCCGTGACGAAGTGCCCATTCTCGCCACTCTTCTTTCGCCCCGACATCTTCCTGCCCCAGCTAGTATCCAGGTCGTTGTCGCTGGTAGAAGACCAGGGATCGCTTTTGTGCCTCGTCCTTCTTGCACAAACGCTGGACTATTCAAGGTCGTCCATGATTTTTTGTTCTTTCACGGCCGCAACAGGGCCGATTTCATTGGAAAGACTCAATAAAGTGGTGTGATACAATGCGGAAGTCACTCTCTCTTGGTAAAGATAATCGTGTGAAACAAACAAAGTACAACTTGGTTGCTTAGGTCGCCTGAGAGGTTATGATTAACGAAAATGCATATTAGAAGAATGAATTGCAAATGGATGACTACAGGTACAGGGGATCATATTCACGGTAAAAAAAAAAATAAAGCGTCAAGATCTTTCAAAATCAAAGATACGAAGATGGAAGGCACAACTGCCACGAGATCGCCTAAAATTTCGCTTTGATCACTATCAACCATATCAGGTCATTAGCAAATCCTAGCTGCTCCGATCGCTATCGCCGGCAATCACTTACTTTATTTCAATGAAGGAGAGAGATCATTGCTTTTTGTAGAAAGAAAAATCGCAGATCTCGTCGTCAAAAGCAAGTCGATGCCAAAATGGTTCTGATTCTAAAATTCGACACCAAACACAGCATCAGAGGAGAGACGAGGTCAACTGAGCCCATTAGTTACATATACCACAAGTATTGTCTTTTGATCGTGCGTTCTATTGGTGATCGCGCTCTTGTGAGTAGACCACATCGGACCAAGCAAGAACATCACAAGACAAAAGTCAATAATTAGATAGAGCGATTTCGCAGCTCTTCCAGAGCCAGAGCAGGTCTACCTGTTCTGAATCTGATCGTCCTCCTCATGCACCATATAACATTTTTATCATTTCTAGGCGAAAAGTCGAAATGCATACCTGATGCCAGTGCGTCATTTCCAAGGGAAAAAGCAAAATTTGTGCTGAGCGTCGTGCTGCGACAGCGACTTTGGATGGCACTATGACTGATATTTCATGGTAAGTAGTTTCCTTCTACCTTTTCATTAGATCTGATCTGCATTCAATCGTCTCAAAAACACTCGGGAGCTGGTTCTCAATGTGATTATCATGAACGAAGTGCGAGCTAAACAGTTCGTTTTGTACTTCGAAGTGTGTTCCTACTCTCTCATACAATTGTCTTTCAGTTTCACATACTTCTTGTGTGCTCTAGTCATTTTGTCCTGTAAAGAAGAATCAAATGAAGTCATCAGATTTATATTCTGTACGGGCTTTACGAATACTATTGATGCATTGTCTTTTCTATAAAAATTCCTCCATTTCCGCTTGATCTTCGACTTCCAGTCCCATGCTGAAATCCTCCCCGAAGTCCTCTGCGTCTTTTCGCCCACGGCCTCCGCGTTGCAGCACCACCAGCCGCCATTTCTTCAAGTAACTCCCGAAGGAGCAGCAGTACACGCACAACACCACCACCACGGCGAGTTGCAAATATACGCCAATGGTCGCGACGGAGGGCGCAAGGAGAAACTCACACTGCGCACTTGCCCCATCCCAGGTGTAAAACCAGGCGCTATCGCAGTCTATTTTTTGCTGGGCGAGCGTCTTCGTCGCAGGAGAGGTCGTGTCTGTGCCCGAGGTTGTCTGCTGGTTGTGCGTTGAGGCACTGTCATCTTGCGGCACAGTTCGACCACTACCGGACGCGGCAAAGGGATCGGGGCGTTCTGTGGCGGCTTGCCTTCGTTGAGCACCATCGACGTCCCACGCGGGCGGAAGATATTTTCCGGGACCTCCTTGCCGGGTGGAGCCTGGCGTGAGTCGTAAAATCTATTTTCGAGCAGAAACGAACATGAAGATGCTTTCCTCCTATCTCTAGTTTCAAAAAGCCGCACGTGATAGGCCCAATAGACGTCCACCAACGCATCGAAAACGAAATGTAGCTAATGCAAAAATGAAGCGCAAAGACATTTACTGCACTTGTAACACAAATATTTCTACTCACCATCAGCTTGCTGCGGTTGGCCCCACCCGCCGACCAGCTCCGGGCTTGGAGTTTGCTGCGGCTCGCCCCATCCACCTATGAGGTCGTTACTGCTCCTTGCCGCAAATGGATCTGAGTTGGAATTACCCCGACCCCGTGCTTTGCTGTTTCCTGCGGCAAACGGGTCAGCACTGGAACTTCTGCTTCTGACCCCTTGCGCGGAAGTAGATGTAGATGAAAACGCACCTTGCTGAAGATTTACAGCATCAGAAGTTGTTGGTGCTCCTCCTGCAATGCTGCCATCGGCGTTCCAGCCCCCTGGCCGACTAGGCGTGGTGCTCTCTTGCGCAGGACTACCACGGCGGCTGTTACTACTTGAAAAAGGTGAAGATGTCGCTCCAGGTGGTTGTGGTTGGTTATTGCTTGTTGTCGTACCTCCCAGCGGCGCGACTGTTGCGGTACCAACGCCGGAAGAGGATGATGGAACGACTGCGCCAGTATTTCTCCCCGCCACCCAAAGCGGCGCTGTCCAAGTCTTGGGCGCCACGGAGTACGTGGGAAGCTGGCCGTTATTTTCCCACACGACGACACGACGGAACAAATTCGCCGTGGTAGGGCCGAACGCTAGCGACATTTTACTACTACTCCCACCCGACGAACCAGCAGAAGCAATGTTCAAGTTCGCAAAAGTCACGACCCAAGCCAGGCCGTCGTCCTCCGCCTCGAGACTCCAAACATTCCCGGCATCCCCGGACAGTCGCTTGGGAGGCACGCCGTTTAGCGTCAAGGGGGGACTTTGCGACGCCAAGTAGTTCTCCACATTCCCGATGGGCTGGGAAAACTGCAACCGCACTTGGATCTCGTTGCACGTCGCGCAAAGGGGATAGTCGGCCATGGGCAGGACGGACAAGATGCTCGGTTGGTTCTGCAGCCCAACGAGGAAAACGCTAACGCTAATCGGGACGCACACTTCGTTCGTTCGGATCCACTGCTTGGCTGGCGAAAGCCGATCCCAGAGCTCGTCGCGAAACTCCATCATGTAAGTGCCCGCGTCAAGCAAGATGCCCAGCCACTTCTTCACCGTCAACGCGTCCCCGGGCTGCCCGCTCCACATCAAGTCGCCGTCAGCAAGCTGATGTGAGCATTGTCGTGCATATCCATCTAATGCTGACGTTAGACTTAGACCCTAACCTACACCCATCGAGATCGACGCTGACCACATTCCTAGGAGGGCGGAAGAAAACGAAAATAAGTTTGTCTTTGTCATCGCATTCTAAACCTTACCAGCGATATTCATAGTCGCGCTTTTATTCCATCATGCGAGGTTCATATCATTGTTCTTTCACATCATTGAGTCAGCTGTATTTACCTCCCCGTTTTTATCGTGCACCAGCAGTTGCATGTGCGAGATGACGAAACTGGAACGAACCTCGTAGCTGAACCAGGCCGGCTCCTTCAGAGTGAAACTGCCCTGCACCAGAACGCGGTCTTCAGCGGCTTCGCGCACAGACTTGAAGCCTGTCTCGTGTTTGAACGGCAAATTTAGTGCGGGTGGGAATTGCGGGAACACATCCCGCACGCCGACGCTGTCAAACTGGCACTGCGTCAGCAGTGGAAGGTCCTGCTCTGGCCTGGTTTCCAGCGCAAAGTCAAACAGCATGCACCCGCGATTTGCGTTCGTCCCGGCAGAGGACTGTTTTGTGTGGTGAAACGTGAGCCAATACCCGGTCACGCGCTGCGTGTCCATGCTGTAGTACGCCGCCCACCCTGCGGTGGTGGTTAAAAGCTCCAACGGTTCGACGTGGTTCTGCGGCCGGTACTCCTTGCCGCTACTTCCCTGTTTTGGCTCGGACACCGCAAACTCGATGGCGTCTCGATCTTCCCGCTTCAGGTGTTGCACCTCGATTTTGATCAAAATCCGCCGGTTCTCGGCATTCCCCGTCGGGGCGGGCAGAAAGACTTTTTTCCGGCCGTCGTGCAGGTCGGTCACTACCACCCTGGACCGGATCAGCAACTGGGCCGTGTTTGTGTTTATCGGCCCCCCGATGCTCTCCGACCCGCCGCCCGGGCCAAGGTCGAACGGGAGCGGAACCGCTTGCGGATCCTCACAGTCGTCGTCCTCCACGGCCGCGATATCCAGCTCCGCGGAGGTCGAGTCCCCTTTCGTCCGAGACGAAGATGCACTTGTTAGAACCGCGGGACTGCCTCCGTCGTACTCCTTCAAGGGCACCAGCCACATGTTGGCAGAGAACTCGGCGCAGTGCTCGGGCGGCCTCACCGCGTTGCCTCTTCCGGACGGGATCTTCTGCAGCAGTTGCACTTTGTACTCGCCCGGGTCCAGCTCCAGCTCCAAGCGGCTGCTGTAGCCCCGGTGCTCGCTCATCATCGAGCCCTCCGGGATTTCCACGGCGAAGGCGGCGTGGTCGATCAGAAAGTTGCCGCCAATCTCCATGTGCAGCAAGCTGGAAACGCCGATCTTCAGTTTCATGTCCGCTACCACCTTGCTCGCGAAGGTTTGCCTGAAGTACTGGCGCGGGAGTACCAAGGCCCAGGAATCCTTGCTCGCCATTGTACTAGCTGTGCTCATCCCGCCTCCGCCCTGGAGATTATCCACCGGAAGGATGCCGCTACTTCCAGGGCCCATCGCCGGGCAACTCTCACTTGAATGCTGACCCACGGCCATATCGTCCGCAATCTTCTTCCCTGCGAATGCAAAGGTCAACTGGTACGCGACCGCGGCGGTCATCATGATTTGATAATTCCCCGCGTTCGGCAGTAAAACCAAATGGTCAAAAAGATTGTCCTGAACGTCCGCAACCACGTTTTTCTTCCCGTCCAGCACAGCCAGCGTCGCTTTCGTTTGCACCAAGTCCGCCGGCTCCCCCGCAACGCGGAGGTAGGTTGGTTCCGTCACGAAAAAAAAACCGTACTCGTCCTTCTGAGCTGGTGCGGGCCCAGTAGTTGTTGTTCCGGCGATCTTCAGTGTTGAACCAATGTCGTTGTCCGTGGTGAAGCTGTAAATCCCGACGGTGACCGTCGGTTTTCGCTTGTCGTACAACCCGATTTGGTTGAAGTGCCGCGGGAAGGGGACCACTGCGAATAAGTCTGGCACATCGACCAACTCCGTCCTCAACTGTTCCCGGTCTTCGTCGTTTTTCAAAACCGCGAGCACGTTGAACGCGACGTGGGCACAGATGCTGGTCGCCATCTCCTTGTTGCGACTCTGCATCGTCGCAATCTCCAGCTCGTACTCCCCTTTTTCGAGCCCGTCCTTCAGCAGCAGCAGCCTCTGTTCGTGAAGAACGCCCTTCCCCAGCGGCGCTTTCTCCCTCTCCCCATTGCCGCGTATTCTCCAAAGATTCAGCTTCAACGGCAGCCACGGGGGGGTGACGACCGCTTCCACTCGAATACTCGCCTCCGACCCGGCGCGGAACCGCTCCGCAAAGTCGTGCACTGCGTCCATCCAGAAAGACTTGCTAACCGTCAGTGCGTTGGGATCCACCATCGGACCCTCGGCTTTTTGCAACAGATTCACCGCGTCGTGCGCTGCCTCACTATCCACCAGGTCCTCGTCCACGTCGCTCATCGTCGTGAGCCCGGTGTGATCCATCTTCTGCAGCTCCGCTGGAACCAGACCGTGGAAATCCTTCGCCCGTGCCCCACCGTTTCGGGGGCACTCGGGCGTCGCGGAAAACGGCTGCAGAACGAGGTTGACCCGCAGTTTCGGACACTTCTCGTGCTTTTTCTTCCCGACGCCGGTCTTCTTCACCTTCAGCGTCAGTTCAAAACCGAGGACCTTTACCTCGTTTGGCTTGTTGTCGTCGCTCACCTCACGGTTCGCGTTGTTCGGGTTCTGTGGTGACAAAACCGCGAGAAACCAGTTTTCGCTTTGCTCGCTGATTTGGTACACCCCCGGGCCGTTGCTGTCCTTTGCAGTCGTGCCCGTTTGTGGAGTGCTGCTGCTCCACCCTTTCTCCTTGTTATTGTTCACTGGGTTGTAGGGCTTGACGGAAAATTCGATGCCCGCGTCGTAGTCCCGTACTTGCACTTTGAGCAGGAACTCTTCTGGAACATAGATCACGGTCGAGAGCAGCCCAGTGAAGGGCAGGATGAAAAGGCTGTCCAAAACGATGGGCTCTCCCATGTGAGCCGTTATCTTGGAGGGCAGAGACGGGAGACCAACCTTTTATGCATTTTTTGTGCTGAGTGTGGATCTGGATTGTGACACAGACACGACCAGGAACACTACACAAGGCAATTCCACAAACAATCCGTCGCGCCGAGGTCGTGGGAAAACATAAAGACACACATTCGACAAGAGAAAAAAGCTAGGCGCAAGAAGTGGTCACTGTACCTTGCACAGCCAAAGGGCGTGCGGGCTGCTGAGCGTTTCCTTCGTCATGGAAAAGGTGTTTGACATGGGGTCTTTGGCGGTATTTTCAAATTCGTGGTTCACATCGCTCCCCGATCCATACGGGTTGGCCACGGCGTCCATGGCGTTCTTGTTTTTGTAGTCTTTCAGCGCGTCTCGGTGTAAAACCCGGAAGTCCACCTGGAATTTGGGGCACAAAATCGGCGGAGGCGCGCCAGACGAGATCCAGCCGGCGCGGTTGGCGGACGAGGTTGACCCGGTTAGAAAATAGAGTCGAAGCCGGTACTTTCCCGTCCTTTCGAGCTCTATCAAGTTACTGTATCCGGAGGAGACGAGCACCGGCTCCACAAGCTCCTCGTCGTTTATCGCTAAGCTAAACCGGGCGTCCGCGGTCAAAAAATCGCTGTTGACGCCCAGCTTCAGGAACACCTTTTGGTGAACCTCGTCGTCCGAAACTTGCAGAGTTCTCTCCCAAATCACCTGCAACCCGTCAGCTTTGTCTTTCCTTGCGCTCTCCCTTTCCGACTTCGCGTCGCTGTTTCGAAAAACCAGCGGGAACTGGGTTGCGCGCCACTTTACCAACGGCGAATCCAGCACTTCCATCTGCTCTAGCGGCTGCAACGGGGCCTGCAGGCCACTGCTGCATTCGTTTGCCGTTCTCGCAGTTGGGATCAGCGACAAAGGGCGAATAGCCAGCTGAAACTGGAAATACTGGCAGGGGTGGACACCGCCGAGTGTGTACTCCGAGGTGAGCCGTAAAACGTACTTCCCGGGATCTAATCGGCAAAAAACCGACTGCCTTTCGGCAAGTCCTTCGTTTCTGTGTGGCGCGCAATATTCCTGCAACTCCGAGGCAGTCCCGGCTGTCCTTTGCCCCTCCGCGGCCAGATCGCCGGCGAGCACCTTCATCCTAACCGTTATGTCTGGTGTCGTTTGGTAAATGGCCGCCCGAAAAAGAGACTCCTCTCCGATGACAAGGATCATGTTGTGTTCCATGCGCTCGGCCTCGGCGAGAGGAAAGGAGTAGTGGTCACGCAAGTGGATTGATCTGCCTTCCACGGTGACAGCGTTCTTTGTTAAGATGTCAATCGCGGAGGAGGTGTTCTTCTTACCACTAGCAGCCCCATCCGCGTTATTTCTCTTTAGCAACGAATTCACTGGCTTGTCACTGTTGGCGAGGTCCCGCGGCTTCGCGTCCTGAAAGATCGCAGCCGGCAGGGTCGCCGCGTTGCACAGCCACGACGCGGGGCCGAGTTCGAAGGGCGTTAGCTTCTTTTCGTAGCTGACTTTGTAGTCCAAGTCATACTCCAAACAAGGCTGCGGCGCGGTACTAGCGTCCCAAACCTTCGCCATGGTATCCAGTGCGAGCAGCCACACTTTGTACTTGAAGCCCGTCGGGACTGCGTGGTCCAGAACTTGCCCGTTGCCGATGCTTGCCTGTGGGTGCGAATAAATGTTGATGTTCTTCGCACATAATCATATTAAAATCTTTTATCAACAACAGCAACAGGTACAGGAACAGTGTCACCGCGTGACATAAGTACGGCTCGCGGAAACATCAAAAAAGATACAGCGAGAGCACTACTTAAATGCGTCAACAGCACGACAGAAATACGCCTGCGTAACACCGATGACTCCCCTGGTCGCAGTTCGGAAGAGCTGTTGGAAGACTGCCACTGCTACTTGTACTACTGCTGTCGTCTTGCGGGTACTGTTCCAGTATCAAGGCCATGGGTAGTGCCGCAAAACGAAAACTGGCTTTGTAGTAGAACCTTGCGAACCGATGCAGCCTCTGGGGAACGTTCATGACCACTGACCAGATCTTCTGCGTGAAGTCCGCTGTCTCTGAGGTGCTCGTCGAGGATCCTGTTGACGCCTGATACACGTAGGGAGAGGGTAAATTAGGGTCGTCCCCTGTTTTGACCGTTTGACCGGTCCGCGAGTCCAATGCGAACGGGACCGTGTCGCTCAGCGTGAACTCTGGCTCCGAGGAGGACCCCGCAATCCACTTCGACAGGGACGATCCAAGGGCGCCACTGCTTGCAGACGCAGCGGGGTCACTCGCGCCCGCCAGAGCACCGCTTGGCGGTTCTAAGCTGTTCTTTGGGCAGGAGGTCGGCCACGCGAAGGCCGCCCGCGAAACCGGGACGACGTGGAGATCCAGCCTGGCCGGAATGCACTCGGCGCCGTCCATCAAGTCTTCAAATTGCCCGACATGAACCGCAATTTCGTATTCCTCCCCCGCTGACAGTCGTGCCTGCAATATGCGTCTCGTCCGGTGCCCCGCGAAGCCCAGCACGCGGCTGCCGGTCAGCACCGGGGAGCCCCGGGACAAAACTTTGATCTCCACAACCTCCGTGCCGCTGCTTGCGCTGCTGTGGCCCTCCACGCTCGCGGTGAGGACGGCTAGGTCGGTGAGACGCAGTTTCAGCCTGTGCTCGCGGTTTCGCGCAAACCCGTAGACGTCCGAGACCTGCGTTTCCCCGTCCGCATTGGTGTGGGACAGCAGCGACAAGTCCGTCGGAGGGGAGTGGTACTTGCAGTTTTTGTTCAGATACTTCATCGTCTCTTGCGCATAGTCGCTCTCCGCGGACCGCTTCGTCACCCGCGTCGCTTCTACAAGGTGAAGATGCTGTAGCCCTCCCGACGCCGCCATTGCGCTCGCGATTGCTGCTGCTGCCCACAGCATTCTTTCTCGTCTGTTGTGTTGTCGTGGCCGTCTGCTCCAGCTCCTCGTTCTCGTGGTCTCGTCATATAATCCTCTGGCGGATGTACGGCGGATATTGGACGTCCTCGAAGGCGCCATTCGACGCCTTGCGACTCGGGGGGAGACATGGTCGCATACCAATGCTGGCCGCAACCGGCATAATGACCATGATTCCTGGTGCATCTTCGCGCTCGTACTCTTCTTCATATCCCGCAAAGCACCCATACAATAACAATTCCTTGATTTTGATCATTTTTGGGCGCTAAACAGCGACGACTCATGGGCATCCCCATCCGGGCCTTGGGGCTGCCCATGTATAATGCAATTGCGTAAATATTTTCATAGTCTAGAAAAGAGAGGTGGAATACTTTTCTTCAAGGTCATCCTCGGTCCGATTGTGTACACATTCACTTTGCTTTTGATGGGTCCTCTTTTCAGTTTCGAAAATCCTTACTTTTACCACACCAGCAGCAGGACCGACACAAGTAGGCCAAGAATGACAGAAACAAAAGAGCCCGCCGAGAAATGCACGATCAAATCAAAAATTGTGATCTATCCTTGCTCTGATTCTGAAACCAGGAACCACAAAGATCGATGAGGATCTTACTTCCGACAAATGCAGAACGAGAAAGACCAACACAGTGCTCACCAACACGCACATCCAACATCAGCATCGATCACGTTACTAGATGTAGAAGATCATAAAAACTTGATTAGGATTGATATTGATTCACGCCGTCAGCCAGCAGAGCCTTCGCATTTACGATGACGATCTGGAGTCGCATCTCGGCACCAAAATGGCTGAGAACACCATTACTATTGACGAGAGTATCTTGCGCCGCTTCAGGCCGCGGTCACCGCTGCTCCTCTTGCAGGAAGCGAAGGTGAAGCCGCAACATTCTGCATCTGCAACATGTATTTGTATATTCATGGCTATTTCTATGTATATCATGCGTCCACCCACCAGCTAGAGGCCAGGAGTTGTTGAGAAATTTGATTTGATGCGCTGTGGTCTCCGCGGAGATCTACAACTCTGACCTGCCAACCGAAGAACATGTCACGGCCGCCCTCGGGCCTTCTGCATCGTTGGCTCGAACTCGCTGGTGAGTTCGTCCTCGTCGTCCAACCCGAATTCTCCCGCGGAACCGCTGCCCACGGTCGTGCTGGCCGTGGGCACGGTATATTTTATCTTCTCCGCGGCAGCGCTTTGGCTTTCCTGTCCGTAGGTGTTGTACAAGTACGCACCCGTCATTGCGACGAGAAACCCCAAAACTTGGACGGGAGTGATCAGGTTACCTGCAACACAATGCGACCAACACCAAATCGACTTGTAGTGCAATCATGAAAAAGCAGAACTTGAACTTGTCATGCTTCGTTCTGGTGCCCCTTCTTGCGGAAGACGAAGAAGATGAGCCCAAATAACCAGCAAATCACATTTAACAAGGATGGATTTTTCCACTATGCATAAAATCGCATTCTATCAAACAAATCAAACAAATAGACAAAGACACCAGAACAACCTTACCAAATATTATCGTGCTTGAGACGATTATTGTCGGTGTTTTGAGGTTCCCCATGACCATGGAGCCCACGGCGCCGAGGTGCCCCACCAGGAGGAAGGCGAAAAGCTGAAACGTTTGAATTTATTTTTGCGAGCATACTACAACACCATCATCCCGTTTTTTATTCAGGCAATACTTTTTCATCTTCCAATGGCAGTCGTTATGATTGCTGCAGGTTCGTGTTTTATCATCATGCGAAATGAAGATGGAATGAAAATCAGAAATCGGTACGTTATAGCACGCGGCGCAACTTGCGGCGCTCGCAATCCAAAGCAAGCCGCTGAATGGCACCTCGAATATATCTATCCAAGGCCCACTTCCTTCTATCGCGAGCGAGCCGCCCTGTGATTCGTTGATTTCTTTGGGGAACAAATGCTTCAACTTCTTCTTCTATCTTCGGCACAACATTGACGTCAAAGTTTTAGTTATGCTTATCGGCACTTGCAGACACAATATACAATTTCTCCACTCTAGTAAATGACACCTGTTGAGTGTGCGTGTGCCCAATAAAAAACCTTGAATTATACCAGGAAGAGCAGTGTGTTGAATGGTGCTGCGTAGAACAGCAGCGTTATGCTGTCTATGGGATCCTGGCCCCGCATGATGTTGGCTTGGACGATTGCTCGCAGGGCACGAAAAATCGCGGCCCCCATGGAGACCACCAGCCCGAAAATGGCGAACTTACTGGGCTCCCCCCAGGCACACAGACTGCCGCCAAAAGTGACCGGAATGAGTGCGAAGTACGCCGCCACGTTGTACCGCTTGCCGGCAAATATCATGGAGCAGACCACCGTCCAGAACGGCGTTGTATTCTGCAGCATCTCGTGAAACGAGGGGTAGAGAAACACTAGCGCCGCGTTGCCGCAGGCTATTGACGCGGCACCAAGTATACTGTCAACATGTGAAAAGTTGTATATTAATTTACTCGTGCGCTGAAAAAAAGAAACAAGACCCGAATCATTCGCGGCGGTGACCGTGACTGCGGTTCATTTTACTATACTTGTCAGCACATGTTCCGACTGGGTCGTGCTCCTCAACCAGCACTATTAACACTATCAGATACCTGAATGGCGCCACAACGAAAACCTGTTCTCGGAAAGTAAGCCTTCTCCGTACGGGCACCATATCGAAGCCGAAAATCATCAATGAAGCCATGAGGTAACTCGCGATCATGTGCGTGCACGTCATCCAGAGTGGATACTTGAAGGAGTAAACCACATATATCCACCTGCCGTGAGTAAGGTTTGCTGCATTCGAATTTATCTAAATCCGCAACTTCTGCCCAGGTTGACATAGATATACTCTACAGCTCCTGTAGGTTCTACTTCTGGAGGTCTGCAACTCTGGATTTTCCGGTGGTGTCAGATGACGCTAAGCCTTGATCAGTATGCTTTGATTTATAAAACTTAAACTGTATACTTTGTGATGTTCAGGAGGGCAATGGAAATGCAGAACGTGGTGAGCACGAGCCCTACAGTGTAGCATCCCGCCGCGAGCTTCTGCGCCCGCGTCGGCCCGTCGGTGCTGTTTACAATGCTCATTGGCTCCATCCCACCTGCCGAGCCGTTCGACGTAAAGCCCATCGACGTACTACGATCTTCCGAGAGCAGAGGACCTCAAACTGCAGGTCCTTGACTGCTCGGGCACTACTGCTGCTCGTGTAGTAGCGTCTGGCACCGGATCATGTTATGGCGGCCAATCGACGAGGTTTTAATGCGGGCCCCTCGCATGCGACGAGTCGTTTAGACTTTCACTCCGGGCACCGGGTGAAAGTTGCAAGCTTAAACTTAACGAACAGAGCTGCACATCTTATCTTTTCCTTTTCAACATGGAAACAATAACTAAGCTACTAATCCAGAAGAAGTAGAAGATTTCCGAAGAGTTACGCGGAGGAAAGGTTCTTGCAAACAACTCGCGGAAGTTGCCGGAAAATGTAACATGCATGCAGGGGCTGCAGCCATCAAGATCGAAGAGGACACCGACAAATTCTTTCTATTCCCTCCAACATAAAGCCACTTAGTCAACTATGGACAACAAGCTAGCAGGGTAGATTTACCAGGTGAACATTTCTTCTTTGCCGCGAGGTACGAAATCGCCTCCATTCAGCACGCGAGCCAACCAATTTGGTACCTGGTCCCATGAAATTTCTAAGTCAACAAAATAGGCGACGAAAGTACTTGTGCATTAAAGGAACCGAGAGTTCTATTGGTGTGTCGCTAGTAGGTGTCGTGTTGGAATAGAATCCGATGCCATCCTTTAGAGAAAGCAAAAGTTTCTGTTTTCCTCCAGTGTTAAAAACAGGCACTGAGTTCAAGAACTGTTGAATCAATAGAATATGTTTCTGTAATTGTACTGGGTACATTTTTTTCTTATTCTTGGGACGATGGTCTGTTACTAACTTCTGTCGATTAGGTTCATCTTAGTTGTCGTGAGAAACATTTTTTTCAAAACAAAAACTGGCTAAATACTCAGAGGGCTGTGACATTATGTTGATAATTCGTCGCTGCTTGACTTACTGCCCTCCAGAGGGCGCGGACAGCTTGGATTTCGGGATGAGTTCGCCGTTCGGTCCATAGACGTAAATTTCGGTGTCGGTACGGACTGAATGAGCAGTAGAAGCGGTCATGTTCAAATCTTTTCCGTGCACATCCGACATCAAAGCGTGTAGACCGGCCTGGTGCTGGGGAAAAAAAGCTGTTGTAGTAGTGTTCATGATCTTCATCGTGTGTCACAACGTGAAAATAATCCCTGATCCAAGTTTAGCGGCAATATGAACATGCTCCGTGCTCTTTCTTTCGAATTAAAAACAGAAAAATACACCAATTATGGAATTCAGCATCTAACGTAATTAGATACGTTGGCCATTTGGTTTGAAAGCTGATTCCGCAACACCCTGGTGGAACTGAAAGGCCGCGGGGAGAGAAGACGTCAACTGCGCTTGCATGCTGTGGAATCTGAAAAAATCATTTTCAAAGAGAGACACTCAACTTGAATCATGAAGGCCTCCTAGGCAACACGACTTTAGTTCCAGTCATTTTGATGTCGCCCGCCACGCTATTACAAAATCAGCTACCCAACTGCCCAGATTCCCATCTTCACATTGTATCGACCTAAAGCCTTGTGAAAAGGTCTGAAGGAATGCTAGTACCGCGGAACGGACAAGACAGACAGCAATGAAATGACTGGTGTACTCATTTTGCAGCTTCATCTGCAGCTCCTGCTGCTGCCGCTCCATTTCATACTGCTGTCGTTGCATTTCCTCTTCTGCCTTCTTTTGTTGGAAATCCATGGTCAACTGCATTGCCTGCTGCTCTAGCTGTGACTTTTGCTGCTGCGCCTGCTGCTGCAGCTGCAATTGCTGCTCCTGGTACTGCTGCTGCAAGTGCATTTCCTGAGCCTTTACCTTGTGTCGTAAATTTGTTCGAACAATCTAGATCTGTCAACCTGGATTTGGAGACGTCGCGCAGTAGGGCATGATCTTCATTCGCCGACTAACAAAGCGTGTAGCTCCTGCTCATGGCAAGAAGAAGCATAAGCAAGTGAGTAATTGATAATAGTAGCGTAACTACATAATCTTCTGCTTGTTCTTTATCACTAGTAACCTTGCCCAATTATAGAACATTTAGCACCTCCATGTCCACTTGCATATTGAAGGCCTTTTTTTGCTGATCCGCTTGCGAGTTGATCGCGTCCCGTTGCTGCTTGAGCTGAACGTCGAGAGCCTGGACACCCTGGGCTAACTGCGAGTCCAAGAGCTTCATGTAGGTTTCCTTCTGCTTCTGGACGGAGGCCGGGTCGGGCAGGCCCGCCACATGCTGGTGATGCACATTCAGAAACTGCTGCGGGTGCTGGTGCTGGAGATGATGTTGGCCGTTTGATCCCTGCTGGTGTTGCTGCACGAGGACGCCAGCATGCGGATTGTAAGCACATCCACCTTGCATCGAGGATTGAAGACTAGTACCAGAAGCACCCGCTCCCACGGATGTATTCAACGCGCTGGTGCTTAACAGCGACGCGGCTCCACTCGGGACCGTGCTGTAGAGCTGTTGCGGCGAAGACGTTGCAGCTGGTGCTACACTTGTGCTGAACATGTTGTGTTGCTGGTAGTTGGAGGTACCATTCATCGTATTCGTGTTTGGTACTATCGCTGTAACGGCTGACCCACCGCCAGAGACAGCCGAAGTTCCAACTGTGTGGTGTCCGCTCGTCGAGAAGGTAGAAGAGGTCGTACAGCTGTCAGACATCTTTTTCACGTCTGCAAATGGACTTCGACTTCCTATTTCTGCTTAGGCTGCTGCACCGCGAGTACTTATTACTCCGGTTGGAAACGGAGTCGGTAAACAATGTGGGTTCAATTAGGACAACTAATTCACGGTGCGATATCTTTGTGAGATGGTTCACATAAAGTGACAAAAGGGCTAAGGAGAGCTAAAGGAAGGGCAGCGCTATAGTTGTTGTAAGTAAGTACACTTACAACAAATGCGGCCCGCATGCTGCTAGGCACCTCACATCTCAGCACGCGCTACAGCAATCAGCCTCAGATCGAAAAGAGAATCTTGCTAGCAAAAGCAAGAAGAAGAAGATCCAGTTACAAACAAAACCGCCACGTACTTTCGCGTTCGCTTGCCTTCTTTAGATCTTCTTCAAGAACATCTTCACACATGATAACCACATTGACCTGTTTTCGAAACGAAAGCTATCACGATAAAAAAAGTCATCCATCTTCAACTTCTTCATCAGAAGCGAAAGTCCTTGTTGTCCTTGGCCAGGGAAATCAGCGTCAACCACACCACAATCCGCACGAAAATAAAGATCGACTTCACACTTTTCATTCTGTCAGCACATCACAATGAGAAAAATTGTCGATACGGCTGCACGAGAACGCGAGAACTGTCGCTTTGTGCGCGCCTGCTCGAGTACCTGCGATCAATTCTGCAAACCGCGCCGCTGTTGAGGAGAACATAATTTTCTGGATTCAGTGCGTACGACTCTGTCACGACTGATTCGTCGTGTTCTTGATCCCTTTCTTGCTCATAGAGGATCCGCGCGAATCGTTTCTTCTTCAGCGAAGAATAAGAATTCAATTTCAAAAGATGAAGACCCACGACATGCAATGTCGTACCTGTATACAACGTCCTCGTAAATCCACTTTATCTTTTCACTTTCGGAGAATCCTTGTTCAGTAGAGCATGTTACATCGTACGTCCTGTATTTTTAGCCTTGTAGCTTTGCGCCCCCTACTTCTTCTTCACTTATTGGCATTTTTCATATATTATTCAAAAGTAAATAAATATTACTTTACTTTTTTTACAGCAAGACAGCGACAAGACCACAGGATAGCACGAAGCATTCCCCTTGCAACACGCACTCACCCCTCTCCAAATAGGCCAGCATCCTCTTTGATGCCAATTCTGCGCCGAGCTAGCCTGTAGCTTCGCCTGTCCACCTTCTACTACTAAAGTTATCTGCTCGCTGAAACGGATGCTTGCTGTATCTTGATCTACTTCACTGGTCGAGTAAGCAGAGTTCATATTTACCAGTGTCCAGGAGCGGAAAATACTCGATGATTTTCTCGTCTTCAGGTCGTGAAGTAGATGAAATCTATCCTACATCTTCTGCTACAGGAACTAAAAAATCTGTCAGGACTCTTTTTTACCACATGTTCGACTGCTATAAAGCTAGCGCCAGAAACTGTCCGCGAAATTACATATTTGCTCAAGAAGTCACGGATATATCTCGGCGAGGATTTTGGTCGTCGACCGGAGGTTCACCGCCCCATCAAGTCAGCAACCGCATAGATTCTACGTACATATTCTACAGCCTCTTGAACTTGATGTTACAAAAGATAAAATAAAAGTGACCAAGTTGAAGTTACGTACTACGGATATTTTTCGTTGTGCGTACTGTAGCCACGAATATCTTGCAACCCGTGCAGGCAGAGAACCACGCGAGCAGCTGAGTCGACGGTAAAAATTTCTTGTTGAAGTTCGTAGTGGTAGTTCTATGTTGCTCCTTTTTGATGGACTCTTCGGAAGAAAAAGATTGATAAAGATCCAAAAGTTTTCGCATAGTCGCTTGGGCAAAAAGAAAGCTTTCGAGAAGTGTCGTGCAGAACGGTTTTCTTTCCGTTTAAAACGGAACTGCATGCAAAACGGTTTTGCATAATATCTTCTGATGCTGATCTGGGTACTACTGCGTCGGGAGTGAAACTTCCAACAGAAAACTTGTTCACAACTCTCTATACATTTATATTTGTAGTTATCTTTTTTCTTGATAAGCTGTCGCTAGTAATAGATACTGTCGTGCGGACAATATCAGGTCGATCACGCGTACAAGTCATTGAAAAAACTACCGGTACCGGATGGTGTAATGCAAAAAAAAAGGATTTTTCGGGAGACGATCATCATGATCGTCTCCCGAAAAATCCGGGGCGGCAAGCATTATACCTCTTACTTCGTCCTCACGCTACAAAAACAGTCCAATGTATATTTCCCGTCCTCACGGGCCATTTCCATTTTTGTCAAGATGAGGAAAATAAGATAGCCTTGTCTTGCTGCATCGAAGGCAATTTGTCAACGACAGCAAGTTACTGCGTCTGTGGTATGAAAAAGCTTTTATTCTATAGCAATGTAGAGGCTTGTCCTTGTTCCCGTAGCAGCTGCAATCGACAATAGTTTACCGGTTGTATAAGCAAGACCGAAGTCTATCAATTCAATCTGGCAGTGTAATGCTGTAGGCAGAATGTGCGACGCCGCAGAGTCCAACATTCCGGCCTTTACACGTATGCTGTCGACGCACTAGTACTCAATACAGTGCTAGTGCTACTGCTACCGCCAAGCACAAGAATCTCAACAAAACACTACCCTTCGGTGTCTGTGCCACGTCGGTGGTTCTGGTTGCAAAGATTATAAACAATAACAAAATCAAATGCACGAAAAAATAAAAAAGGACGATCTCCTTTTCAGATACGCTAATACAAAAAAGGGCGGCTCGTCTAGTCTGCTTCCCTCGTTTATATGCTTCTGGTGCAGACACAGTCTGTGTCGGGCTGCAGTAGCACTAACGGCAGGCTAAGTGCTACAATCAATGCAACATTGGGGGCGGAAAATACTTGTTGTACAAGATGAAGATACAGATAGAGATACACGATACAAGATAGTAGTACAACAAGAGACAAGATAGATACAACCACAAAGATACAATACTATTTCTTTGTCTGTTGAGAGTGGTCTGTCACGTCGTGGAACCTTCTGAAAGTCGTTCTTTCGTCTCACGTGGTTAGCGCTATTTCAACAGATAGAGATACACAAAATACTAGACGATAATCCAAAGTACAGACACAATCTTTCTTCGATACACTAGCGCGACAGCTTCTGCCGCTAGTCGTGGAACCGAAGTCAGTGCCAGTCGCCACTCACAGTAAGAACTCAGTTTGCAGAACAGTACTACCCTTTGCAAAAAGAAAAGGAACTCGATCATTTGTGAAGAAAGTCGTCGGCCCAAATGTCACGCTTCGCTGATTTCGCGTCGGTGGAGTACCGCTCGTCTCATACTCGCTACTTGTACTGCTTTTTGTTGTACTTTGTTGATCGTGATCCTGCCTCGGCGGCTTGTTTCTCGCAGGCTTTCACATGTCTGTCTAAGTTGTCGCTGTCGCTACTTGTTCGCTGGAAAACGAAAACCTTGACCTTCTCACTAAAAAAGCAAAAAAGTGCTTTCCTCGTTTGAATGATTAAAATTATCAAAGCTGAAATTTAGTCGTCGTAGAAAAGTTGCGGGCGATTGTTGTGCCGCGCAACGGCCTCCTCCTGATCTTCCATACGCGGAATGGCCTGTTCGATCAAGCTGCTGGAGAGATTGCGCAGATGTTCTGGCCGGTGCAACACAAAAGAGAAAATGAACTTGAGGCGCGTGAATGCTCGCGGAAGCATCATGATGCCCTTAGGAGCCTTCGGCTTGCTGCTTGCGAACCAAGTCCTCAGAAACCCGGACTTTTCTTCTGCATCTGTTTCTTCTTGCAGGACAAGATTAGCCGCATCTTCACTGCGGTTCTCCTTCTTGTTTTCTTTGAAGCAGCTGGTCGTGTATTCCTTCTGCTCGTCCATTTTGTGCGACAACTCCTGACTGCGCAGGTACTGTAAAATCTGGAAGAAGACCGTGCTGACGCCCCGCACGTCTTTGCACAGCAGCGCGGCGTCGCGAAGGTCGACACTGGTGACGTCCTCGAAACGCATGCTTTCGTGATCCGGCGACCACATTTGATCCTCATCTAGCACTGGCACGCCGATTCGCCACATGTCGACGGTGGGTTCAGGGTTGAGCACGTTCACTAACCACATTTGCCAAGCCCGCACGACTGAGGGAAGCGCCAGCTGCTCGTCACCGTTGCAATTGCGCATGTGCCATGTGTAGTTGCACAGCAGCAGCCCGACGAAGTACGCCATTCGGAGGCTGTCGGCCCGTCCCGTGACACTCGGGACGATTGGCGTCAGTTTCGTGTAGTCGGCGACACTTTTCGAGCACAGTACTACAGCTGTGTCGTCGGTGTGCTGCTTCTTCGTCGGTGGCGGGACGGCAAGTGAAGTAGAACTGTTCTGGTCCTCTGTCGCCGCTTTTTCGTCTCCCGTTTCGTCTTTCTTGCTTGATGCTGCAAAACAAGTGCTGCTACTTGCTGGGCTCACAAGCTCTTGCACGAGTGGATCATGATCCTCATCCTGATTGCAAGAACTCATCGATGTCCCGGTCAGCCGCTCCAGTTCCCGGAAGGACAGAAATCTTCTACTCGTACCTTTTCCATTGTTGTTGTTTTCAACAAGGATGGTCTGTTCTAGTTCTTCTCCCTTGGCCTTGCCCGCAAAAGTACTGCTCACACTGTCCTCGTTGTGCTGTACCGTTCCACCTGACGGCGCCTTCGTCGTGTCGGTCGTGACGAGAAGTCCTCCGAGAGCATTGTTCTTCGGTTGTACAACTCCCTCGGTCTTATTCGCATCTTCGGCTGCAACATCCTCGACGAGACAAGTGCCCCACCAGGGCTCCCATGTGGCCTTCACTTTCACGCTGGAGAGAAAGCCCGAGAAGTGTTTTTGTTCTTGCTCCGTCAGGTCGTCCTCATCCAAATAGTCAGCGTTTTGGGAAAGATAGAGCAGCCGCTCTTCACTGATGCCATGCATCGCGAAATCGTGGTCCTCGTAGTCGAAAGCGTCCAACAACACTTTGTCCGCGTCAGCGTTCCGAATCGTGCCAACCTGATTAACACTGGAGTCCTCCCTGTCGTGGGGGTAAGAACTTGAAGAAGAAGAAGTACTGTCGGGGGAGGAGAACCTGCCATAAAAGTTTCCCTGCGCAGGGTACGCGGCGCCGTGCGTGAAGAAGTTCTCGTCACTCAAGGATCGCCCGTCTTTCGAAAAAAACCGGGGGGGCTCGGCGTCTAGGATCGCCCTTCCACGACCACCACTACCGGCAGTGGTCGCCAATTCTTCCGCACAAGCTGGGTCTGCAGCATGCAGGTGCGCCCGCCGATTTTGCTTCCACGCATCCGATTGGGTGGGACTGCTTGCTTCCGCTTCCGTAGCGTTGGCAATCAAAGCACCACCTGTGTATCGTTTTGCTTTTCATGTGAAAACGTGAAAGAACTCGACGCAGCTTCATCGCCCCGATGAAGAAAACTACAAGATGTTGAAAGTGGATCGGTACAACAACTGATAGATACTTACTAGCAATCCAAGCACCATGAACATGGTCACAAGGCATTCGTCTCTTAGCTACCCAGCCTTCTATAGCGTTCGCGTTCAACTTCAATTATCAAAGTAGAACGATGAATAAAACTGCGCTTTATACGAGCAAGGCCAGTTGTGAAACTAACGTACCGCTCGAGTTCGTCTGATCATGGTGAGGTCCCTGCTTGATTGTCCCCCGGGTACCGGAAAAGCACGCGTTGACCGCAATTTTTGCGGTTTCACTGAAGAAGTCGGAAAAGTGCTCGGTCGGGCTTTTCAGTTTTACCGCTACGTCTTCGAACTGCGTTAACACGTTGGCGTCCCGCAGCGGTCGCACCTCCCCGAAGCCGGGCAGCGCGTCCGGAAAAAATTCAACAAGTTCCTCCACGGGGATGGAATTGAAGCGCACCCGAGCTTTCTTCGACGGCATTTTTGCACGCTTCACCAGGGCCTCCGGCGTGGCGACGTCGCTGTCACTATCGTCCGCCCACGAGGACTTGTTCGCCAGCAAGCTGTTAGTCACGGTGTTTTTAATGACCAACTTGGTCAGCTGCTCAACGTAGGTGGCCGAGTCGCGCCGCGGATACCCATGCGCCTTTTCTACTGTCGAATAGTGCAGCTCGTTTTGCTGCTCCTGGTTGCTGGCGCACTCGACGTCCGCAACTACGGCCGGCGCACCCAAAATATCGACTTCGCAAGACGAGCTGGCAGTAGAAGATGGACCGTTAATATTTCTAGCCCCGCAGCTGGTGGAAGACGAAGAAGCCGTAGTAGACACAGTGCTCGTTCTGTTACGGAGAATGCCTTTCGATGGCTGTGTGGCCATCGCGGCCAACATGTTCGGTCGGGGGATCTTCTCACTCAGCTCGGTCGACGAAGTACCGCCGTGCATTCGCCGACAACGCGCGACAGGCACCAGTGGGCGGAAATTCTCGCCAAATTCCCCGCTCCGGTGCTGCAGATGCTGGTAGTCGAGATCTTCGATGATCTGGTTGCGATAGTGAAAGTCGCGGTCAGCAGCAAAGCTGCCACTGGGCTCGTGCTCGAAAAAGGGCTTTATTTCGACGCTTTCCTGCTCCACAGCTCCGAGCATCTCTTCCCACTGCGGCGTAAAGTTTTCGTGCGTCCAGTCCTCGTCTCCGATGTTCATCTGGTGCGAGGAAGACGATGTGGAAATTTTCCACACATCTTGATCCCCCTGCTTGGGAAAATCTTCGACATCTTCCGTGCTTCCGGTGCCGAAGTCGCCCTTTGCATTCTTCATCCGAACAAGGCTGGTGTCATCTTCAACTTTGGGTGAGGCGGGTTCCAAGCAAAGTTGTTTATCGCGGTCATGATAAAATAAAACCGGGTCCTCTACTGTCCTCAGAGCGGGCCGCCGCGGGGGTGGGGTGATGCTAGCGTCCGAAGCAGGATGACCACTGCTCTTGCCCCACGACCGCTCGGAGCTACAGTCGGAGGTCTGATCATCGTCGCAGGGAGAAGTGGTTCCTCGCGGCCACCAGCTTCGGGAAGAGGGGGAGACGGAGTTCGTGTGTGGCGTGCCGCTGCCCGTGGTGTTGCGGCCTGACGGGGTGCCGAACCCGAAGCCGGAACTAAAATTTCCCTGCTCCCCGCCACACGAAAACTCTTGCTCGTCGAAATTCTTGTCCAGGGTCTGCAGTCCGTGAAACATCTTCTGTAATTTCCGCCGTTCCTCGGGATCCGGCTTCTGCCGCTCCCGGAGCTCCTCTTCCACCTGTGCCTGGAAAAACTGCTCCGTGCAGCTCGTCGAGTGCTGGTCGTAACAGGCTACGCTGCAATACCGCATGTGGCACTTGGGGCACCGGTAGACCCCCAAGGCACGCTTTTGGACGGTCCCCGTCGCATGAGCTTCGGTCGGAGCAAGAACGGTCGTGTCCTCGCTACACACTTGACAGAACTCCGAGGACGAGTTCTTTCCAGGTTGTAGTTTCGTTTCCGGGTTTAATATTTCGCGGTTTTTTTGGTCCTCGCACGACACGACCTCCCGTTTATTTGTTCCCACATCTTCTTCTGAACAAACTACACCAGCAGTGGACGATGGTGCAGCTCCGTCCTCTGCAGCATTTTTACAGATGCTCGGCTTCTTCTTCGCTTCCTGGTGTGCAGCGATCGTGCGGGGGTTCGGGCGCTTCGCGTTTCGGGGTGTCTCGTCGTCGTCGGTACTCAACACGGGCGCAGAAATGCGAGCAATCACCTTTATTCCTGCTGCACAAGAACTAGCAGACTTCTTATTGCGTTTGTGCCCTTCTTGTTGTTCGTCGTTGCAACTTTTTGGTACGATCTTCCGAGGCGGCAGCTTGGCTAAATCAAAATTGGACTTGATTTGATCTCCTTCAAGCGTAGTTTCCACCTCGTCGGTCGACATCGCCACCAAAGGCGCGGATTGAGCCTCCGCTAGGACGTCCTTCTTGTCTTCCTCATCACATCCCCTGCTCGACGATAGCGGCACAGCAGCCGCAGCAGTATTGCCGAAAGGCTTTTTGGCTTCGTCACGACCACCCAACTTTTCATCTGCCCTTGGAGTCACGACCGGAGACTCGTCATCATCAATAATCTCGACTGCGCGGTAAAACTTGGGTGCCTTTTGCAATTGAGACAACAGCGGCGAGCCGTGGCTGCTGCTACTTGATGCGGCCGATAAAACGGGATCAGACAAAACTGGGGTGGAAGTGGATACATCAACTTCCTGGCTGCTTACTTCTTCGATCAAAGGTGGTAGTTGCTGACATGCAGTCGCTCTGGTGGTGCTGACAGGAAGGCGAGTGCCGGAACTTCCTCGGGAGTTGTATTTGGTGCTTGGCTTGAAGAGCACCCCCGACTTCTGCGCAAAATTCTGGGTCCTATCCGTCTCATCGGACACGATGGTCAAAAGCCTGCGGGTGTCCACAGGAACGCGACTCACGCCCGGCAAGCGAAAGTTGGTTCTTGGCGCGTCCATTTTATTGCTATGCAAGCGATGACGGTGCGGAGGTGCTGGTCAAGCCAAAGACGCTAATGCGACCTCCCGAGTTTTTCTTCTTTTCTCCTCGAAAAGACTAGGAAGGTTCAATTCGCCTTTGTCGTGTATATTTGTATTTCTTTCATTTTCTTTTTCACTTTTCCAAGAAGCTGGTGGCAGTGGTAGGTAGCTAGAGGCAAAAGAAAAAGTGATGAAAAACAAAAACAAATTATAGAAAAAACGGTGCGCTCAGCCTTTTGTTGGTTCCCAATGTTGACACTTTTCTTTATTTTATTGCTTTGATTCTTCCTCTGAAAATGGAAGTCAGCAATTACTTTTGTCCAATCCGGTGCTCATCTCCGTGCTGATCGGAGTTGGACGGAAAATAAGTTGTTGCTCCTGTTGCTTTTACTTATACTTGTTGAAGAAACAAAGGCACTTCTATACTTTTAGCCGTATCAGCTCTTCTCCAGGGATTTTGCAAAGAAAAAAAGCGAGTTTCTGAAGAAGATTTTTGTCACAAGGAGTCCCGCGGCTAACTGCTCCACTTACTGTTAGTTACTCAAAATCACAGGTTGCATACTTAACAAACTGTAAACCTCGCTTCTCGACTATTCTGTGTGCAAGACGATTTTCAAGTGAGAATCACACCACATGACACCGGAGTAAGGACGGAATACGAAAAAAAAATATATACAACTTACTGGAAAATACTCTCATCTGCAAAGAAACTAAAGAAAGATGAAAAGCGTAAATTCTTTGTCTGACTTCAACAACTTACGCCGTGGATGACGCTGTCGCTGTTTTTTTTTTTGTGATGCTTCAAGAATTGACATGAGTGTCGCTGTGGGCCTCCCAAAATGCAATACTGAGACTTTCGGAGATTTGATGCTGCTGGTGTGTCGGTGATGATCCTTCCGCGGTGAAAACGTCTAGATTTGAAACGAGGAGAAAACGGTCCTGCAATGGTGCGAAATGCAGATGGAGATCAATTTTTTTTTCAGCTGCCGGATCAACTAGACGAACCAAAGATAATTTCCTTCTTCATTTCCGTCGTCCCTGCAGCTACAAATGTGATCACATTTTTCACACCTATTTTGAATGAGAGATCATGCGCATTTCCTTGAACGGCTTTTGATGAGATCGTTTGAGAAGCTGTCGATTATTGCTCCTCATCAACATCGGCGACAAGTTAACGGATCAAAAGAAGTAGAAGTACAATGCCGAGAGGAGCAACAACTTGCGCAGGACTTCGCATTCTGCTTTGAACTAAAAGCGCTCCTACCTCCAAAGCGGCACTTCAATAGAGGAGCGATTTCAAGGATCTTCCAGTTTCCGCAACAGCATGAGGTGACGGCGACGCCGGCGAACCATGATCGAAATAAGAACTGCAGACCTTAATGGACCGGAATAGTGACCCGCGTTGTGTCTTGCAAATACGGGCTGCCACTACCAGAACCAGATCAAGTGCAAGTCTTGGCTCACACTATATACTTTTATTGCCTTTCGTGTTAATCCGTAGGCGCGTGTTATATTTTTTTCGTAACAGCATGCAGCTGCGTTTCTTGAGCTTCTTAAATCATACAACATATTGCATTTTCTCGTAACTCAATCTGAGAACGACGACAGCACTTCCTTGACGACCTGGCAGCCTATCTTGACAAGAAACTGACGTTGTTAGAAACGAAACCGAAACCAGCAATACAAGAAGACGTATACGATTATGTCAAAGTGAAATAAGTTTTTTTTTTGTATGAGATCCGCTATGAACCATAAGCAAAGAGAAGTAGTGCAGATCCTAGTGTTCAAGGAGGATTAAGTTATTGAAAAAGTAATGAGCGTACGAGAAGTTCCCTGTTGTCATTTTTGTGATGGCGCAGATCATACGCCTGCGTGACTTGTGATTTCGTTTTCGTTTTCTTGCTGCAACTGATTCGTCGTGCTCGGTGACAACTTCGTGTGGACCAGGTGACTTGTTCAGCGTGAAGGTGCATCAATTGTCGCTGCAGAACAAGCTGTTCCGAGTGTCCCCGTGGAGCAGATGTAGTTACTCTGTCAGGTGCAGGACGCGTTGTGCAACTCTTCCAACTGCGCACAAAAAACTGGGCTCAGGGTCCGGCAGAGCCCGTTGATATCAGGCCGCATCTCCGCGTCGCGCTCAAAGCAGGCTTCTGTCACCTCGACCAGGAGCTCCCGGTCTTCGTCACTTGTCATCGTGGAGTATAAGCGATTCATCGCGGGGTGATGTTTTTTCTGTTGCAGCTGTTGGTGTGCTGGTCCACGAGAAGGTCGCTCCGTATCTATTACTTCTGTTTGCAGCCCGATGGTGCCCGCTTTATTTATCGCTCTTATTTTACTCGGAGAGGAAGCTGCTGCTGCTGCTGACGTGGACGACGTCCTTGAGCTTGCCGTACCAACTGCACGACCTTTATTATCATCTGTAGTTGATGATGTATTTGCTCCAGTTAGTACAACTTCACTTCCACGAGAAGAACTGAATCTAGTGCGAAGAGGCACGTAATCTAACTCAACGATTTTCCGGGCGACTGAGAGCGGGTTCGTGCCCTGAAACGGGTCTTCGAACGTGGCCATCTTGTACAACAGACATCCCGCGGCCCAGATGTCAACCTTCTCCGTGTACTTCTCCCCGCGCACCATTTCAGGAGCATTGTACAGCACAGAACCCACGCACATGGACTGGCTCTGCAACCAAGAATTATCACTGTCACAGGAGCTGGCCACGCTGTGGCTCATGATGTTGTAGTTGTCCTCGAAAGCACTTGCGGCCCCGAAAGGTGGCGGGAGGCCCGCTGCCGCAGCAGCAGGAGTTTTGCTGGTTGCAGAGGAAGTAGATGTTGAAGTAGACATGATCTTGGCTAACCCGAAGTCGATCAGCTTACAGTCCAGTGTGTGCGGAGTTATGAGGCAATTGTTGGGCGACAGGTCGCGGTGCGTGATGCGCACCTTGTTGTGCAAGTAGCGCAAAGCCAGACACACTTGGGAAAAGATCTTCCACCGCTGGCAGCCCGGAAGCATGCTGATGATCTTCGTGCTGCTGGCCGTGCTGCTCTGGTCGTTATCCGAAGTGGTGGTGCGATCCAACTGAGCAACGTCGCCGGTCCCGGTTGCAATCTGGCTACTGCTGCTGGCGGTGGTGTTCATCTGCTCTTCTGCACTTTTAGACGATGTGAAGGTTGCGAGATTCGAATTATCGGCTCGCTGCTCTACTACCGCCGACGTGTCCTCTGTGCTATAACTACCCTTGGAAGTCGTCGTGTAGAAGTTGTTCATCAACGCGCAGGATTGCAGTGCGTAGCTTTTGTTCCGGTAAGAGATGAGGTACTGCTGCAGTGTCATGCCTGGGTGGTACTCCATCACGATCACCAACGTACTGTCTTCGACAAAGGAATCGAAAAAGCGGATAATGTTGGGGTGCTCGCACCGCTGCAGAATTTTCACTTCGCGGAGAATCGTCTCGCACACGACCTTCTGGTCACTGTGTTTGTTCCCGTGATGGTTCTGGCTGGTCATCGATGAGTTGTAGTCCGCAACAGGAACCAAAGACAAGTTGAATTGACCCGTGGCCAGACCGCCGAAAAAACCGTCCTTGTGTCCCGCTTGTTTCAGCGTCCCCGCGGCCGGCGTGCGCGGGGAGACCGAGGGGAATAGTGGCTCTTGTTCTCCCTTTTCTTCGTCGAAGGCCGTCGAGTTGTCTTGAAAATGTTCTCCTGGTTCTTTTCCTTGCTCTGCCGAATTTCTGGAACTCTGGTACCGGTTTTCCAGCAGGCTCGAGTCCAAGAATTGATGTGACCCGCCACCAGTTTCGTTGTTATTTTCGTTCCGGTCAATTTCCAGTGTTTTCAGCGCAAAGTAGTCGCCCAGGTCGTCCTGCGCCCAGTGCACGGCCCCGAACGCCCCGTGGCCTAGCGTTTCCAAAATCTGGAACCCGCCAACGCGCATCTTTCGAATGTTGGTCTGCAGGGACGGCCGCCGGTCGGGCGCCGGCGTTCCGTCTTCACTTGTATTCAGTGTCGTCGTGATTTCCAGCAGCTTGCTGCGGTCGAAAACCTTCGGCACATTAGTACCATGATATGCTGGCACTTCTGTGCCTACCTGCTCTGGATCTGGTAGCCTGATCATACTCCCTAATGTCGGCGGGGGCTGTGCAGCCGGGTTGGCGTCATACTCCTCATTACCACCAGACACTGCTTGACGCGCTGTAGTTCTACTTTCCCCAAGAATATCGTCCGCGTCCTCAAGATGAGTCTGCAACCTTGTCACGGCCCTTGGCGCGTCCCAACGAGCGTGAAAGGAATCGGTCAAAAATTCAGCCGCTGCCTTCTCGTATTTGCCCAGCTGCCATTCGTAATCGCGGATACTGCGGAAGGAATCGGTAGGGGCGAGTGTGACATCCAGACCCAGCATCATGTTGATCAGGGGGCGATTTCGTTCAGAGCAGTACAGAAACCGAAGTAACCGCAGCGCTGCGAGCGGCTCGACCACTTGCTGCAGTGCAGAAGATGATGATGAGCCGCTACCTGCGCTTCTAATGCCCTGCTCCAGACCCTGGCGTTGAGCTGCACTTGCACGCCGGTTTTTGTGGTAAGAGAGGAGCAGGTTCAAAATCGGTCGCAAGTCCACCATGTCATCGCCGGGAAGGTCACTCGCATCGTCCTGCTCGAAGTTCTTTCCGCCACTTGACGCCGCGCCGTAGTTGTCTTTGGTATTGTTATTGAGAAAGCAGCTGCTGGATATTTCCGAAGCCTCCGCTAGTACGGTGTTCGTGTACGCTGCAAGCGGTGTGGTCGAGGACGTCGCCGTGGGTTCCATTTGAAAGAAGCCGCCGGCCGTACTAGAGCGCATATCTTGGTCTGACGAGGTGAACTCCGGAAAAATGCAGCGTCGCAGCAGCCGATCAGCAAACGTGTCATCGACGGAGAGTTGCGTCAGCGCCCGCAGCGTGCAGACGATCTCCGCGCTGCCGCACTTTTGAGGCTTGCGACACGCCAAGACGGACCAGAGAACGTATCCCGCGTCGGCGTTGAGAAACTGCAAGGTGCAGCGCGGATCGCGGTGCCAGTCGCGGGCCAGAACCTCCAGCAGTTCCAACGCCCGGCCGCGCACTTGCCGTTCCGTTTGCGGTTTTTCCAGCAACAAGAGAATCGCAGACAGTGCCGGGACCGCGGTAAACTGCGCCGTCGCGGCGGGGGTCTTCGCCGGCGACAACGGGTGGTCCATGATCCCATTGACCGAGAAGCGCGAGGAGCGTCCGGTGGCTGCCATGCGGTACGCCGCTGGCGTTTGGGCGGTCGACAGCATTGTGGTTGCCGTGGCGCCAAGAAAGCGGTCGTTTACACTTACTGCGGTGCGCACGCGCAGCCCAGGATCGAGTAGCGGGTTGGGCACGATTTGCAGGACTTGCACCAACCGGAAAAGCAAGTCTGCGCTAAATTGACTATGTGAGGCGGATGGACAGCACATGTACTCAACTAGGGACCGATACGGCCGCTCGGAGTGAAATTTTTCAAAAAACCGAAGCTGGTTTCTCTGTAAAAAGTTGCTGGAAGACGATGATGAAGAGGTGCTACTTCCAGGAGAAAATGCACTTCCTGTGCCTCCTTGTGGTCCCACCGAGGAGATAATGGTCGACTCCGCCGTAGAAAGATCTTCTTCGTCGCAGGCTCGTCGTGGGCGGTGTGCTGAGCTTTCCAGCTGTTGTTGTGCTGGCTCTTGTCGGAGGTTGTTCCTTGTGTGAGGGGTCGCGCCGGTGAGAATTTGAGACAGCAGCTCAAACGTGCATTGACTCACCGTCCACGTTGTGTGCGGGATCTTCAGCAAACGGGCCAAGGCCGGCAGCAGATCCTCCTGAAAAACCGGAAAGTAAACCGACCTCTCAGTGTCGGAGCAGGCGGAGACGACGGGGACCAGGTGCAGAAAAACGCCAAGAAACTCACAGGTTGCGCATTCGTGAATTTGTAACTGGTCTGACGCCCGACCGTAATCGCTGACGATTCTCGCAAAAATCTCCGGTGCGGACATGTGCAGGGGCTCGCTGATCCAAGAACCTTCAGTGTCGTGGTCCCACCAGCACGCTGTGCGTGTCTGCGGAAGCTGATGGTCATTATCTGCCGCGTTGATATGCCTATTTCTGCCACCACCAGGACCGTCTTGCAGCTGTGCATTGTCGGCCGGAACGCCGGCACGAGTGAGGCCGTAGTTCGTGCTGGGCCGCTGGGGAAAGGAGCTCGTCGAGGCCAGGAAACGTTTCAACAGACTTGTCGCTAGTCGTGTGTCTCGGGTCAGGATCCGGAGACATTGCAGACAACGCATAACATCGGTGAGCGGAAAGTAGAGCGACCAGATGCGCGAAACAAGAGTGTGCATTAGGAGGAGAGCAACATTCTGCCCTTCTTCTTTTTGTGCAGGTGGGTTCTTCGCACTTTCGCCGTCGCCCACGGAAAAGACATACCTGTCGTGATTTTGCGCGATCCAAGACGCCAACGCTTGCTGCTCGCTGTCGGTCTGCGAAGCCAACGCCTCGTGGAGCGCCGCACAACTCCGCTGCAGAACAGACCAATTTTCAACCATAGCAAGGATTTTAAAATGTGGCGCTTACGGAATTGCGTTTCCTCTAAACGTGCAAAGTACAACTGTCCGACAAGACAGCCAGCAAGCCGGCATCCATTTGTATTTCAATCTAACAACTTCACTTCCTTTGTGTGATTAAGTGGGTCGACTACAAAGGGAACTCAGTGTGGTCTGTGAATTATCTGTGGACACATTTCTCCGCTCTCAGCCATTTCCTTCATTGTTCCTTCTCTGATCCCACGACACGTCGCCCAACAACAAGAACACACTAAAGACTGCATGCTCATAACAGCAGGACGAAGAGCGGACATACTATCTTCGGCTGCTTCTTCTACGCCTCTCAACAACTTAGTTGAACAGATCAGATGAACACTTCAGAAAACCAAAAAACGCGCTTCACTTCCAGTGGCAAGCGGCATGCTCCTCAATGACATTTCTTATCATTGGTCCCGGCTATGTATCGCTTTGTGTTTGTTCTTCTTCTCATATGCGTGCAATACCCATAAAATCAGCTCGAAGCTGTGAACCAGCATCACACTATCTTCAAAGCTGTTGCTGATTGAAAAAGTCGATGTCAGGAGGGTGTGACAAGCGTAGTCGAGGTATGAACATCTTCACGCTGCGGCAGCTGCCTGATTTTTGGCAGCTTCTTTCTGTTCTTTTTCTCGCGCCAGCTGTGCCTCAACTTCTGCCTTCCCGTTTTGGAACGCATTCATCAACGAGCCTTTTCTAGCCAGGTGCTTCAGGGCACACAAGATGAAGGGTACGTAGTCGTGCCGCCTTCTTGAGTTTTCCTTCCTGTATTGCTCCTTTCGCTTCGTGCTGTCGGCAATGCTCTCTTCCAGGGTCTTGATGCTGCTCGTTGCGTCGGTAGCTAACTTTTTCAGCTCGTCGACGTCTGTGAGGAACATTTCAAAATTTTTGGACCAATTCAGATTTCGTAAATGTTGCAGAATATCAGTCAAGGGCAAGCGCAAGACCACCCGAAATTGATTTGCATCAAAAAGCCAACGTCCATGGAATTCTTTCGTTACAGTTTGCTGTTACAGGACCAGAAACAAGAGAATCAAAATTTTCCACCAAACTACTAGAGCAGCAAAGCGCGTCTATCATTGAAAAAGCGTTGCAGTACCGTCCGGCAGTTCCTCAAAGGTCATGACGCCGTCGGGTGCGTCGTCATCGTCTACTTCGTCCTCGAGGAATATGTCTTCGCCAAAGGATACCATTTTGATATTTGCCCGCTGTCGCTGGTGTCGGAGCTTCAGGATTTCCTTTTCGACCTCATACGCCTCGTCCTCGACGATAGACAACAGGTTAAAGCGTATCTCCCCCTCACCCTCGCTCTGATACCTGTAAAAGTTGTGAGGACATCGTTTTTTTTTGACATTTTGGCATTGGGTTGTAGCAAAAAAACACGCTACAGCAGTTCATCGCAGCTGGTTGCTTGCATCCGTTATGAGAAAACAAGCTGCGAACAACTTACAAAAAGTAGACGAAAGACCAAGTGGATAAACGATATTTTCGTACTTTTCCATTCTCGAGCGGATTTCTGGCTTGACGGTTTCTATCCAGTTCTCGTCGTTGATTGGTCCGATTTCTATTGGCCCTTCCTGAAGCCCGTCCAGCTCGTAGACTTTTCCGTTGTATGGCACGTACCTAGTAGAAGGAGTTGCTACAATCACGGTTGCGATGCGGTTGCACCATCATCAAGCAGGAGAGGGCGTGACCCACTCAAGCATGAGAGAAGGTGCGTAACGCACGACCTTCGTTGCTATACAGGTGAAGTTAGAGACAGTGACAGATTGTCGCTATCAAGCATATTATTTACAATAAGCTCTACTTTATCCACGAAATAATGCAGAGCCTATGCATTTTACCCGATGAAATGGAACGCATCCTCTTTCGGGTCCTTTTCGTCGTGTACGAAATCGAAACTGCTTTGTCTCGAAAAACTATTGTGCACTTCCCGGACGGCGTCTTGGTTTGATATTGCCAACCCTTTCATTTGCGGATCGAACCTGATTTGTGTTAGTCGAACTTGACAGGTTTATGCAGCAGCTTCGCTTCACTTTCTACGTTTTTTTATGCTCTGTCCCCAGCTGATAAATATCGCCTGGCGTCGGTCCGCCGGGGTTGATACCTACGTCCACCTCCTTGTTCTCATATTGTGAAGCTGCAAAGCGAAAAAAAAATCAGTACGCGGCCGTGAATGTCTTGAAGTCCGTAAGTGTAGTCCCGAGCTCCTTTATTTTTGGTGCGTTCAGCAGGACCGATAGGATTGCCTGCGTCGCACAGGCATTGGTGATTACCTCAAGGAACGGGATGGATGCATTTGAGGAATGCCAGATTCTCGGCAGGAGCCGGCTGCTTTTTCGCTTCTGTTTCATCTGTACTTCTGTGGGCTACTCACACTTGTGGCTGCTCCTGGTCCTGCTTTCATCAAACATACAGAAAATAAATCAGAAGATATTACCTGCTTCGCAAAAAAGAGTCCGGGGGGCGGATTGGCGACGACTTGTCTTTTTTCTGTTGCTTTTTTGCACTTGAAGAGAAAAATGAGACCGTAAGATTCCCGTGGGACGAGATCGATGTCGAACACTTCATCGAATTTGACACCCTTGACGCCGACCTTTTCCACCAATTCGGTGAAAACCGCGGGGTCGGATTCGATCAAGCACCAGTCGCCCATTTTTGATCGGCTGTCTTGCCAATGCCACTGTCGCTATAGAAGGAAAATAATGATAAGGTAGCTGGTACGTAAAACGCTTTAACCAAGTATGTCGAACAAAACAAGGCGAGAAAGGAGAGTCATCGTACCTACGTACTGTCGCTTGTGAAGAATAAGAGAGACAGAGTAAAACGAGATGCGTAGCCCTGGCTGTCTATTTTTCTCATTTTCTTCAAACACTTAAGAAAACAAAATTGACGTTGAAATAGGAACAGATATTCACAGTCTTGTTCTTTGGGCTGACAAAAATCAGTGCATAGAACTCAAAAATGGTGGCAAGTGATCATTCACAAAGTGCCGAACGGCGAAAAGTCGTGGAGCTTGCATATTGTTTTTTTTTTCGTCGGTTCAGATATTAAGGCAGTTCAGCCCCGGTCACGACATGATGCGTAAGTAACTGGTTAACGCAAGCTCTGCAGTGTCAAACTGCGTGAGTCAGGCGGAACAAACATGATCTCTTCTCGTACGACTTTCTCGGGCTGCCGGAAGTCTTTTGTAGAACTCTCACTGATGCCAGAGTGCGGAAAGCCGCTCGTCACCGTCAGCTGTTAGTGTTACTGTAACTGTTCTTTGTTTCGTTCAAAAATAGATATGGATATCGTACATTCAGAATTCTTCTTGGCTGCTTGGTCTCTGACATTCGCCTTCGCTTTCGTGACATGAGCATGACAAACGTGCTGGCAAAAAACATAAACAAGCAGAAACGGAAACAAAAGCTCAGCTATTTCAAATGGGCGGTCCCAAGAACTCGTCTTACAGATGCCTCTTGGCGACGTTGTTGATGTTCTCAAATTTCGGATCTGGTGTGAACGTTTTCGCGAACTGCGAGTTCAAAATTCCCTTCGTTGTGTCTGCTTGGTCGTTGACCGGTGGCGGCTTCGGAAGTTGCAGCTGTAGGGACATTCTCGGTCGTTTGTCCACTGCCTTGATCAACTCCTCCACTACATGCGGCTCTTGCTCCTTGTGAAAATCGATGTCCAGATCCAGAAGATCCGCGTTTCCGTACCGCCAGCCGCATTGTGGGGCGAATAGCATCAGGTGGCAATCGACGCCGGTGAGGCTCGGGCCGCCACCCAAAAACCCACCGTACTTCATTAAATGCGCGTTTTCCATCTCTCTTCGCTTCGTGAACTCGTCCTTCAAAGCTTCGGGGTCCGTGTGGTTAGGATCGTCTTTCTTTGCATCGACGACCTTTTTCCGCACCTCCGCAAGCGCCTCTTTTCTCGGGTCATACATCACCTTGTGCTGCGTCGAGCCGCTGGAAAACTCCGCCTCCGAGAAAAATGAACTTTTGGCTTTGGCACGAGGAGGACCACGACCATTCGGCCACAAGTGCGATGGCGGCGTTTGTAATTGTATCGGTATATTCCTCCGTGTCAATGATCTCCCCGCTCTCGAGTGCTGCTGCAACGAGAGATTTTTACCAAGCCACGCAGAGGTGTCGCCATGGTTCGGAGCATCTGCAGCAGCAGCGTGGTGCCACTTGTCAATAAACTGCTGTATCAGCGCCGGCATCTTGTAGAAAAAACCCTTGTGGTGCCCTACATACTTGTTACCTACTTCTGAAAATTCAAAGTCAGTCTTGAAACTGTAACACTGTAAAATCCTTCTGCACGTTTTTTCTTGTTGAAGCCGCAAAGTCACAACCTCCACATCCGACACACGAAACAGGGACGAGAACACTACACGCTTTCCAACTCGTCTCCTCGATGAGTCAATTTTGACCTCTCCCTTCATCTAATCTTTTTCCGTAATAATTGACGTTACACGCTCAGCACTTATTTGCTCTCAACCTCGTCAGCGTGGCCGTATCGAGTGACGATGCCAAGTAACAGCTTTCTATCGTAGTAACTGCTACAGACGACAGCTGTTCTTTCCTTCTTTTGTTGTCATGTCAAAGCCAACTCCGGGATCGGTTCATTTTTTCTCACAGCAATTATCCGTCGAGGGCGAGCGCGATGGTGTTATTGTACAAGATGAAGCAAAGAAACTGTGTTCTCAGAGATCGTTTTCGTTATGTGTGTCCCCATGCTGAAAAAAACTAGAACTGTAAGCGTTGTTGTAAAACTTTTTTCTACAAATGAATCGCAACAAGGGTTTTTCCCTGCCTACATCAGTTCAAATTGAAACGGTTCCTGGTACTCGTATTTCATGCTGTTGATGTTCTTGGAAAGAGTAAAAGTGTAAGGATTAAAGTTGATTCAGTAAAAATTTGAAATTCGCTTCCAAGTTTGCTTTTGCTTTGATTGTTTTTCAGTGTGATAAGTAGATAACTCAGACTTGTGAGTTTTTGTCGTCCTTGTACTCGTCCTATGGTCTTGATGCTAAATTCTCAGACGACTCCCTCGCTTGCGGGATCGATGAATTTCGCTGTTGCGAAGAATATCATGCAGCTACAAACTCCAATATTCCTCCACAGCCGGGCCTGGTCGCTCGCTTCCAACTGGCACGGAGTCTTGCATACGTTGGTCCGCCGATCGCCCGCACACCGCTCTCTGCATCTGAAGCTGAAGTCTCGATTTCGGCGCACTGGTGTTAATACGGCCGCCGGGAGTCGATCTTAGTTTTGTTTTTTCGAGCCAGGTCGTCACTCGTCGTTGTCAGTGTATGTATACCATCACAACAAACATGCGAAAAAGGCCACACAAAACTACATGACAGCAAGGAAGTAATTACATGGCAGCAGCGGCGCCTCGCGCCTTCTCGATTAGCCTTCCGCCAGAGCATAGTGGTATCGAGTCTCGAGCAGACACGGAAGAAAAAGCGCTGTAGACCGGGATTTCCGCTCCATCTGGACAAGCGCAAACTAGCAACTGCGAAGATTCTTGACTCGTCCTGATCACACGCTGACTTTCCTCCATACTGGCGAACCCAATGGCACGGATCAGAAGGTTGGACTTCTGTTGGATGTTTTTCTTCGGCGAAAGTGGCTCGCTGTCGCTCGGCGGAGTTGCTACAGTTTTTGGAACTCGCTCTCCAGAAGATTGTTCAGAAACTGCACCAGAGGACGAGGAAAAATAGAGGCCTGCATTTTCGTCCTTCACCCCGCAAATCTTGTCGCCGAAGATGCGGTCATTGCAGGAGGGACAAAACGTGACAGACGACCAGCCGGCTTCGTGTTGCATCACTGCCCGCTCGTCCGGGCCTAGGGAGAGAGCGATGCTCAAATGCGGTGTGCGGTCCGCGTGCAGGTCAAAATCCTGGCCGTCATACGTGTCGTCGTCGTGCCAGCCGTTTTCCTTCATGGTTTGCTTCATGGCGTGGTAAAGCCTTGTCTTCTCAACACTCGGGAGTAGATTTTTTGCCGCATTCGCTTTTTTGGTTCGCGCGCGCTTGCCTACGAACCGTTGCTCCAAGACCAACTCGCAGTTGTTGTTTGATGTTGCTGTGAGTGTACTTTCGGATGGTCCATGGAAGGAAACCGCATGGCAGCGCGGCTGCATCCGGCACTGGCGGACACAGTGTGCTAAATTGGTCGCATTCACTGCCGCGCTCGCTATTTCCCCGAACCGCGACGGGTCGAAGTGCGTTTTTGCGTCTTGTCCGGGTGTTGGGACGCGAATTCGCGTATCTCGAAGCGATTGCTCGCGACAATCCAGGGCCACTTTTTCTGGTCGGCAGCACTCCACAGCATCGCATTGGTGGCATTCTGCAGCAGCGGAAAATTTCAAACCCGGCAATCTGCAGATGCCTTGGCGCGAAGCTTCCGCGTGTGTAGATTCGCACGTGGTTGTAGTTCTCATCTCGAGCTTTTGTCTTTCTTGAACTTGGTTCTTCGGAAATGCACCAGGAGAGAAATGCTCGCGATTTTTCACAGAAGAGGCGGCACGAGCAGCATCTTGTGGCACTTTCAACATGCCGCAGTCAACGCGGACAGCAGGAATTTGATGCAGCAGCTGCGTGGATGTTGATCCAGAAGTTGCAGTTGTGTGCTGATTTCTTGCCGTTCGCAATTCTCCGCCCTTGCAGGTCTCTGCTGAATGTTGGGTCGACGTACTATCAGCGATGAGCGGATAAGCGACATTTGTTGCTGGACAGTGGCAAAAATGAAGTTCAGCATCTTCGTGTAGTTCATCTGGCCTTTCCCCTGCTCTTCGAGCAGACAGATCTGGTCCGTACGTGAGCGTCAAGGTATTTGCCGCGGCGGAGGAATTTGTTCTTAGATGGGCAGGAGCGGTAGCGACAAGCTTCTCTAGTTCCTCTGCGAAGTTGAATTTTTGAAGACTCGTATCCAGAGTAAAAACGTACCCACACCAGAGTCAAGATGGGGAATCGGCTGGACAAATCCACAAGTTTTGTCTGTTTTGCATGACAAATTTGGATTCGTAGTATAGTGCTGTTTGAGCTAGCTCAGCAGCATCACAGATCTAGCATACCATGCTGATTGGAGCATGACAAGTTGCAAAACACGACTAGAAAATGCTTCTCATGGAGCTCCGCATGAGAAACATTTTCAGCATGCAGATTCGCATTACAACTCTGGTGTGGGCACGTTTTTACTCAGGATAACTCGACGATGTCTCCTGCAGGAAAATCAGAGGGTGTTCGCTTTTATGACCCGCTCAGGTGTTACAATCTCAAACGTTACAATAGAATCTGGAATTTGTGTTGCAACAAGTGCATGATCTACCCTACTCCCACAGGATTGCGCATGACAAGTTCTGGAGTCCCAATCCGCACTACAATCTGGCGAAATTTGTATTGCAAAAAGTGGAACGCTGTCCGAGTCTGTCATGTTGATCATGCAAGACAAATCTCAGATTCTATTGTAACGTTTGAGATTGTACCGTTTGAGCTGGTCATAGCTTTCCTCGACCTCTTCTGCCTGCTCGATGGCCCGCAGAGACGGGTCTTCAGCGCTCGCCTGCATCGCCAGGAGGGAAAGCACGTCTTCCGACTGCGGACCCCGAAGCTCTTCAGAACTGTCTAAGTACACGACGCTGTTCGCCAAAACATCCTCCTGGCGCTTTTTTTCCACTTCTTGCCTCCGTTGTGCGTCCTTTTCCTTTTGCTGATTGGACTTGGAGGATGAGGTTTGCTCTACTTGCAGCTCTGATGTTGCACTAGTTGTAGTACGGCCGCCCATCTCCTTTGCAGGCGCAGCCGCAGGCGCGACTTTTGTACTATCTGTACTTCGTTCCCTGTCGACTGCTTGCTGCCTCACGTGGACGAGGTTCACCGAGACGTTTGTTCCGAGCCCAGAACTGGTGCCATCGTCCTCCTTCGCAGCTTCCTTGCCCCCGGCCTTCGCAAGCGGATCAAACTTCACCGTGTCCGGGGTAATTTTCCGCGTCTCGTGCAGCCTCGCGTCGCGCTTTTCCTGCTCGTGCTCTGCGATTTCCACAGTACCGCTGCGCTGCCGCACTGCCTTCTGGCGCATGCCGTCGGGCTTGCCGTCCGGGTCTGCCACAATCACGGTGCGACTCTTGTCGCCCCGGACCTCCACGTTCGGTCCGGTGTTCTCCTCGGGCTTCTTCGGTGGTGGCTTGGGCTTCGGCTTCTCCAGTTTCGCATCGTACTCCGGCTCGGAGCCGAAGGTTGGAAGCTTGGAATCGATGCCCCGCGTGTTACCGGGGGCGCCGAACACGATCCCCTCCGTTGCGACGCTGTCTACCGTAATGTCCCCTCCGGGTCCGAGTTTTTTCGGTGGGCCGGGCGGTATTTTCTCACCCTCCGTTTCCATAAGGCCGCGCTGGTCAAAGGGAGGCGTGCCATCCGTCGAAACCGTGGTCTGTGGTGGATCGAGGGGATGATCTTGGTCGCGTACTGCATTTGTAGTTCTCGTGGTGGTTTGCAGTAAACTTGTTTTGTCGGCTACCACGCTTGAAGAGGCCGCCGAAGAGGAAGACGCTCCAGCAGCGGCTCCAGCTGTTTTCACTGATGGCGATGCTTTCTTCGGGGTTATTTTATTTCCCGCGGCTTGCTTTGCGACGTTTGGAGCGGCCGAGGTCGTGCCCTCCGTGGCAGCGCCATTGACCTTCTGATTTTTATCAACATCTTCCCTGTTCTCGTCATCTGCGTTGGCGAAGCTCGCAAGCTCGTGGAGTAAATCTCGGAGGTCGTTGGGATCTTTTTTTGGTTTCGGAGGGGGCTGAATCACGTTCAAACTCACGGTCTTCGTGACCTTATGGGCTTTCGGCGTTTCGGCAAAATCCGCAAGAGCTTCAAAGAGATCCGCTCCCTGAATGTCCTCAGCTTTTCTGCTTTGCTCCACTGAAAGAGCGGCTGTTGTTTCTTCCTTCTGCTGCTGCTGTAGCTGCGTTCTTGTTTTTCCATTCTCGCTGCCGATCTGCTCCACTGCGGCACCCCGACTAGTTTTGTCTGCAATCCGACTTCCCGAATCCGCCGCTGCGTCTGCGTGGGAAGTGTCGCTCAGTTGCTGTAGCGCAAGCCCTTTCTGTGGCTGATGCAATGCCGATAAGTTCAAGTCGTCACTGGTCGCTGGACGGGGCACTTCAATACCTCTCAAAGACGGATCGAAAGCGAACACCCACCCACAAGTGTGGGAATGCAGGACGTGCACAAGCAGCGACGGAGCCGACCGGCGCACGACCATGCTTGGCAATGGTCTCGTGGCCGGCGGCCTCTCGCCCCGGTGCTGCTTCTGCTAGTGGCAGGCCCGCCCGCGGAGGACAATTTTCGCCAAGAACCAGCTACGACTTCGATTTCGTCCTTCCAACATCTGTGAGATCTTTCCTCCACAACTTCAACTCCCCTAGGTCCTTATTTTACGTTCAGTTTGAAACTGAAAGAGCAGATCACTTCTTAGACTGGAAACTGAGTCCTTATGTTAGCGAAATCTGCCAGCTCGGCCACAGCACCAGTGGGCCTGGGCGACGTCTGTACTAGTAACAGCAACTTTTCTATCTCTCACAGGCCCTAGGCTCTCTCTCCCTGACAACATGTTGATTCAGAACTGCAACTGCACCTGAAGGAGCTCTCCTCGGTCTAAATGTCTCAGCTCCAAACACTTTCCGCAGGTGCAGGAGTAACAACGATAAAATTCTAATCGCTTGCTTCCGTAAGCAAAGATCCTCCTTCGCCTCTGAAACTCATGCAGGGCACAAGAAAGGATGAATTGAAACGGTTCTTTTATCTTCCTCTTTGAAACTTCTTTGAAACCAGCAGAAACGTGAAGATGCTTTTACAGCAATGTCACTTCCTCGAAGTCAATGTCAAATCACTCAGGTTATCATATAATCTGCAAGTAAGTGCTGCAGATGCAGTAGTGTATACTATTTCGATATTAGTCGCTCTCACTGTTCTGGTCCGATGGAATTAAGAAATCGCGAAACAACCCGATGCTTGTGCAAAATTTGGGCCATTTTCATCTTCTCTTTCTGCTTCCCCGGGGGGCTTCCGGGGCTCGGATTTGACGGCGACTTAACTACCATCATTGGTTGCTCCGGGACGCCCCCAGCTGCACTGTTCCCACCTCCTGCAGCCACGACAATCGGCGAAGTGACCACTTGCGCCACTTGCTCCTGATCGCTCATGGAGAATATTTTTCCCCCTGGCGACAAAGATCCTCGTTTGTTCACGTTATTCGAAAAAGAAGCCGCCACGCTCTGGGTTTTTTGCAGGGCAGACGCCGTGCCGGTACCGCTTCCGACTGCACTTCCACCCGCCAGTACACCGGCGGCACCACGGGTGGATGACAACGAGACGACTTTGCTTACCATTGCATTGCCGTCTCGGCTCTCCAAATTCGACGACAGCATCTGATTCATCCCCGCTGCACCCGCCGTCCCCGCCCCGGTCGTGGTGCGCTTCGCGAAAAAGATGCCACACTGAGCTTTGCGCACAGCCGCGGCAAACTTCGTCTTGGCGTGCCGGTTGGTGCTGGGACTCGAGACGCCGGGCGACGGCGAGGGCGGGCCATTACTACTTCCGGCAAGCACAACGCCCGCCATCACCTGTTCCACACCGGGATCGCACCGCAAATAGCTCGGCGAAGAAGTTCCTGCAGTCCCGTAGTGGTCCGCTTGCCCGCCAGAAGGACTTGTACTATCCGACGCGACCACACCATGGGCCATCATGAGCGCCTGCCGACCGCGGTAGGTTTTTTGCTGCAACGACTGCGCCACTAGAGCGTCTACGAATCGCTGTGGTGTTTGGGACGCGACGTCTATTTGCGTCGATCCGGAAGCTGTTACAGCCTTGTGCTTGCTGTCGTGGTTCATCCGGTGGGTCCGGTGGTCCACCGTGCCTGACCAGGACTGGCTAAGCTCGTCGATAACCGAGTCCGCACCGTCTAACCGGTCGATTTCGTCGAACTCATGCAGACCGCCGTCCCCATAGACGTTGTCACGACCCGCTTCGCCCGTGCGGTTGTTATTTCCTTGCTGCATTCGGAGAAGTGCTGCTTCCTCCAACTCTAGCCGCTCGAAGAACTCCGTCGCCAGTGTCGGCAAAAGCGCGATGGGCACGCACCGAAGTATGCGGGCGTAGGTCGACGAAAAAGCCGTTCTTTCCTCAGCTGTACTAGTCGTTCGCATCTTCTGGTCGCGCAGCTCCGCGGGCAGCCAGACTTCCATGTCCAGAACGTCGGCGTCTTCCTGTCGCATTTGCCACGCTTCCCGTTCGCGATCCTTGGAGTCGCGCTCGCACTGTAGTAGCAGCTGCAAATCCTGTTGCAGCACTTCAAGGCTTTCCCTCTGCTCCTCCACCCGGCTCTCCAGTGAGTCTCTCGCACTTTTCTGCTGCTGCACCTCTTGCTGTGCAGACTTTACTCGGACGGACAAGCTGCGCACTTCTTCGCGATGGGCGCCGCTGGCATGAAGAAACCTCCAACACCGTGATTTTGTGAATGACATAACCACCACAACGCTAGATTTATTAACTTGAAAAAGAAATGTGACTCAGGAGGAATAGAGAAAAATGAAGATGCGGCAATCCTCATGTATCTATTCTGGGTCACGGAAAATGGTGAAAAGAAAAAGGTAAGAGGCTTCGGCATGATAGTGAATGATATTACGCAAAAAGTGGAGGGAAACCTGGACTCGATGTCCACCATCTGCATCGCGCCAACGGGGGTCCAAGTAAACGCCCGACCACAGCTCTGAAAGAAACAGAGCACCCACGCACCGATCGGCAGGCCAATAGCGGCATACCAAATGGACAGAGCTAACCCAAACTACAAGAAAAAGAAGTCCTCTCCGTGGGGGGCGTCAACATGACAGACAAAACAGAAGCTGCTTGAAGCAAGGGCAGGCAGAGTGGCGCGCCTCCTCTATTAATAGGGCACGAAGGCGAGGAGGGGCGCTGCTCGCTAACCAAGAAAGTAGCCGCAGCCTGGCAGGCGAGCCAGCGGCGCCTTGCCCCTCTCACTCGGGTCTAGCTGGCGGGCGTCTCACCTTGAGGAAAGATCGAGTTGCGTCCTCGATCTTTCCGAGACAAGTTCTGGGACAAGTTCTGGAAAAAGTTCTGGAACAAGTTCTGAGCCAAGTTCCGGAGCTTGAGAGCTGTGGCCGGTTCTCTTGGATATAGATATTAGGGCCCCAGGCTACAACCGTGGCAACTCATGCACAAGCCCCGAAACCGGGCCGCGCAGCTGGAGGCTGCCCTATCCTGGTGGGGCTCCGGCACGCATGTGGAGTCGTCAGCCACTCTCTCCGGCCGCCTGTCCCGGGCGTATGGCCCTGCGCCCGAAGCTGCGAAAACAAGCAAACGCATCTCCATCGTGGCTAACCTTACTCACGACGGTGCCATGGACACGCCAAAAGCAGGCCTTTCTACCTTGGAAAGGCCGGGCAACGCCAAGAGAAGCAAATAACAGTGGGCCAACGTGTACTTAACGCACGTTACACGATGGTGCTGTGGTATCGTCTTTGCGAGGCTGTGACATCATCTTTGCCTAGCAATCGCAGGCGTCGGCGGGAGTCTCCATGCGAAAGCCCGCCTCCCTATCGCGGCGTGCTGCATGATTGTGATCATTTGCAAAAGGCCGCGGGCGGGCTCTAATATTCTAGACGAGAAAAATCCGCAGCCAAGTTCCCCGCAAATTCTGCACGGGTTCGGCAACCCGGACCCTAGGACCCCCGCTTTCGGAGTAAGATATTACGCAAAAACTGGAGGGAAACCTGGACTCGATGTCCACCATCTGCATCGCGCGCATTTCCCGCCCTCTGCGAATCGAATCGGCGTTCGCCTCGAGTTCCGCCTTCCGGGCCAGTTCGCGTTCCACAGCCTCCGCGCGCCGTTTCTCGTTCAGAACATGTCTTTCCCGCGCTGCCTCCTCCTGCGTCAAAGTTGCAGCCCGGTACTCGCGCATCTTCGTTGCCAGTTGCTCCTGCAATCGCTTCTCCAGCAACAATTCCTGATGCACCTTGTCCTCATTAGCGCTAGAAGTTTGCACCGCTTTTTCCACTTTGAACGACAGAATGCCTCCGCACCGGTTCGTCCTCGCGGCAGACGATGATACTAGAGCGCCTCCTCCTGCATAGTTGTTCGACGGGCCGCTGGCCCAGGCGTCGGGGCGATGGGCAGAGTGCTCAACACGTTGATGAGGAAAAGAACTTTTATCCTCGCCGTTGCCCCCGACCAAGCCAAATCCGGCTCCCCTTACGGTGCCGGAAACTTGATTCTGTCCTCCTCCGAGCAAACCCATGCCGAAGGTGGAGCCTTGGTTGCCTTCTTGATTCTGCAAGTGCCGGGTCAGTGCGCTTGGATTGTTGTTCGGGGGCAAAGTGGTCCCTGAGGTCAACCCGTAGTTGCTCACTAGCAGTGTGGGGTAGTTGCTGGTCGTTCCAAAAGTGGCCCCTTTGTTGCTGTGGCTCGACAACCCACTAGGTTGGTGTGACTGGTGCGAGGGGAATATGTGCGTCGCCGTGGGCGGCGGCTTTGTGACCGAGGTCAGAGCGCGCAGGTTCTCGTACAAAACTGAAAAGTGTTGGACCTCGGCAGCTAAGTCCTGAATCAAATGTAGCAGCCGCTCGTTCTCCCCTTGCACGAGTTTCGCGTTGGTCGAAACGCTGAACGCGTGGAAGGCCACTTCCTCCCGAGCGCCCTTGGCCTTCGCCAAGGCTTCTTCTAGAATCGCGATTTTACCCTCTACCATCCTGTCGTTTTCTGGAAGCAGCGTGATATCTCAGGAGCAGCACACCTGCAGTGCCCTGTCAACAGTTTTATCCGTCAACATTTTTCAATTTCTTTCACGTCATTCTCATTCGTCGCCAAACGAAAGTAGTTTGTGGAGTCCGACACTCAATTTTCTTCCTTTGTTAATTGTTAGATGATTTATTCATATTGATATTTTCATGTTATATTTCGCCAAGATCTTGATCTCCTGTCTCAGGCTGCTAGCTAAGCTCAGAGAGAGCGAGAACACAGCACCTTGCTATTCCATTTCTGTGGAACGAGATGGGTCATGGCTAGTGTCACGAAATTTTCTCAATGAGCTTGATGCGTGGCAGTTCATACACAGCTCGGAGCGACCGCGCAAAACAAGCGCGCACTGAGCCGGTAGCTACACCCTTGTCTTGCTTTTCACATCCGCGCGTTGCACCAGTTCTCGGCGCTTGCATTGCACAAGAAGAGAGATTCAAAAAGTCACTCAGCTGACGTAGGTGAAGCTAGTCGAAGCATTGCTCCGGCCGGGCCCATAGTCGTTGCCCTGAACTTCCATTCCAGACGTGGACATTGGTTGAAATAGTTCTCCCATTTTTGTCTCCGATGATCCAGCACCGGCTCCCATGGTGTAGGGATTTATTCCGGTGGTGTTGATGTTGTGCACAGGAGTAAAATTGCCGTACATATTCAAACTGCTTCCGTACCCGTTCGCTTCCTCCATGCCCATGGCGTCAGCGCTCGAAGCAGCTGCACTCGGAAAACCCAATTGCTTCCACTGATTGAACGCCATCTACCCACAGAAAAAAACCCATCCACATCCATTTTTTGCATGACAAGCACAGGACTTTGTGCATGTTTTGCATGACAAATTGGATGTGGATGGGTGTTTTTTCCTGGATACCATCCGCGACTGCTCGACGGAGATGGGTGTGATGTTGCTGCCCTCAATGGGCTCGAAACAAATATAATCCTGCAAAGATCCCCGCGCAGCCGCTTGAAACCCGAGCGGGCGCAGGATGGGATCGCAAATTTCCACGCATTTTTTCTTCGCCTCCTCCATCGGCATGATGCAGAACACGCACGAGATCGGATTGAATACGCAAACGACCGTCTGCACCGGCCCACCGGGGCAGCACCAGTATACGCCCTCCAGTGCGGGACAATTTTTGAAGAACTGCTGATCGGTCATACGAATCAGTGCATCCGCGCACTGCTGCCACTGCGCCGGACGGAGCCCTCGGCTTGCCAGCACTGGCGGAACCCCGTTCTTCGTCATCTCCTTCACTACCTCCCGTTCATGCGACCCGATCGGGAATTTGAAAGTCGTGCTGCAGAAGCCGTGGTCTAGCAGGACGTCGCACTCCTTCGTGCCCAAGTTTCGCATTTGATCGGAATACACGATCGAACCCCGCCCAGGCGCGCCGGACCCGGAAAACATAATTTCTGTCTCTGTGCCTTCTTGTAGTGTACCACAATAATTGCTCCCAACCTCGTACGCTAATTCTTGGTCGAGTTGTTTTATCTACGAAACCAAATCAGGAAAAAACCCGGGGGAGACGCTGCATCCAGCAGACTAGAAGCGTCTTGAAGAGAAGCGGAAAGATACAACTTTTTTTAGTTCGCATTCGCTGTTGTATCATCATCATGTCTCAATCCTTTTTCGACTCAGACTCTCGGTGCTCCTCCTGTAGGTGCTGTTCACTTGTCTCTCAACGAAGTGGGCTTGCTCCCGCACTTCTTGCACATGCACTTAGCAACGAACCTCCTACTGGCTCCAGGCAGCTTAACGCTCTTCACGACCGAACTGCTTTTGCACAGAGGCATGCATTTTTACGTAGGATTCACTGCAATTGCTAGCCACACTCGTCCTATAGCAACACACTGTCTCCTCGTGAGGCAACCGACACGAGCAGAACACTGCACGATTGATATCAAGCTTGATGATCTACGAAACATTCCTGCAAACCGAGCAGCATGAGAGAGCGCGTAGCCGGCGCTGATTTGAATACAATGATAGAGTGCGACGGACTCAAAAACTTCATCACATATTCACAAAAAAAATGAGCTTTGACATCGCTGAAACAAAATCTCGATCCCTCTAGAAGATCAAGATGTAGCTTGGCTTTGCTATGCTTGTTGTCTATCATCCAAAGCGTTCTTCGTACTGTGCCTCCTTTTTCCTTTGCACATCATGATATAATCCTTGTCTCTGCATCTCCTGGACGGAAAGAATAAGTACTACACGAAGGCAGCCTACGAAAGCGAAACTTGATCATTCTGGTTTGTTTTTCTTCGCACAAAAGACTGAAACTGAAAAAATCCACAAGACTAAGTCTCACGCAACTACATTTTTCACGAAGAAAAAAGCACGTCGTTTAGAACGGTCTGATAATACTTGTCGAGCAGAGATTTCACCTGCGCCTCACCGTCCTTCCCGCTGTTCTTTAGTGCTTTCAGGTCCGCCGCCATACTCTCCTTCATGGACTTTTGCTGTAAGTTTGTTGTTTGATGGATACTCATATGCGTCCGTTTTGTGTTTTTTGCCAAACTGTATGCTGCTTGGAATGTATGAAGAAAAACGAATGGAAGGCTTATAGCACAGAATCAGAAACACAATGGAAGAGGGATCTTTGTCGATCCAAATTCGTGACTCTTTGCACTCGTCAAACAGAATAATGCAAGAACAACGTCGATTATACCCACCCAGCGACGGCTGCGTTAAAGTTTTCCATGTTTTGCGCGTTGCTCAAATCATATTTGAACGGGGCAGCGCTGACACCCTGGCAGCTCAAGGCCAGCGCCATCGCTGCTCGGAGAGCGAACTGCAGGAGGTTCATATTCTGAGGTTGTTACTGCTCGTATTTCTACTTTCGTTCTTGCTCTCGGGCTTCTGCTACTTTCCCTTCAGGAAAAAAGACGGTAAACGAGGACAAGTACTTACGCGCGCTCATTTTGCGCTGGTCTGCGTCTGGAGCCGTGGTCACACACTAACTACATCCCTCATACATTCGATATCATGTATGGACGACAAGGCTCCTTAGTGTCAAGATGTACACGCAGAAGCCTGTTTAATGAAACATTTTCAGAGAAGCTGCGCACGATCACCACAGAAAAAACGGTGCTGCAACTTTCTTGCCGACGAACAGCCATCGCATGTAGTATGTCTTCCCTGTTTCAGAAGAGCCGCCGCTGCCGCATGTTGTCCTGCTTGGAAAAACTCAAACCATGATTCCTTGAATATTTATACGTCGCAAGCGCGACAAAACCGGTACCGGTCGAATTACAAAAACAGATGAGCAGAAAGCGGAAAATAAAACAGAAGGGAACCGCTAGAAGTATCGAACGAACCACAGCCTTCATGGCATGGCTAGCGTCTCGGCAAGACCTCCACCGTCGATCAAGCCAGATCTATTCTGCTGTTGCTCGGCAAAGATCCGCGAAAACTGGTCGCGCGATACGTACTGGCCTTCGTGGTACTGGTACTGCGAGGCAAAACTCGGCCCCTGTGCGTGAAACGCGCGGTTGGGTTGCTGATGCGACTGAGCGGAAAGTGTGTCGTTGCCGCGTGCCTTGATTGATTTTGGTTTAGGAAACGGATCAACAGACGGAACGCGAAAGTCGCGTGATGGATACAAAAAGTTGTAGAACCTCGCTGTCTAAACGCATGCGAGGATTTGTTCATCTGCTACTTCTCGAGTGACGCTTCTGATATGATTTTACGAGGATATCTTGTATGTACCTTCGGAAGAACCATGTCGTCCGTTTTGTCCAAGCGGAGCGTGAACTTGGTTGTATCCTGCGGATCCATCACGTAGCGTGTCGGTACTTCATAATTTGCCAGGCTCAGTTCACCTTTGTGATTTTTTCCCAGACAGCACTTGGGTTTGCGTGCAGAAAAAGATTTAGAATTTATTAGATAGAAAAAGAAAAAGCATAAGCAAGTATTGCGCTGCTCCCGACATGGCATGTGATCTACGAAAAAGTGGCTCGTTGCCAAAGATTTGCGTCTTCTACTACGCCTACCTTGATCCAAGGTGCCCATGTCTCCTTTCGCTTGCAATATCACCAGGAAAAATCCCAGCATCCAAACAAAAAGCAAAACGTTTTTTCTTGACGCATATTTTTGTGTGCACGAGTCAATTTCTTGTCTGTCACAACGTGTCTTTTACAGCACCCGCATTCTCAACTAGCCCAAGCAGGTCAGTGTCAGACCCAGCAGCCTACGATGCTGCTAAACAACATGATGCTCATCTTGCCGGAGAACGACCGAGGACGCGGCAGATGGTTCTACTCTTCTATAGCACCAGGCCAACGAGCATTTCGTTTTGAGAACTTCTGCGTCTGCCGATGAGAATGAGATGCGATAAAATTATAGAATCGCCTTTCGACTTGCTCGGTCGAACTGCATTTTTTATCTGTAAGATTTGGGCGGGTGGGGCATTTTTCCTGGTGATATGCAACGCCTCCCGCTCTTCTCGGTTTCGCACTTCGGTGAAAGCGTCCCGAAGCGTGTGCGACAAGCCCCACAGGGCTGCGGACTTTAAAAGCTGCGTTCCCTCGCCAGCGTGATGGACCAGCTTTTCGAGCATTGTGATGCGGTCTGTCAGCTCCTGATATCCCCATCCCAATGAAAAGTGCCCTACCCACGGGAGTCGGAAATTTTATTAATGTTTGTGTTTCTGAAGATACACATGTGGTTTTCGTTTTCAACTGAAAAACTTTTTATCTACGCATGATGAGGGAACCGTCAGTCTTTCGTTTCCGATGCAGAATCTAGACTGCGGCGCAAGAACGCATCTTCTACATATGCAAACAGGCCCGGCTCTTCTTGCTGGACTCTTTTGCACTTCTTGCCATTACGCACTGAAAATTTGTACTACATACATGCATAGACGGGCATTGAGAAGTTTTGCATGTACAAACTCTTCCAAGTTCAGGGGTAGGGACACTTTCTAATATGATAATCCCTGGTTGGTCTGTACCAGGTGGACATACTGTTCCTGCAGCTTCTGGAGAATATTCCGTGAAAAATCAGCATCGCATGCGCATCCGCATTCACTTTTTGCATGACAAAAGCAGACCCTGCCTTATCTTTTGCGTGACAAATTCGATGTTGAGCGGGACAGTAAATTTTCAGGGAATACAGGATTTTCTGCTTCTCCAATGCTATCCTCTGAAGGCCCTCATTGGAAACGTTCACGACATCCGCGTGGGTGGCAAACGTACCTGCACCCGGTCCAGTGGAGCTACTGCCACCACCTCCAGTCGGTACATTGATCCCAGCAGGGGTGGAGGTCATTCTGGCTAAACTAGTATGTAACCGATCGTGGTGCTTCTGAAGGTAAAATTGAAAATGGAAATGCACGAAGCATAATACTTTTAACTCACTCTGGTGGTTCCGGTACAACAGTAGCACAGAGGCACCGACTACGGTCAAAACGACCGTCTTTCGCTAATACGCATTCTTTTAAAGCAACAACTCAGTTGCTTCTCTCCTCGAGCCTCTCTCGACACGCGGCAATGAAAAGAGAACTTCTCATGATCTGGAGCCTCTCCAAATTTGAAGGAAATGCCTCTTCCCCTTCGTGTTCATAACCGTCTCTGTCTTACGAGCTCAAAAATCGAAGATCCTCACTCCAGGTGGACACATTGAGCGTTGTCATGGTCCTTGATCTTAATGTAGAAGCACGTTTGCCATTACAAACACACTCTCGCCTTGTTTTCGCAAATAATTGAAATTTGCGAGCACGCCGGAAATTCACCATCATAGGTTGTGTTTTATCTTCGCTTCGGAAGGTACTTACCATGTCTTACGCCGTTGGCCAAGCAATCGGTCCAAGGAGCCCTGCGTGGGACTAAGCATTTTCGTAGCGAACAATCTGCTGGAAGGGGAAGATCGCTGTCGCTCTCAATAAGTGCATCCAATCGCAATGGTACTATGTATTGTACTAGAACGAGGACAAACTAAACCTGGAACGAGTAACTACTAAACTTATTGTCTAGACGAAATCGAAATCGAAAAGCACACACTGAACCTGATGTGATCAACATGAACATCATGATGACTTTCCATCTCCTATAGCAGTCCTCTCGCTGCCACAATGATGTAGTAGAGGAATAGTAGGGTGAACGAGCCGGTGATGATGAAGTAGGACTCCCAACCGTACTCCCACGTGAGCCACGGATCGGTCGGGTCGGCCTGGCCGGGGTTCTCCTCGTCCGCGGTCTCGAAGTTCATGCCTGCATACCCGGAGATCATGGTCGCGGGCAGCGCCGCAGCGGTGATGATGGTCAACATATCAAAAGGAAAAATCCCCCCTCCCCATATCAAAACGAAGTTTCTGATGCTGGATTTGCGTACTCAAATCAGATCTGTCTTGCTGGCGAGGGCTGCAGGCTCCTGCCGAGCCTGAGTAGAGAGCTTTTGGCCTAGGCGCTTAGCATGAGAAACGTCTATGCTGTAGGCCCAACAGCATGGCAAACCGCCTGCATAGTGCGGCAGGGCCTGCGGCGTTGTCTTCTTGCAAGACAGACTTGATTTGGGGTCTCAAATCAGCAAGACAAATTTTCTTTTTCGGAAACATACCTTTTCGATATGGGGAGGGGGGATTTTTCCTCTCAATACAACACTGTGAGCAACCGGTTCAAACTGCTGTCCACGTAGCTCTGCCGCTCCGCCTTCAGCGACTCGCACTCTCGCTTATGCTACGCAAATCATATGTCTGGGTCCTCTGGAAGTTTGCTGAGGTCTATGATGCAGTGTCTGCGTGGCCAGGAAGTAGATCTGCCATGCAAGCCCCTAGCATCACAGGTGGTGAGACTGTTTCTATTCAATCTCAATACTTAATACCTAATCCGCCTGGATGTTGACTACAAATGCAGCGTTCCTCTGATGACAACAAGATGAAGAGCAACTTTTCCCGCCCAAGCAAGAGAACTACTTTTTGTGTCATCTGAAATGTGCATCACAAGTTCACAACATTTTCTCAGACCCGGACATATTTGCATTTGATACCGCTGGTAGCACGACAACTTGTCCATCATCTCCAGCAGACTGTCCTGCACGTCCTCTAGGTAGCCGCGCACCTCGGCGGGTATTCGGTCCTCAAAGTTCTCAACCAGGGACTTCAGCACCCGCTCGAATGGCTTCAGCTCCATCTCCAGCGAGGTATCACCTTCAAAAACTTCCACGCGGCCCACACAACGATCCCCATCTATCAACATCATACCCATATGTCATAGTCATACTCATGCACGATATGGTTATGGATATATGTCTTGTTGCATTGCGAAACAAAGATGAACTGGATAGTTTTTGAGGAAGAAAATCTTCATGTCAAATCCAAACCCGTGCTGTAACGTTTTTCTTTCTTTTGTTTTTCGGTTGTTTGATACAGATGCGCGGTTCTCTCTTATGACTCGCGGACACAAACTGGTGGGGCACGCAGGTGATTTTTGCAGAGGATACCAGTCCAGATGCCTTTCTATCAAATACAGGTTCTTCACTTCCTGTTCCGGGAGGGCGTGTTCGTGCTGGTGCAGTCGCGACGATGTCGTGGCCAGCTGCAGTTCGAACGCGTGGGCGATCGGGAGACACTCGGTGAGGCAGCTATAAAAACCAAAAGTCATAAAGTCCCAAGTTGAACCAACCGAGCAACCAACCTCGTGGAGGCTATGTCATACCAAGACCACGCTAGTCAGTAGGTTGTTGTACGTTTCTCTCCTGTGAGGATCATATTTCTTTGTTTCTTTATGGTCCAGATGATACAGCAGCTTGTGAAGGAGCTGGTCACTGGTTTACTACTAGTTAGGGCATGCTGGTAGAGGGAGTTTTGACTTCTCGGTTTCGTAGCAGCTGTCTAGGATGCAATAGAGTAACCAGATCGCGTCACCATGGCGAATGACGCTGTAGTCTTTGATTAGAGCTTTTTTCACTCTCTTGAGCGCGTTAATGATTTTCGGTTTGTGGCTCGCGCTCGCCCCGCCAGCTTTTCGCTCTGTGGTCCGTCTTTCGGCATCGCTTTCGTTGTCTTCCAGTAGCTGCGCTTCCGCGCTTGCCTTCCGGTCGGCCGCCGCCATTTTACGGCGCGCTTCGTTCCGTTCATTGGCTACGGGGCTCCCGTACAGAATTCTGTCAGTCGTTTCCGCACAGGGGCCCGAGGTGGCAAAGGCGGCGGCCATAGCCGCTTTCGCTCTCTCGATGTCCTCCGCGTCTTCTTCGTCGACGAGGTCGGCCGCCCTGCTCGCCGCGGTGACGCTGGTGCCCGGGCCCCCGGAGCCCGTGACGAGAGTGCTGCGCCTTTCTCTTTCATCGTCCTCCTCTTCCGTGGTCTGGAGTCCGGCCACCCGCGTGTTCTTTTGAGCTGCGCGTGTTTTCTTGGCCCCCGTGAGTGCGACCTGTACCTCTGACTCATTTCCCCGTGTTGCGTCATTTTCCTCGTCGCTAGACGTGAAGTCATCCTCTGAAAGATCCCCGGCCAGATCCAGCAACATCTCCGCCAGCTCTGCCTGGGACATCTTACTTTCTGCTCCTCTCTTCTTTTTCACATGTCGTATTGAGCTTCCTGAACCGCTCTCCGTTTTGGCCGTGTCCTTGGCGCTGGCTGAACCTGAAGTAAAGATTTCAGTGAAAAATAAATAAGTGGTATCTGAAACTGATCCTGAGCCGGATATGCTCAGATGACAGCAGGAGGGCAATAGCAATGAAACATGCTGCTGGTAGAGCCGAGTAACAGCCACACTGCTGCTGGAGAAATCTCGCACTACTCGCAAGCAGAGCTAGTAAGTCGGACGTCGGGCGTGCAGAAGCAATACTTAGACACACGAGGAAGGTACTGAAAGGCTTGGGCTTCGCTCTGTTATGAGTATTTTCCGGCCCATCGAATGAGTACAACACACATAGGATCAATTGCTCGAGAATACGCGGGAGGATGTTCCTACGGCATCGCTCTCCGTCGACAGATTCTCATTTTCATGGCAGGTTCGTAAAATCAGATGATCTTGATCGCTTTTGTAGTTAGGTTTACAGCGCTTTGTACCTTCGGAGGCATTTTTCTGGGCTTCCTGCTCCAGTTCTCTTGCCTCTTCTGCTGCGGCCTCCTTGGCTTCCTCTGTGGCTTTTTTGACTGCTTCGTCGGTCATATTGACCCGCGTCTGGTGCCAGGGGGTCGCGATAGATATGACAAGGTCGCCCGTTCGGTATGCGAGTGCACAACTCCCCCTCCCCCTCATTTGGACGGCATCAACAGCAACCCAAGTAGTGGTGGTGAAGATGCAGCTCCTTTTGCACGACACACTCATAAGTACAAGATTCCATTTTTCCTGTTGCGAATCAATTCTGTCATGCAACAAGCAGTGCCAATGCAATAGGGGGCAAACGGCTGACTTGGTATGTTACATACATGACAGATGAGATGGAAGCGGCGTTGTACACTCTCATATTGGCCGTACGGCCACGATAAGCCCAAGCTTAGAGGACTCGACCTCAATTCCCAGGTTCGGTTGTATACCGGTGTCGATGTGCCGGGTGTGCCGCTTTCTGGCCTTGCTCCCCCCGAATACAGACTTGGCCGCCTCTAAGCGCTGCCTGCCGGCCTCTGCGGCAGCCTTGAAGCTGCCCCGCCCCGCCTTTTCCTTCGCCGCGGTGTGGGCCATGGCGCCGCGGTGCTGGTCGATGGCACTCTTGTGGTTTTTGGAGTTGCCGTGTAGCCGTTCCAAGGTGGCCAAGGCCGAGTGCATCCGCTGTCGGGAGTCCTGGCTCAGGCGAAACAGCGGCACCGACACGAACCAGTGCTCCCCAACCGATTGGTCCTCGTGGCGTTTCGCCTTGGCGCGCGCCGCCGCGTCCTCGTCCTCTTCGTCCCCCTGCTCTGCGTCCAGCGCGCTCGTCGATGTCGAAAGGATCGACTTATTCTGGAGCTGCGCACCCTCAACGAGCCGCCCACTCTTCTTCACCTGGCGTGCCAGAGAGTACGCGTTCGCACTCTTTGCACTGGCTCTCGTCGGCATCGCCATCGAAAAACTATCCAAATTTCTTTGGTCGTCCGGAGCCCAGAATCCCACCGACCCCCCGCCAGACACGGGGCTGCGCCCGGCAGCCCTCTCGTCGAGGCTTTTGGTCGCTGTCAGGCGGATCAGGTCGGAAAGACGATTATCGTACCGAGTTATGCGGCCCGACGGCGCCTGCTCGCTCAGGGACAAGGCGTCTTCGACGGCTAGGGGATGGATCCGGTACTTTACGGCGAGGCGCAAAACCGTGCTCTTGCCCTGTTTGCCGCGTCCCATGGTGAACGCGATCCATCGCATCTTCATCGGCGAGTCCGATGGCATGTGCTGGGGGGAGAGGAAAAAATCCCGGATCTCGTAGTGCTGCACCTGCGTCTCTAAGTGGCCGACCGAGTTTGTGCGCCGCACCTTCGTGGCGCGGCTTCCTCGCGGCGGCACCGCAACGATGCGCCGCTCGTACACCATGTCTGCAGTGTAGTCGATGACCAGAAATCCGCTGGAAACCCCATTGTCTTCGCCCGGAGCGAGCCCGGCAGATGCTTCCTCGTCGATTGCCGCGTCGTCGGTCATCAGCAACGCACGGAGGGACGCGTACCGCAAGACGTCCGCGAGCCGGTACTGCGGCAACATTACCATCTGTTGCTCCCGCCGATCCAGGAATGGCTCGGCAAAGGCCGTCCAAATAGCGTATACGCTCCGTACCAGCTGGCTGCGCTCCAGACCGGTGCGGCTGCTGATCTGCCAATAGAAATCCCGCGCGCGCTCGAGGTCCGTGCCCTCCGAGAGGCCCGGAAGGCCCCGGTCGGCAGCTTCATCTCCTTCGAAGTTAGGATTGATTGGCTTCAGCACGTCCCGCGCCAGGTAGACCGTCTCTGGCAGCGTGGGCCGGGGGTAATTCGGAATCCGCAGCATGTTCTGTTCTCTCCGCAAGTGGCACCAGTGGTAGAACAGCCAGCGGTCTGGGTCCCGCGAGTCCGGACAGTGCATCTGCACGCCCTCCAGCCGTTGCTCGGTGACGAGGCCCACCCGTTTCAGCAGGGTCGAGAACTCCCAGGGACTTAGACTGGTGTTTTTGCGCAGGCCGCCTGCGTGCAGGATCGAGTACAGCCGCGCGGTGCGGAAGGGGCTCATGTCAAACAGGGAGGCGAGCGTGTCGCTGCTCATCGCCAATACGTAGTTCGTGGTATCGACCAGCATGTGCTCTGCCTCATCTAGCACCCACACATCATCGACCCTTCGGGGGACCGTGCCAAGCTCGAGGCCGTCCGCTCGCCTAGTGTCTCGGCCGACACCCGCGTCGAACATCATCGGCTCCGGTCTGCCGGGAGAATCCATCCTGCTTCGCGGAGGACACGGGGCACAGGCACAGCCTTCTTCCTCGTGATGAAGGCCTTCTACACGATCACGACGTACTTGTAGTGGCGTCCAGCCTCTAGTAAAACTGTGAGCAAAGGAGACAATTCGCCGGTCGTGCCTCAGGACACTGTAGCAGGCTTGTTGTGAGGAGCGCTGATGGAACAAAAAGTAAAAGCATCACCAACTCGTTGTTCTGCTTTCAAACAATTACAATTCCAATGACTGTCCGTTTGCATGCACGAGAAAAATAACGATTTTTTCCGTATTCAAGCTAGGGTGGACCTAAAGAAACATACATGAGGATGAGTTTGAAACTGAAACTGATCATGACGCCATGCGTAATGCATCTTCCGTCACCGTTTCGCCATCTCGTGTAGTAACTAAACAAGAATTCTTTCAGTCTAAGACTAAGAAACAAGAAAGTGGACGTTGATGAAATAGAAATGTCTACAAGAAGTGGTAGCTGGGTAGTAGAAAAAGGCGCATACTGTATACAGGGTTGATATTATAATCTGGGTAGTTAGTGAGAAACTGGGCATGGGTTCCTGGTGGTATTTTTGAAATACTGAAATTACGAGGAACGAAGAGAGAAATTGGCTAAAAGAGAATTCGTTTCTTGTTCCTATCTTTATTTGCTCTTTTTCCTGGAGCGGCAATCGGACGGACCGACAAGTGTATCAGGTTAGCAGGCACGAAGCTAACCGGTTGACAACTGCATCTACTTAGCATGCTTCGCGAGGACGACCACGTTCGTACGATTTCAAAAGACATCGGGAACGAGTTCTTCAAACCGATAAAGGACGTCTCACTACCGAGTACGACATACCGTTGAAACCGAATCGCAAGAAATTATGAATCACGTGGACGTATGTTCTCAAATAGCACGATGTCACACGACAGGGGGCAAGCAAAACGAAAAGCCGAGACTTGAAGAACGGTACCGGTAGTCGGTGTAGCTGTAGGCCCAGGAAGAGGAACACATGGAAATACAGCGAAACTATTTTTTTTGTAGATGAGGACTTTTGCTTCGCAAAGCGGACATTCTTATTGTGTCAGTGACTTCTCACTCTGGCTACTCGTTTCCGGCACTCGACCGTGATCCGGCACTCGACCGTGAAATCCCTGGGCGTGGCACGTTCACAGTTTTGCTTGTCGGTGAGGCTATTCGCATTCTTTGTGTGCTGTGATAAAACTCCACGCGGTTCGGCGACGGAACCGCCCCCGCTACTTGGTCGATTACGTAGCCCGTGCCTCCCCGGTCCATGGTTGAGGACGAGGAGCCACTAGTACTGCTTGACGCTCCCCCGCTGCTGAAGCCAGCAGAGATGGAGGTCGTGTTAGTCTCTAGAATTCCGGTTGTCGTGCTGCTATCATCCTCGAGAACCTGGTACGCGCGGCCCTGTAAAATGGCAGCGTCGCCGCAGCCGGGCAGGTCCGCTCTGCCGCCACTCCTTGGCGACGGCAGTGCGGACCCTCCGGACACCAAATTTTTCATCCCGGGCGAGGAAGAGAGCAAGTCCACGTGGTCCGCGCTATCCTCATTCTTGCCGTGCAAGTACAAAAATCCGAGCCCCAGAAAAGAGCAACAAACGCCCAGGACGGTGGCGGAAAAGGCAGAAAAAGAGTACAGCTTGTACTCCTCGAAAAAGACGGCACCGTAGATCAACTGCATCACCAGCCCCAATGCGCAGTTCAACGTGACCTGTGCTTGTTTCTTTGTTTGATGAAGCTCGAGAGGTGTGAATCAATAGGGTGAGCTGATTGACAACAAGCACATGCAGGCACTGATCGTCTAGTAGGGCGGCCGTCAGGAACGAAGTTTTTAAAAAGTATAGCACCTACTAGAAAACAAGTATGATGAAGGTGCTATTAAAACTAAAAAACCCAGTAGCCCAAGTAGGACACAGGAACAACGAGGCCAGCACGTAGTACCGTTGTCAGCGAACTGAACAGCACCATGGATAAGTTGAGAAGAGAAATCGACACGACGGCCACTCCCGCGATGCCGAAGAGAATCAGGATCAAGCAGGCCAGTCCAGTTTCGGTGGTGAACAGCCAAAAAACCGGATTTGACGAGGACGAGGCGATCGCCGACGCAGCGCCGCCCGCGGTCTTGGCCGCCGCGTCAACACCACGACCAGCCGCATCCACTGCACTGCGTGGGTCGTGACGGCGCTGCTCCACGACCGCATCTCCCCTGGCAGACGCGGCGTCTTGCGGGTTCATTTTGCCCTCGTCCAGTAGGTAGTTGTCCGCAAAGAGTGTGGAAACAACTTTTGTGTTGGTCACCGAGACCGCCCCGAAAATGGTTGACAACAGGATCAACTGGAAGGGTGTGACACGCTTCTTTAGCGCACTCGTCGGCGCGCCGCTCCAGCGCCACTCAACCACCGGCTTGGCGACGCTCAGTGCCACCAGCGCAGAAAACACGACCAGTGCGAGAAACATCGGCCTCGTTCCCAGGTGCAGCACCGTGCGAAGGGTGAGGAAGGGCGTTGGATCCGTGGCCGGAGAATAGTGACCGTTTACTTCTGACGTGGCAGTTGATGTCGATGTTGACGAGGGGGTTCTAGAAGAAATCCCGCTTTGACGATCATTTCCACCCTCGACCTCGTCCGGGTGCATACCGAACTGTACTGTGATGAAGCAACCCAGGAAGATACAGATAATCGACGCCGTGTGGTAGGCGGTGAATTTTTCGCGCAAGATGCAGGGCGTTAGCACCGAATTGAACAGTAACGTGGTCGGCGTGAGACAGGACAGCACCGACTGCGGCGCCATGGTGAGTGCGGCGGGCATCAACAGCTGGCCGCCCATGAAAAGCACGAAACCGAAGGACCACACCGACGACCGAAATACTTTCTGCTGCGTCGCCCACTTCTGGACGACCAGTCCCAAAGTGCACGTGAAGGAGGACGCATTCTGCAGCGCGACACCGATAATCCACGTCGGAACGCCCATTTTTCCGGAGCGGCTGACGCGGCTTTTCAAAATCCTACATCCCGTCGAACGGGCTGCTTTGTTTCTGCAGGGACAAACCTTGATATTTTTTTCGATAAAAACAAGTGCTAGGAGATTGCTCCAAACTCCTATTGGTGAGCCAGTGCTTCTACTTAGAGGCACTAGTACGACGCTCGAAAACTGAGACTCGCAAACGACTCTCCGAAGGACGAACTGGACAAACAACTCAAACAGAAGCTATAGCGTATGTATTGAATAGTCAGTGTTCTTCATATCATACTGTATAGCCAGTAGCAAAATTAGCTGCGGTTGGTTGCCTGCTTGTAAGAAACAGTAACACGCAGAAGCGAACAGGGTGCCCTGGGCAAAAAGAAAAGTCACAGCCACGCATACTCTGGCTGGTCGCGCAAGCAGAGGCAGAACCCCGATGTTGTTGGGCCTGAGAGTCAAATGGTTGATTTATCCTCTTGTTTCTTTTCCACAGCGAAACCGTAAACCGCAACATGCTCTGCTGCTCAAGCATAAATACGCAAACAAATTGCTATTGTAGCACCGTACTTAAGTAATCTTCATCAGGTGACACCGGTGGTTCCCATGGCGTCAACAATCCTCTTCCTCGTAAGTGCATTTGTCATTACAATTATCAATCGTTGCTGGCATCTGCTAGCTCGAGAGGAAGTGGTCGCTGCGTGACTTTCTTGGAAAGCTCAAATTCATACCGTTACCGAATCTGAATGTGATTGCAACTATTAACAAAATCGAAAAAGAATAGCTATCTGTGGAAGCGTGATTGTTCAACTTGAACTTCACTTAAAATGCATGCAGCGTGGAAAAACAAAAGCAAAACTACTAAAATGCATGATCCTAGAAGTCAGTCTTTGTAGTGTTTGATATCACTTGCATGGTACCTGACGAGCTGGTCGTCCTTACAAAACTATTTTATCTATCAATGAATCTATTTACTTATCTTGTTTTGCTGCATCTCACTTTCGTGCGTGGCTCCGCTCACTGTATATCATGATGATGTATGGCAGAAAACGCTATCCGTCGCATACTTCAATGAAACTTGTGTGAGTGTCCTCTTTTTATTTCTGTATGTGCTACAGCATATGCTCATTTCGGTTCACTACAGTGACAAATCAACATCATTTCCATTATGTTTGTTTTTCTGGTTAGGTTCATCTTTATGCTGTAATCACAGAAGTTACATAACATTTCTTATTGAGGTTGGATTACGGTGCCTAACTTATGAAACAGAATCGAAAAAACAAAAATCAAACTTTGTTTATGTAAAATTGAGAAAAAATGCATGGCATGCTTGAGCAACTGCGAACGCGTCACTCTCATCTGTGACTTGATAGTGCTCAACATCGTCCATACGTGTGATGACTCTCTCGTCTGTGACAGGAAAATATTTATTTCAGCTTGTCTTCGGCCTGGACTATTAAGTACATTGCGCTTTCTACTTCTCCTCGCGAGAAAGATTTCTTATCCGACCGACTTTCTTCGGCTCTGCGGTAAGTCCGCCGGCGGAGGCTCGGCAGGACTTCCTCGTCCAGCAGTGCTACCGCTCGGTAGGCTCTGTCCCGCTTGCGAGGGCTCTGGGGCAGGTGACTGCGTTGCCGTGTACGGTCCTGCGTGTGCAGAAGCAGACGCTCTGCGGCGTGTTGAGAACTGACGAAGACCAACACTGGACGAAGGATTAATACCAGGCCCGGATTGATGTGCGCTGGGTCCTCTTTGTTGCTGCTGCTGCTGTTCTCGCGGCCGCTGTGTGCCGTACTCGACGAAGCTTGGACGTCGTGGTCGCTCTTGCATCGGCCGCGCCCGATCAACATGTCCTGCGGGTGGCCACGGACGAACAACGGGTGGCGCGCCCTGCAGCTTCTCTTGCTCCGCATTGAGTGCGCGACACCTTTCTATTGTTGCTTGACTTGCAGGCGGAGCGTCCTGAACCCCTTTCGCTTCGCCCTTATCCTGCGGAGCTCCGGGGGCTCGCCCAGAAACGTACGGCCCGTCAGGTGACCCTGCCCAGCCGCGGGCGCTTGTGTAATCTGCCTGAACCTGCGGCTTGGGATCAACGTGCGGTGCGAATGGGTTCTGCCAGTTGTGTTCCACGGTCATTTTCGTGGCCGCCTGGTGTACCTGCGTGTCGTCCCAGAGAGGGCGACACTGCTGTAATTCTTGTTTATTCCTCTCATACAATTGGTGTTGAACTGCAAATGGATTACTGTGCGGTCCCGCAAAAACCGCTCGCCCGTCCGCCCGGTTTAGGGGGTGCCAATGATGGCGGCGCAGCTTGTCCTCCCCGATGTTGTGGGCCCTCCTGTAGTCCCTGACTAGTTGGATCGAGGCATTTCTATCCAGCGGCTGGTCGGTGTCCCAATGCAACAGCCGAACTTTGCCCCGGTTGATGTCTGCTTCGAGGTCTCCCCACTTCATGAGATAGTGGAATTCCTTTGTGGTGTACGGCTTTGCGCCGGCATCACTTGATACGTGGCAGTGCTTCTCCGTCCCGTCGTGGCCGAGATAGGGAATCGTCCACTTCGTACGGTGCCGGGGACCCGCGTTGTTCCGCTCCCGCTCCTCCATTTCGCGTTTGATCTTGTGAAGCGGTGTGGTATATCTTTGGTTCGCTTTGTAGACCGTCTCCTGTTGCGGCTGCAGCACTCCTTTATCCCACCGCCCGCGACAAGTCAAACCCAGGTTTTTAACAAAAAAAGACTCTGCACGAGACGGCTTCGGCCAACGCTGCGCCACCTCTTGCACCACTTCGACAGGCGCAGCCAAGCGAAAGTCGAGCTGCTTCTCGGGGCAACCAAGAATCCACTCCAGCCCGGCCTTCATCGGGTTCGTGTTCAGAGAAGTGTCAAACGTATCTGGATCCAACCCCGCGGGGAGGTTGCCTTGCATCTTAATCGCGTTCTTGGCTTCATACTTCTGGTGTTGCTTCGACATGTGGTTTTGAAACCATCCAAAACGGATGTGCTTCAGAACATCCTCTGCGCTGCCAGGCACTACAGTGGAATCCAGCGCGGAGAGCGGCACAGCCGTGAAGTCGCGTTCTTTCCCTGCGGTATCCTTCAGACCCGTAAACGTTCTGTATTCACGAGCCGCATGATCAAACCCACCCCCGCAGTTGACAGTGTCTGGGTTTGCCGGCAAGAAATCGGGTCGCTGCTGGAAGATAGCTGCTACATCAGCGTGGTGTGAAAAGGGTACCGCTGGCCTCTCCCTCCCGAGAACGACTTTTTTCTCCCATGCAATGCCAAACCCGTACGAGTAATGGTCGGGGTAGTTTTCCGCACCCCCAGCGCCCGCGACCACCTGCGGGGCCGGGTGCGGCGCCGGTTGCAAGTCCCCGGGGATCGAGCTAATGCTGGATCTTCGATCTCGCGGATCAATCGCGTCGTGAAACGCGAAATCCTCGTGCTCAGACTGACGCCCCTGCGGCGGCTGGTGCCCTCCCGCGCCGGACGAGGAGGACGACCCCGCACCCGCAGCAGCCGGCGGCAAAGAAAATAGGTCGTCGTGGCCACCGGGAGCTCCCGGTCCACCCGGCAACGTGAATCTGTGTTGTGACTGCGTGCTAACCACGGGCGCAGCAGCGGGGCCAAGAGTCGGCGATTCCCGCTCCATGTTGCCGAAATCATGCTGGGAAAAGCGGTGTTGCGCGTCGCCTCCTAGTAGTGACGCAGCAGGAGCTCCTTCCGAGTTGCCATCTTCTGGTCTAGTAGAGGCTCGCCGGCTCAGTTGTCCTGTTCTTTCGTCGTCCACCGGCGCGGGCCTGCCACCAGCCTCACGACGCCTGCCCCAAGTTCCGACAGAGTCATCTACTCCGACTCCTGCACAAGGTGCCGACGGATCCGGATGTTCTTCTGTATGACTGCTCTGGAAGATGCCGTGCCATTGTGAAGGGTTTCCGCGAGGTTCATACGGGCCGGAACTTATGCCAGAAACAAATCTGGTAGTCTCAAACGCTTTGCCTTTTGCCCAAGGACCAACATCAAATCGCTTTCCATATTACCATTTAGGTAAAATCACAAAGCGGGATGTTGGATGACATGCAAACAGGAGCAGAACACATCGTCCTCAACTCAACTCAAAAGACACCGTCACAGAACAATTAGCTCAAGTTCCCAATGCCTACTGTGGAAAACAAGAGCAGGACGGCGGAAGGTGTGATGTATGTACTTACTTACTTACTTACTTACTTACTTACTTACTTACTTACTTAATCTAGTGCCTCGTCTGGCGAACGCGAAGCGAAAGCTGTATCTTCTGATGTAACAAGTTGTTATACTATTACGAACAATTCGAGCGAAAAAGCCAGCAACCGTTGCTGAGAATGACTATGACATCCAGACAAAAATAACAAACTGAGAGGCTTCGGCTGCATGCTACTTACGTGGCGTCTTGAGAAAGCCAGATTTTCTCTCAGTCATAGTTCGTCCATTTTGAGCCCCGGTAGCTCGTCTGGGAGACGGCGCGGGCTGGAATGTGGGTCCTTGCGTAAAAAAATTTGACCGCGTCATAAAACTTGATGCTGCTGCAAGCAACGCAGCTCGGCGAGCGTCTTCGTCCTGAGGAGTCCCGGCCTGAGTCCTGTCCTCCCAAGACAATCTTTGGGCGCGGGCGTTTCGCTCTTCTGCTGTCTGCGCGGTGGCGACACCCTGGCCGTTTTCTTGATGGAGGTGCAAGTTGTCCAGCTGTTGCGCGATTTGTTCCTGCATTTCAGCAACTTTTTTCGCTTGAGGAGTGTGTTCCTCGCCCGTTTCTTCATATGCGCGAAAGACCGTCGTCAGATCCCCAATCATGTCATGCAGTTGCGTGCGGCGCTTAGGAGCCATGTCGATTTTTTCCTGCTGCTGCTTGAAAAACGCATCTGGATCCTTTTTGTGCTCCATGAGCGGATTTTCTCTCTTCTTAATGTCGCGCTCAATATTCACTTTTTTATCATCAGTGTTCTCCTCGTGATCCCGTCTGAACCACATGGAACTTCGTCCGGGCCCCGCTATTGCTAAAGTCGTTTTGCCTTTCTTTTCCGCGTCAATTTGATGCGCGTCCTTGCCCTTGCAGTGCAGGTGACTCACTTTCGCACCAGGCGCATCAAGCAAGCCCTTGTCCTGGAAGGCTTGCTCGAGGGCTGCCTGCAAGTGTGTAGAAAAATCAGGATGCATGCAGCACTGCAGATTTACGATTTTCCAATGAATCGCATCTGGGTACCCGTGTTTCTCGGCACGTTCCTTGGCTGCTGTCGCATGCCCCTCGGCTATCTCTTTTGCGACGGTCTTCATGTTCTCCTCAGAGTTGGGAAAAAACCTCCATTGATTGAGTCCCCAACCCTGGTGGAGGCTTGTGGACTCTGGGCCTCCATGCTGCAAGCAGTAGACCTCCTCGCATGAAAACGAAAAATGCCCCCAGCCCCGAGGTTTTTCAAATGTTTGCGTTGCGAAGTTTCAACAATGAATTCAAAATGTTTGTCTTGCTAATCTGACCGCAACCACCTCAAGCGCTTGCGCATTTTTGTCTCTTTTTGGAACAAAGACCTTCGATGTTCCAGCTTCAAAATTTGTCCTGCTGACACGTGCAAGGTGGCAACTGTTTCTAATGACCACTTTTGCAAGAACGCAAACACTTCCAGATTTTGCGGCGGGAGCGTTCTTCTCTTCGATACGTCTTGCCGATCCTTCTTGACGAGCTCGGGATTCCGTATCGCAATCTATCAAACGCGAATATGTCTGGGTGTGAAAGATTGAAAAGGTTCTCATGTTGTTGGTCTCGCATTCATACATCAGGGGTTGGCGGGATGCGGGCTCCAGCATCACAAGTTTGGAGAAGGCACAACAGATTGTGCGTCTTCATCGGTACAGGATGCACCTCAACAAGGCCGCAAAGGTTTTGAGAAGGCTCCTCGATGCCTATTCAATTCTGCATGATGACAGGTGTTGCCTCTCTTCCTCTTCGGACAACCAAAATAAAAGTTAGGCGCATTTGCTGGTCATGCAAGAGCAAAAGCCAGAGCAATACAGATTTTTAAATACACTTTCGCTTAGACCTAGCGCGACAAACTCGGACTCCCCTAGACCCAGACATATTTGCAATGCATACAATCGGATCGGCCCCACTGTTCAAAGCAGCATGCTTCAAAGTGTCCATGATGTAGGGATCACATTGGCCAGTTGATGGATTGGTATCACTGCGAATGCCCGCGTCAACCAGGGCCAGCTGGTGGTTCCGGGTAACGATGTCAGCAAGTTGAAATATGTGAAAAACCTGTGGGTTATCCTTGCCCAGATCGCGCAAATTCTCACGCGATATTGTGTTCAGCGGTGCAACGTTTTTTGTTCCAAAGTCGGTAATGGCATCCCATTTTGCCTTCAACTTGCTCACCTGCTCATCGCTGACGTTTTCTTTCTTGCACTGCGCTTCGAACTCTTCCCACGGAGATATGTGGCCTGCTTCGATAGGAGTTACCTTATCGTATACGTCCCACATTGAATGTGCTAAGACGTTATTAGACTGCGCCGCGCCAGCAGCTGGCGCTGGGGCTGCGGCTGCAGCTCCTTCCCCGCCCGGCTTCATCATCCACGTCGATGCAGCTGTCGCGTCTTTCCTCGTGCCCGGGCCGTAAACAGCATTTCTACGTTGCTGCCGATCGTTCGTCACGTCCGGATGCCCCGTCCCGTCGTGGCTCGTGTCCGGATCGTTAACAGCATTTCTCCGCTGCTGCTGATGGTTCGTTACATCCGGATGCCACTCCCCGTCGTGGCTCGTGTCCGGGTCGTAAACAGCATTTCTACGCTGCTGCCCATCATTCGTCACGTCCGGATGCCACTCCCCGTCGTGGCTCGTGTCCGGGTCGTAAACAGCATTTCTCCGCTGCTGCCGATCGTTCGTTACGTCCGGATGCCACTCTCCGTCGTGGCTTGTGCCCGGGAAGTAAACAGCATTTCTCCGCTGCTGCCGATCGTTCGTTACGTCCGGGTGATCGTCCTCCTCCCCCGTTTCCGGGAGGTACACAGCATTCCTTCTTCTCCGGAGCTGCTGTCCCGCCCCCTCAGCAACGTGCTGTTCACCGGCAGCGTCGGGATCCTCGTGCTCGGGCACTTCGTCCGCCGCGACGCCGCGCCCACGGGGCTCTCGTCCCTCGTCGTCGTCGTCCCTACTGGTGCTAGCGTCGTAGACCGCATTCCTTCGTCGCGGCGGGCCCGCCTGCTCCGCGCCCCACTCCCCGTCGCCATTGACGCCATCCCCTTCCACGTCTTCCTGTTCCCGCCGCTCCTGCTGCCCACGACTCAGGCCGTCCCGGATAGCCTCCAGGTCTCGCTGTACGTGGTCCCGGCCCACGTGGTAGAGCACATCTTGTTGCCACTCGTCCTCCAGATCGCCCAGATCCGAGAGTCCATCGTCATCGGGCACGTTGGTTCTTCCGTCCGCACCATCGTCCTCAAGATCGTCACCTCCGCCGCGCTTCTCCGGATCCGCGAGACTTGGTCGCTCTGTTTGCGCGCCCAACTGGCGCAGGCTGCGAGCTTTCTTCTTCGCCGCTTCATACACTTTGTTGGCCGCCGCGCTAGTTGTGTCGTAAATCCCGTCGACTATGTCCCCGACTTTCTCGTCAAACTTCCCGGACAAGCCGTGGCACGAATCCATGGCAGTGCGCACTTTCCAGTGGTTTTTCTCTTTTTCTTCTTTTTCCGCTTCGTCTATCTCTTTACGTTGTTCTTCCGTGATGCCGTTCTCGTCATCCTCGGCCTTTTGGTCTTCTTTCCCCCACTTTCCCCGCCCCGCTTCTACCTGCGACAGGACTTCTGAGTACTTGTCCAAAAATCCACCTATGACAGACTTTTGCCAGGCGGCGGCGCTGTGCTTCTCGTAATGCTCTTTATCTTTTTTTATTTTTTTTTCCAGTGCCTCCTTTCCCTCTTTTTCCTCCTTCTCTAATAATTCGGACAGCGCCTTGCTCCCCGCAGCGTGCCGTCCCACCATCAGTCGTCGCTGGTAAGCGAGGTCCTCCACACCACCGCCCTCTCCCGGCGACCTGTGCTCATCCATCTGCTGCTTCTCTTTCTCCTGCTCTTCGGCTAGGGCGGCTTCCCGTTTCACGCGACCTTCTCGCTGCCTCTCCTGCAGCGCACGCAATTTTACCCGGTTGCCCTCCTCAAATTCGGCGTCCTGGTGCTCGATGCTTTGGTCATGCCTGGTTTTGAGTTTGGTTTTTAATCACGACATCAACAGAGATGAGTACCTGCCCCAACATCAACAGAGATGAAAGTTGAAAGACACATGCTGTAGAAAACAAAGAAAAGGAAACAGATTTTATACAGTTGCTTCGCTAGCGCAACTGCATCTTTATTGAAAAGCGTTTTTTCGATAAGGTCGTCCCGGTCTTTGGCAGAAGACACGTCGTTGGTAACTTTGGTAATCCTGTGCACGGTTTCAAAGGCCTTCCATGCTTGGTAAGCGCTCACTTCTGCCGGTAGGCCCGTCATAGACTCGTGGTGCCGCTGCTCGCGCTCTTTTTCGGACGCCGAGCGCAGCCGCCCATATTTCGCTTTGTTAGGGTTTCGAACTAGCGCGGAGCCAATCCATTTTCCGACAGGAAGTTTTACGTTCTTTGCAACCCGCCGAGCACCTTCGCGAACCAGCTTCTTCCCTGCTTTCTTGCAGAAAGTTTTGAACACGCTGTCCTTCACGGCTGAGGGTTTGAAGATAGCGTTGCCAGCTTTGTCGACCACCTTGTTCAGCCGACCCAGACCCATTCGCTTCCGAACTGAATTCAGGACCACCTCTATCCTGAGTAAAAACGTACCCACACCAGAGTCAGGATGGGGACTTTGCAACACAAACCTAGGAGTTTTGTGAGTCACGCATGACATAAACAGACTGTGCTACTGCGGGCGGGACATTGTGTATCAGGTGAATTCTTTTTTTGGCTTGAGTCCCCCCCTCACCCCCCCGATCTCGAATGTGCGAGTACCAAGACAAGTCATCGGACTTGGAAATACGATCATAACAAACCTATGCACGGAGGCTGCGGAGTCACATGAAAAACAAAAGACTCCGAGCGGGTAACTACGCACATGCGCGACCGACGGAAACAAGAAGAAAGAAGCAAGAAGATATGTAAGGAGGGACGAAGGCCTCCCCCCCGAAGGGTTGGAAAAGATAGTGAAGATGGACAGGAGGAAAAGCCTGTATACATACGTAAAAATAAGAATGGCAAAGCAGAATAGAAAAGCGGGAGAGAAGGCCCTTGAAATAGAAAGTAACATAATAGCACAGCAGCCGGGAAAATAAAGCACAACCAGCTGGGATCCGAGGTGAAGGCCGGATAATTGATAGACCAGCGAAAAGTAAAAATAATGATGAAAAGGCGAACGAGGGACGAAGGCCTCGAGAGCAAGGACTAGGTAAACGGCTTGCTGTGGCGCAAAGACAATTGAAATAAGCTCGCGACTACGCACAGGCTGCAACAATAAAAAAATAGTAAGTGTGATAAGAAATAGATGCATAAAGAAACTAAAATATAAAGTAATGCAGCAAAAGGCACACATACAAAGTAGCACAGTCTGAATAATGTCGTCATGCGGCATCCAGGAACCACGGCGGCAGGCGTCGCACGGGAAGCACAGGTGGACGTCGTGGAGAGAAAGCAGTCACGTAGGGGTCGCGCGGGAGAAGAAGCATAGCTTCAGCACCAAGAAGGAGAAAGAGGCAGTACAGAGGAAAAGGAGAGCAGCGGCGGAGTCGAGCACCGGGGTGTACCGAGGGGCAGAACCAAAGACGGAGTAGAACAGGTGGGCGTGCCGAGTAGCGCGTGGCGAACAGTACAGGAATACGGGACGCAGGCGTGTGTGTGTATGGAGTTTTGATCTATGTGCGTGTGTGTGTGAGGAGAATCGTCGGAAGATCCAGAACCGCAAGGCCCGGGGCGGCGGCGTCACCGGGGTGATCAAGATTCCATCGGTGGTGCGAAGTAGCTGGCGCGGAATGCCCGAAACCCCGATGGTATCGGACACGAAGGCCGCGAAAAGCTGCAACATCTCCGACAGCACGCGCAACTCCGTAATGGCAAACCGGTGCGCGTACACTGATCACGACGGAGCCGGCGAGTAGAGAATGATGAGCGCGCAAATGCCGAAGCCCGATAGTCACGTGCGGAAGGGCCACGAAGAGCTGCTTCATCTGTAAATCGTCAAACTCACACGTCGTGGTTGCGGCACCGGTCCACAAATGTCGGCTTGCTGTCGAGAAGAGGCAGGAGTGGAACTGCACGGCGAGGCTCTAAACCCAGCACGGCACCGGACAGCCGGCGCCAGGTCGGGACTCCTGTTCCGCGAGGGCGTACACAGGTTGAGCAGCTGGCATGGCAGGTTTGATGCGGTGCATCCACGTATTCATCTGGCTGCTAGTCGAGAATCGCGCGGCGCAAGTCAAAACGCATACTTATTCAGCTCCGAAACAACCGGCCACCGCGGGGCACATGTCGAAAGTGAAACGCCAGCAGCTGCGTGAACACCTCCGTAGCATCAGGTCGGGGCCGGAGGACTATGGAAGGGAAAAACCGAACAGCGAAATGCAAATAGAACCCGAAGACGCCGTCCCCCCGGGCCCTATGGACCTGGCACTCCCCACTATACTCCTCACACAAAACGCCACCATTACAACTGTAGGACATAGCCAACCACCCCGGAGCACCAGCACCAGCAACGGGGACGGAAACGGCGCAGCCCACTTCACATTCCTATCTGGCAGAGCACAGCCCACCAGCACACTGTGAGAGCTGGCAGCTGTTTTTCTTTGCCATATTCACTATAGCAATACCTTAGCAGGGACGCACGCACAACAGCATGCGCCCCATGGAGAGCAGGCAGGGCAGCTGTTACTGTCCGAAAACTGACCAGGCCACCAGTAACTAAGGAGGAGAAGCTACAGGCTAGGCCATACCCATAATAATCATGGACGACGTTTTCGAGTTCACAAAGGGGTAGCTACACGGAAATACATGGGAGGACGGTGGGGAAGCTTTTCTTGGGGGCCATGCAAGAGTCAGTCTGGTAGTTTATTGGGAACATGCAAGACCGGAGGCAGCGGGCTTCCCGAAGTGGAGACGTGACGTGGGCCGATGCCGGAAGCTCGCCCGGCTGGAGGCGTTTCGGTGGTCGTGCTGCTTGCGTTCGTCGGCCCCGGTACGCAAATGCTTCGAGCCGAGGAGTTTGCAGCTACACATCTTTTGTTGCGTGCCCCTACACATCTTCTGTTGAGTGCTACGGGAGCAAGCCTCTTGCTGGGCTTACTGCTGAAAACTCTTCCAGCCCTGCCGCATTTGCTAACGCCTTGCGCCGCGCCTGTGCCCGGCTCGAGTGGGCTCCGCCTGAACTTTGGCCGTGCGCTGGCGGTCGGGGCCTCGGTGTTTGGTAATGGTGAGACCTGTCTCGCTTTGGTGGTGTGGTGTGTGGGAGACTACGACCCGCAGCCTATTGCGCGCCCCTACAACGCCTATTGGTTGCTCGGGGAACTGACCATTTGGGGCCAGCTGCCGTAGCCCCTCCGTCGGTGAGTAAAAAGAGGAACCGCGTGGGGCGCTGAGTCCTTCCCGCTTGCCGAGGCATCTTGAGTTCGCCCCGCTTGGGCGTCGCGCAGCATCCGCGTGCGCTACTACTCGCGGAGGCGTCGCTGGGTGTCATAGCCTAGCAGGGAGATACCCGCTAGGCTGCCGGAGGCCGAGGCCATGGTCTTTATTGTTGGATCCCTATTGTGACTACGCGAGCACGATCGTAAAGCTGCAAGATGAACGGGCAGTGAGAGCTGCGGAAGTGGTGGGAACTAGCGCAAAACAGAAAAAGGAAAACAAGAAGACTGGCTGTGAACTTTCCTAGGGTCGGGCCTCCTCTCTCTCCCTAGATGCTGTAAAAGGTTCTACTAGGGGTTGTCGCTGTGAGAGTTGTGATCTTTGCTCAGCGGATCCCCCCCGCCAGAATGGCAGGGGTTGGTATATTAAGGATCTTGAGCCAAAATGGCTACGGTGAGTCACGCATGACAAGTTGCACTCTGCAGTGTAGTGCAGATTAGCAAGCGCAGCCGCATCACAGATTCATTTGCTCATCCTGTTCACAGCGTCACAAATTCCAAAACACGACTGAAAATGGCTCTCATGCGGATGCGCATTACAAGTCTTCCTGTCTTTGCAAATCTGCATTACAACTCTGGTGTGGGTACGTTTTTACTCAGGATAACCTCGTCCGCGCCGAGCTTCGCCGACATGAACTGCGAAGGCTGCAGAACCTTGTCCGCCGCAAAGTCCCCGACCATGGCCGCTGCCACGGTGGCGGCGATGCTGACCACGGTGGAGACGGTGCTGATCATCCCCTGCGTTTCCTCTTTGGTGTAGATTTTCGCCTTGTTGTGCATGGGCCCGAATCCGGTCGTGAAGAAGTCCTTCGGTAGCTTTCCGTTGTCGTGCATGGCCTGTCGCATCCCATTCTCGAGGCTACGCAGATTGTCGTTGCCCGTGATCTCCGCGGTCCAGGTCTCGCTTATCAACGTGAACTCGTCGTCAATGCTCGAAGAGTACAACGAATCCGGGTCGTCCGTCAATTTTGACTGTTGATATGGTGAATCATCGGTGGGATTTTGCTTCTTTTTTACACCTCAACGGAATGATAAATCATGAGCTAGAGCATCAGCATCACGACAGACGTATACGACAACGCCGACGAAAACGCCGGCGGCGCGTTCTGTCTTTATGATTGTGCTTCAAACCGGATGCCTCCTTCATGTACTTGTTTCGAACACGAATGTCGTGCATGGTCGCTTACTAAAGTCTTGGGGCATCAATCAACCACGTCATCTTTCTACTACAGCTACCAAAGTGCAAAAACAAGTGGGTAAATTAGTCATTTGATGAAGAAGCTACGAAACGCAACAAGAGGTACCTCATAGGCAAAGAGCGCTTCGCGATAACTGCGCAACTCGCCCTCGTACGCTTTCTTGTCGTCGGCGGTCATGTTGTCCAGGTTGCGGCCGAATTTTGCTTCCGCCATGCTCTCCTCATACGCTTTCGTGTCTTCGCACCCAACCACACACTGGGCCGCGTGCGGAATTTCTTTGGTGAAGAAATCTCCCACCTTCTGCCACCATTTCCGCCGGTCGGTCATGTGTTCCTCCTTCTTGGGCGGTTCCTGCAGAATCGCTTCGCGTTTCTGCCGGTCTTCCTCCGTTATCAAGCTTTTTCCGTCTTTGTCCTTGTGCACCTGTAAGATACGATCGTCGGTGTGTTGCAGGGTCCACAGACCCCAGACGTTTCGCTCGTACGTCGAGGCTGTCTGCAGTTTGAACTGGATGTCCATCTTGCCACCAAGGGCTTCTTTCTGGTACACGGTGACTTCGGAGGTTCGCTTATCGAAGTCGCAGGTGTCCATGCGCCGGGTCTGGCGTACCTTGTAGCCGAGCACCCGACCCTGGTTCTTGTACTTGTTGTAGTACTCCACTTCGTGCACGTAGGTGCGCGCCAGCTTGTCGGCCCAGCCGCCGTGCTGCTTCTTTAGGGTGCGCTTCTCAATGTGCTCGTAAGAGTACAGAGTCAGCATCCCGGTCTGGCCCGCCGACAGCGAGAACGTCTTAAGCTGCATCCGCCCGCTGGCCTCCTGGCTGTACCGCTGGAAGCCGACTTGCGCACGGTAAAACAGTGCCTCGGAGTCGAAGTAGCACGATGCCTCCTTCCACTTCCGCGCATCTTCCCCGGCCCAGTACCCGTTGCGACGCTGGAGGTGCCGCACCGTCAGGGACCGCCCGTGCCACCCCGTCACGCGCCCGCGGAACTCGCCGGCGAAGTCAAGCTGGCGGGCGTTGGTGGTGGTCATCTCCCCGGTGACCCGGTCCTCCACGGGGCCGCCGCAACACCAATCGACAACGGCGTCTTTCATCCTGCGCCATGCGTTCGTGACCGCCTTCCAGGCAGCATCGATCAGGTCACCCGCGATGTTCAGTGCCAATCGGGCCACGCCGATAATCAAGGCCGTGGTCGCTCCGCTGATGGCGCCCGCGATTGCGCCCGGAACGGCCCCGACGCCACCCGCCATACTCCCGGATATGCCGCCAACGACAGCGCCCCCGACGGCCCCCCAAAAAACGTCCTTGCCGAGATTCATCAGACCGTAGTCCTTGTTCTGGGCTTTAACCCCGGACTCTTTGAACGCTTCGTCTGTGTTTTTCTCGGAGACCTGTTGCTCCGTCGGATGGCCCTTGATCATGTGGGCACCGGAAACGATGTGGTGTAGCTCCACCGAGCCGTCCTTTCGCCGCACCTTCCGAACGATGCTAGTTGTCACCGTCGTCTGGTGCATCTGCACATTCGGGTACGTGTGAGACGCAAACTCCATGCTGGTTTTCTGAAACTGCACCGTGCTCGCGACCGTCTCCACGCTGATGCGCAGCTGTTCCTTCTCCGCCTCCAGGCGGTTCTGCAGGTCCTGGTCGCCGAGATCGATCGTGACCATGGGCGGCGGCGGGGGACCACCTGCGGCGTTCCCACCGTTGTTGTTCCCGTTTCCGCCGCCACCGGAATTACTTCCGGCGCTGGCCCCGCTCCCACCCGGGGCCGGCTGCCCGCCCCCGCCGTTGCCGTCCTTTGCGTCCTTCTTCCGCTGCTCCTTGTGCTGGCGGACCACCTCTAGTGCAATCTGCCCGGTATCGGTCCCATATTCGTGCTCCCTTTTCAGTTCCTGCTCCTCGCGGTCCAGCGCCTCGCGCTTCCGCAGGTCTTCGCGCTCCTCGGGCGTCAGGTTCACCACACCAAAGTCCTTCATTTCGCGCTTGTCCGCCTTCCCCTTGTCGCCGAATTGCAGCACATCCAGCTTCCCATCTTTGCGCTTCCCATCTTTATCTTTCTCCATATCCGCTTCTCCGTCCTTCATCCGCGCGATTTGCTGCCGCCGTTCGTGGCTCTTCGCCCCCATTTTCTTCTTTGTCACGTCGGTTTCTTTTTCGTCGTTTTCCACCTCCTTCTCCCAGTCCTGAATCTTTTTCACGTTCCCCTTCGGCTCGCCCAGTTTTTTCCGCTCCTCCTCGATTTCCTTCAGCCGCGCGTTGTTCTCGGTTTGCCGGGGGTCGTTCTTCCGCGCGAAAGTGATCTCCTGCCCGGTTTCGTCAAAGACGAGCGACTGGGGCACCGGCGCCACGGGCTCGCCCGTGACCGGGTGCTTCCCGTCTTCGCAGCGGTACACCATGTACTTGGCGTCCTCGATCTCTTCCGGGGTCTTCGGCTTGGGCGGCTGGATCTCGCCATTCTTGACCTTTTTCTCGTACTCCTTTTGCCGCTTCTCCTGGATCTTCTTTATTTCCTCGTCGGACTTGTCCTTGAACTCTAAGTCCTTCCCGATGACCGCCCCGTCCAGCCGCGATTGGTGCCAGCGTTGGAACTCCGTGGGGTCGTCCGTGCAACGGTGGCCCGCGTCCTCGATCAAGATCCGCTGCCCGTCTGCGGTGAGGCGCCCGTCGCTGCCGTCGATCAGGCCGTTCTCCGCCATTTTGCGCAGCCGCTCCTGTTCGGCGGCGACGTCCTGCAGAAAGCCCTTGCGCTTCTCCAAGAACCGGAGCAAAAAGTCCTTGCTCCGCCGCGAGCCGGCTGACTTGCCCCGCGCGAGCTTGTCCATCGCCTTGCGGAGCTCACCGCCGTCCAGTTTCTTCTTGTTCTCGTTCAGTGCCGTGAGCTCCGCGTCCACGTCCAACCCCCGCAGGTGCACGCGACCCTGCTCGGCGAGCTGGTAGAAGCGCGCCATCCACACGGACTTCTCGAGCTGCAGCAAATCGTCGAAGCCGAAGAGCGCGAACGAGTCTTCGCCGGCGACCACCTCCGCACCGCCCTGGTGTTTATCATCGTGGGATACGTTCCGCTCCCACATCCGCTTCCAGCCCCCAAACACCCGGTTGAAGCCAAAGCGTTCCCACGCATCATTGAAGCCCCGCTGCAGTTCGGCCGCCCCCTGATCCAGTTCCTCGTCGTCCTCCAGCCGCTTGCCGCCGTTCCACATTGCCGTGAAAAAGGTGTTGCCCAGCGCGCCGGCCTTTTTGTTGTTCTTGGCCCGGGCACGGTTTTCCTCGTTGGAAATGTCAAATTGGCCCCGCGGATCATGCTTGCGCAGCAGCTCAATGTCCTCCCGTGAGATGCCGTAGCGCTTTTTGATCTCTTCGTAGCTCTCGGTGCGCTTGTGCGTGAGCTGCAGGTTCTTCAGCGCCAGCAACCGCCGCGCCTTGCGCTGCTCCGGAGTCTCGTTCTCGAGTGTCCCCGTCATCTGCTGGACCTCCGCAGCCCCGCAGGCGTCCTGCGCAGCCTGGTCCACGCCGTGCGCTTCGTTAACGATGTCTGGTCGGGCGTCTTTCGCCTCCTGAAATGTTGGGTCGTCCCCTTCGTCATCGAGCGCGCACTCGCTGGAGTCGACTTTTTTCTGGACGTCGTCGCTCTTCTTTGGGCCTTCCTCAAGCAAACCGGTCTTGCGGCCCTTATTTGCGTCCTTCTCCTCCTGGGAATGCTCCGGAGGTTTATTAGCGTCGTCGTTTTGCGAAGAGGAAGCTGCGCCAGCGTTTGCAGATGCGAGGTCTTTTTCCTTGCCGTTTTCCACTTTTTTCACCATCTGCCACTTCTCCTCGGTGCTGCCGTCGGCTTTTTTCTCCGTTTTCTTTTCCCACTGCGAGGACTCTTCGTGCTTCGCATTCGGCGTTTGCCAGCCCTCGTGGACAATTTTTTCTACCCCGTCTTCGAACTTCTTGGTCGCCTTCCAGCTGCTCCACGTCTTGCCATCCGCGGTCTTGTAGATCTTCTCTTCCCAGGTGATCGTGGGGTCGTTTTCGTCTTTGTGTTCTTCTTTTACCTCCTTCGCCTCCCCTCTCCGAATGGCCTCCTGCAGCTCCTGGCGGTCCGCCCGCACCTGCTTCTTCTGTTTCTCGTTCGCTTCCCGGCGCTCCGCCGCCTCTTTCTGCTTCTGCTTTCGCTCCTCCGGGGTCAGCTTGCGCTTCTCCTCGGCGGCCTTGCGATCCTCCTCGGTGGCATCGTCCAGCGCTTTCAGATCCTTGTCTTCGTTCCGCTCTAGAAAGCTCAAAGCCTTCCCGGGGTCTTGCACCGCGGCGTTCACTTGCTGGTCGGTGGCCTTGTGCTTCTCCCTCGGGTCGACATCGTCGCCCGCCTGCAGTTTCACCTTTTTCTCGTGGCGAAACGTGACGAACGCCACCATCTCCGCGCACAAAAAGATCTCCACCTCTCTGTCCCCGATTTTCCACTTGACCATGTCCCCCTTCACGCCCGCATCTTTGTAACGCTGGCCCATTTCAATCGTGCTCTGGATCACGCTCTCCTGGCCCGCTTCCGACTGCAGCGCGTCGGAAAGTTGGTCTTTCAGCATGTCCGCGTCTGTCGGCGTGTCTACCAAGTTTCTCACTGACGCGGGCACTTCGACTTCTCTGTCCGGGGGCCCGGGCAACTTGACCTTAGTCGGCAGCAGCCCGTCTGCGCCAAGCTCCCCGTTCTTGATTTGTTCTTCGACGGCCCGGAGAATCGCGAGGAACTCTTCGGCGTCCTTCTGGTTGTTCTCCGCTGCGAGTACTTTCTCGAGCGCGTCGCGCACTTTTCTCTCCTCCGCGTCGAAGTGGTCCTTGAAAAGGCCCCACTCCTTGATCCGCAGCACCTTGATAACCGCCGTCCCCGCGCCCTTCGCGGCCAGCTCCGCCATTTGCCCCATCAGCTGATTCACGACGTCGGGGACAAAGTGCTGCTTCACCCACTCTCGGGTTTGCCGGAAGAAGAAGTTGCGCAGCCCGAGCAGAAAGTTCTGGCGCACGATCGGCAAGTCCCGGTAGGCCTTGATCTTGCGGCCCAGCACGTCCAACAGAGTGTCCTGCAGTTGCGTTTGCGGACGGTCGCGGCGCTCGTAGACCGCGCGGATTTCCTCCTGGTACCGCTCCGTCAGCTCCTGGCGCCGCTGCTCAACCGTGTGCGCCTTTTTCTTGTCTTCTTCGCTGGAGCCCCAGCCGAGGGAAACGCTCGGGGCGGCCACGGCAAGCGCCTCTTGGATCATCGTTTTACTCTGCTGCTCGCGCCTCTTGTCCCGGAGGTTGCGGAATTTCTGGACCGTCTCCGTCATCTTGCGCAGCGCCGGGTTGTTGCTAAGGCGCCGCACTTCCGCCGCGCTGAAGGGGCGCCTCCACTGCCGCTCCAGGTACCTACCCTCGTGGCTACTCCACAACTTTTCCAGCTCCCGCCGGGGCATCTTGCGTTTTCCGAGCCTGCCCGCCGTTCGCTCCGTCAGTTTCGCGAGGTCGACCTGCGTGGCCAACCGCTCCTGAAAACCAATCAGGGTCTGCTGCACAATGCGCCGCCACGAGGTCACCAACTGGAGTCCCGCCAGGACCTGGCCGCCCGTTTTGTAGTACTTCTTCCACTGTTTGCTCCAGTTTTTGGTGCCCTTACTTTCCTCTTGCGCGCCGCCGTGGCGTTTTTCGAGAGCCGCGATCTCCTTCTCCTCTTCCTGAATCTTTTTTTCCGCTTGGCTATTGATGTCGAGCCCGCCTCTCTCCTTCTCGTTTAGATATTGCTGTTGCGCTTTCATTTCCTCCTCATAGTCCTTGTCTTCCTGTTCCTCCCTGTCAGCGTCTTCCTCCTTTTGGTCTTGAGCCGCCAACCGTTTCTCCGAGGCGCGTTTGCCGAGGACCGCCCCCGAGCCATGCTCGATGCCGGCATCCAGCGTGGGTTTGAAGTACTGCGAGAACGAGTCTTTCAACCCCTTCGACATGAACAGCGTCAGGTCCGTCTCGGTGTTGATGCTGTTGTTGATGATGCCCTCAATCTCATTTTTCACGTCCGCGATGTCGTTGTTCTTCACCGCCAGCAGCTGCACAAACAAAGTGTTCAAATTCTGGCCCTTGCTCAGGTCGTGCGACGAACCAACCATCGTGCTGGTCCCCCCGTTGTAGAGCCAGTCGCGGCCGAAGATTCCCTGCAGGATCGTGTCAAACATTTGCTGCACTTTGGTCAAAATGTCGTTTTCAATCGGTTTCCAGATCTCCTGCAACTTGTTCTCCACGACCTTCTCAAACACTTTTTCCGCAACGTGTCCGGTCGTAATGGCCGTGCGCTGCAGCGTCATGCTCTCCAGACCGGTTCCTGCAGTTGCGCCTGCGGACGAGGCCGCGGCTCCGGCCTCTCCGACTTGTTCCCCGGCCGCCGCCCCGGCAGTGGAACTGGTGCTGGTCGCGCCGGCCGCCACTTCTTCCGCGCTCTCTTGAGTAACTCTCACGGCTGCCTGCTCCACCGCGTCTTCCGCGGCCTCTTCAACGACCTCCTCCGCCGCCTCCCTAGTCGCTTGGGTAGCCACCCCCTCCGCCGCCTCCGTGCCGGCGGCGCTCGAGGCCTTGGTCGCGCCCGCTTTCGTCGACGCCTTCGTACTTCCGGCCACGGCCGCCCGCTCCGCGCTCTCCTCGGTGGCCGTGGACGCCCAGCCGGCCCAGGCCTGGAACTCGTCCGTGGCCTCCCACGTCAGGCCCTTGAATTTGCCCTGCTCGTCGTACGCCTTCGAAAACATGTAGTTGCCGTCCGCGTCGGTTTTCACGGTGGAAAACCCCATCGACACGACGGAGATGGCCTTCTGCACGTTGTACCGGCCCCAGCCCTGGAACGTGTGGCTGGACCACATCTCGTACAGCACCGCGGCGTCTCCCGCCATTTCCATTCCGAGCTTGACCGCCAGGGGCGGACAGTACACCGCGACCGCAAACTGCGCGACAAAAATGGCGGAAACGATGAGGAAGTTGATCGGTGGGAACACCGCCTTTTCGCCCATCTTCAAGATGAAGGACACCCCGCGGCGGTCCGCCTCCGCGAGGGTGGATTCGTACTTGGCAAGCTGGACCTCCCGCTGTTGCGCCAAGTACTCCTCCGAAGTCAGCGGCTGGTTGCTGGTGGCCAACGCTAAGTGCTTTTGCAGGGCGGCGCGCGCGTTGGCGTCGCCGGTCGAGGAGACAACGCCAGACTCCAACAGCTGCGACTCCATGCCGCGCGCGCGCGAGCTGTCCTCGCCGTAGAGGTTGTCGCTCGCGAGCCACTGCGACTTCAGCGAGGACACCTCTTTGAGATCCACTTTCTCCTCGTGCAGCGCGCCGTGAACGGCCCCGCGGCCATACGAAAAGCGGTAAATCACGTCCCGCAGAACCTGTTGTTCCAAATCCCGGAAGAGCAGCGTGAAGGTTGGTTTATCCCCCGGCGCCACCCAGCGGAGGTACCGGACTAGTTTTTGGGTCTTCGCCACCGCGGTTTGGGCCGCGCTTGTCATTTGGCTCCTGAAGAAGGTCTTTTTCGGCAATTTGTAATTGTTTTGGTCAACCGAGCTGCTCTTCGCGGTCGCCAACTGCTGCGAGACTTTGCCAAAAATTTCTCGCACGAGTTGCGCGTTGGTGTGCGCCTCAACGGACGCTTTCCGTTCTTCCGCGTTCATTCGCTCGTATAACGCTTTCGGAACGCCAAACTTTCCCACTTCCTCCTCCCAGACTTGATTGATGTCAACTTCTTCTTCTTCACCACCGTCCGTGCTGCTTTCGTTCTCACCCGCCTCGGAATCTTCCTCGTATTCCTTGTTGGGACCCGCCCCGAGGCCACTTCCCCGACGAGCCAGTTGCAGCTGCATCTCGCGCAGCCGCTGCGCATGCGCCTCACCTTTGAGTGCCGCCGTTCGGATTGCCTCCTCCGTCAACCCCGCTAGCGACAAGACGATAACAGGCTGGTGTCCCGCAGTGCCGACCGCTGCCGGACCTCTTGCTGCACTAGCAGGAGAACCGCGTGCTTGGGGTCGTCCCGATGTTGGTGAGGTCCTCAACTCATTTTCCTCCTCCGAAGCAGCGGTTAAGTTGTCGGAAGATACCTCGAGGTCATCATCGTCGTCGTCGGCAAGATAGGTACTCGCAGCGGAAGATGGAGCACGCGTTGAGCGGCCAGCAGAGGAAACATGTCCTGCTGCACCGGACAACTTCGACTTCCCGCCTTGCTTACCGCCTTTGGAGAACGGCGCTGGGTCTTCTTTTGGTTTGCTCCCATTGGAGCCTTTATCGTCACCAGGGAGACCTCCGCGGTAACCGTAGAGCTCGTCCGTTTCGCGTTGCTCCTCATCCTCTGACTCAACATCAAACTCATCCACATCAGGAGCCGCATCAACCATGACGATGTCGTCTTCCTTCCCCTGACCAGGTTCATCTTGTTGTCCCGAGCTTGCACTAGCTCCGTTCTGCGCTGCGTCCTTTGCAGCCTGTAGTTTCGCTTCCTCCGCTTCAATGCGCTGCTGCTCTTGCGCTTCCTTCTCGTCGCGAATCCGCTTCTGCACCGCGTGTACAGCCTCTTGCGCCTTGGCATCCAGAGCGGTGTGCAGCAACAACTTCTCTCGCAGCTGCCGCAAGTCGCTCATGCAGTTCGGATAGGGCTCACCAGTCTGCTGCGCTAGCTCCCTGTCCGTCCAGGGGAAATTGTCCACGACAACGTCACGGACGGCCTCCAGGTGGTTCAGATCCGCGTACGGTCTGACGCTCGTGTCCCACCAGCCGGCAATGGTTTCGGCCGTTCCAGTCGAGGGGCCGAGCTCCTCTCCGGTCAGGATCGGGTGCGCCTCTACCTTGGCAAGCGAAAATGCGGGGCTGTTCCCACCAACCCCTAGGGAAATTTGCGTCCGCAGGTGCTTGCGGTATTGCACCGTCGCCTCCCTTGCGGACGCCCGAAGCCGAGACTGTAACCGAACCATACGAGTTTGCAGACTCGACGCTCCTCTTTCCGCTGGTGTATTGCCACTGTTCTTCCCGCCCGCGCTTCCTGCTTCCGCCGGTGGCACGAAGTCAGCATGTACTTCTTGCTCCGGCACTTGTTCTTGTCCCACGAGCCCGCGAAGAGATCGGCCACTTTCATTCTTCATGACGACCAATGCTGCGTCAACCTCGTTGGAGACGGTCTGCAAATTGTCCTCCACTTGCTGCAGGAGCAGCCGGGCCTTCTCCTGCAAAACGAAAATGACGGCACTGAGCCGGGCCTGTCGCTCGTCACCGGCCACCATTTGCCCGTGCTTCGCGGCCGCCGCTTCTATCTTTTTCACTTTTGCCTCACCGTAGCCCTCGTCTTCTGCTTTTTGCGCTTCGTCGAAAAACACGGCAACGTTCGATCCGTCCATCCCCGGGTGGGTGGCCGCTCTCTTTTTGGCTTCGAGCGCGGCCTCTCGCGGAAAGTGCTGCTGCTCCAGCATGGCCACGTACTCCACGGTTTGGCGCTCGCGGTGCCGCTGAAACATCGCGTCCGTCAGCAAGGCCTCTTTCATCCCGATGTCTAGCTGCGCGACACTGGTCAGATTTTCGTCCTCCAGAACCTTCACAAGGCGGCTTGCGTGGATTCGTGACCTCGCTTTCTGCGGGGACGAGGAAGAACCTCCTTGGAATTCTTCTAGCGCTCGACGCAATCCGGCCTCGGTCTCGAAGAACAAAACGCGCTGCTGATCATTCGACTCGTGTTTGGCAGCAGTGGCTTGTTCGCCTGACCGCTCCTCCGCTTTCTTGGTAAAACTCAGTTCCCAGAAGTACACATACAAGCGATCCGGTGGAGCATAGAGAAAATCGTCCATGCATAGTGCCGTCCAGAGACCATTTTTGTTCTCCTCTTCCCACGCAGCAGGGGCATCACCCTCAGAACCGGTTGCTGACATCTGCACGTCTGCCTGTTGTTTTTGCGCAACCACAGCGGGGTCCACGTTCTGTGGCACGTTGAGGAGACTCGACCTCCCAGTCATTTCGATTTTCATTTCCTCTCCATCAGTTGCAAATTTTTTCCGGAGCCAGGCACGCAAAAGGGCTTTGTCCTCTAAATCAACCGCCTGCGGGCGCTCGATGACCAAACTTCGCTGCTTCTCTTGCTCCCGAAGATTGTGAAGCAAAACACGCCCGACCGCGTCGGCATCACTGCTCGCGGCCTCCTGAGCCTCGGCAGGCAGCAGCTTGATCACCTCGGCTTGCAAGGCTGGAGAGAGTACGACGTCCTGCTCGGGGAATTGCGCGTCGCCCTCCCCTTGGAAAGCGAGAAAGCTCTGTCTCGCTTGTTCGCTTCGCGATCTCTGAACTACAGACGGTTGGTCAACAGACGAACTGCCAGGGCCAGCTTCTTCGCCAGCACTTTTTCCACCCAGCCCGGCAAACATGCTGGCTAGCATGTTTATCATCCCATCTGGTTTCGCCGGCTTTCCCACGGAGAACCGGGGGCTAGCTTCGCCGACCGCCGTGGGACTGGTCTCTTCATAAACTGAGTCTAACGAGAACAGTAGTAGCTTGCGCAACACCAGGTCTCTTTGCGGACCATCCACAGCGGCCCACTGCATGCCTGTGAAGTGCAGGTCGGCAAACACCAGCGCGTCGTTCTGATCGGCGAAGTCGGTGCTGAGCTCCTTCGTGAAGGCGGTTGGGTCGCGGTCCGCGTTGAGGTGCTTCGCCGTTCGACTTGGCGCGATAATCTGGTCTCCCGGCATCGCGTCTTCCGAGCGAGATGAAGATCCGTCTTCGTCTTCCAGGCCGTGGTCCTCTTCGCGTGCGGCTTGCAACGCAGCTGCGTCTTCTGCGTCCATGCCATTTTCCGAGGCAAGAGCGAGTGCGCGGTCGTCGCCGAACAGGCCATCGTCGCCCAACAGGACTTCGCGCTCCTTCGTGGTTTCTGAGGACTTCCACCGCAGCAAGCCAACCAGCGCGGGTTCGCAGCCCCGCAGGGTCATCGAGATGCGCTGCTTGTCCATGTAGGCCGGCGCGGGACGCTGGTCAACCGACTGACTCTGCTCCTCCTCCACGTAGGACACCACCTTGTCGAGTAGGGACTTCTTCAACAAGTCCAAATCACCGCGCTCGCGCTCCTGCACCGCGTTGAGCTCCGCTAAGTCGTGCTCCTGCATTTCCGCCTGGCGCCGCAACAGGTTTTTGTGGTGCGCGGTGAAACGGCCCCCCGCCGTTGCGGAGTTGCGCACCTCGTCGCGCAGCTCCTGCTCCAGCAACTGAATCTTCTCCGTCCAGCTGTGGCGCAGCGCGCGCTCCTGCTTTTCGTGCAGCAAGGCCAAATCCCGGCGGAGGGGTCGCAGGAACTCTGGATCCTGCAAACTGCCGTCCTTCTGCGGCTTCAAGCCCGCAGCCTCGAGAACGCTGTACAAATGCATCCGGGCGTCTTCCGGTCCGCCAAGCAGCGACTTCCCCAAAAACGCGATCAGCGTCTGCGCTACGGAGGCGTCCACACCTTGGAACCGGATGCGGTAGTGATCCCCACTCGCTTTCGAATTCGTAAAAGAGGAGAGAACGTAGGGGTTGTAGCGCTCCTCGACCTCTTCGACAACTTCCGGTCCGATCAGTTTCTTCTTCACCTTCCGCACGGACAGCAGGCCCTCTAATGACTGTCGCACGAACCGCTGTTTGGCACGCGCCAGCGCGAGATCTTCGCGCTTGCGCTGTGCGCGTTCTTGCTTCTCTTTCTTTCGCAAGTCTTCCTCCGAAAGTCCGCTGGTTTGTTCCTGGGGGTGTGCCGCGGTTTGTGCGTCTGGAACGACCGCGCCGCCCTGTTGATGCGGGACCGCCACAACTAGCGCTTCTTTCTCCGCCTGAATGTCTGCGTAAAGACCATGCTCAAACTCGTAGCCAGAGCCTCGAAGCAAATCAGACACCGGCACTGTCGCGCCCGGCTGGTCCAACGCGACCAATTTGTTTTCATCTTCTTCGGCTTCGTCGTCTTCCTGTTGACCGCTTAGTAGTTCGTCCTCCGCCGGCGCCATCACCACATCAGCAGCCGGATCGGCGTTGTCACCAACAAATTTCAGCTCCACCGCTCTCAGTTCTGGCTCAAGGTCCTGGTCAACTTCCGCTGACCAAAGCTCGCGCAAAGCTTGGAATCCGCTGCCCGAAGTTGCTTCATCTGCGTTAAGGGAGGAGCTGCTGTTCTCGGTTCTACCTTTGCTAATTCTACTTCCGTCCAGAAGCAATATCGCGTAAAAATCCTGAAAAGCTCTGGGACCACCAAGCAAGGCGGTCAGACTTTGGAGGCTACGACTCTCGGCGGACTGCAGATCGGTTTGTAGAGGACTCTGCCTACGTTTTACCATGGTCTCCCCGGCCTTCAGGGCCGTTTTTTTCTCGTGCCGCGTGACTTCCTTCCGCTTGTACATGGTTTTTCCGTCCCAGGACTGGAACGCCTCGATCCGCACCTGTGGATGCTCTTCATACTCCACTGGCAGACGGGCAGCTGCCTCGCCCGATCCCAACCTGTCTTCGTACTCGGTGCGGTCGACACTACGCTTGCGTTCGGCTCCGTCCAACACACGAAATTTGGTGAAGCGGTCCGTCGGGTCAGATTGTACACCCTTTCCGATCAGTCGCTCGGGATCCTCCAAAAAGCGAATGCGCGGGCGCCAGGCAGTTGGGATATGCGTAGAAGAACTAGCACCGGCAACTACCTCGTGATGAAACAAAGACGCTTCTACCGCAGCTCTGGCCTGGTTGAACGCCTGCTCCATTTCCGTTTGACTCCACGCTCTTTTGATGAAGTCCGTTACCGTCTCAAGAGCAAAAACACGATGCGCGGACGGCAAAATGCCCTTACTCACCAGCCAGCGCTGATGCAACTCTGATCTGAGAGACTCAAGCGCAGGCTGACGTGGTCCTGCTCCTGCGGTGCTCAGAAAACTCTCACCAGTGTGTCCTCCGCCGGCGCTTTCATCATCCTCTTCGGTTGGCTCGTCAGTCGCAAACTGTTTCAACAACATTTCCCACTCCGCGCGTTGGCTATCCTCAGCTTTTTTCAGGACCTTTTGTGCAATTTGATCGAAGAAGAAAGCCTGTAATTCTACATCGGAGACGACGGAGAACTCCACGTCCACGGCGCGCGGCTTCCATTTGTTGTGGATCACCACCTCGTTTTTGCCCCCCGGCGGTGCGAAAGCGAAGTCCTTCCGCTCGTCAATCTTTCCGATACCCGGCAAACCTTCGCGCACCAGCTTCTTCACGTACTTCGCCCGTTCCTCCCAGAAGTGCTCGCGCTGCTTCTGTGCTTCCTGCTCCACCGCAGCGGGAGTGGTCGCGGAAGACCCGCCCTGCTCGGTAGTGACCGCCTGCACGCCCCGGAAGTTTTTCTCGCTCCGGTAAATCTCGGGAAGGGGGAAGGCAAGCGGCTCCGTGGCCATGCCGAGCAGCTGCAGTGCCTGGACCGAGTCGCCCGTGTCAGCCGGCTCAAAGGTCAAGTCGTAGTGAAAGCTGTTCACGCTGTTCACATCAACGCTTCCAGTGCTTCCTTCTGACCCCTTGTTGAATTCGACGGTGAACCGGTGCGCTTTGCTCGACCACTCTTCCGCGTTTTTGTTGAGCGCAGCAAAAGCCTCTTCAAATGAGCTGAAATCCAACGTCGCGTCGAACCGCACGCGCCGCGTGCCAGTGCGAAGCAGGGAAGAACCATCGCCCTGCTGCTGCCCGGGTGTACCAGAACCGCGGCCGGCGTCAACCTGCATGTCATTGTCGTCCTCGTCTTCCAGGTCAAAACTGTACGCCACCGCCATATCGGACACTTCCCGCCAGTGCGAGATGTGGATGCTTTTCACCGCCCGGTCAACCTCATTTGGTTTGGCGCGATGCATGCTGTTCCACGCCTCGCCATTGTGCATGTTGCGCCGCCAACCACCGAACCATTTCGCCGCCCATTCCTTCTCGTGCTTCTGCCGTTCCGCGAGCTTGGCCCGCAACTCTTCAAAACCCAGGTCCTGGACCTGGCTGCGGTCCCCTGCACCGCGGGCGTGGTCCCCACGCAGCAGAGAACTGAAGTCATTGAAGTCCGAAAACTCCGGCTCCACAACGACCGTCGGAATCGTTCCCTGGGTGGGCGTGTATACCGCGTTGTTCTGCCACTGGGTCAGCGCAGTTTCTGCCTGGTCCCACGTCATCCCGCCGTCCTCGTAGGTGGTGAAGCCGCGTGCGCGCAGGTCAAACAACTTCTTCCGACCGACGTTAGGGCGACCGCTCAGCTGCATGTCTGCCGCGGATCTGGGAAGAGCGGTGTGTTTCTGAAATTCATTCTCCTGCAAATAGCGTTTTTGCGGTGCATTGACCATCGTCCCCGCGTGACCCTGGGTTGTTGATGCTGTTCCGGCTGCAGTTGAGCCAGACAAACCCAAGAAAGAGGCGATACCGCCCAGAACACCCTTGCTTGCCTGTTGCTCTGGTTGTGCGCCCCCGGGAATCGGTTCGTCTTCCCGTTCGACAAATGTTTTCCCGAAGACGGATTTTGTGCGCGAGTCGCCGAGTGATCCGAGTTCCTGCAATCCCGCATGTTCGTTCCACGTTTTATCTTTCTCGCCCCAGTCTTTCAGCACGCGCGGCACCTCCCAATGATCGACGACGGCGAGAACGTGAGCAGCGCTATCTGGTTCCACGGGACGGTGGGCCGTTATGTCGAGCAGGCGCTCCGTCTCCTCGATCTCTCGGATGTTGCTGTCAATAGCGTCGAGATACGCTCTGGTGACCGCCTGCTTCCGCTTTAGACTTTCCAGCCCCGCGTGCGCAGCTTCGGCCGTGGTCAACTGCGCAGCAAGTGGATCGTTTGTCATCTTGTTGCGCGTTGTTTCTCCTTGTTGCGCGGGGCGGGGACTCGTTTGCTCCCACTTGCGGTCGATCGCGCCTTGCGTCACCTGGATGAGGAATTCGCGCATCTCCACTTCTTTCTGAATGCCGAAACTGGCGCGCTCGAGGGTGAGCTTTAGGTCCGATTTGGAGTCGTGTTTCCCCTTCTGTGCGGCCCACCACGCTTGCCCCATGTAGGCCGGCCCCGCAAACACGGGGTCCAGCCAAATCGCCATTTCGAAGTGGCGCATGGGCAGCTTGTAGTAGTCCCAGATCATCCAGGACCACAGATTCCTGGTCAGGGTAAACGAAGGGTCATTTCGGTACGCGTCGAGACACAGCATGCCGATTTGCGTGTGGTAGAACGGGTTCGTGATCGCGCGCATGCCCAGAAATTCCGAAAAGTCCGCCCGTCGGCCGTACACCACCTTATCGGGCAACGTAATTTCGGTTGTCACATGTCTTTTGTGCACGGGATGGTCCGGATTATTGCCCTGCACCGGCACGACGCTCTGGCCGGCGATCACCAGGCCTGCCTGCGTGTCCTCCACGTTGATTGGCTTCAGCTGCTGTAGAAGTTCCTCGTCGAACAATGCGGAAGAACTCTGCGCGGCCAAGTAGTGAAACAGCGCGCCGTTGTTTTGCCGTGTACTGTCCGCCGGGACGCGCACGTGACCGAGCAGCGCCTTGCCGCGGAACTTTTCCAGCTCGCTCGCCTTCTCGAGCTCGGAGGGCCGCTCTGGTTTGCCCTCGAAGTCCCACTTCAGCTCCTGCAGCCATTGCTCGTACCGCTTCAGCGCCTCGTCCTGCGCGACACGCTCGTTGACCAGCTCCCCGCGAAATTCGGCGGCGCTGATAGCGTCCTGCAAGATGCCCCGCGAGCGGTCCAGGAACAGGGCCCAGCGCTCCGCGATGGCCTGCAGCGTGTTAAACTCGCGAATCTTCTCGGTCGGGTCGGTGCTGTGCAACTGCGTGGATCCGTAGTACGCCCCGTACGCACCGGCTGCGACACCGCCTGCGACAGCGATGCCGAAAATCGCCGAGCCGGCGGCCGCAGTCATTGCGCCGGCTACCGCAAAGGGGGCGGCAGCGATTCCAAGAACCATCGCGAGGACCCCGAACCCGAGGAGTCCCCCAACGCCGGCGCCCGCGAGCCCCTTGACGGCCTTCTGGAAATAGTGTCCAGCTTGCGCTCCGCCATATCGTAAGGAAAAATCCCCCCTCCCCATATCGAAAACGAAATTTGTGATGCTGTATTTGAGGCCACAGATCAGATTTGTCTTGTTGGCGAGGACTGCAGGCCCAGATCAGGCCTGAGTAGACAAGTTTTGGCCTAGGCACTTAGCATGGCTGACGTCTACGCTGTAGGAGCAACAGCATGACAAACCGCCTGTAGAATGTGGCGGAGCCTGTAGACTTGCCTTCATGCAATACAGCGACGATTTGTGGTCTCAAATCTGCATCACAAATTTTCAGAAGTGTCCCGGTTTGGTATGGGGAGGGGGGATTTTTCCTCACAATACGCCAGATTTCGACTTCAGGTCGAAGGCTTGTGCCAGTTTTGAACGGAAGGTCTGATACTCGAACAGAAACGTGCTGTACAGCAGATCCTGCGTCTTGATGGTCACCAGCTCCTTCTGCTCGAAATCATCGAAACGCTGCTTCTCACTGGCTTCCGCGCGGGCATGGTGGCGCTCCAGGCACTTCTTCGGGTTCACCCGGCACGCTCGCCCGTGCAACTCCTGCTTGCGCTGGTGAGAAACGAGCGACAGGAATAGGTTCTCGTTCATCGTTGCGATTTTACCGAATGCCGAAGGGTCCACTGTAAGCACCGCCGTTGTAGCTGCTCTACTAGCAGAAGACGCTGGAGGTTGTGGCGCACCAGGAGAATTTTTGGGCAAGCCACTCTTCTGGTGGTGGTCCATGTAAGCTGTCAGCACGCACCCAGCAACCATATTCGCAAGTGCATTGGTGCTGGAAAGACCAACAACATCCGGAGCGGTTCTTTGGTCAGTTGCAGAAGCTGGCACTAACGCGGTTCCTTCATGCGTGCTCAACAGTCCTCGGGCACCGTGGTACAGCGAGAACGGAGCGGCCGCTGATTGATCTTCTGATTTATTCAGTTTCCGCAATTTTTCTTGCAACGAAGCCAAGCTGCTAGTAAGTTCATCGAAAATGGTCGTGAGGTCCCTGGACAGAATGTCGCTTTCAGCAGTACTTTTCGCACCGCCGCCGCCGAGTTGCTGGTTGTGCGCACGGCGGCTGTTCACCAGACCAGTGACAAAAGCGTCAGTGCCGGCGCTCGCGTCAAACACGTCCTGCTCCTGGAAGCTGCCTCCCAGCATGGCCGTGGTCCGGCCGGTCCCCTTTTTCCCTTGTCGCGCGGTGCGCCCCAGCGCCTGCGCCTCCTCCCGCGACTCCGCCAGAAAGGTGAGCTCCACGTGCAGGCCGCCGTACTTTTCAATCGCCGTGGTGTCGTAGTCCGTGCCCCGACCGGCCAGGTTCGTCGAGACGATCACCATGCCCCTCTGGAAGGGCTCCATTTCGCCGCTCCCCACGTCCGCGTTACTCTGCCGCATGTACTCGTGCACCCGATCCGGATCCCACTGCTGCTTCAACGCCTTCGCGATCAGCTCTGCCGCCTCGATGTTCTGACAGATGCACAAAACACCGCGATCCCGCTGAAGCTCGGTGATCACATTGTTAACCACACGCGTGACCCACCGGTCCCGCTGCGTCAGCAGTCCGGTCAGCGCTTCGGCTTCTTGGGAGGAAAATTGCGTCTGCTTCACCAGCTCGTCCGACGATTCGTCCTCGTTGTGCTTTTGTTGCGAGCCTTCGTCGTCGTCCCCGGGAGCCGGCAAAGCTGCCGTCAAGGCGTTGCGGCTCTGCGACGAGACCATCCGGACTACTTCAGGAGAAATCAACTCTGGCGCGTAGGGGAGGAACTGCTTCCGACGCGAGAAGGGCATGATGCGGCTCTGCAGTTGGTAGGAAGTCTGCAAGGAGTTGCGCACTGCGGCGGAGCCCAGTGTGCCCGTGACACCGTACACGTAGCGATAACGCCGGAAGAACGCGTAATTGGACAGAAAGTTTGTTGGTAGCGACTCGGGGGTGACCGGCAGCCCGTGCATCACCTCCAGGATTTGATGGATGCCATCCGACCAGTGCAGCGACTCTTGAGTTATCCCGGTCGCGCCCGACACCGGCTTGATGCGCTCGTGCTGGATGATGAAGTCCACGTTTTCCTGAAACGTGAAATACGCTAGCAGCGCGGATTTCACCAGCCGCGGGAGAGTATCTTTAACATGTCGCTCCCAGTGCTTCGGAATGCGGACGAGGCTGGCCCCGTGCACGGATGTGAGTCCTTTCTCGCGGTTTTTCGCCGCCTGCAAACGGTCTTTCTCAACGCGTTCCTGCTCTTTCCGGAACTCTGCATCCAGAACCGGTCCCCAACCGCTGCTTAGGAAGGGAAGCTCGTCCAGCAATTTAGGCTCGACGGGTGTCTTCCGAAACAACAAATCCTCTTTGTCTTCGACCGCAACTTTTCGCAGCTTCGGCTTAGAACTACCGGAACCGCTTGGATTTCTAGTAGTATTTCCATCCTCGTCAACGTTCATATCAACAACATCGTCATCCTCGGTCTTGCTCTCATCTACTCCCGGGGACCATTCTAAGCCTTGCTCTTCGTACCATCGCTTCATCATGCGGTCTTCCTCGGAGAGTCCAACATCTTGCAACTTTGCCAGGAGCTGCGCGAGCTCCTGTTTCTCCGCCCCCTCTTTCGCCGCGGTCTCGGCCTGGATATCTTCGGAGCGCCACTCGATCGCGCGCTCCAGAAAGCGGAGCAGGTACTCTTCCAACGCGTTGTCCTTGCTCTGCGCTCCTGGCTCGGGTGACATGTCCGCGCCGACCGTATTTCCGGGCTTGGCAACCTGCGCCAACAGATCGGGCACCCGCATGGTGACCGGCTGGCCGTGCTTCGCTACCGCCTGGAACTCGATTGCCTCGATCTCAGGGTCCTTCTCGTCCTGGAAGCGCCGCAGCACGTCGCCGAACATCAGGATGTGTTTCCGCACTCTCGCGCCGCTGGCGTTCGTCGTGGTCAGTGGGAGCACGCGCGTCTGAAACTTGTCCATTTCGAGTTTCAGCACGTGGTAAATCGGCTCTAGAAACTCCGCACCCGGGAACGGCGTCGCGACTTTGGCGGTACGGGACAGGTCGTTCACCAACATCATGTCCACTTCGTCGGCTAAAGCAACGTTGTCAAATCCAAAATCCAAACGCCCCATCGCGACGGCCACCCGCTTCCGCGCGAGCGCCGTGGCGAAGTCTTTCTGTGTCTGTTCGAAAATCTTCTCTGGCTCGTCGAGGACCTGTTGGAAACTCGCTTCGTTAAACTTTTTGCTTCCCGGTGGGCCCACCTTCTGAAAGGGATCCAAGTCCAGCTCCCGGCGGCGGCCTTTTCCCGTCTCGCCGCGCCCGCGGGAAAGATGCACCAGCGCAGACAGGACGGCATCCGGATTCACGTACTCCCCGGACTTTACCTGCTTGTCCAGATACACTTCCGCAGAATCGGGCGGCTTGAATTCCCGCCCTCGGCCCTCGTTGAGGTGCGTGTAGACATTCACCTGCTGTTTCAAAATGTGGTCCATGTACAGCTTGAACTTGCGGCGCAGCCGCGGGAGCACGAGGAAGCCTTCTTCCAGGTACAGCTTCTCCGCGGCGTTCGGGAAGTGCTCACCGTGCTGCTCGTAGAACTCGCGCGCCGATTGACTGCGGTCCTTGCTGCCCTCCCCGACGTTGGCCGCGTACTTGGCGCCGTAGCGGGTGCCCGTGGTGCCCTCGGCGTACCACTCGGACTTTAAGGCGTCGAACATGAAATCTGAGGGATCGCCGAACAGGACTTCGCCCTCCTTGTAGCAGCTGCGCGCCCCGGTCTTCGGCTCCCCGGCTTTGTGCGTGTTGTCGCGCGTGCGCAAGGCGAAGGCGTCAAAAAGACTACGGTTCTTTTCCACATCGCGGACCGCCAGGACCTGACTGCTGGTCATGATGTCAATCTTCTTCAAAAACACCAAGCCGAGCACGGTGGCCACACCGGCAAGCAGTTCGGTTTTTCCCTCGCCAGTTGCCACCTGCAGCAGCAGCCCGCGGCCGCGTGTTGCTTCGAACGGGTCTACTTGCTGTTCCGGTGATTTGGACGATCTTTTCCCGTAGTGGCTTCGCGTAGCCTGTTCCGCAGGAGTAGTAAGCTCGTTGTACAGTGCGAGTAGTGTGTGCCGGTCTTTGATCTCCAGGTGCGGATCAACGGAATAGCTAGCAAAGCCGAGAAAGTCCCGTCGCATCAGTTCCCAGTGGGCGCCAAGGATTTCGACCAGCGACAGAAGTTGAACATAGTGCAGCATGAAGCCACGCTGTTCTTTCAAACCGATGTTGAATACCTGCAAGGCTTGCACCGTGAGCTTCTCGTACATGCGCAGCGCCGTGCTGATTCCGCGGTAGGCGACGGCCTGCGCACGCTGCCAGCGCGCGCGCTCCCTGTGGTTTCGGTGTTTGCTGATATCTTCGAAGTCAGGCTCTCGCTGGTCCCGATCGTTTGCTCGCGTTGCCTTCTCCTGTCTTTCCTGTAACAACTTCAAGTCGTGCGGAGGGAGCAGCGCTTTCCAAACTTCGTTCTCCTCCGCAATTTTTGGGTCATAGCGTTGCAGCGACGTGAGAACAAAAGTGTACTCGCCCTCCATGGCATCATCCATAAAATGCTTTCCCGCAGCTTCGGCGTTAGCGTCGTTCGGATTCTCACCGCCAACATCCTGTGTGCGTTTCTCCGCAAAATGCTCCGACAAAAGGAGATCCAGTTTTGCCAGATTCTCAGCAAGCATCTGCCGCAGGACCGGCGCGATGCGGGTGCGCACGTCACTCGACCAATTTTGGATTTCGAACTCGTTCCAGGTGGCGATCCGACGGAAAACCCCGAGAGACGAGGCCGAAACAACGGCACTAGTCTGCGTCTGTTGGGATGCGCCCTGTTGCGCCGCGCTGGAAGCAGCAATACCAGACTCAGGACCAGTCTGTTGATCTTGAATAATTTCGGCCACTTCCGCATCGGATACCGTCACTGGAATCCCCTCGCCGAGGAAAAAGCGGGCCGCAATATAGCGGTAGTTCCAGAGATAGTTACCGATGAGCTTCAAGCCCAACGGCTTCTGCCGCACCTGCTGCGCAACGAAGCGCCGCCACCGTTCCCCGAGGGGATGCTTTTGCTCCGCCATCTCCGACACAATCTTGCGGTAGCAATCGTTCCTCTTTGCGACATTTCCCGTGAAGTTGTCCCTGCAAATCAATGCAGCCTCTTCCTTTTTCAGCAGGTAGTCCCGAATGGCCTGCGCGTCCGCGTGCAGCTTGTTTTGCACACTAGCCAGAAGATTCGCGCCGTGCGGGGGCCACTCTTCGTGCGCGCGCCGGTCCCACTCTTCGTCGAAGCCAAACAGCATTTGCGAGACCTCGAAGAAAAACTGTTCCACTTCGCCCTCGATGCGGGTGCGCTTGTACGAGTCCTTCTGCCACGGAAGTTCCGGCCGCGCCATGTGTTCGACCTCGTCCACCAGCGTGTCACTCGTCCAATCGATGGCCCCGATGCCCATGCTGTCACGCGTGGCATCGACCAGCAGCTGCTGGCGCTGCTCCAAGAGCTGCTGCCACGCTTGTTTGCGTACATGGTCTTCCGCATTGCCGAGCAGCAGCTGCGCGAACCCGTAAAATCGAACGTTGTTGGCTGGGCGCTCTAGATCTTCAAGACCTTTTTCCATCTCCGGATCCTCTTCCTCCAGCACTCCTGTATCGCGAACAACTGTAGTGCGAGCGGTGGGTGCGCCCACTGCAGCCGGCTTCGGTAATGGCACCACAGCAGAAATCCCTGCGCTGCCGTAAGGTGGCGGAGGTACTGAAGCAGAATCCGGCAGGTAGGGTTGAGACGAGGCTGCAACGACAGAACCAGGTAGGTAGCTGCTCTTCGGCGCCTTCTGCCCTGCTGAACCGGGAAGATAGCTCCTGGGCGGCTGCTGCGCGGACGCAGATCCAGGAAGATATTGCCTCGATGGCTGCTGTGCGGGGGCAGATGATCCAGGAAGATAACTTTTCGACGGCTGTTCCGCCACGGAGCCTGCGGCAGGACCGGGGACGTATGCACCACGCTGCGGCTGTGGTACAGGTGGAACAGATCCAGGTGCCACAGTGTCGGTGGGGTAGGCCCTCGAACTCGCTCGATGTTCTTGTACGGGAGAAGAAGCACTAGGGCCAACACCCGCGAGGCTCTTTGTGGTCGGACTCGGAGAGGGGAACAGTAGGAGATTCAGACTGCGGACATGGCGACCGCTTTCCATTTGATTCAGCAACCGCTGCGAGAGTCCACGTGCGGCTTTTGCATTTTCCGTGCCTGTGTCGAAGGCCGAGCCCATGAAAGCCGCCAGGTGCGCTACGCCGTCCAAAAGTTCGACGTCTTGGACGGGTTTGGACAGACTGGTCCAGAACTCGCCGATGGGACTGCCATCCTGGTTCAACATCTGCGCGTTCAATTTTTCCACGGCGCCCGCCTTGGCACGGATCTTTTGCTGCGGCGGGTTGCGCTCCCGGTAGTCCTGAAGGATGTCCCGCAAACTGCTATCCGGCGATTTTGGAGAGATGAACACCTTGTGCTGAATCTGTTCGAACGTGCACCGCAAGAGCTCGGTTCCCGCCTGGCGCGCAACGCCCTCCTCTTTGTTCTGCAACAGAAAAAAGTGCTCTGCCTCCTCGCGACGGATCTCCGCCCGGCTTCTGCGTGGGTACACCTTCAACAAAGACTGGAACCACGCCTTTGGATCGGTCGTGATGCTCACGTGCGGCTCAAAGCTGCGCAAGGTCAGCCAGTAGGTCGCCAGCTTGCGGGCAAAAAAATCGGTGATCTCGGATAGGAGACGGTCGCGGATGACCCGGTCAATGTCCGAATCGCGATTCTCGTGTACGTCGGCCGCCACCTTCTGTAGAATCTGACGCAGACTTGCAATTTTCCGCATGTCCTGCTCCTCCTGCCGCTTCTCCTCCTCGGAGTTCTCAGGACTTTCTTCCACGACTGGCATTGGTAACCCCGCTGAGACTGGCTGGAGCTCATGCGAGGACGCACCCGCTGCCGCGCCCTGGTGTTCGTCTTGCTCGGCCTCGGCGCTCGACGACCCACAGGCGTTGCACTTCCCATGCAGGCTGCGCCAGAAGTCCTTTGGCGGCACTCCGAACTGGTTCAGCATTGCCAAAATCTCCAAGTACACACTTTGCACGATCGGCTCAAGCGTGGCAAACACGACTTCGCGCTGTCGGGCCGGCGGCGCGGCAGCGCTACCGCCCCCACCCTCATCGAAGGCAGCGGGATCTTTCTCCCCAGAAACTGCGCCGTCGGATGTTGAGGCACGGCCAAACGTGAAAGATTTGGGCCGCGGTTGCTTCCCCTGTTGCAGCCCCCCGCCCTGACCGTCTACTTCCATGTCGCTGCTGCCCGCGGGCGAGGACTGCGCGGGGCCTTGCGGCGGGGAGGCAAGCCCCGAGCCCTCGACGCTACTGTCGGGCGACGAGCTCGAGGAGCCACTTGCAGCGACCGCCACGTCCCCCTCGTCAAGAGAAAACCTGTTCGTTGATTTCCTCGTCTCGCCCTCCTGCGCCTGCTGGTACACGTTGGGGACTTCGGTCGCGGCTGCGTGCTTCAGTCGGTTGTACCACTGTGCGGTTTGCCGCCGAAGCTCCGCGCCGAGCTGCCGGCGCGCCACCTGGCGGACCGCACTGAATTGCTGGCCATGCTGGTCCAGCAAATCTCCCAGCGCATGCTGCACCTGCGCGAACGCACCCTGGACCTGGTTGCTGGGTCCGCTTGCGGAGGAGCCGGACTCGATGACCGTTTGAAATTGCGGCTGCAGCAGCATGCGCATCGAGAGAGGGTCGAAACGACTGATCGCAATGTCTAAGCGCTGGTGTCCGCCCTGCACCAGGTCTTTCGCGGTTGTCAGTCCCTGCTGGAGCTCGGTAGCACGGTCGGGAGGTTTGCTCGTCTGTGCAGACGACTGGTGCGCGACGGTGGCGGAAGCGACATTCTCTTTCTTTCCGGGTTTGCGGGCGCGGCGCAGCAGGTCGGCCATGTGCCGGTTCATGCGGAGCAGCACGGCTTTGTCTTTCAGCTGCAAAGTCTCTCGCGCCAAAACTAAGGTCTGCAATTTCCGCAAACACGCTTCCAGTGTCGGAAGACTTTGCAACACGTCCTCCCCAGCGAAATTACGAACGGTTTTCCCCTTGGCGCTTTTTGCCTCGTCATCGTCGGACGTGTAGTCCTCCTGTTGCGTCGTGCTGCCAGAGAAATCACCGCTATCGTCCGAGGCCGCAGTGATGCCGACTGGGGCAAGCAAGTCACCAAGCACGATCTGCTCCCGCAGGACGACAAGTTCCATGTCCGCGGAGTTGTACAGTTGGTCTTCGTGCTGCAGGAGAAAGTGGACGAGCTGAATCAAGTCTTCCAACCCGTTGCCCCTACCAACTGTCCCGGCCAGATACGGCAAGTGCCGCTGTACCTGAGCGTAGGCCGGAGCGAGCTGCTCGCGAAAAATGGTCCGATCCCGCTGCGCGTCGAGGGCCATTTTTTCCCCCGCCCGGAAAAGGTTGGAGCCGGTCATGTGGGAATAGGCGCCTGAGAAACCATCGCCCCCGGAAAACGCGTTCAAGTGTGCGGACGAGGCTGTGTTGATGTGTTTTTGCAGGAACTTCTGCTGCATCTCGCGGATGCTTGGAAGTTGCAAGTGGTAGCTGGTTTTGATTGCGGCTAGTCGGTCCCCCGTGTGTTGCAATCGATCCAAAAGCGACCGAATGTGGCTGAGCGGAAGCTGCGATAGCGTAAGCTTTTGTGCCAGTTGCGTCCACACGAACGCCACGCCAGGAGGCGTCCGCGCTTCGCCGATAGAATAATACGCCGCAATCCAAGGCTTCAGAAACATGACCTCAGCGGACGAGTTTTCTTCGGGCTGTTCTGGCACGACTAGCAAATTCCCCGCAACTTCGATGTGGCGTAGGACACCGTACCAGTCGCGCTTCGCAAACAGGGGCTGTCGTGTCTGAAGTGCTGCAACAGAGCGTCGGTCCTCATACTGCCTATCGAGATCTTTTTGACCGA